ACAAAAAATTCTCAACATAAAAGTGTAACGCAAGTTAAAAATTTTCCTATTTGTTTTCAAACGGCTTTACCTTAATATTTTTGTAGTGGACGTGAAATTTTATGAAACATACTGAAGATAGGGAGCGCAAAGCATCGCCCCTTCATTGCACCAAAATTGACGACTTTTCGGTTGAAAAACTGGTTTGAAGCTCTGTTAGTGAGCAAAGCGCTTATTGAAAAATTCATATTTCTTATTTGCCTATGTAATCAACATCGCTCTACAAAACTAGATAACTTTCAAGTTCAGCAGATTTTGGAATTTAACCCAAACAAAAAGAAAAGTGCCACAAAAGCAGATACAGTTCACAAAAAAAACTCGTTTCACGATACTACATGCGTTTCACGTCTGAATTCTGGATATGTTATTCACTATGACAATCTTCGAAAAATATATTAAAACGAAAAAATTCTGGCGGTGCCGAAAAAAGAACGAAGCTTGTAAATTTAAACTCAAAAAACACAAAAGTTTGGAGCAAAAATGTGAAAAAACTTCAGCGACAACCTAGTGATTTTTTTTGTTCAAAAATTGAAAAAAAGTCTAAATAACGTGAAAACAAAAAAAAAATCAAAAAACCGAGCAAAACAAGTTTAAATTTGCATTTACAATAAACGCTCGCAAAAAAATGAATTACGTTTTTTTTGAGCGTTTCACAAGAGTACAGTCGTTTCACGTTTTTCTTTTTTTGATATGTTTTTTTGCCTTCACAATTTTACCTTTTTTTGACAAAAAAATTTAAAAAAATCTGGCGGTGCCGAAAAAAGAATGAGCATTTTGAATGACCGAAAACGGTCAACTTTTTATTATTTTTTTTTTTTTGCGCGTCGAGGCGTGTCGTGGGTGTGACTTTGCGCCGTTCTGAAGGAAAATAAGTGTTTTAAGGCCGAAAAAATGAGAAATCCGAAATTGAAAATTCATTTGATAATTGATGTTATTTGTCATTCTCTTGTTTATGTAACTGTTAGACTGCCTTCTCTTGATTATTTGAACAGAAAATATCATATAATAGTTTTTCGTTAATGCCGAGGATCCTTTTTTCTTATTTTTCGAACTAATCATTTTTGAAAAAACCTTAAACTGAGTGAGTAACAATCAGAGAGGCATTCTCATCAGTTTTCCACAAAAAACCGATTCAAAAACGGTTGAATATGAATGGAAAACGAGTCAAAACAGTGCGGCGGCAGCCGAAAATTCGGAAAACGCCAGATTTTTTGGTTTTCTCGCGCGTCCCTAAAAACTTCATAACTCGGCTCAAAATCAAAATTTCTCGAAAAGCTAAACTGATTTGATTTTTGAATAATCTCGGATTCGACTATGCATTACTTTTTTCGAGAAATCGCTTGTGGTGCCTAACTGAAGATCTCAAATATCCTGAATTTCCCAGGGACCATTACGTTCACTAATCTTCATTTGAAATCTTGAGTTAAAGGCTCCAGGTAGTGTGTTCTTTCAAAAAAATTGCGAAGCTCATTTCATTTCATAGACGAGAATATTCTGGTGAACATGAAACACATTTTCGAGATAGCTGCAATTTCAGAAAAATAGGCAAAAGATAACCTCCTAAACACAGGAAAAATAAACCTAGTAAAATGCGCAAAATCTTGAAATACCAGCAATTATAATAAACTATTCAAAACGTTAACACTGTCAAGACTAAGGCTGCTCTATAATTTCAGAAAAATCTATGAAGACGAAGCTTGGTTGAAAACTGAGAAAGACGACGACAGAATCAACAGCAAGAAAAATGTGCGAGTGACATGCGACCGTGCACTTTCTCTTAAAAATGTTCACGCGGTATTTTCAGCTTCGAAGGTGAAGACTATGCTAAGATGTGCGCCGGAAAAGCTCGAGAAATGAGCCGCGGTCCAATCGGAAAATAATTCGGAAGTTAGCCACGGGGTGTGATTTTCCTGGCGCGAGAATCTGTTACGGCTCTTTTATCATGTAAAATTCGTACGCGGCTTACTTTTTAGATTCCCTGTAAAGTCTTCACTCGAAGCGGCCGCTCTCATTTCGAGACTTCCATCTAGAGGACGGCCTCCGGGCTCCAGCATAATATCCGCTACATCCTGAGCTCGTCAAGGCGCCACTAGATGGACTACGCGCAGAAGAACGAGGCGAAGGGCCGTAAGACCATGCTTTCAACTTGATCAACTACACCTTTGGAGTTTTAGTTCACCGAAGGCGGTTGTTCTTTGTAGATTCAAAAGTTCTTGTTCACCGCCTAGTCAATTACATTTATGACTAAAACAATAAAAATGAATTATTTGACGTTGTAACATACTTGTTCAGGGTCCATCGAGTCTTAACGAGCTCCGTCGATCTGCCAAAACCTTCGAATGGCTTAGTCGGTAGAGGGTAGAGTTTCCGTTTTGCTGTGCAGTTTAAAGATCTTTTATAAAAACTCTCGTTCATTTTTAATACTTTTCTTTGAAAGTAAGTTTGAAACTGCATAAGATTCTGTTTTTTTCCCCTTAAAGAAACGCCTAACCGTTGAACTTGCCTTTTAAGCCATTCGAAATTTTGAATTGAACTTTTTCGCAAGCTTTAATATTATACACCACGTGCCAGTCTCGAAATTACCGCCCAAGAGGAATTTGCTGATCTGGTAGGGAAAACTAATTTTTCGAGAGCATCAAAATACTCAACACTATGAAACAGATTATATTTGAAATAGGGAGCTCCTTTTTCTGCCCTTTTGGAATTTTTTGTAAATTTGCTTCAACAGTCCTCGATAGACAGGGAACTGAATTCACAAAGTCGCATTCTGAGAGAATTTTTTTAGTTTTATAAATATGAATGTGAAATATGGGTTGGAGGCCGAACTCTAATCCATAACTCAGAGAATAGAATTCTAAAATTCTAAAACGATTCTCTACGTATGTATTTTTTTTCGTACGGATAAGTACAGCCCATCAGAATTGCGCTTTTCTTGTCTTTGATTCAGTCGGAGGAAGTTTTTTTTTTCCAGTAACGCTTAACTAAATTCTTCATCTTCCCTACTTTGTTATAGTATGTGTGCCACGACTTGAAATTTCACCGAACGACGTTCCGCTGCGTGCGGTCGCGGAGCGTCTTTGCCTTTGCGGATCTAGGTAACCCTTCCAGACTATTTTATTGCCGATAGATAGATCGTTCCCCTTCGAGTATTTGAATGAAAGAAAAAATTGAAAGCGCGATCGAGTTTCGCAAAGGCGCCCGGCGGAACAGCGGAATGTCGTTCGGTGAAATTCCAAGTCGCGGTACACAGACTATAACAACTCACGGATTAATTCTTTCATTCTTTGAAGTTTAACGCTTCTTGGTTTTGTGTTACAAGCTAGGTGCATTTTGAGTATTATGTAACTTCAACAGTTTGTAATAGCTCGTTCCTCCAAGTTCTGAACCACAAATGTTATGTATTATTTCAGAAAAGATTCAAATTTAGATAGACAACTTTCAAAAACGAAAAATGAAAAAAGAAAAGAGAAAAGACAAAACGAAATTCTACATGTACATGAAAAAAAAACTTCGCGTTAAAGGCATAGGGGCAGTAAAAAAAATGGGGTTTCAGGTAAAAGCAGTATCTTATATAGTTTTTCTTTGCGAATCGAATGGTGTACTCAAAACAATTAAAGATGTCAAAACTTTAGAAGAAAAACGCGATTTTACTTTCCCGCCATTAATTTTGAAAAAAGCTTTGGATCGGCATGCGGACAACTGATTACAGTAGCTGTGCACGCAATGTTGCGGACGTCTCATTAGACTCGCATTTTGTGAGAAATAACCGGATTTCTGCTTCAAATCAAGGGTTTCTACTATAAACAATTGATTTAAAAAAACAGAAATCACACATTGATAATAAAGAAAACACAAAATATCGCTGTCCCAATCGAAACCTGTGTAAAATCATCATTTTTTTACCAGAGAAGCATTTTTTTGCGATCAAAGTTTGCAAATTATTCATGAATAGAAAGCTTTTTGTGACGAAAAAGAACTTTGGTGACAACAGAAAAAATTGAAAATTGAAAGAAACGAAGAAAAAAGCGAAAATCCGGAAGTTGGCCAAGCTTGTTGTCCGTAGAGCAACTTTACTGCAAAGCGCCCTTTTGGCGGGAACTCAAGCTTTCCTTTCTCCGACTTTGAATTATTTTTTCTCCAAAACTAGGAACTTCTGTACATTTCCAAGTTCACCGTTCGATTCGTAATGAAAAACTCTACAAATTACTGCTTTGAACTGAAACACCGTTTTTTACTGCCCCTATGCCTTTAAATCGCAAACCGCTACTCCCTTACGTCATCCCTATGACATCATCTTCATTTGCAAAATTCGCACACGCAGCCATATCATTTTATTCATTTTTTACGTTCCAATTTATAAAATTAGATTCGACGTGAAAACTTTTCCGGTCACATGAAAAACAGAAAGATATCACACTTGAAAATCTCCTTTTGATTGGAAACTTTTTTTATTTTTCTATTTTCTTAATTTTTTTTAGAAACCTTTTAAAGGTTTGGAATAATCCGAGGCGTCAAAGCTCGCGCTTACGCACAGTATGCTCCTTTAATCTGGGAAGAACATTTCACAGATTTTTTTCGCTACGCGTATCAAGTTTGCAAAAAAAGTTTAGAGCTATCTGATAGTGTTATTAGTTTCCAAGTTTTGAAACTAAATGCCTTTTTATGTCAAGTATTCATTTATTTGACGAATTTTTTTCACTGTGGCTCAGTTTTTTTCGAAGCGAGCCACAGTCGGCTTCGCGCTATGCGCGCTCCGCCTCCGTGTGAAGCCTTAAAAACTAAGCCTATTTTCTTAAGTAATGCATGAACCTGTAAGCGCAGTTTTTAATGCAAAGGCGCATTTCAGGCTCTTCTCATTCTTCAATTTTTTTCAATTTCAATTTCAATTCAGTTCAATTTATTCAGTCTTCAGAGTAAAAAAAGAAGAAAAATCTCTGCTGAATCATGGTATAATCGAAGAGTTAGTCGTCGGCGCGGGTGACGGTCCACAATCGTTGTCCAATACGTCCCGGAGTGACAGCTAGCGTTGGGAAATAATGTTGGCCCGTTGGTAGTACTAGCGAATAAACTGCTTCACCATGTTGGAACAGTACGGCGCCCAGCTTGTCCAGGGCTGACGGGCGTCGGAATGTTATCCCATGAGAGAGCGGCAATGAGACCGACCAGTCGACGTGATGAAATGAGATAATAATAATCTGCTGAATCATGTTCACGTGAATAAAATGAATATATAGCCAAATATTTTGATTACGCTTATTTCTTTTGTTACGGATGATGTCATAAAATGACGTCAGGGAGTAGCGGTTTGCGATTTAACGAAAACTGAAAAAAAAAACTATGCTGATAGTCTGAAACGTCAAAACTTATCTGCTGTTTTCATTTCATGTTTAGAAAAGAAGTTTTGGTAAACCTTAATAAAGTCTTCTACTCCGTTTTGGGATATATTATTTTTTTTGCTGAAGTTGGGTTATTCCTATTGACGACAGGGGTAAAATATCATTAAAAAACCTTTTTTCCCTTTTTGAATAGTTCTGTTTTCGAATTTGTTCATTATCTCTACTGAATGATTAACTTCCTACTGATATGCAGAAGTGAAAATATTTTGAATAGTTTAAGATTTGAGCCGAAACGTGGCTTCTTTCCAAGGCGAAGTCGACTTCCTGACAGATAGGGCCTTTCAAAAGAGACGCAGTCTTTTTCCTACGCGTTTGAACCGCTTGAGCGGTGTCGGCGCCTTAAGTCGGTTAGCCGGGGTCCTATCCTGATAACTGATAATCAGTGGACTGGCTCGAGTGACATATCCGTTCTTGTGTGTGCGGCTGCACCCAATTTTGTGGACTATATCGCAGCGAGAGTAACGCTATACCGCGGGGGAGCCGCGAGCGATATCGCTCGCCTCTCGCTGCGACCTCGCAAACGTCTTGCGCTACATCGCTCTCTGAAAAATTTTTCTTCAAAAATGTTTTTTTTCTTGAATTTGATTGATTTCATCATAAAAGTCAAAAATAAAGCAAAAAAAATGTTTTTAAAATTTCAAATTTTTGAGAGGGAGCGATATGGCAGCGAGACTTTGACGAGGTCGCAGCGACATGTTGACGAGATCGCAGCGAGAAGCCTTGGCTATATCGCGTGCGGCCCGCTGCGATATCGGCAATTATGTTGGGTGTGGGGATTTTGAAGCCGTGGTTTCCCACTACCAACATTTCTTGAATGGGTCGAGGCGGGGATCGAACTTGTGACCCCGTGGACCGTAGACAAGCTTACATCCTGTTGCGCTACGACGCGCCCCTCACAAGAGACGCAGTAATCGCGCAGTTTTTGTTTGTGAGACTTTCGGCCTTTGTTTTGACGTTGGAAAGCTCAAAAACCGAACAGTTTGTTGTATGCGAAAACTGTTGTTTCTTGGTTGCTAGGTCGCGTTTTTTGCAGGTGCGCGTGGTCGGCACGAGTTCTCATATCTTCGCTTTTTGAACTTCGTTTACACGCATCGAGCTAACGTTTGTTTTTGATATATAAAAACAGACTACCCTTGACAAAAATCTGTCAAAATCAGCCTCTTCAAAATCAAGAACTTCATGTCGTGTTCAAAGAAGTTTCGCGAAATGCAAAATAACCGTATGAAAGTGAAAAAAAAACATTTTGGAGACTCAGAGAAAATTTTGATTTCGGCGAAATCAATGTGAACGCGGCACTATATAGTCCATCTTTCCCGACTTGAAAGGCAAGATGGGTAGATTGGATAGGAAAAAGCGTTGCGTACGCCACGAAAGAAAGAAAAAATTACCACAGGAAAAAAATTTAATTTTTTTCCACATTTTTTTCATGAGTCCATTCCTTTATAACCACACAGAGACGACTATTTATGGAGGCCGCCATTCCTCCCACAAATAATTTATTTTGAATATTTTTCTACGAAGAAAATTTGAATTTTTGAAGACCTTTCTTCTCTCTGTTTTCCTAATAAATTTGTTACTGAAATTCGAAGAAAACGGAAAATCATCAAGGAAATCAATGCAAGGAACATTTCAAAAAGAGTAATATAGTCGAATGACTTTTTTTTTCAGTAGAGATATTCAGGTAAGCCTGGTATCCTTATTTGAGTAAATATATTTCTAAAACGATTACCGGTTTCTTTTTAGTTCCTTGCTGATTTCTAAACTTATCTCTAACCCAAAAGACAATGATTTGAGAAAGACGGCTAATTTGTGACCAGACTCTAAATAGTCCCGCGGGAGCCTTATACTTGGCACAACTAACACGCATGAAAAGCGACTGTTTTTGGCAGCGACGAGGGTCCAAGCGAACTCGGAGCGTAGTCTTGGGGAGCCAAGAGACGCGTGACCTCTTGCGCACTCGCCGCCGACGGCGATATTCTCTCGCTCACACTAAAAACAACAACAAACGCTGTTGTTGCACAGGGTCTGCGCCAGTCCGGCCGACCGCGACATCTCGGCAAAGAGCGGTTCAAAATATTGTAGTATACGAAAGGAATCATTCATTTTGATAAGCTGTGTATATTTCGAAAGTTATCTAGACTCAAATTTCATACAAGCAAAAAATACTTTGATTTTCTTTCCAATAAAGTTAATGAAAACTAACACTTGTTCTAATCTGTGGAAAAAAAGAATAGTTTCAATTCAAAAACCGACAGCCATTTAGGTTTCTCAGCGGAACGTCGTCCTTCTTGGTATGATAGAAAAAAATAGATTTTATTATTTTTTATTATTCTGCACATCAGACCAAATTCCACTTAAGAAACAAGTTCAGCACTAAAACTTTTTTAGAAAGCTCTCAAAAGTATTTTAAATCTTCCGGACATTTCTGAAAGATTTTATTTCGAGCTATTCGCTTGGAAAATGTCACATGAGAGACGTAGGTTTTTTCGCATAGAAAATTTTCGTTTTTTGTCTATTTCCATTTTTCTTTTTCAGATAGTTTGGTGTTTTTTTAATGTAGAAATATTGTCAGAAACATAAAAAGTTATTCAAATTAACTTCATTTTACCGCCCCTAGAACATTGAAAATCAAGAAAATCCTTTCTTTTTTTTGCAAAAAAAAAAAAACGCTTCAAGTACGAAGTGTCACAAGTTCGAATTGATTGTTGAGAAACTATCGAGGATCGGCAAGAAGAGTCTTCGAAATTTTGTGTCACTTGCATCCATTATTCTGTCCAGATTTTGCCTTTTCCTGTACAAAGCGGTTCGCGAGACGCGAACGTAGCTTTGGGCAACGACCCAAAAACAGGCGGCCGCAGAGAAAAAAGGAGTGGCGCCGGCTTGGGCGGCCGCTCGCACACGCTTCGATCAGCTGTTTGGCTGTGCTGGCGCGTGTCTTCTTTCCCTCGCGTCCACTTTTTGGCGCCATTTGGTCAGCTCAAGTTCATTCATCCCACTAACATTTTCCTTTCAAACTTTTCGAACAAGAATCGAGGCCAAGGTTTTGAGGCCATCATCGATTGTCTTTGTCTCCCTTGTCTCGATCATATTCTATCGTCTTTTTCGCGTCAACAAAACCATCTTCCACACTTTTTTTTTCTATTTTGAAGCAATTTTTCCTTGCAGTGGCGTTTTCGTTACTGTTGACAAGAAGAAAAATCACGGGAAAATGAATTCAAACATAAAATAATTGAAGTTAAAATGGCAAATACAAGCCTCTAAAAAAGTCGATAGATTTATGCCATTTCAATTCTAAAATACTTGAGTGCTTTGAACTTTCATCATGAGCTTCACTGAAAAACTCGAAACTATAAGAAAATCTCTTCGTTGACTTTACATGACAGTTTCTTTTTACCAAAAATTGAGCGCGGCCAACTGCACTTTGCTCACGCTCCTGCAGGATTCCCCTCTCCCAACCGTTGTTCTTTCCAGGTGGCGGCCAGATGAAGGTTCTCGAGAATTCTAGCAAACACAACACACCCAAGAAGCAGAAGACCTTCCAGGTTTTTAATTTTTTCTTTAAATTTTAATTGAAAGCTCTTATAAGAGCTTATAAATATACTCCGTGAATCCCATGTAAGTTTTTCAAACAGAAATAAGTGAATTGAGCGGTTCATTTCACACAAGTAGAAAAAGAAGTCAAAAATTGACTACTATTATATAAACTTGAAAAACTTTATTATCTTTCTATCAATGGAGATTTCGCAAATGAATCAAAGTTCAGAACAAAACGAGGTTTTTTTTTCTGAAACAAACTTCAATATATTTAGCACAATTTAAAATATTCTTCTTAAAAATTAGAACCAAGCTTATGCCGCTTACTGTCCAGTACACTGTTCCTATTCATCTAACTTCGAAGAGAAGCAAATAATTCATGAAAATCCGTCATTCGGGGGCAGGGCCTGTGATGCTATATTAGTAATCCTAGTAAACCGAAGACGAAGATATGAAAAAAAAAATTATGCTTCGGAAAACGTTTAGATTAGGTAGAGGATGAGAGAGAAATTGTTTTAAAAATTTCAAAAAAGAACGACTAAAATCGGGAAGAAAAAAAGATTGCAGCACTATTTGCCGGCCGGAGACAGATGCTACAGCTGCGTTCACTGCAGGGCGAATCTTGCTTCTCACAACGATCTAATTTCTAAGGTTTTCATCCCGGAAATTCGGATCTTCTTTTTTTTTATTATTTGAAAAGAAGGAAGTTATCATTTTCAGTCATTCCAAGGGAGCCAGGGCAAGGCTTATCTCTTCAATGCCGTGTGAGTTGTTTCTCGCCTTTTTCATGTAACTTCTTCAAGTTGAGAAGAAATTTCTCAGCCCTGAGCTTTGATGAATATTTGAGTACATTCTCTCATCTTTTGAAAACGTAGTCCCTACGTCATGCTTTTTGCCTCGAAGAGGAAACATTTCTAAATTCTGCCTCTGGCGTAGCAAGGAACCAGAAATCGCCCAGCGGAAAATGACAACTTCCGTTTATTAATATCTTTTAATTAGCATGTTCCTGACCCGTCTTCTTCTTTGCTCAGAAATATCACGAATAATGAGGACATGAAAAAAAAAAACACAAATGAACGTTAGATACTTTTTCGACTTTTCAAAGAAAATGAACTTTTTCGATTTTTCAATGCAAAACGAGCTAAAAAAAGACGCAGAGAACAGTCTGAAAACCTGACCAGTTTCCTTTTTTTTTGAGCTCGGTGACACCCTAAAGTGCTAGCCGAGGTCGCTTGCCCTCAAATAATCGCAGAGTTCAAACGACGGACAAATCGTGACTCAGAGCTTTCTACGAGAACGCAAAAAAGCGTTTTTTAATAGAAGATAATGCAAAAACCTCAAGAAATCGCTTCAAAAATATGAATATTCTTGTTTTTTTAAAAAAAGATAGATTCTGATGGTTTTTTTTCAGAAACTGGCAAATGGACTTGTCTTATTCTGAGTCCAGAGAAATACTGGAATCATTGTAATTTGAAAAAAACTTCGAAAAAAATTTCGAATAGTATTCAACACCGTTTTAAAAATGTTTCAATTTTTTTAAATTTTGTTTTTGTGAAAGGTAAAAATAATAATTTTTAAACAACGAAAAAAAGATATTAATCGTTCATTAGAATAATATGAGATTTTTTTCGATATCCAGCATAAATAAGAAATCATGATTAAACACAACGGCGGAGACTCCGTCGCGAAATCTGAAGGAGAGGAGCCATGAATCTGTTGGAAAATAGGGGAAAAAAGTAATGAAATATTATTCACGGAGTAATCAAATCAGTTGCGATTCAATGACGAGAGTGAACAAATTTTTGTCAGTTTTGTACGGTTTGATTTTGAAGTTTATTACTACAATACTTCTGAAAGATTTTGTTTGTATGTGTGAAGTTTTAGAGAAAAAATTATCAGCTGCGAAATCGAAGATCTGGCATTAAATATCAAAAATTTTGGCGTCATATTTTGCCTATCAAAATTTTTTTTATCGTTTGACTGTATCTTCCTCTCTTTTTCGGAAAATGAATAACCAAAAATTTATAAACTAAATGGAGGAAAAGAAAATTTATAAAAAAAAGTGTTTGATAATTAGTACTCGTGATCGATTGATGATACCGTGTTAAATTTAAAAGAGAAACATTTACAGAGTAAATGTGGGCTGCGGACCAGCAGAGGAAAGAGTTCTGCTGACTGGGCTTCACGCGGTGGCCGACATCTACTGCGAGTGCTGCAAGACGACGCTCGGCTGGAAGTACGAGCACGCATTCGAATCCAGTCAGAAGTACAAGGAGGGCAAATACATCATTGAGCTGGCGCACATGGTCAAGGACAACGGCTGGGATGAGCACACACGAAAATCTTCTTCTTCCTCTTCGTCCTCTTCATAACCGCGTCCAACTTTTTCATTACGAAGCATTAATTATTTCCCTTTCTCTGTACATAGTTGTAGGTATAATTCATCTCAACTCCATGAAGTGATTATCAGTGATGATTTGCTATGAGTCCAGTCCGCCCTAAGCAGATCAAATCAAAGAAGAAACTGGCATAGCCCCCTGCAATGCTGGTAGTGTGAGAGAACCGTTCGATGAGTGTCTTTTCAAACTTTTCTGTTTCTCAGTCAATGAAGGCGTCAGCGACGCTCAACAAACTTGTATTGTAATCAAGGGCATATCGGCGCACTTTCTAAATACAAAAAACTTCTTTCTTGCCCCCAACATTTGCTCTTTGCCGCTGAAACTTTGTTAAAGGAAGGATCATGAAGAAGCTACGATTGAAAATGGTTTGATTATAAAAGTCCTGATATGTTCCTAAACTGCGACAACGCCCATTGAAAACTTCTGTCACAATTCTACACTTGTAAGCTTTATCGTTAACGCGTTATTCCGTTCCACATAAATTTTCTTATTCTGACTTCACCTGTACATTCCTTCCGTTTCTAAATTCAAATTCCCACGTTTCTGTAAATATTTATGTGTTCGAGAATGAAAACTTGGAAATACAGACTTTAAAAAGGGCAAACAAGGATCTATAAAAAAAGAAATCACCGAGATTCAAACTCATTTTTAAAATGTATAGTGATGTTAGTGGCGTCGATGGAAAGTTAGTTTTTTGTAAAGTTCTCTATGCTACATAGTTCGAAGTAACGAAAAAATAAATAATTTTAAACGTTAGAAGAAGTTAGAAATTGGAATCTAAATTTCTCATAGGACAATATCTGAACTTCCGACATCGAGCGTCGCAGAACAATTCGAAGAAATTCTCGGTTTCAAGGTGTTTATCATCGTATGTAAGGTTTATTTATTTTTTTTGCAATAGAAAGGAAAAAAAAGGAAAAAAAGTTTCACCACGTCTTAGAAAGGAAAAAAAAAGGAAAAAAAGTTTCACCACATTTTCTAATTAACTAGGGTGTGGCCTCTCCTGAACATCGAGTTGAAAATTGAGACTTTGTGTGTTTGATATATAAGCATAGGTGAGAAGTCTCGGAATCAAAAAAAAAATCCGGTAAACCCCTCAGGAAACCGAAGCTCAGCGTGGGGGGTGTAGTGCGAAACTATATAGGCAAACAATGAAGTTTGAGCCGAGAAAAAGGATATTCGCCAAAAGGATTCGAATAATTGTTACAGGGGACCGTGCGTAAGCGACCAAAACCACTACACCACGCCCCCAGTTGCTAGCCGAAGGCCATGAGCGCGGGGATATACGCGCTGGAAAGGTTTTGGTTTTGACAAACTTTACCTCGGTTGCCTGAGGGGTTAAGCAGAATTTTCTTCATGATTCCGTTTACTCTCACCCTACCAAACCGATGAAGTCTCAGTTCTAAACTCGATTAGAGGAAGACCATACCCTAGTCATCTGAGAAAAACGCGCGTTACATAAAATTCCTATATATATTCAAAAATATCCACAATTTGTATAGAACTTTTAGTCTCTGTCTTCCTTTCTTTAATTCGCTATGTTTTTTTTCAAATCAAACACCGAATGAGAATAAACTGTTAACCTAGATAAAGGCTTTTTTTAAAATTTCAAATACACATGTGAGCAAATAACTGTTTTAGGAAGAAAAATAGTCGAAACGTATTTTACAGACCATTTTTTTGAACATTTATTGAATGTTCAAAGGCGAAAAAAACGGCAAATACTTGAATAATCAGATTATTTTTTTAAAATTTTTTTCTGAAAAATCCCCTAATACTTGATACCAGAAAGAAAAAAAGCCAAGTTAATACTCGCAAAAAAACTTTGATTGAAATCGAAATAATAATAATAATACTGATTAGTCTGAAATTACTCAGCACGGATGGCGCACGGAACATTCATCCTTGCCGATTAAAGGCATAGAGGCAGTAAAAAATGGGGTTTCAGGTGAAAGCAGTATCTTGTATAAGTTTCTTTGCGAATCGAACGGTGTACTCAAAAAAATTACAGATCTGACAACTTTAGAAGAAAAACGCGATGTTACTTTACCGCCTTTAATTTTGAAAAATGCTTTGGATACAAAATGCTTGTATGCAGACAACTGTTTACAGTAACCGTGCACGCGATGTTGCGGACGTCTCATTAGACTCGCATTTTGTGAGAGATAACCGGCTATATGTTTCAAATTAAGGGTTTCTTCTCTGAAAAATTGATTAAGAAAGCAGAAAACACACATTGATAATAAAAAAACATAAATAAACGCTTTCCCAATCGAAACCTGTGTAAAATCATCGTATTTCACCAGAGAAGCATTTTTGCGATCAAAGTTTGCAAATTATACATGAATAGAAAGCTTTTGTGACGAAAAGAACTTTGGTGACAACAGAAAAAATTGAAAATTGAAATAAACGAAGAAAAAAGCGGAAATCCGGAAGATGGCGAAGCCTGTTGTCCATAGAGCAACTTTACTGCAAAGCGCCCTTTTTGCGGGACTGAGAAAAGTTAAGGGGGCCCCTATAGGGGGAAAATTTTAGGGGCCCGCATAGGGGGCTCAGGGGTTCCCTTGAACCCCCTAAACGATTCGGGGCCCCTATAGGGGGTAGAATTTTTTTAAAAGCAGCTAAACGTCTTTTAAGGATGCGGTTTTTATGTGAACATTTCTAAAAGTGTTTTTAAGTAATACACAATGAATATCTTGTTCGTTTTACCTATTTTTTGCCCGTTTTTGATGCGAAAAGCGAGTCGCGCAGCGGATTGACAACAGTTGCGCTTCATCGCGAAGATCACGTGACCTTTTTGCAGGCTTGTGCGTCAGGCCGGGCGACCCGGCCCGGGCCGGCCTGGCCCGGGTTTTGGGCCTTATTTTCAGGAAAAAGCCCGCGTGGGCTCAGGCCGGGCCTCAAAAAAATTTAAAAATTTCATTTAAAAAAATTTTTCACCGAAATGCGACTTTTACTTCTGAAATCATAGTTTTTTTGTTAAACTTTGAGAAAAAAATGAGCAAAAAAACGTAATTTTTGTCGTAAAAAAACTTTATATCCGACTAGAAAAAAATTGCGCGATTCGGGCCGGGCGGGCCATTTTTTTCTTGAGGCCCGCTAAGGCCGGGCCGGGCCGGGCTTACGAAATGGTCGGGGGGCCGGGAGGGTGACGGGCCGGCCCTCGCACAAGCCTGCCTTTTTGAATTTCATTTTAATCTTGTTTTTTTTCTATTTTTTGATTTCTTTACATTCTTTCTTGGTTTTCGAAGTTTTTCTTTCTGTGTTTTATGCTGTTCAAAGTGTAAGATGTAAACTAAAGTTGACGACGATGGTTTTATTCTCGCTTCTAATTATAAATTTTCACCAATTTCATTTTCGTGTTTTTCATATATTTTAAGCCCGCTTAAACCATGATTAAGCTTACTCATTCAATTTTCAGCTTTCACGATATGAGTACTTTACAGTATACTTCATCAGCATTAATACGCGTGAGTGAAGAAAAGGCTTGTTGGATCCGCATCTATTTTTTGATAGTAAATTACGCAGCCTTTAAAGCAATATTTCTTTGACACCAGTATTGAGATGATAATTTTTAGAGGCGATGGTTAACCAATGTTTCTGATGATACGCGACGTTGGCTCACCAGAATGAGCAAGAAGCGAAAACCTATTGCTTGTTTCTTTTTTCAACGGCTCTTCAGAACCGTCACCTGCTGGAATCCGTCGGTTGTTAGAGCCTCTCAGAAGGTAGTTCTTTCTGTTAATCAGTGTTTTTTTTTTGATCTTTTGACAACAGTCGTGTAATCCGAGAAAAATTCGATGAAAATTAAAATTTTTTTTCTGACTACGACTCATTACTTGTTCTTATTTTTCACTCAATAATCATCAACGCCTGTCACTTTTCAGTCGAATAAATTTTCTTTTTTCCTAACACGCGAAGTGCGAAAGGTCGAGATATTTGTCGAAAAAATATTTTTCGTCCCATATTTTTTCAGACTTCACGGACTTCAATGAACAGTAGGAATTATAGTTTCGAAAATTGACCGTTCGACCGACCGTTCGACCAATATTTTTTCAACATGTCATAATAAATGGTCATTGGTCGAACGGTTGGAGTTTCAACATTTCAACATGTCACTTCAGAATGACATGTTGGTTTTTGACCGTTCGAAATGTCACTCTGAAAATGGTCGGTCATTTTTCGAACGTTCGAAATGTCACTCTGAAAATGGTCGGTCATTTTTTGACCGTTCGAAATGTCACTCTCAAAATGGTCGGTCATTTTTTGACCGTTCAAAATGTTACTCTTGAATTGGTTGGTCATTTTTCGACCGTTCGAAATGCCTATTCGAAAATTTTCTCTTACGCTGGAAGTGAGGGCTCGTGCGCGAGACACATTCCTTCTTACTGCGTTCCAGTCTTTCACGTGCAAACTTTGAGCCGTCATAATTTGACTACGAGGCAAAAGGCGAGATATTTTATTTTTGATTTGGAATCAGCATGCCTTAAAGTACACCCCTGCGAAGTTTCATCAAAAGTTCAACCGGGGGATAAAAACAGTTTCCTTGTCAGAGTAACTAGGAGCTTATTCATTATCACGAAGCACGCGGAGTTTTCTCAAAATTCCATACTTTTCGCAAACGTTGATTCAATTTATTTCATTTCAGACATTTCAAACTTTTTTCAGTCAAATTTCGATCGTTTGAAACGCCATTTCAAAATTGGTCGTTCATTTTTTGACCGTTCGAAATGTCACTCTGAAAATGGACGGTCATTTTTCGAACGTTCGAAATGTCACTTCAAAAATGGTCAGTCATTTTTTGACCGTTCGAAATGTCACTCTGAAAATGGTCGGTCATTTTTTGACCGTTCAAAATGTCACTCTTAAAATGGTCGGTCATTTTTCGAACGTTCGAAATGTCACTTCAAAAATGGTCAGTCATTTTTTGACCGTTCGAAATGTCACTCTGAAAATGCTCGGTCATTTTTTGACCGTTCGAAATGTCACTCTGAAAATGGTCGGTCATTTTTTGACCGTTCAAAATGTCACTCTTAAAATGGTCGGTCATTTTTCGAACGTTCGAAATGTCACTTCAAAAATGGTCAGTCATTTTTTGACCGTTCGAAATGTCACTCTGAAAATGCTCGGTCATTTTTTGACCGTTCGAAATGTCACTCTGAAAATGGTCGGTCATTTTTTGACCGTTCAAAATGTCACTCTTAAAATGGACGGTCATTTTTCGAACGTTCGAAATGTCACTTCAAAAATGGTCAGTCATTTTTTGACCGTTCGAAATGTCACTCTGAAAATGGACGGTCATTTTTCGAACGTTCGAAATGTCACTTCAAAAATGGTCAGTCATTTTTTGACCGTTCGAAATGTCACTCTTAAAATGGTCGGTCATTTTTCGAACGTTCGAAATGTCACTTCAAAAATGGTCAGTCATTTTTTGACCGTTCGAAATGTCACTCTGAAAATGCTCGGTCATTTTTTGACCGTTCGAAATGTCACTCTGAAAATGGTCGGTCATTTTTTGACCGTTCAAAATGTCACTCTTAAAATGGTCGGTCATTTTTCGAACGTTCGAAATGTCACTTCAAAAATGGTCAGTCATTTTTTGACCGTTCGAAATGTCACTCTGAAAATGCTCGGTCATTTTTTGACCGTTCGAAATGTCACTCTGAAAATGGTCGGTCATTTTTTGACCGTTCAAAATGTCACTCTTAAAATGGACGGTCATTTTTCGAACGTTCGAAATGTCACTTCAAAAATGGTCAGTCATTTTTTGACCGTTCGAAATGTCACTCTGAAAATGGTCGGTCATTTTTCGAACGTTCGAAATGTCACTTCAAAAATGGTCAGTCATTTTTTGACCGTTCGAAATGTCACTCTGAAAATGGTCGGTCATTTTTTGACCGTTCGAAATGTCACTCTTAAAATGGACGGTCATTTTTCGAACGTTCGAAATGTCACTTCAAAAATGGTCAGTCATTTTTTGACCGTTCGAAATGTCACTCTGAAAATGCTCGGTCATTTTTTGACCGTTCGAAATGTCACTCTTAAAATGGTCGGTCATTTTTCGAACGTTCGAAATGTCACTTCAAAAATGGTCAGTCATTTTTTGACCGTTCGAAATGTCACTCTGAAAATGGACGGTCATTTTTCGAACGTTCGAAATGTCACTTCAAAAATGGTCAGTCATTTTTTGACCGTTCGAAATGTCACTCTGAAAATGCTCGGTCATTTTTTGACCGTTCGAAATGTCACTCTTAAAATGGACGGTCATTTTTCGAACGTTCGAAATGTCACTTCAAAAATGGTCAGTCATTTTTTGACCGTTCGAAATGTCACTCTTAAAATGGTCGGTCATTTTTCGAACGTTCGAAATGTCACTTCAAAAATGGTCAGTCATTTTTTTGACCGTTCGAAATGTCACTCTGAAAATGGTCGGTCATTTTTTTCGAACGTTCGAAATGTCACTTCAAAAAAATGGTCAGTCATTTTTTTGACCGTTCGAAATGTCACTCTGAAAAATGCTCGGTCATTTTTTTGACCGTTCGAAAATGTCACTCTTAAAATGGTCGGTCATTTTTCGAACGTTCGAAATGTCACTTCAAAAATGGTCAGTCATTTTTTGACCGTTCGAAATGTCACTCTGAAAATGGTCGGTCATTTTTTGACCGTTCAAAATGTCACTCTTAAAATGGTCGGTCATTTTTCGAACGTTCGAAATGTCACTTCAAAAATGGTCAGTCATTTTTTGACCGTTCGAAATGTCACTCTGAAAATGCTCGGTCATTTTTTGACCGTTCGAAATGTCACTCTGAAAATGGTCGGTCATTTTTTGACCGTTCAAAATGTCACTCTTAAAATGGTCGGTCATTTTTTGACCGTTCGAAATGTCACTTCAAAAATGGTCAGTCATTTTTTGACCGTTCGAAATGTCACTCTGAAAATGCTCGGTCATTTTTTGACCGTTCGAAATGTCACTCTGAAAATGGTCGGTCATTTTTTGACCGTTCAAAATGTCACTCTTAAAATGGACGGTCATTTTTCGAACGTTCGAAATGTCACTTCAAAAATGGTCAGTCATTTTTTGACCGTTCGAAATGTCACTCTGAAAATGGACGGTCATTTTTCGAACGTTCGAAATGTCACTTCAAAAAAATGGTCAGTCATTTTTTTGACCGTTCGAAATGTCACTCTTAAAAATGGTCGGTCATTTTTTTCGAACGTTCGAAATGTCACTTCAAAAAAATGGTCAGTCATTTTTTTGACCGTTCGAAATGTCACTCTGAAAAATGCTCGGTCATTTTTTTGACCGTTCGAAATGTCACTCTGAAAAATGGTCGGTCATTTTTTTGACCGTTCAAAATGTCACTCTTAAAATGGTCGGTCATTTTTTTCGAACGTTCGAAATGTCACTTCAAAAAAATGGTCAGTCATTTTTTTGACCGTTCGAAATGTCACTCTGAAAAATGCTCGGTCATTTTTTGACCGTTCGAAATGTCACTCTGAAAATGGTCGGTCATTTTTTGACCGTTCAAAATGTCACTCTTAAAATGGACGGTCATTTTTCGAACGTTCGAAATGTCACTTCAAAAATGGTCAGTCATTTTTTGACCGTTCGAAATGTCACTCTGAAAATGGACGGTCATTTTTCGAACGTTCGAAATGTCACTTCAAAAATGGTCAGTCATTTTTTGACCGTTCGAAATGTCACTCTGAAAATGCTCGGTCATTTTTTGACCGTTCGAAATGTCACTCTTAAAATGGACGGTCATTTTTCGAACGTTCGAAATGTCACTTCAAAAATGGTCAGTCATTTTTTGACCGTTTCGAAATGTCACTCTGAAAATGCTCGGTCATTTTTTGACCGTTCGAAATGTCACTCTGAAAATGGTCGGTCATTTTTTGACCGTTCAAAATGTCACTCTTAAAATGGTCGGTCATTTTTCGAACGTTCGAAATGTAACTTCGAAAATGGTCGGTCGGTTTCGTAAATTTCAGAAATTGGTCGGTCAAACGAACGGTCAGAAAAATGACATGTTATAACCGTTCGAAAAACTGAACGGTCATATCAGTTGAACGGTCTAATTGGTCGAACGGTCGAAATTTAGAACACTAGTAGGAATGTTTTCATCACCAATTTTTGTCGGAAAGTGAGAAAGAAAAAGATATTGCATACAATTTTGAATTTTTTTATTCATTAAACTTTTTTTTCGAGAAAGAATGATAAAAAGGAAAGATGGAACAAACATTTTTTTGTCGAAAATATCGTCAAACCGATATAAAAAGGGTGGATTTCAACCTTTTGAGCGTTTTTTTCAATCCATCTTTAAAATTCATTATTTTTTTCCAAGAAAAAAAACTACGCCAAAAAGGATTCGAACCTGCATCATAGGTTCCACAGAGCAAGGCCGCCAGCCACTACACCTCGTTGGCAGCTGACAGTTATAGTCAGCCGCTGCAAGACAGTTTCCCTCCATCCATCCAATGCGTTTTTTTGCGTGCAAACTTTGAGGCGCCATAACTCGACTAAAACCAAAAAGGCGCTCTTTTTTTCAACTTCTTCGAATTCAGGATGTCCGAAAGTACCTATATACCAAGTCTCGTTAAATTCCAATACCTCAACCTTTCGCACTACCCGTGTTAGCATTATTCTCAAGGAACACCCGAACCACAAGTTTGGGACTTTTGAGCAGTAGAAAATTTTTTTTTGTAAGTTTTTTTTCCAAATAAACTCAAGAATTGAAAAACTTTCAAAATAAAAAAAACAGAAAGTTCGAAATATTATAGTCAAAAATATCAGCAAAATAAATTTTAAGAGTTTTACTTTATATCGTCTAGTGGATTCAAAGCGAAATAAATCAAAACCAGATTTCTTCTGTGTGTGGTTTGGGTTATCAAAAGTTGCAAGATGACTCTATTTCAAAAAAGTACGAAAAAGCTATAATAAAAATCATTCTCTCAGGAAAAAGTTCTTCGAAGCGGTACTGATTCGACCTAGAACTTCGAAAGCAGAAGAAAAGGCTCCTTCTATAGTCGATGTGCCACGACTTGAAATTTCATGGAACGACACTCCGTTGGGTGGCCGTGGCCGTGAAAGCGCCTTGCCTTTGCAAATTTCGGTCGCGCTTTCCATTTTTTTATTCGAAATTTTCATTATTTTTAATCATGTTTTAATAGTTTTCTTCGTGCCAAACTCATAATTATCTTTTTCTAGTGGATAGACTGTTTCATTGATAAAAAAATAAAGTAGAGTAATTTGCGAATTTTTAAGCGAAAAAAATGCGTTTATAATATTTGAAAGTTTTTTTCATGAGATGGTCTTTGGTTTTTGTTCAATATATTCCGTTATTTTACCTTCATTGAGCCTTTATCGACATTTCTTTTTTTTCATTTCAAATCATGTAAAAAAATATCCCAATCAGAAATAAAATACACAGTGAATGATTTTTTTAAAAAAATTGAATGTTTCTACATTGACGAATTTTTATTTAAAAAAAAAACAGATATATAAGTTCAAAGGAAAAATTATTAGTTTGCTGGACATTTCGTTCAGCACAACGTTTCCACTGTTCCAAGTGCTCCCTGTTCACGCCCCATTTCTGACGCATAGTTTCAGCAATACGATTTATCTAAAGCTCCATTTAAAAAAAAGGAACGAAAACCTTTCTTCAAATTATGGTGCATGTGCTCATGGAAGTACGCATCTTCATTTTATAAGGCGCTCACTTTCTGAAAAAAACAATTAACGACTGCAAACAGAAAAAAAAACGATGAAAACATAAAAAAAAAGGCTTTAAAAAAACACAGAAACTATTGTAGAATATTGCGGCGTTTACGGCCTATTTCACCCGCAAATCCTTTTTGGTAAGTCTTTGAAAAACATTTTGTTGAGAAACGAGAAAAAAACAATATTAAAGCGATTGAAGAATACATGAAGTTTTTTTCAAACTTTTTTTTAAATCGCTTTTTTCGAGAAACATCATGAAATTTACTGTGTTCTTTCTTTTACATTTGTACAACGCAATCCTTTTCAACGATAATATTACATTTTAAAGAAATAAATCAATAAAAAAACGATCGAAATTAGAATGAAAACCAAAAAAAAATTAGCGTGGCCGAAGTTGGCAAATTCGCAAGATGCGCGCTACCGCACAAAATCGAAACAGCGGAGTGTTGTTCCATGAAATTTCAACTTGTGGCACATCGACTATACCTAACAATTGTTTCCAAACAGTAACGTTGATTATTTTTTGTTCATGTTGTTCAAATCTTTCAATTGTTCAAAAAGAAAAAAAAATTCTGGATCAGTAGCTTTCTTTCCGTGTTTTAGTTTTTGTCTATGTGTGCCATTGAGAAAGAAGTCGCCTACTTCGTCGGGTCCTTCTCTTTTCGGGATGAGAAATTGTGAATAGAATCCTTTTTTTCCTAGTTGCCTGTGACCTCATCAAAAATTTTTGTTCGGGCTCCTTGAAAATTTTTTTAAAGAATTTTCAGAAAAATATATGATTAAAAAAAGTTTTTGTTAAAAAAAGATTATGTTTCTTAATTATTTCCACCTTTTTTTTCTTCTTCGCATATTTCTTTATCTTCTAGTAGATATATTGTACAATATTTGAATATCAATAATTATTATAATACAATATTGTGAGAATGGTTATTTTTTGTATAAAGTTGTATGATTTTTTTTTATAAAACGAATAAATTTCTGAAAATAACTATCTTGTTGAACATTGGGGTTCGAAAAACTGGTGGTATGAAAAAAAAAACCAGCAATTTTCTGAACGGCGACTTTTCCGATTTTTTCATATTGCTAGGGAACTTTCCGACCGCGACATTTCAGACTATTTCCTTTCTGACTTTTTTTTTCCTTATTTTTTTTCGGTTTATGAAATATCTGTTAACAATTTTTTTCTAATTTCTTTATGTTTCAATCATGAATCAACTACCTACTTTATATAGGAAGATTCAAAACGAAGAGTTAATCGAGAAAACAAGTCGACAAAGGATTAGTTCGGAAAAATAGTTCGGAAAATTCTCCGTCGGAAAGTTCCCTAGTGATATGAAAAAATCGGAAAAGTCGCCGTTCGAATTTTTGCTTTTTTTTAATATCATCGAAAAATTGTTTAGGGGCGTTGTTTGAAAGAGGAAGGGACGAATATGAGGAAGCGAACTCCAGTGAAAATTTGATCCTACCCCCTATAGGGGCCCCTTTTAGTTCTCTACAAAGTACTGCTTTGAACTGAAACACCGTTTTTTACTGCCCTTATGTCTTTAATGTTAATTGAAATTCGATGAAGTAACTTCTAGCCCAAAGTTTATTTCGAAAAAAGCACCTTTTGAAGGTAACAATGTTTTTATTACATCTGGCGGCTCTCGTTCTGGCAATCGCTCTGAAAGTCGACTGCGTCCCACTCGTCGCAATCTTCACTACTGTTGAATTTCTTCTCATAATTGCTGCCGTGGTTCACGCTTTTCTTCCTGTTTTCGGTTCATATTCTAAATTGGTTTCCTCCTTCTAGTTGAGTTAGAAGATTAATAAGGGACATCAACTAAACGAAGATATTATCAAAATGTCCCAAATGCTCTAACATGGGAGGTCATTTTATTTTGCGGTTGGGATTTTTTTACTTTTTTTAACCTTTAGTCGCCGCCCCCTCCCCTTTAAACCTTAAGTAAAATGACCTACCTTGTAAAATTTAGAAGTTGTTTTGACAATAATCGGCGTCGACATTCTAGTGGGTCTGGCGAAAATTGTATGCGCTCTCTTCATGAGCATATCGGACGACGGCTTCGATTGTACGAAGTGAGCTATATTTCATAATCAAACATTCTCCCCTGTTAATTGGTGATTTCTAAAAAAAAAAAAGCATGTGGAAACTTTCAGAACTACGTGCAGGACCTTCAATCTGACCGAAACAGAGCGTTTTTGCACGTTCTGGCTGCTCCTGGCATCGGCAACCTTCGATCATTTTTTTGCATTAGTCGTTCTAGCCGTAAATGAAATAAGATTGAAAAAAAAAAACAAACAACTTTTATTCAGCACTCGCCGCAACTACGGATGTTTGAGAGCGACGAAAAGTATCACTAGAGGAATAACCTCTGCTAGAAAAATAAATTATGTCTCATTATTGCTTCGTGAGATGAAATATACAACGTGTTAAAGGAAAATTGCTATTTCGAAACGTTGCAGACTCGCAATGAGTGAGTTTCTTCACTGTATAATTTACGATATTACAAGCACAGAAAACCTCGGAATTCTACTGATGCCATTAGATCAATTGAATAGAAATGAAAATTTATCAGAAATTTTTAACGCTTTTATTCTTGTAGCTCACCAGGCACATCATTCACTTTGGGAATCTTCTGAAAGCAAGCTAGATCATTCTTTGATTTACTAGAAAAGATTTTAAAAGTTTCAACCTGTACAACTTCCTAGTTTCCTATAAACAATAGAAGCGAGATTTGAAGGCATAGGGGCAGTAAAAAATGGGGTTTCAGGTCAAAGCAGTATCTTATATAGTTTTTCATTGCAAATCGAATGGTGTATTCAAAAAAATTACAGATGTGACAACTTTAGAAGAAAAACGCGATTTTACTTTCCCGCCTTTAATTTTGAAAAAAGCTTTGGATCGGTATGCAGACAACTGATTACAGTAGCCGTGCACGCGATGTTGCGGACGTCTCATTAGACTCGCATTTCGGGAGAAATAACCGGATATCTACTTCAAATAAAGAGTTTCTCCTTTGAAAAATCGATTAAGAAAACAAAAAACACACATTGATAATAAAGGAAACATAAAATATCGCTATCCCAATCGAAACATGTTTGAAATCATCATTTTTCACCAGAAAAGCTTTTTTGCGATCAAAGTTTGCAAATTATACATGAATAGAAAGCTTTTGTGACGAAAAAAACTTTGGTGACAACAGAAAAAATTGAAAACTGAAAGAAACGAAGAAAAAAGCGAAAATCCGGAAATTGGCGAAGCCTGTTGTCCATAGAGCAACTTTACTGCAAAGCGCCCTTTTCGCGGGAACTCAAACTTTCCTCTCTCCGACTTTGAATTATTTTTTCTCCAAAACTAGGAGGTTTGGTACATTTCCAAGTTCACCGTTCGATTCGCAATGAAAAGCTCTACAAAGTACTGCTTTGAACTGAAACACCGTTTTTTTACTGCCCCTATGCCTTTAAAAAGCAAGCGGACAAAATTAGCCTATTTTGACCATTTTTTTGATATTTTTTTGAATTAAAGATTTTTTTAAAAATAGGAATTTGTGAAGTTTAGGACTTTCAGGATCTTCACCTGGTACATCAAGGAGTGTTCTGAGGAGTTTTCAGCAAATTCTTAATTACAGAGAAAAACGACCTAACTTCCTTGGGAAAGTAAAAAAAAAAGACAAACAAATATCTTTCGAGTTGAAAATGATTTTGTCAACATGAAAAGTTCTGCTAAATAGAATTTTCTAAGCCGTGGATGACAAGCTCAAAGATGAAGACGAACCTCGAGGTCCAGGAATGTTCGGTAAACTGTATTTAAAAGCGGCACAGAAAGTGGGAAAAGCAGAAAAAACAAAAGTAGAACCGGCTTTCCAGGTATACCACTCGGGCAAAGTCGGAATGGTGGGTAATGGCCGCTAAAAGGGAGACTCGAGAAAGGCCGCAGAAAGGCAGCAAAAAAAGTCCCGTTACTGGGCCTTCCATGTTTGACTTTTAAAAGGCTCCAGAAATGATGGAAAAAAGGAAAGAAAGCAAAAAATGGTGCATGAGAGCCGATGAAATGGCGCAAAAAAAGGAGACTTTGTCATTTTAAATGAAACATTTCTTTGGAGCTTTTTTTTCACCCTTCCGACATTGCCTATGCCAATACCTTGAGAAAAAAAATTACATCATATCACACAGGAAAACATCAACAGAGTTGTGAAATATCACATTGTGGCGGACAAAATAGTCGATTCGTGTGAGATGCAAATACAGGTAAAAACGTTTTTGTATGGGAAACGGTTTTTATTCATTCAGCCGGATATAGCTGCTTTAAGCCTACGAATAGAACACGCGAAAGATGAAAACCCATGGGAGTTGCTAGCAGGGTGGATGACCCACTTAGGCACTTTTCACTACACAGGCAACGATACAGTAAGTTAAAAACCTATGTCATAAATGAGCATTTCGAAAGTTCTTTAGATCGAAAAGCCACAACATTACATAGAAAGTTTTAAAAGATGTAATTTCAACAAATTAACGCGAAGTCTTTCCCAAAATTGACGGCTTAGATGGCGAATCATTACAAGCATACTAACGTATAGACAGACATTCATGATCACGATGACTTATTCGCAAGGAAGTAATCCATAAATCAGAAGTTTCTAGAAAACGCTGGAAAGGTACAGTCAGGCAGCTGCAAAAATAGCAATTAAGGAAAGACAGGCTCAAACGAGAAGTGAAGACGTTCTTAGGATAACCATAAAAAAAAATGTTTAAGGTCGCATGCTGATTCGCAAGATGCGAGCATACGTAAGCATCGAGAGCTCTAAACTCAACGAAGACATTACAAAGATGCACCAATACCTAGAAGCAATCGACGAAAGTCGGCATTTAGTAAGAAAAATCATCTTCATTCGTGCAAAAAGTCCCAAATTTAAGTTAAAAGAGTCTAAGACAGTAAACGAAGTGAAGAAGCGAGGTGAGGAGTGTCGTCGAAACATAATCGGTTTCAATCGGAGGGTGGCTCCTTTAGTTCAACTTCTAAATTCAACAAATCTCAGGCTAACAATCTTCAGAGCTGCATCGATGAAATGAGTGTCATTATTCGCCTACACCAGCTCGAACTGATACGAGTTAACATTTAAAGTGTAACAGAGCATAGGAAAACCAACATTTCAGTACTGCAACGAACTGGCCTACCTCAATCGTGCTAAAAACCAGATACTCGTCGAAGCTCGGTTGCGTCTTGGAAGGAAAAAATGAACTACGCTCAACAGAAACAGTTCTATAAAATTTACTTTTTCTTAAACGATAAATAGGTGAAAATATTTGAATAACAATAAAAAAATCTCTTATTCGCCTTGCCGTTTTCGCCCTGCGATTTTGTGAAACTTTTCCATGAGATCTTAAGTTTTCAATCAACTTAAACACTGTCGGTAAACAAACCAGTTTTCCTACAAGTCACTTCGTTTGAAATCAGCTCTCCAATCAAAGAAGGCGCAAGTTCTTGAGCAGAACTTTCGACACTCGAGTGAAAAATGTGACTTAATTTCGTAGAGTCAACAAAAAAAAAACGTTGAAATAAAACTTACTCGAAGGGGAAAAAGTTCCACAGAACGATCTCGGGCAGATCGTAGTACTTGATGTTGTGCCTCACAACGTCTGAATGGAAAGACCGCTTGAACCCGACCGCTGAGCCGCAAATTGTGTTTCCATCGCTTGAAAAAAGCAAAAATAAATTACTGAGACAGCCTGACAGTTTTGAAGACAGAAAAATAAATTTAATAAATTACTTTTTTAAAACGATAAATAGGTCAGAATCAGTTTTGAAAACTGAAATCCAGATGTACATCCCTCACGTTTACTATATTTAAAAACCTTGAAGATCGATATAAGCATTGAGACGAAAGAGGTTTTTTTACTCTTATACCTGTGCTAATGAAGGTTCTAGTTTTACATTTCTAGTAAAGTGTATGACCGACTAATAAATTTTTTTCAAGACATTCGAAAATGAAAAAAATGATACTTCGAGCTGTATCTATAATTTTATTCAAGACAAACTACTTCGAAAATTCTTAAACTCATTTAAAAGTTATCGGGTCTCTCAAAATTTTTTTTTTGAAAAACCAAACTGTTTTTGACGCGGGAAAAGTCTGTTTTCAATAAATACTGATCCACAGACAAGCTCTCGAAAATTACCTTCGAAACAACATTTTTTCCAAGAAAGGGTTTATAGGCAGGGCATCGAGTTGAGTTTTGCGCATTTCTGCATTTTCATTCATAATTTTCTCAGTTTTCTGAAAAAAAAAAGGAATTTTGATAAATAACGATCCACAGACCACAGTCAGCTTTTCGATCCTTCTCTGGATTATATCATCGGGATAAACGTTCTCCGGTCCGAAGACTGTATCAGAAACATCAAAGTCCTTCTAATTAGCAAGAATAAGATTCCTAAAAAAAAATGACTCACCGTCTCATTTTGTTCCGTTTTGGCGATTATATAAGAAAGCTCTTTCGTGTCGACTCTGTCCGAATTTTTAATGGGGCGCACGTACTTCTAAAACATTGCATAACTTTTTAAATTATTCACATGGACCGACAGATAAATTATCGAGTACTACGAAATTTTCCACATATGTATCACTCGGGAAGTTTTCCGAATGGTCGACCTGAAAATTTTTCATTTCTCAAACTACGCAAAAATCAAGAATACCTTGGAACGTCTGATGCGACGACGTTTCATTTTTTCGAAATAACTGTCGCCAAAAAAGTCTTCTTCGAGTGGTATCTCATCTGCTGTGGGAGCAGGCCGCTTCTCGTTCAATTTTTTAGGACTTTGATCTTCTGGAGTTCTGAAAATTTGCACATCAATTTTCAAGGAAGAGTAAGAAATCACTCCTCGGAAGTTTCTCGCTTTGAACGGCTCTCGCTTTTGTCAGCGACTTTAAAATTCGTAGACTTGTGGAACATTTCGGAAAAATCTTTCAAGAACTTGAGTTATTTTTTTTCCTGAAAAAAAGTAATGATGCATTTAAAAAGAAACAAAAAAACGATACCGTTTTGAAACTCAAAAAAATAATATAATTAATATATTTATTTAATAAATTACAAAAAAAGCGAAACTACAAATTTTATATTTTTTTAAATATAAAAAAACTGTTTTCGAGTGTTTTTGGACCATTTATGTCATTTTAGCCGTCAAATTCCGATTTTACTTTTGCTCATGGATCATCACACTTTACGCCAAACGTTGGTCTTTTCGCTCCTAAGGTGTATCGTTTTTATCTCGGAATTTCTCGGAATAGAGTAATTTTTTATAGTTGTTAATAGAGTATTACTTTTTCTTTTTTTCTCGATCTCGTCCAAAAATTTTTTTTCGAGGAGCAGGCCTCGTCTCGAGAGACCTAGACGATTCTCGTGCAAACCTTATATCGATTTCTTAAACCAAGATTGAATCAGAATTGAAATATATTTCTACTAGAGTTTTTTTCGAAGAATACGGCAAACAGTTTATAGTGCTTATTCGAAATTATGGAAAATATAAAAGGAAAAATATATATCGCAAAATCCAGACTTTGACTGAAAGCTCAAAGCTTTCTGTAAATGCATACGGCTTACAACACAATATCGATTTTTTATTGAACCAAACAGTAAGTGAAATCCGGAAATCCGGATATCCGAGAATGGCATCCACCGCAATTCTTTCATGTCTTCGTTTCCCGTAAAAATAGAATAACTATATAAAGTCGTTTTTTTTGTTTGAAAAAAAAAACATATTTTTCCATTTCCGCAGAGGCGGAGTTAGCTGATTGAAAAAAAAAATCTCAAATGTTCAGCTGAAATCTGATCAAAATTTGAGGGCTATAGCAAGTGAGGAAAAACAATCACCTAGGAATGGTTAGTGTACCACAACTTCAAATTTATATAACTCAATGGCATATCGTTGTTACTAGTAATAGTATACTATGTCTATTTCAAATCTATTCATGAGCAATGAAAACCACAGGTACCACGGAAATACAACTAAAAACACTGAATATTGAAAATAAAACGTATATATGAAGTTTTCAAAGTTATTCCGCGAAACCCAAAATAGCCGTCAGATAAAGAAAAAGATACCTAAATTCTGTAGAGTCAGAGATAATTTTGCATTTCGCGGAAATTACTTTACGGCATTATGCGCATTATCGTCTGTTCAGATTTTGAATGTCAGCTAACTCCGCCCTCAATGCTACAATATCTTTCGCGTCAATGTTTTATCTCCAGATCACGCCGAACCATTTATATGGCGAAAAATGCCGCCATGGCGGCATTTTTTGACTTCTTTTTCTATTTTTAGAACAAAAAATATCAAAAGTCATATCTCGCGATAAAACATCGACGGGAAAAGAACTGTGCCAGCAAGGGCGGACTTAGCATGTTGACATTTAAAATCTGAACAGACTTTATATAGTATAGCTATAAAAAAAAATGAAAGAGCCCATGATCAATCATCAGATGCATCTCATGGGCGCCTCTTTGGCATGTTCTAAAACACGAGCGGTTGTGGGGCACGAGCGGCACGACCGTTACTAAATCACGAGCGGTTTCATTTTCGCTCCTTCGCGAACGCTTCTAAATCACGAGCGTTTTTGGCTTATCGTTCTGTTCGAGCGTTTCTAAACCGCGAGCGTTTCATTTTAATCATTTTTCTTTATTACCATCCAAGTGTGTGTCATATTTCTACCTTCTTTTTTTCTCCTTGAATAAAAAAATTTTGACGATCTTATATGCACATTTTTTTCGCTCAATTTGTTGATTGATTCACATTTGAGGTTCATATAATGGATTTTTTTCTAAGTTTTTTTTGCGGTCTCTATAATTTCACAGATTCTGCGTATGGCAAGTTTTTTTTCTAATAATTTCATCTGATTTTCATATTCAATATTTCACAGATTTTTGCGTATGATAAACTAATATTTCACAGATGTCTCGCATGAAAGTCAATATTTCTCAGATTTTGCTTACACTGCCAAAGTCGGAAGTGCGGAAAACGGGTGCAAAAAGGGAGTGACTGCAAAATGACCGCTAAAAGGGTCCCTTTTTACGGCCTTTATTGAGCCTTTCATTTTTAGTGGGCTAAAAAGAGTCATAAAAGGGCGAAAAAAGGGAGAGGCCGCAAAAAGGGTGAAGAAAGGGTGAGGGTGCAAAAGGGTTCTGAAAGTTTCTGCTATTGATTTTTACGATTTTATTACTGTAGCATATTTTGGTTCATACACAGTCACTTTTTAAAGATTAGTCTTGATTTTTAAAAAAATTGTATTTAACAAAAGGGTCCAAAAAGGGCGGATGAAGGCCGATGAAAGGACGCAAAAAGGCAGTGAAAAGGAAACCTCTGCCACCCGTTTAGGAACAATTAATGGAAACAGACGGATCCGTAACGGACTCCCAAAGGGCCCGTGAAGGGTCCTTCCGACTTTGCCTATGTATGACAAATTAAAAAAATATGAACTTTTTCTCTGATTCTCATCTGTGTTTTTCTTGCAAAAAAATCTAGCTAGTATAGTCATTTTATAAGCGCTGTTTGGGCGGAATTATAATACGAAATTATAAAAATTTAGTAACAGGCCGCTTGCTGCATTTTTCTGGAACAACGGGAGCTTGCTGCATTTTTCTGGTTATCGTCCGAAGCCCACTATGTCGTAAGTTTCTTCCCTGCCTTCTCACTGATAGTTTTTTAAAGCAATTACACACCGCCCGAAGATTTTCCGGATGATTTTTTGGAGCCAATGGATGGTATATTGAGGTTTTTTCTCATATAATTTGGATGTTTCAGATTCCATTGTCGAACTTTCATACCTGAACTCTTTAATATAAACTCTGATTTATACATTGATTTCCTTTTTTCTATATTTTCATTTTCCAATCTGTTTCGTTATACGGCTGTCATTCACCGATGAACCACCAGACGCTTATGGCATTTATTTCATTCATTCGCTACGGTTATTAATTTATTTTTTTGATACTTCGTAAATTTCGTATTTTTCTCGTTTCATGATAAATATTTTCAAAGCTTGGAAACGAATAAATTTTTTTGGTAGTATCTCCAAAAACTATTCTAGCGGGTAAGAGGAGAATAAAATATGAATGACATCAATTCGAATATGAGATTCTATTACCAGAAAAAAATTTTTGAGAGAAAGTATTAGAAAAAATTTTGCTATACGCAAAAATTTGAGAAATATTGACTTTCATGCGAGACATCTGTGAAATATTAGTTTATCATACGCAAAAATCTGTGAAATATTGAATATGAAAATCAGATGAAATTATTAGAAAAAAATTTGCCATACGCAGAATCTGTGAAATTATAGAGACCGCAAAAAAACTTAGAAAAAAATCCATTATATGAACCTCAAATGTGAATCAATCAACAAATTGAGCGAAAAAAATGTGCATATAAGATCGTCAAAATTTTTTTATTCAAGGAGAAAAAAAGAAGGTAGAAATATGAAAAACACACACTTGGATGGTAATAAAGAAAATGATTAAAATGAAACGCTCGCGGTTTAGAAACGCTCGAACAGAACGATAAGCCAAAAACGCTCGTGATTTAGAAGCGTTCGCGAAGGAGCGAAAATGAAACCGCTCGTGATTTAGTAACGGTCGTGCCGCTCGTGCCCCACAACCGCTCGTGTTTTAGAACATGCCCGCCTCTTTCATCTTCGAAGGCAAGCGCGCTTCGCGACCGTGAGCATTGCGCGCAACGGTCCAGAGGAGTGTCGTTGAGGATTATTATAAATTTCAATTAATTGATGGCGATCTCTAACGCGTTGCGAACACAAGTTGCGGTGCACCCTATTTAGCTTTAAATGCCTATTAAGTTAAGGTACTTATCCCGTATAAAATTTCGAAGTGGTTTGTTTCGCAATATATAGCTGATTCACGGCTGGCTTGAGCCATCGAAAAAAGGTCCTGACACGATAATTCACGAGACAGCGCCTTGCTCGTAGAGAGCGCAGACAGGACACGCCCCCTTAGCGTCCCAAGCTAGCCGTGAATCAGCTATAACCATAGGCAAAGTCGGAAGGACCCTTCACGGGCCCTTTGAGCGTCCGTTACGGATCCGTCTGTTTCCGGAAATTGTTCCTAAACGGTTTCCTTTTTTCTGCCTTTTTGCGTCCTTTCATCGGCCTTCATCCACCCTTTTTTTGGACCCTTTTTGAGAAATACATTTTTTTATTTGAGAATAATCTTTACAAGTGACTGCGTATGAACCGAAATAAGCTACAGTAATAACATCGGAAATCATCAATAACAGAGACTTTCAGAACCTTTTTGAACCCCCACTCTTTCTTCACCCTTTTCGCGGCCTCTCCCTTTTTTCGCCCTTTTATGACCCTTTTTAACCCACTAAAAATGAAAGGCTCAATAAAGGCCGTAAAAAGGGACCCTTTTAGCGGCCATTTTGCAGTCACTCCCTTTTTGCACCCGTTTTCCGCACTTCCGACTTTGGCAGTGAACCACTCTGTACAGTTTCACTCTAGGCTTTTTACAGTAGCTCAGAGAGAACTCTTCATTTCTGACTGGTTTCCCCAGGGGTGCACGCATGTTTTGAGCTTAAGGCCTTTTTGAGGCCTTTGGACTTTGCCCGTATTGTCATTTATTTATATTTTCATTATTGTTCTTAAATATCGCTTTTATTTCAATTTAAACCCAAATCTTTTTTTGCGTCCTCGGGTCATTAACACTAATAATAACTAAAAAATAACAGAGATAAACGTGAGGTCGGTGGCGGTACATTGACGAGCTCGCAAACATCTCGCTTTTTTCTAGGCGCGATGTCGCATTTCTCTCGGCGCGACCTCGCATTTTTCTTGGCGCCGTCTCGCATTTATCTCGCATTTCGGAAATTTTCAAGTTGCGAGAGAAATGCGAGCTCGCGCCTAGAAAAATGCGAGCTCGCGCCCAGAAAAATGCGAGACCGGCGCGGGAAAAAAAGCGAGATGTTTGCGAGCTCGTCAATGTACCGCCAGTGTCTCGCGTTTATCTCGGCAGTTATTCTTAGTGGTATACCACATGTCTATCGCATTTTTCTATAGTTTTGCAAGGTTTAACTGTGGTACCATCGTTAGCCTTCAGACCCTTCGATAGACTTTTGGCTCTATCTTGATACCTCTGCCCGATTCGTGTGTGTGGGAACGACTACTTCATTCATTTCCGAGTTGTTATTTTCTCATGCTCCCTTACTCGAAAAATTTTCTAAAAAAGAAAGCGGCCGCGTTCGGGGGATCGATGGGATCGGCTGAGTGAAGTCGACTTGTGCACCAGTGACCTCCACCCGTCTACAGTAGTTATTATACGGACCAATTATTCGACAGGCACGTGTCTCACTGGAGTACTAATTGCGTGACTATTGCGAACGAGGAATCCATTCCGCACTTCGTTTCCGGCTTTAAGCGTTTCGGTCTCGATTCGGCGTTCTTTCTTGCCCAAAATGAGCAATGTCAAGTAACGAGGCGCTTCTTTTGCGGTTTTTTTCGTCAGATGGTGAACGGAGCACAACGATCGCCTGCGACGAAAACACAACTATTCAAAAGGTCTGTACCAGTTTCTCCTGCGATTCTGTCTCAGCGCTCATCGGTAATTTTCATTTTCGGTGAGTGTTTTTTCCATCACATGATCATAAAAAAAAGCTTTTTTTAAAATTACGGTGTCTTGCAAAATAGGTCGGTCATCTTATTTTGCTGTTTGGAATCATTTGAAAATCTTGCCAAAAACTCTGAAATTTTGTAATGACATTTTTCATATTTGCTGCTTGCGAAAGCTTCTTATTTTGAAGATATATTTTTCAAAGCTCCCATTTATTGATAAAGGCCTGATTTTGAGTAGAACGCGAGTTTTGAAAATTATAACTTCAAAGAGCGACTTCTAGGTTCCCAATTAGACTTCCAGTGATTGTTTGAGCGAAGTTTCAGAAAATCGAAAAAAAACAAAATTAAATGACCTAGCTTTTCAGAAAAAAAAGATAATACAATCCATTTGTTTTTGCCAGAAAAAAAAACAGACATTGATACCATTCCCAAAGAAATTCTGCGAATACCAAAATTTTGGCCTTCAGATAAAGAAAAAGATGCCAAAATTCTGTAGAGTCAGTTTATCGACGTTTCCTGCAAGATTTGCATCGTTTCTTATAGTCTGTTCAGATTTTGAATGTCAACCAGCTCAGAGCTGCTGACCAGACCGGGGCGACCCGGGGCGGGCCGACCGCAACGCGTTCCGGGGCGCTTCGCCCCGCGAAGCGGTCACACTGTTATAGCTGATTCACGGTTGGCTTGAGCCATCGAGAAAAGGGTCCTGCCACGAAAACTGACGAGACAGTGCCCTGGTTAGTGGAGAGTGCAGACAGGCCACGCCTTTTTGCGTCCCAAGCTAGCTGTGAATCATCTATACAAGCTAGCCGTGAATCATCTATATCTGTCCTCTAACAAGAACAGATATCGATAGATTGGAATCAGTTCAAAGGAAATTTACTAAAAGACTTTTTCCTAAAATGAATTACAAAGAAAGACTTCAACGGCTAGGACTAAACACCCTTTGGCAAAGAAGTTTAAAGAAAGACATAACTGCTGCTCACAGTTTCATCTACGGATACTATTGGTGCCCATCTCCAATTCCTTTACAAAATACAACAAGTAGATCGAATCAACTGCGAGGAAATGGTCTCAAAATAGAAAAAATCTCAAAATAGAGCGGCCTCTACTTTCTGACATACACTACCGGTTCATCAATCAAAGAGTTTACAATCATTGGAATCATATGGATAGAAACATAGTATTTGAGTATGAAAAAAATAAGTTCAGATCTAAACTTGAGAAATGGTTTGAAAAACAACATTACAGAACTAAACACTCTTGATCCAACAAAAAAATCTGAAAGCTACATAATCGACATCTAAAAAGAATAACTTCATGGTTATTCCAATTTACTCAAGTGGGGGGTTAACACGACCGCGAGTCCTCTTCCCTCCATCACCACAAGTTCCGACACATATGTTCCCAAACTCTCCCTACATCTATTTCGTTTTTTCGGTTTATAAAAACATCTATAAATATTTTTTTCCTATTTCTTTGTGTTTTTAATCATGAACCAACTACCTACTTTATATAGGAAGATTCAAAACGAAGATTTTATCGAGAAAAAAAGTCGGAAAGGGATTCTTCGGAAAGTTCCCTAGCGATATGAAAAAATCGGAAAAGTCGCCGTTTCAATTTTCGCTGGTGTTTTTTTCATACCACCAATTTTTTCCCTCAAACTTTATTTTAACTTATCTACCCAGCGGGGCGGGGCGACAGCTCAAAACAGCGAGGCGCCCGTCAGCAGCACTGAACCAGCTAACTCCGCCTCTGCGGAGACGGTACTTTTTCGATGTTTTATTGCGCGGGACGATTTTTGATATTTTTTTTTCCAAAAGATAGAAAAAGAATTCAAAAAAATGCAGCCATATTTAAGGTTCACCGTCATCTGGAGATAAAAAATATATTGACGCGAAACATATTGTTGCCTTGGGGGTGGAGTTACCTGCTTGACATTCAAAATCTGAAAAGACTATATTTCCCGAATATAGGGATGTGGGGCCGGTCTTTTTCCGTCTTCGAAAAATTCCCTCGAACGTTTTTGCTTTGTTCAAAAACCAGTAAGTGGAGCAACTTGTTTGATTGAACAAGTTCAGACAACTGGAGCATCATGCGACGCCCATGGACGTCATCTACGATTTCTGTGCGACCCTCGCTGATGGCGAATTCATCGAAGATCTTCTGTTGTCAGCTCATTCTCCATCCTTTCGGCACCTTTTTGCATTCTTCTTAGGTTTTCTACAACTAATCTCCAGTCAAACAATTAATCCGAAGGACGAGGCAGACTTAATGTTAAAAGTCACACGGAAGTTCTAGTCGAAGATTGTCTGGTACGACGAGGTCGACTGGTTCATACCTGGGCAAGTTGCAAAGCCTATTTCTACAACACAACTATTCGACTGCGAAATGGTTTGTATAGTCTGTGTACCACGACTTGGAATTTCACCGAACGACATTTCGCTGTGCCGCTGCGAGCCTTTGCGAACCTTGGTCGCGCTTTCAAACTTTTTTCTTTTATTAAGGTACTCTACTTTAGTGTGCTCCCACAGCGCTAACAATCAATTGAAAGCGTGACCTAGATTTGAAAGACGCTTCGCGAACACACGCAGCGGAACAGCGGAATGTCGTTTGAAGAAATTTCAAGTCGTGGCACACAGACTGTATCTTAATCTGCTTTTTTTGAAAAAGTTTTTCCAAAGTTTAGAAATTATTAATTTTAGTTTTTTTATTATATAATTATAAACACAGGTAAAACGGAAAAGTTTCTTTGAGGATCCTCAAAGGGTCCTGAGAGGGAGGTAAAAATGTTCCTCTAAAAGCTCCGAAAATGATGTAAAAAAGCTCTTGAGCTCCTTTTTCATAGCCTCAGAGGATCCTTTTTGAGATCCCTCGAATCTTTTTAGTTGCTTTTCAGCATCATTTTTGTTAAAGGATGTGAAAAAGGTGCAAAAAAAGAAAAAAAAAATGACATTAAAAAGATCAGCTGGGGACACTTTCAAGGTTTTTTTTTGAGAAAAGTTTTTGGAGAGCTTTTCAGTTTTGCCCGAGAACAACATTTTAGGCCTGATGAGTTAATGAATCAAAACATATTCTTCACAAAATATCTCAAAAGCTTTTCTTTCACAATGAATTGTTTACCTTTAGAGGAAGATGAAGAGTCTTCTTTGGATCTTCGGGTAATGCAAGTTGACATGCACCAGTCGAGAAAAGGCCTTTGTCTACGAGTTCAAGACGCCAAGTCCGTCTTTTTGCTTCTTTTCTGCAGGCCTGAATCCATTTCCTCATGGCTCACGCGCGCTCAGCAGGTATTCGCATATGCATTATCCGAGAAATTAGGTTTTAAAAATAAAAGCCAACAAAAAAGAACCTTTTATTCTTTCTTTTGAACTTTTGAAAAAAAAGAATTGACTGAAGTATACTTCAAGACATCTAGATCCCAGCAGCTTTATTTCTTTTTTTCATAATATTCAATTTATTTGTGTAGTTTGCTGACTTTGGGTTTTATTTGCTACTTTTTCGCAAGTCTTCATGGCTAAAAAAAAAGTTTCGAACTCGTATGCTTTATATTTCCTTCTATTCATGAATATTTTCGTTTTTGACTTCATATTTGGATTGCGAGTTATTTCCTTTATCCTGAAATCATGTCGTTTTAGAATACATTTTCGCTAAAGCACGCTGTCTCTGTAGTTCTCAAAAACAGTGGGTACAATAGAAAAACATTTTTTTGATTTTGATAAAACTTCACCCACTGTGATAAACTGTCATCAGAAATGCCGACGCAAGTTTTCAGACCGATTCCTACTACCGTAGCTAGGTTACGGTGCGACTTTTCGTATGTAGAAAACTATGCGATCTTTCTCGGCGTATTGTATATCAATCGATAGGGAATGCAATTTTAAGAACTTTTTCAGTACATGCCATTATGGGTTACTGTAGAAATTTTTTGAGTTACGGTAATTTTTGTGTCAGAGAGTTCGGTTTTTCCGTCACTCGGGGTGCTAGGGGAAAGACCAAGGCTGGTAACTTTCCTGAAACATGAAGAAAAGTAAGAATCACTTTAAAGACCTGACTCAAATAGAATGAGTTCAGAAAAAAATGTTGAAATCTGAAAATCACTGTTTTTAGGCCAAAATCGGCTTCAAATTGAATTTTGAGCTAGACGGGTAGGCTCAAAAACAGTTTTTTCTTGATCAAACAGTTCATGCGACATGTAAAAGTGATAAAAGACATTTTGGAGCCCATGCTCAGTAGGACTGAACTCAGGAAAAAACGTTGAAATCTGAGAATCGTTGTTTTTTGGCCAAAATCGGCTTTAAACAGAATTTTATGTTAGAAGGGTAGGCTGAAAGTCGGAGGAAACATTATCATATATGAAGTACAACCCTGCACTATCAAATGAAACAAACTTAAGCACCGGATCTGACGAGAAAAGAGAGATAGAAATCACTAACCGCAGGCGATTTTCCCAGACAGGTTAAAAGTTGAGCCTCTTCGAAGCGTTTTTCCGCAATGACCGGTAGGACAGATCTATTTCAAAGTGGTATCTCTCCGTAGGTGTTGCTGAGAAGAATGTTTCAGGAAAGTTACCAGCCTTGGTCTTTCCCCTAGCACACAGAGCGACGGAAAAACCGAACTCGCTGACACAAAAATTACCGTAACTCAAAAAATTTCTACAGTAACCCATAAGGGTATGTACTGAAAAAGTTCTTAAAATTGCAATCCCTATCGATTGATATACAATACGCCGAGAAAGATCGCATAGTTTTCTACATACGAAAAGTCGCACCGTAACCTAGCTACGGTAGTAGGAATCGGTCTGAAAACTTGCGTCGGCATTTCTGATGACAGTTTATCACAGTGGGTGAAGTTTTATCAAAATCAAAAAATGTTTTTTTTATTGTACCCACTGTTTTTGAAAAGTTTTGAAAATTACAGAGACAGCGTGTTTATCAAAAATTCAGCTTGGTTGGATAAATATTTCGCATGAAAATAGGTAAATACGTTTCATTTGAAGTTAACTTGATACGGATGATGAAAAAAACTAGAGAAACTACTTAAGAAGTGCTATAGCGAACCTAGAGGTAAAACTTGATTATAGTTCGCCACGCGATGGAAAGTACTATGCAGAAGGGGAAATAGGTCAATAAAACAAAAGGAAATCTGATTACTTTATTCCATCAAATGCTCTCCCCCGCCTCATGTATTTGAAAGGTGGAAAACATTAGTTTTCAGGCTCAAAAGTTCGCTTCACTTGATTTGAGCGATGGGCATCTAACGCTGATCCCGGAGAACGTCATCAACGACGGAACTCGGATCGAGGCTCTCAACCTGCGGCGAAACTCTTTGACCACGCGTTCTTTGGGAAAAGTCAATCTTTTCCTCGTTTCATCACTCGCGCATTTTCCAGACGACTCCAATTGGCTTCGTAGACGACCTGTCTCGTCTACAGAACCTGACGGCGTTAGATCTTTCGTTCAACCGGATCGCTGCCTTTCCAAATAATCTTGTATTTTTGCCGAAACTAGTGAAGCTCAACCTCTCTTCTAACTTCATCGCCTCTCTCTCAAAAGATATCCGCAACATGCGGAATCTCAAGTATTTCGACCTCTCCAATAATCTATTGGAGTACGTTCCACCCGAGTTTGAAGCTTGCCGCAGTCTGGTGCACCTCGATCTGTCTTTTAATCGGCTGACAAAGGTTTGTTTCGTTGAAAAAGAGGAAAGATGCATTTTCATCGTTTTTTTTATGAAGCGCTGGGCATCTCACATCGCTCTGCAGATTAATTTTTCTTTGCTCGTTTTTTTCATGATTTCCTCCTACATCAGAGCTCTTATTAGCTTCAAAAAAATTCTATACTGAAAATGATAATTCTTACTCGAAAACGATTTTCCTTCTTGTCACAGTAAACCGGCTATGATCCCACCAGGTGCCCGACTGCTTCGGACGAATGCCGAGCCTAATGAACTGGAATCTGGTGGGCAACTACATTTCTTCAGTCGACGAAGACCAACTCTCCGAAGCAGTGCAAAAGGTTGATCTCTACCCGAAGAATTCATCGATAATGACTTTTCGTTGAGGTTGTTCTGCGGAGGAACGTCTTAGGGAGTACCTTTCGGCTTGCGTGCGACACACTGACCTTCGTTGACATTCGAGACAACCCCATGGTCTCCACTGTTAATCTTACGAGTCTGCATAATCTGCGAGTTTGCTATTCGACAGCTACCGGTCTTCGCATTTCCACATTGCAGGTGCTCCATTGCGAACATTTGCAGCTGACCTGTCTCCAACTGAATGGCCAGAGCCTGACGCACCTCTACGCGGACCATAATCGTAGAGAGCTTCTCGCTGAAGTTTCTACTTCCAGTTTCAGTTCTCGACACGATTGTGGTGATGCCTCTGCCGCAACACGCGACAGTTCTGTCGCTTTCTCACAATGCGTTGCGCTCCTTGCCAGACTGGGTGGCCGATCTGCCGCATCTCACATTTCTCCGAGTGAATAACAATTTTCTGGATCGACTGCCTCAGAGGTCTGTACTACACACAGCAGTTCAGACCTACAGAGACCCGTCCAGTTTGCATTGAGCCGTCTCCGCTAGTCATACTAGACACTTTTCGATCATTTTTTTTTTATTAAAATGAACAAGGCTATTTCCGACAATAATAGATAAGAAATTACAGAAGAAAATTCTTTTTACTTACTAAATACGCATTCCCCAAATTAGGCCATTTTCTAAATCTTGCTATAGTCTGTTCAGATTTTGAATGTCAAGTCGTCGCTCAAGTCACGCCCATAATGGTGCGATAAACCAATCAGAGAGCGAGCCATCCACAGAGTGTTTTTGAATGACGTCATTGAACTTGACATTCAAAATCTGAACAGACTATAGCGTTTGGAAAAACTTAATTGTTAAAAATGAGATTGTATCATTAAATGTTCTACTTGCGTTTTTCTTCAAATCTGTTCATATTTTCGTACAAAAAACTCGTTATTAACGAAGATATCGCCCAAAAACCGCGATTGGTGTATGCACAATTTAAAAATACAGTGTGCCAAACCGGACGGGCTGAACAGATGTGAAAGTTCCTCGCATGCGAGCAACTTTCTAAAAAAAATGGCTGAAATCCTTGATGAAACCTGCACAACTTCCTAGTTCTCGAGGAAATGGTTTAATGCCTGAGAATGGCCTGTGATACCGGGCTTTATTTTTTTTCGTTTCCGTTAATAATAATAAGTTTATTCACTGCATACTGTTAAAAAATAAGAATTAAAATAGTTCAGAATGAGAGAGCAGTCATTTTTTTTCTCGGACAGTTCGAGAATTTTCTGATCCTGAACTGGTTATAGTATTTTGGCCGATTTTCAGTGAATCCTTGTCTGCCAATAAAAATAACCTTTCTTTCCAGAATGCACGTTCTTCAAAATGAATTTTCGAAATAAGTAGTTGGATGGTCAAATGCCTGTCTAATGACTCCCTTTCCGGATCTTACTTTCGTTCGATCTGTAGTCAATCTCAATTTTAGAATCAGTGAAACTGTTTCAGTCTGAACAAGACTGAGAAAGTTTAAAAAAAAAATCTGAAATGAAGGATAACAGAGGCCGCAAGTCTGCATTCTAATAGCGAAAAATGCGGTCGATGTTTTAGGTCTCACGCTTTCGTTTTAGTATTTTTTTTCTTTTTTAATTTTCTGAGTTAGCTCGGTCATGAGAATGTAATAATCCCTCCAAAGCCGGAAGTAGAAATGAGATAAATAATAATCGGGTCTGTCACATTTCAATACATTTCATTGAATTTTTCGAGTTTTCAATCCTTATTGCTGAACTAACTTTTCATGAACCCAATCAATAAGTGTCTCCTTCAGGCTGTTCTGCTCCTTGTCTTTGCGTTGTTTGTTCGCCTTTGACAACCGCATCGAATATCTGCCAGACGAGTTTGGCGAAAACTGCCTCGAGTCACTTATTCTTTACCGCAACCTTCTCAGAAGTCTTCCTGTCGGCTTGTTTCAGAAATGTCGACGGTAAGAGAAACTTTGAAGTCCTCAAAGGATTTCTATTTTCAGACTGCGCCAATTGAATGTCTCTTCGAATATGTTGAAAACGTTGCCGCCACTTGATGCAGAATTAAGCCGCTTGCAGGCAAATTTTCAACTTTTATAAATTTCCCTATAGTCGTTGTTCTCAGATTTTACGCGTTGCTTCAAACAATCTTGACGAGTCGTCCGTCCCGACGATCGTCAACATGAAACAGCTCAAAACACTGGACATCAGCGACAATTCATTCAAGTCTTTCGATGACAGGTGTTTTTCAAGTTCAAAAAATAACGAGGGCATGGTATTATTATTCTTGAGTTTTCATTCTACGGCCAAAATTTAGACAGTTTTTTTCATAGTAACGGGTGAAAAATGAAGTAAAATTAAACGTTTAAAAAAATTAAAAAAACTGAATAGAAAGTTTTTTTATTGAATAAGAGCAGGCTTGTGCGTCAGGCAGTCCGGGCCGACCCATGCGAAGAAGCTTGCGCGGGCTTAGGCCAGGCCAAACTGTGCTTCGAACAAAATTTTTGAATACGATCAAAAAATTTACGTCCTTACTCAAAATATCAGGAAAGTGTTCTACAGGGTCGCGCCTCGAAAATATAGTGCTGAGGATCACGCGACACTGCAAAACATTTGGAACTTCTTTTTGCTGTGGGGTTTTCAGTTAGAGGAGTAAGGAAAGATAGAGAAGACTCACGGGGCCAGCTCAACTCACCAACTGAGGAACCTTCTCCCGCGCGGAGGTGTTTTCGAAGGTTCTCCTTCTGCTAGGCTGGTATACAGTTCTAGCTCATACTTTACACATTTGCCTGAAAAATGAACAGATGAGTAAATTGAACGAAGATGAGTCCACGAATTAGTGGCGGAGTCTTCTTTTTTAAAAGAAAAATGGAATTTGTAGTTCCATATTTAAAAAAAAATTGCAGCGCACTGAGTTCCTTGTCACTCCTGGAAGAAGTTTCGCTGAGTTCCAATAAAATTTCGCGTCTGTCGGTGTCTTTCGGCGTGTTGCCTTCGCTGCAGATCCTGCGTGCACATTCCAACCTCATCGAGGTGCTGCCCGACTTCTCGCGCAGTACCACGCTCCACGTAAGAGCGTCTCGTTTTTTCCGTTGCTACGTTTGTAGACTCTCGACGTTTGTTCCAACTGCATCGCCGCACAGACTCTTCAGTTCGAATCTCCTTCGACGCTGCGAACTTTCGACGTTAGCGGCAACAGCGGCTTCACAGTGCTTTCTGGTGAGGGCATCGAAGATATGACGAAGCAATCTTGGAAACAATTTACGAATTGAAAATCAGGGAAGACAGACCTAAAAGTCACTTCATGGGGCGGTTCAGAGTTTACATATGATTGTCAAAACACTTTGATTTTCTAGATACATATCTGACCTGGAGTTGTTCAGAAATTAAAAGTTTGCAGCAGGGAGAACTCTGCGGGCGAAAAGACGGTTGGAAGTGGTGGACTTGAGCAACCGCGTACACGGCTTCAGCGTCGGGTGTTCCGAGTCGAGTGGAGCCAAGAACAAGTGCGTCCTGGCGACCTCTTCCGCCTTATCGAGGCTTTCCAGACTGTGTGTCCGATGTTTGCGCGTTGGAAACGTTTGGGCGATGGTAGACGGCGGCTGCAATTCGCAACTGCCAAACTCCATTCTACGTTTTCTCAACAACTGCATCAACATTAACGTTAGTCTTTTTGAAGCTCTAACAGTGGAAGAAGAAGATGAACATAATATTCGTTTCACAGGAAGACTTTGATTTGCGACGGATCCTGCTACGCTGCCACTGCGCTCTTGGAGAAGAAGGAGAGCGTTTGGGCGCAAGTATCGTTCATAGTCCCAATCAAATACAGACTGAAATGACTAGGTGTGGTGCTGATGAGAATCGGCGCGAAGAATTTGGAAATCGCGACGAGTGGGACGATTGGCGTAGCCGTAGTCCGCAACAACACTCTACAGCGTGTGTATGTCACTAGTGAAGCCACAGAAGAAGCCGGAGTTGTTCAGGTTCGACGGCCGCTATGAGATCGACGACGAGGAGTACAGTCGCCTACGACAAGCACACGGTTTCGTGGACGACGTTGGTTTCAAACCTATTTTATCATATTTCGAGTAGATCTCAGACACAAGCAACCAGTAGTAGATGGTAAGAGCCTTCAATGGACCCATAAAGAGCAATGAACTATTTAAAAACAAAACATATAGCCAGGCTAATTTAGTGAAAAGTTCGAAATTATCGATAACTGCAAATAGAGGCGTTGCGCAATGAAGTGGTAGACAGTTTACCTCTTAGTGATAACTCAAACTTTCATTCAATAGACGCCAAAATAAATTTTTTTTTAAATTCCTGTAAGACCCTTCTGTGTACGGCTGACATAATTTTGAAAAATAATGTGCGATTTGAAGAAATTCACCTTTTTTTTTGGTAAATAGTTCACCACTTTCTTGCATCCGGCTTTGGCACATTTTTCAAAAAAAAAAAAGTACTTTTAAGATACTCGTGGAGTGAACTTTTCTCCTAACATATTTCAAAACGAAAAAAAAAAAAATTAGGTTTCAGTGAGGTTTTTGATTTGCGATTCAGACGAATTTGATAAATGGCGTGGCGCGTTGCTCGCGGCAAATCGGTCACTACGCGCTGTTCCCTTTGGTGACGCCTTCGCCGTCGACTTTCTCCATCTCGGTCCTCCACTTCTCCAGCGCAACTCATCTGAAATGCATTGGCAGGTAGAGGACGGCTTCCAAGGCGTCGTCGTCGCCAACTCTCCTTTCTGGAAGTCGGTCGGAGGCGAAGACGTCCTCCGTACGTTCAACTCCACTAACAACGCTCTACTCACTGCCAAGAAACTCCAGGTTCCGGACGCCACTTTTTTATCTGAACAAAAATAACTGAAGGATAAACTTCAATCGTTTGACTACGCTGGTAATTCGAATATAATTGTGGCGAAGCTGACGAAACCGCAAATGTCGTTCACGGCGTTGCCTTGTCGGGTGTAGGTTACTCATCATTGTTAACTTCTCTTACCAATATCTTTATTTCATAGTTTCAGAATTACCGAAAAAGACAGTAAAACCTCACGAAGCGCCCTATCTTCAGCGTAAGCCCAAGCTTAACGGCCTAGAAAACTCGATGAAAATTTAGGATGGATGGAAAAATCGAAGATGAGAAGATTGCGACGCCCCCTCCGCTTCCGATAACGTCACCTCCGGAACCAGTGTTCTCGAAACTTGCTCGCGCTCGAGCGAACTTCCATCAAAAGCGCGACATCATCAGCAAATCTCTCAACTTTACGCCACCGAACGCAGCAACTTTTCAAATATAAAAATATTTGATATCTCTCATTTTTCATCATTGTTACCACACACAAAAGGTAAAAAATCTTCATTTTACAGTTTAGTCTTGCGCTCATCAGTTGAATGTCTTTAAAAATTCAAGAATACCATAAAAATTAGATGTCAGAAACTTCTTTCAGAAAAAGTAGGATATGTCAATGATTAAACTAAATCTTAAAAAGAGTAAAAAAAATATTCAATTTTACCTTATCCCGTACTGAAAAATCACTGTTGGGCAAATTCAAAAGCATTCGTTCGAAAATTTCAAAGATGATACCAATATAAAATTGAGAGAAAAAAGAAAAAGAAAACAAGAACTTTGATTGGGTGAATCTTTGAAAAATCGGGGAAAAAACGAAGTAAATTGAGAAATTTGATGTAATAGTTATTATCGAACATTGAAAACGGTGATTACCGTTTCACAACATTTTTGTCGCCGAACGCATTGTCTGACAGTTTTGTCCTCAAATTATCGCGTTTTTTGAGAAGCTCTGCACAAGCTTCTTTGAAGGCCAAGCAGTAGCTCGTGATAGAGTACGGCTTCGATTGCTGCGCCAGGTGCTTCTCAAATATCTGAAAATTTTCCACTTCAAGCAGTTGAACTTTTTGAAAACTCTAATCTACATTTATCAGCTTCACGAATTGAAGCCGTGTTCAAAATAATTTCCGTTAAATGCATATTTATCTCTGTCCCTCTAAATTTAGTTTCTTTTGCACTCTCTGCGAGCTATTTCGAATTTCGCGAGTCACTTTGAACACAAAAAAAATCAGATTTGAGAAGCATCACAAGGGAAAAATAGAGAAGTTACATGAATGGAAAACAGTTCTAGAATTGAAACTCTCTGTTTGTTTCGAATTCATACAAAAGTTCGTGTTTACCTCTAAAAAAGGTGAAAAAAAATAAACGACTAGTTTAATGTCATTTTGAGAAGTTTAACCGCTCCGTACTGCAACGTTTGAAGTTTCAGAACGCAGAACTTTTTTTTGAAAGGAGAAAAAAGCTGGCTGACCGCTTCGAGAGGATTGATCTTCGCACCCTTCTCGAGTGGGAAAGATCTGTCGAACTGGACGCTGGCCGGCTCCGCGGGGTACGCTGCAGGAACGATGAGTCTGAGTGGTTCACAGAGCATCTGAAAAGCTCAAGGTCACGTGGAAAAATTAATACTTCGTCATACATTCTCCGGCTCAATGCACACGATGACGGCGGGACAGGAAGAAGACGTCGGCAAATTGAGTTCGTCAACGCGCCAAGGGCATTTGACAAGTTCCGCACGAGCTTCTGAAGGCATTATCCAAGGGACACGCTTATCGAAAAGGCAATCGATCTGAGAGTTTTGAGTCAACAGTCGGAAAAACGAAGACGAATTACCATGAAACGAGGGTCTTCGCTGGGAGAAATCGTACGAGGAACGCCAAAGTGTCGCTCTCCTGTGAAGAAAGTAGTTGCTACGTAGTAAAAAGCACATAACTTTTGAGCTTTCGATGGTTTAAAAACACGCGACATACAATGTTCACAAAAAGCTACAAGCTTTTTTTGATTTAAAAAAGGAAGAAACGACGAGAAATTGATAAGCGGACCGACAATGGCTTGCAGTAACTAACCAGTGTAGTAATAACCTATTCAAACTTCACTATAATTCTCAACTTTCAAAAATAATAAGCTTTTTAGAGGGATTAAAAAATCACAAAAAATAATATTACGACTTTAGAGATTACTCAATTAATCGCTCTCGTTTTGTGCAAAAAGAAGAAAAAGGAAAACATACTTCTTCGGGCGACTTTCCGCTTGTGGAATTCCTCCTCGGAAGCCTCGTCGCGGACTCTTTTCCTGGTGTCTTCTCTCGTCACCTCCTCTACCGCCACCTTTATCATTTCTCTCACATTTTCTGGTACTCTGAAAAGCTTCTATTGGACTCGAAAAGACGGTATCGCGCCACTTGATCCGCATGTGGCTGATGGATTGCCACGGGTCCAGCCTTGTCGGCACTGCGTCGTTCGTTTCGTCGTCGAAGAGTTTCTCCGGCGAAGAGGGGTTCAGGATCTCTTCGTATTTGTGACTGGGGACAAGCTTTTTCCTCAGCACATCCATCAGAGGATATGTCAAACTTTCCTTTTCCACAAGTTCACGAATTTGTGGTCGCAAACCTTGCAAAAGTTGGTAACGAACTGTCCTGAAAATAAAATAATTGGGAGGCCGTCAGAACTTATCATAGGTGATGCTCAAGTCTCACAAGTACCAAGTGTTCCACATAACTATATATATATATATGTTCACCAGAGTTTTTTTTGATTGATTTTTTTCAGTTTACGGAAGTTTTGGCGAACAGCTGTGAATTTCGAAAATATAATCAATGCTCACATAGAAAATTTGCCAAAAAAAAAAGTATTTTTGGGCGGTTTTTGTCGTTCTCATCTTGCGTTAACTTCAAGATTCTCAACTTTTTTTCAGGATTACACATATTAACGTGGTACAGACCTTTTTTCCTCGAGAACTTCCATGACCCGCTCCAAACCCTTCGGTTTGGGACCGCTGTCGACTGCGCAGCGGTCACTTATTCGGCGAAGTTGGTCCAGATAAAGCGTTTGCAGCTCTTTCAGCTGAAAGCGAGGAAAATGGTTGGCTGGAGGAGAGATGGATACCAAGGCCGTGTACTCGGCGGATCTCTCCTCGGGCTGGTTCGACGCCGGTTGCTGGCTTCCGGGACCACCTGACAGCGCCCCGACGCTGCCTGGGGCTTGAACGGACGCCGGTCCGCCTTCTTCATCAGGAAAGGTTAGGGCTACACTAAACTGCAAACGTACGAGGCGTGGCTGGTTGTAATTGTTGGGCAAGTTGGGGCGAGGAATGCTGTGGCTGTTGATGCATCGTGTGCGGGGATCCAACATTGGTAACCTGAACTTCGAGTTTTTTTCATTTTTATCGAGTATTCGGACCGTATCTCGGAGAAAGTCTTCTTTTGAATTGCATAATAGCCAGAAATCGGAAAAAGTTGAGTATTTAGTTTCCGAAAAATCTTTCATTCGCCTAGGGCGTTTCCCTTTAGCGAAGAGTCTATATCAGAAAAAGGGCAGTTTTCAGAGTCGTTTTTTTTTTTCAATTTCAATTTTAAATAAAAACGTAGACTATGGAAAATAGGATCTTCTTCAAAGTGCCCATGAAATTACTCTGGAAACGTGAGAGCAATTAGAAATTACCTTGGGACTGGCGCCTGGAATTTGATTGGCATTGGGTTGAGGCTGCATCAAGCCGCCGGCCGACGTCATCTGGGGCACGTTCGGAACGCTCATTTGCTGGGCGCCATGCATTCGACTGCAAGGAGAAGAGTGAAAGAAACTCTGAAGGCTAACTTACGAGTTCATGTTGATGACCTGAGGACCCCCAGAATTCATGGGCATCGGTCCACCGGCGTACTGCATCTGGTGCATGCCAGGACGCATCATGCCTGAATTCTTACTCTATTTTTCGGCGTTTCAGCCATTTCAAACCTGTAGGGACCATAATTTGCCCGGGAGGAGCGCCAACATTAGGATGAACCATCCGTTTCTGGAAAACTTCCGTTCATTAAAGAAGACAAAACTGCTGCTCATGATTCCGTCTGTGGATTTTTATTCTTTAGCTATAGTTAATTCCTACGAAGTAATGATTAAAAATGAGTTAGTTAAAAGTATATATATAATAGTTTCAAAGATTTAATAGCGTGTAATCGTTATATATATTTTAATGAAAAAGTTATTGCTTATGTATATTTTCCGGATTAAAGTTTTACCCAAAAAGGAGTTAAAAATTCGATGAGAATTGATTTGGATGAGATTTGAAGAAATGGGGGTGGGAGTTTTGACGTACATCGTTCATGTTGAAGTTCTGGTACATCCTTTTTGCGGTCCGTAGTGCCATCTTTCTGCTGCTGTTGCATCTGCTGCTGTTGAATTTGCTGTTGTTGCTGCTGCTGTTGATGTTGGCGCCAGGCGGCTTCGTTCGGAAACCTTTGCCCACTGGGGGAAAAAAATGAAAAAAATTTTTAAATGATTAAACACGCGCCAGTTCACAAAAATTAGGTAACAGAGGAAAAATTTCAACTAGCGCTGAAATCTCATGAATTATTTTTCACCGGTTATCGTCATGATTGAAAACAAAAAAATAAAATGAAATGAAAACTAGACAGAGTTTTGTATGGTAAACACGGAAAGATACTACAACCCAGTTAAAAGTCACAAGAGTTATAGAATGTTCACTATGAGAAATCAAGTAAATGTGAAAATACTAGATGAAAAATTTAATTTTAATTTGCGTTTGAGAACTTTCTCAAAATTACTAGATGGATCTTGACAGCCTTTTTCGACTAAGTTTTTTTGAGAGGTATTGCTGATTAACACTTGGAGAGTTTTCATCTAGTATTCAGAAAAAAAATTTTGACCAATTTTCAAAAAACTCCGGCCACAAAGTAAAATCACTTTCCTCTTGTGAGCGCCTAGCTAAAAGAGGAAAGAATACTATAACGACAAAAAATTTGAAAACAAAAAAACAAACAAAAACTAACTAAGGTACTTGCTGGCCCGGCTGACTGTACATGGCTGGGTTTTCTGAAAAAAGAAACTTGTATGGAAAGTTTTGGAGGATACTGTACGTTGCATCATTCCGTGGGGCGCGTTCATCATGTTCGAAGTCCCCTGTTGTCCGTACATTTGCATTTGTTGGAGTCTCTGTTGCTGCTGCGCAGGCGTCTACAATGTCACAAATTATATAATCTCATGTGAAGGAAAAATAAAAATCAAGAGGCAAAGGTGAAGACTTTGGATTCTTCCACAATTTTATTCAAATTTTTCTTCCATTTAAAGTTTATAATTCTTGTTTCGATATTTTTTTCTACTTTTATGGCAATAAAAAAATAAATTATATTAAGGATAAAAAAAGTTCTTCTTTTTTTTCTTACGCGAATTTAGGGAGAAAAACTCTCTTCGAATCAATTAAAAAAGTTTTCACCTTTTTTGTAAAAACTTACAAGACCAACAGATGAGTAAAAAGAACGAAAATAGGAAGGTGCTTTAAATTATCTTCAAATTATGAACAAAATGACGTTCTTTCAAACAAACGGGAAAAATATTCCCTCTAAATGCTCACGGTTACTGTGACAAGCTTTAGCCATCGAAATCCAAATTCAACTTTGCGAATCCTCATAGGTATGAGGAAAAGAAATAATACCAGACGCTGTGGCTGTTGCTGAATGTTCATAGCGTTGCCGGGCATGACGAGGCCGCCACCGGGATAGGCCATCATACCTGCCGCGTTGGCTCCGCCCACCGCGCCTGTCGGACCACCTGGAGGTCCGTAGTTCATGGCTCCACCCTAGTCTAGATAAAGTTGAAGGAGAAACAATGAAGATTAGAATAGAAAGTTCTCAACGCGGAGAATCGAACCGCTCAAGTTCAGCCGTCAAACATAAAAAATTTCTTATTTTTATTCAAAATTTTAAAACAAAACAATAAAACAATAACAGAAAACAATAACAACATGAAAAAGATCAACAATGCTAAGAAAGTCTAAAGTTTGAATTTGGCACTGTTACCATCTATTGTGCTCGAAATGACCTTCTTTTTCTTTTTTTTCTCTTTCAGTTCCTGAAAAAAAACCATATTTTGAAATAACCAAGTGAGGGGAAAACCTGCTGCACAGTGCTCTGAAGCTTGGAAAAGAATTGACTAGTTTTGAACTTTTCCTCCTGCTGTCCGATTCCTTTCTCTTTTTTCTTCTTCTTCAGCTTCAACGCCTTCTGCTCGCCAAAAACTTTTTCTTCGCCCATTTTCATCACGAGGGCACTGAAGCTTCATATTTTTTATTTCTTTTTATTTTTGTTTTCTTAGATCCCATCTTCCTTTCCACTGATCACTATTATAACAAAACGAAAAAAATTGAGAACTGTCTACAGTAACTAATTGAAACTTCAGTATGCGACTATAAAGGAAACAGGTGTAAACTCCCGGAAAATTCACTAATTTAGAAACTACTTCTTCACGTTAAATTTTTCTAACCACATTCTTTCTTTAAAAAAAAAACGAGCCGTTGCTTGGTCTTCTTCTTGCGACGAGCCCGCAACTTGTCTGTCTTGGTCCTCTCCTCGTGAGCCTTCACCTCGCCCTTCGCCTTCTTTTTCACTTCCTCAGGTGCCAGCAAATCCGAGTCCGTCGATGCCATTATTCCCACTTCCTCTACACGCAACGACGCCATGTTCGAGACTATCTTCACGTCGTCTACTGCCTTAAAAAAATTTAGTTAGAAGAACACAGATCCCAAAAAATTAATGATAAAAATACCCGTGGATTTACAAAGCAAAAAAAAAACTTCAGAGAAACTATAGCATTCAATAAAAAAAAAAGCAGAGGAAAATTTTATGAAAATCGCAAAAACCTCAAAACACAATTTTTTGTATCTTCCAATATTCTCATCGACACATGAATTAATTTTTAATTCAGGAAACAGTCTTCCCCTTTTCGCTTTTAAACTGAGAATGATATTTCGTCGGTTTGGAACACACATAGAGAAACGGTGACACTGATTAGCAGGGAAAAAGAAAATTTTCCAATTGTTTTTTTTATTATTTGATTGCCAAAATTATCACTGAAGCCTCTTTATTGAGGTAATACCAGATTAAAACTTCGATAAAGGAGGAGAATCGAGTCTCTCCGAGCTAGATGTTCTCTGCAGGCTATATCAAACCTTCCTAAAGTCCTGTTAGAGCTCATTCGCAAAAATTTGTAACTTTTTGAACTTTTTACGTCTGTTTTATTGCCGTTAAATCATAGAAACAAGTGAAAGAACCTAGACACAGGAAATAAAAATATTCAAGTTGTAATGAAAGTGATATACAGCATTTTTTTTATTCGAAATAAATCTAATTTCAAAACTTCATCAGTTATAAAAAATACTGTGGTCAAAAAAGCGTCTCAATGAGAAGTTCGGCATCATATGGATAGTTAGTAGCTGATTGAGAAGAACCCGAATAGAAAAAGCTTTAAAAAAACCTGAGGCGGAGTATATTCGAAGTGGGACAAAGAATCGACGAGGTGGAACAAGGATTTGAGCCTTTTTTCAATTTCTTCGTGTGCTTCGTTCTTCTTCGGCTCAGAGCTTCCGTTCTGAGGAAAAAAAAAGTTTGAAACTTTTTTTCAGAGGCACCTCGACAGCTTTCTGATACTCCTTTTCATAGACTTCAGACAAGCTCTTCTTGGTTCCTTCGGTCTCTTCGAGAGGATCGACGCGGAACGTCGTCGGTTTTTCTTCCTCTTTTCGCACACGGATCACGTCGTCGAAACTCTTGTCCTTTATCCGCTGCTTGATCATTTCTTCGAGCTTTGTAGTGAAGTCCTCAGTGACTTCGGGGGCTGAAAAAGGAAGTTTTTAGTGAGGAAAAAGCGGGGTCCGACCTCTTTTGGCGCCGTGGTCGAACTCGACGTGAGTCTCGAGCAAAGTATTTTCCTCGCGTCCCTCGGCCGTCACTTCCCCGCTAAGTTCCCACTTGCGCGGTTGCAAGTTCTCTTTTTCCAGTGCCTCGATTCTTTCTTGCAGCTGCAAATCAACAATACTCGAAATTAAAACTCGCTGCAACTTCTAAATGCCTCTCCCTTATCAGAAATAGCTCTTCATAAGTTTGTGACAAAAGATCGAAAAAATAAAAGATTAAAATTTGGTAAGCCGTCCAAAGGAAGCAACCTTATCTTGCCGTTGCTCGAACTTGGATTTTTTCTTTTCCTTTTTGTCTCCCAACAGAACAGGAACTTCCTTTTCGTTCTCTTCTTCTGATTCGCCATCTCCTAGAACGTCTTCGGCGAAACGCACCTTCTTCCTGTCAATTTTTCTTTCAACTCATAAAACAAAAATCTTACTTTGAGCCAAGTTGACACTATGAAAAAAAAATAACTCGGAAAGAAACAAACTTTTCGCTCTTTGGAGTCGGATCCGCATGTTTCCTCTTCAGCTTTTTCTTCTCGACCGGAGCCTCTGGAACAGCTTCACGCTTTCCAAAAAAGTCTTCGTATCGATAGTCGGCCGTTCCAGAATGCGAACTCTACCATGAGCAATAAAACGGTAAGTTCTTGATCCGACAACAAACCTCAGATACGAGGACATCGTCTTCGATTTCTTGTCGATCCATCCGATCGAGAAAGTCGTTCATCTCCGCAAGGCTAAAAAACACTGATTTTAGAACAAAGAAAAGACAAAAAACCTGAAGAACTGATCATCGACTACGCTCTTCGGGTAATGTTTCTTGTCCCTTTCCGAGTTGTCTTCACTTTCTTGGCCCTCATTTTGGTCTTCTTCGTCTTCCATCTCTTGCAGCTCTCGTTCCAAGTTGACCAGGTCTTCCGGTCTGCAAATTGATGTAAAGATTTGATGCGATTGAGAATTATGCGCACTTGAGGCTGAAGAGATCTTTGTCTTCCAAGTCATTACTCGGCATTTCACCACTTTCATCAGAGTAATCCGATTGGTGTTCCTCATCTTCCTCCCCTTCTTCATCCAGATAATTTTCTTCATCTTCAGCGTCGTTCTCAAAAGTTTCTGGGCCATTTTCCACTTCAAGGAAAAGGTGCTTGGCAAAAATCTCATCGAGAGCAACCTGAATAAAACTTCGATCAAATAAAAACAGGAGGGTGAATACTTTGTTTCTGCGGCAAAATCCCTTGAGCTGCTTGGCTTTGTGGCTGACGTAAGACCAGACGACTTCTTCATGGTTGGAGATGAACGGCAATGGCAAGTCGTCGGGTTGCGGCGCCACTTTGCACGAAAACTCGAAAACGCTTCTGATGGCCTCGTCGAGTTGCTCGCCGTACTTGCCGTGACTGAAAGCGTAATTTCTGTTACGAGCAGAAGGAAAAAAGGAATAATAACAAGTCCACCTGTTTTATTTGATTCTTTTTATTTGAATCGAAAAGTTGAATAAAGGATATGAAAGTTTACAAACCGAATTCCTGAAGTAGATCAGTTTCGCGAAGTTCTTTTTTCCGCAAAAAAACATAACTTCTTTGCATTTCTTTTTCATGATATATGATGATGATAAAAGAAAAAAAACTTGTTAAAGAAGTCTTTGAAGTCGGGAATCAGTGGAATCGAAACGACGTCCGCAACGCCGTTTTCAATCATTTTGTCATCCAAAAACTGTTCTTTTTCTCGTTGCTCTGCTGAGACTGGATTGGCACTTTTCGATTTCTGAAAAATCTCAAAGATTATATTCAAAGAAAAGTGTAATAAATTTTGGTTTTTAGAAAAGGGTAAAAATTTATGGAATAAACATGGCTTAAAAGAAAAAAGAAGAAGAAGAAGCGAAAAAGTCTAAAAACTAAAAGAAAAATGTTTTTATAGAAAAAGGATGAACACTTATTCGGCTTTCTGTTCCAATTTCTGAACTAAATGCGGGCAGTGAGAAGATAATGCATTAAACCGAGAAAAACAGCGAAGAGGCGAAGCGACGCAGACAGTCAGAGACGGCGAATGCGGGAAATGCAGTCGCCGTCGCGTATAAGTCGCGCCGACAATGCAAACCAAATACTTTGAATATTTTCTTCGCACCTCCCGTCCATTCAAATATTTTTAAGCATCAAAATTAAAAATTATTTCTGAGAAGCAAACATGTATAAAAATTTAGGAAGATAATGAGATGTTCTTTCGAACTTTATGTTGCTAAACTAGAACAATGTAACCTCAGTCACTATGGCTGGAGCCACGAAAGATAAGGATTAAACCCAGATCCTTTTCTTCCGTGTCTCCGTGTCTCCGTGATGACTGGGGATACCGAAGTTTTTTTTGGCCGAAGGATGCCTTAAAATACTTTCATGCGCTGAAAAAACTGTCTTAAGGAACGTGTCCATAGGTATTCGGAATGAATTTCAACTGATAGTCAATCTTTACTGCTCGACAAAAAAATGAACCCGTGATTTGTTATCTTGAATTTTTTCCAAATGAAAAGCTTCTATCTGCTAAAAACTTTTCATTTTTGCACTTTTACCTATATAAATTAATTACAAGGAATCTTAACTTTGTAGGATTTGCATATTCTTTCTGAATATAGTTTGAACAATCAAACGTGTTTTAACCGTGAACCTAAAACGAAACCGATGTTGAAAGTTTATTTTCTACACCCTTAGCTATCGGCTGTTTTTTCAAAAGTTTCTGAATTGAAGAAAAAAAAACTTTTCTGTTTCCTTTCTTCCTGGTTGCCGTCAAATCTCCTTCTGCAGGACCACCGTTCTGAAATTCAAACTCAAAGACAAACAAGATATATTTAATCAAAGTTCCAATGTCGAAACTGTGAAAAAAACATACCGCCTGTGAAAAAGATTGTCTAACACCGTCCTTTTCCCTTTTTCCTGATCCCCTTTTCAGGTTTTGGGAATTAACTCAAGTTTTGATGGACATACTTTGTTTGAAAATAAATTTAACACAGAAAAATCGTTCGTTTCATTTTTGCACTTCTTTGTTTTTTTTTGTGTGGAAGCTCAGTATCTTGAACACCAGTTTCTCCCAGATTAACAGACTAAAACAGATAAAACCCAATTAGATACGTTCCAACGTCAATTCGATGAAATAGGATTTATACCTCTTCGGACTGGAGTCTCCCTTCAAACCGTTCGAAAGTTTCGTCTGTAGATTTTTCATGATTTGGCTGCAAATATAATTTAAAGCTATGAAGTTATGGAAATACTACCTTATTCAAATTTTTTTCCTCAGCTGCGAATTGGACGCTGGCGTCATCATCAACGTTCTATATAGATTGAATTAAAAACCAATAATATTTTATATCCAAAAGTTTCTCCGCTCACATTAGGTAGCTCGGAGATTCCTTGATGGCGTGTTCATCGGAGAAACGAAAAATGCTTAAAAACGAAAAATCGTGTTCATAGGCGCGTCAAAGTTGCTCCAAAACAGTACTAATTTTTGATTTGAAGCAATTTTTTTTTTGCGTTTTGAAGAAATTTTCGTTTTGTCCGATGAACACGTGATAAGCGATTTTGAAAAAAAAAAAAACAAATTTGCGTAACATTCAAAGCATCAACTGAAAATATGAACTGTACGGCCTATCTTTTCTTCGACTCTCTGGTGAAATGTCTGCAACAGTTGGTCCGCTATCCTCAAGAAAAGATGGGATAATGGTTGAAAGAAAGCTCGCAAGTTTCAATTTATGTCTAACTAAGAGCGTCAAGAGCATAGTTTTTTCTATACTCTAGGAAAATCTTATGTTGCAATGGTGCTTTTCCGGGAAAAAAAAGTTTTAGTGATGGAAGTAATCATGAAATTAGAATAATTTTTGAAGAGAACCATAGATTGCTTGAACCCCTCAAAAAAGCATTATGATACTAAAACTCTAATCAAATTTAACAAAAACAGGATTATCTCGAGGCCTACGTTTCTATCACATAAAAAGTAATACCCGTTCAATTCAAACGCAAAATTGGACTAAAATTTATCAAAAATACATTTTGTTCTATCTCTAGGCGCAGATAATCATTTTTTTACCAGGTTTAAATAAGTTCAACGGCTGAGCCTAAAAATATTTTAAAAAAAATCTATTTTGCTGCTGTTCCATCCCCTTCGTTACTCGATTGAAACCGAATGAATTGTATACAAAATAATTTCAAACTATCAACATGATCTCAATTTACGATGAGAACCAATAAAGGTCAGGTCAACACTATACGGAAACACACTGGTGAATCGAGAGGTAGATACAAGTAGGTATTGGGTAGCAACTCCAGTAAATCGGCGTATGGTAATCGGTGGTCATTTGTATGCGACCGGGTACTCTCTCTATGGTACCTGGATAGTACCTGATCGGTATCCGGATACTACCGGGTAGGTACCTGAAATTCGCGATCGCCACTGGCTGGCACATCGGTCGTTTATTTAACACCAGTGTTTTTTACACCTTCCCAAGTCTTCCAGGGTCTTATTGGATAAAGCCGAAACAAAAAATAACGACCCGGGAAGCAATTCCAGACTATCCGGTAAAAATCGCGAATGTCAGGTAGCTACCCGGTAGCTACTTGCACCGACCTCCGACCCAGGTACTATAGAGATAGTACCCGGTTGCATACAAACGACCACCGATTACCATACGCCGATTGACTTTTTTAAAAGTTGCTACCTGGTAGCTATTTGTATAGTCGATGTGCCACAAGTTGAAATTTCACGAAACGACACTCCGCTGTTTCGATTTGTGCGATAGCGCGCTTTTTGCGAATTTGCCAACCTCGGCCACCACGCTAATTTTTTTTTGGTTTTCATTCTAGTTTTGATCGTTTTTTACTTGTTTTTTTTTCCGTTAAAATGTATTATTACCTTTGAGAAGGATTGTATTGTACAAATGTAAACGAAAGAACACAGTAAATTTCATGATCTTTCTCGAAAAAAGCGATAAAAAAAATTTGAAAAACTTCATGTATTCGTCAATCGCTTTAATATTGTTTTTCTCGTTTCTCAAAAAAGTTTTCAAAGGTTTACAAAAAGGATTTGCGGGTGAAATAGGTTTTAAACGCCACAATATTCTACAAAAGTTTCTGTGTTTTTTTAATGTTTTCATGGTTTTTTTTTTCTGTTTGCAGTGGTTAATATATCTTTTTTTCAGAAAGTGAGTGCCTTATAAAATGAACACGTGAATGAGCACAATGAAATAGAGAGATCGGTTTCGGTCAACATAAGGTTAAATCGACTCCTCTGTTTTTGTTCTTTTACTTTTTATTGCCGTTGGACATGATTTTATTGAGGGAATCTCAACGAGATTTCAAAGGTTGGCGAGGAAGAAAGAAGCTTATCCATAGGGATATAAGACGAGGTTAGTTTTTCATATCCCACTGACATCGAAATTGCAGAGTAACGTTTGGTTTTAAAGACGCGATATTTTCAACTTCACAAGTCTTTGTGGCGTTTTGTGGAAAAAATTTTCATCGAGGTTAAATATCATTTAATGTTCTCTTGCTAATGCTTCTTGATAATTTCAACCGACAAGAATACAAGAATTTGCAGAAAATGCTCAATATGAGGAGATTATTGCCTTTTCGAGCTTTGCAATGCAACATAATTTGAAGAAAGCTTTTGGTTCCTTTTTTTTTAAATGGAGCTTCAGATAAGTCGAATTGCTGAACTATGCGTCAGAAATGGGGCGTGAACAGTGGGCACTTGGAACAGTGGAAACGATGTGCTGAACGAAATGTCCAGAAAACTAATGATTTTTCCTTTGAACTTATGTATCTGTTTTTTTTGTACAAAATTCGTCAATGTTGAAACATTCATTGTGTTTTATTTCTGATCGGGATATTTTTTTAAATGATTTGAAAAATTACAAGTGAAAATAGAAGAATGTTGCATGTCAGGGACGTTGAAATCAATATTATAAACGCATTTTTTCGCTTAAAATTCGAAAATTAGTCAACTTTATTTGTTTCTAATGAAACAGTCTATCCACTAGCAATGATAATCATGAGTTTGGCACGAAGAAAACTATTGAAACATAATTAAAACAGTGAAATTTTCAAATGAAAGAAAAAATGAAAAGCGCGACGTAAATTCGCAAAGGCAAGGCGCTTTCACGACCACAAGGCCCCAAGCGGAGTGTTGTTCCATGAAATTTCAAGTCGTGGCACATCGACTATATCGATTTTTCGATTCACCTTTGCAGGAAAAAAGTATACCTTTTTCGTTTCCTCTACGATATCTTCATCTTCTTCTAACAGAAGAACTGGAGGTTCCTTCGAGTCATCCCCCGTTTCCGTTTTTCGAGAATCTTGAAAAACATAAATTCGATTAAGTTCGAGCATTCTTACCTTCTGAACTCTTCGTAGGTTTTGAAGATATCCAGACGACCTCTTCCGGTTTCCCTGCCAAGTCTTCAGAGCTTTCTTCAGCTATTTGAACATGTTCCGAACTCCGATTTTCCTTCTGAACTTAGAAATGTTCAGCGCTCAGAAAAAATAGAATATTAACTACAAGACGGAAAAACACGATATGCTTGAAAGGAAGTTAACAAAATTATTTTGGTGCATGTGACCTTTTCGTCCTCCAAGTCTTTTTCGGACTCTCTGCATTTTTCGGGCAACGAGTCCTTTGGAGCTTCCTAAAAAATCGATTACGAGGTTTGGTCGGAAAACACACCTCCCAATCCATTGACAGAACTGTGTCGTTGCATGGATCTTGTGGAGCGTTCAGCCAATCCGATTCCACAACTTGATGATGCTCCGCCGCTGTAAATATCTTTATAAGAAAAGCAGAAAAATTGTGAAACAAGCTTTTTCGACGTCCTATCAACCTCGAAAGATTTATAACCTATCAATTTCAACGTTCAACCAACCTGGGCCTAACGGACTGTCGAGTGATTCTCTTCTTGATACATTATCTATCTCCTCAATGTCGGACACAACTGAAGAAAGAAACGAAATTGAAGTTTTCGCTAATAAACAAAAACCAAGAGGTTGTTCTCCATCATTCTGTTTTGTAGTGGTGAAATCTGTCGTTTCTCCTTGAAATACTGGCTCAGCAGTTTCCTCTGCGGAATCTTCCGTCAGATCAATAAAAACAACTTCCTCGTAGTTCCGTGGTTTTAAATCTGTGAGAGGTCAAATTTCTTTTAAACTTGAGAAAGATTCTGTTAAAAATGTAAAATAAATTATTCCTCAAATTATATCCCTATCTTATGAAATCCAAATGAAAAAAATATTTTTTTTGCAAGAAATTTTTTCCGGTTTGTTTTTTACAAATGAATATGATTGTCTTCTCTTGTTTGAAAATATTGATGAGAACTTAAGAACGTAAAAACCTCGTGATCTCCTGAAACGTGGTTCCTTCCCACTTATGTCATCAAACACGGGTTCTCGAACTTGAGTCTGTTCCTCAGAAGCTGTCCCGCGGGTAGATCTTCTCTTTTTAGGAGTAGCCGCAGGCTGAATGAATCTCTCATCGACGAACTGTATGTTACGTTCTAACTGTGCGCTGTTTCGAAGATCTTTTCGTAGAACTGATTTTCTCGGGCACGGGAAATTTGGTTGGTGTTTTCGAGCCTTCTTCTTCGATAATCTCCATGACTTGAGTAGGGTTTTTTTCGTCCTTCATCTTAATTCAGCGTTTTTTTTTTCTCAAATAACGGTTTTCTTTTCACTTTCTCCGCACTAGCTGTGCGTTTTCTCCGTGGCGTGATAGGCGTAGAGAGCATCTGAGACGTTCAATTAGCAGTCTTAAAGGAAACTCCAGAAAAAAGTAACAAACTTCTTCAGAGGTTTTTCTGGAAGAAGTTATTCCAGACATCGAACGCGTCACGCGAACATTTTTCATACCTGGTGGAGAAAAAAAAAATCAAGATAAAAGTAATTTTACTCACTTTCTTGTGGTACAACCTCTTCTGATGACGAAGAATCAACAGTTGCCATTTCGCTTCTGAGAAAAATTTCGGAAGTTGAAATAAGAATAAAAACATACTTGTCGCCTTGATTATTTTTCCTGCTTGGTTTTTTAACGCCTGATAATATTGGAATCACCTGAAAGCTTTTCCTTCAGGATCGCATTTTAAAAAAATCGCGCACCTCGAGGTGATCATCTTGAAAGTCCTGTGGAGAAGGTTCCCGAGCTTGAGTTCCACGACGACGTCTAGCGGACATTTTAGCTGAGCTTTAGAAAAAAAAAATGTATATTTACATATTTTTCAAGCTGAACTGCCCAGCCTGGCGCACAAGCCCAGTTAAAAGTGCAATACATTTTGTTATTATATACTATGACATGGGGCGCATGAAGTGCGCCACAACTATTTCTCTGACCTACGCCATTTCTTCGTTTTCTCGTAGCTAGATAACGAAGAAAACTCTGTCTTTGCTTACTGATATATATTGAGCGCATATTTGATTATATTATGCGTCATTCGAATGAATATTCAAGTTTAGATTAGTTTTTCAATTCGACGTAAGCTATGCTGCATGTTTCAAAGCGAGTATAATACTCTCAAACTAGCACGCACATTAAGTAAATAGAATTTGAAGCTCAATACGAAAATGCCAATGAAAAAGAAAATTGGAAAGAAAAAATAGAGTAAAGTTGAATGATTAAAAAGGAGTTTAATACAGCTGCAGCTTCACGGTCGATGCCTGTATACGTATACGTTATGAAACGTACAAGAACTATTTTCTCTCATCGAAATTTCAGCATAATTTTCAGCAAATTCAGTAAAGAAGAACAAAAACGACAAAATTATGAGTTTTTTTTTTGAAAAAAGTCGGAATGAATTCAAAATCTCAAAGTGCGAAATCTACCACGGCCGTAATTCCCAAAAGATTTTTTCAGAAAAAGGCGTCCGTAAATTCGTAATTTCTTTTCGAATTTATTGCCCACGGCGTTCCAAAAGGGAACTCGCAAGCGAGCCGATGAGGCGTGTCATTTTACCGCGCCCTTGCGTTCGTTGGAGCGTACTTGCGCAACAGAACTTTTTTTGAAAAATTCACAGAAAAATGTCAAAAAAACGAAATTTTTAAGAAATTGAGATGTTTCGATTGAATTCAGAGTATTTTTTTGTGATTATCATGATGTCCATGGAAAAAGTGGAAGCTTTCAAAACATAAAGAAGCAATTCGATGAAGTTTCACTGGCAATTATCCGTATAATTGCTTCTCAACCTTTAAATCGGTTTTACGAAAAATTTTCAGCTATAAGCCTATGGTATTCGTTGTTTAAAAAGATGAAAGAATGATAGTAAAACGTAAAAACAAAAAAATTTTGAATGAATGTTGTTGAGAAGTTTTGACGAAAATCGCATAGAATGATAATGGAAAAACGCTCATTTGTTGCGTAGTTCTGCGATCTTCGCAGGTGTTCTCTAAAAAAATTTTTTTCCAATTCTCTAATTAACCATTTTTCTTTCGAATGAACCTGTGTGAACATTTTCAGCTATCAAAATAAAAAGATTGACCGACATACCACAAAGTTTTAATCTTTCGCGCGGAACACCCAAAAATTTGACAAGATTCCATGAAATTCAGTTTAAAAAAATTATTTTTTTGCCGACAAAGATTTTTTTGAACAATTTTTAGATTGTAGAAAAAAACTCATTCTGCACATGAATCAAGCAGAAAGATGTCGAATACATGGCATGTAAATTAAAAAAACTCGCGAATTATCATTTTTTTCGTTTTGCCTCCACTAAAGCGGTAAACGGCCAAGGAGCGACATGACACAACCAACTTATATGAAGTCAGAGCTGACGAACAGTATAAACACAGCAGTAACACTCAGAAACGAAAATGTAACAAGAAATAGGGTTTTGAATTCCCAATACAAAACTAAACCACGCCCAGTTTTCTGCAATTGAGGCGCGGTACTTTCTGCCTCATTTTTCTCTACTGCGAGGTTCCCTTTTGGAACGCCGTGTGCCGTGTTCAAAGTAATTTCCGCGAAATGCAAAATACCCGTTAGAGAAAGGAAAAGATCACTAAATTTTGGAGAGTCAGAGATCATTTTGCATTTTGCGGAAATTACTCTGAACACGGCATATCAAAAAAAAATTTAAAATTTAATTTTTTTCAGTTTATTTTGCTCATCCTTAAGTTTCAAATACTTTGCAATGTTTCAGAAAGCGTTAAATTTTTGATAAATTTTTGAAATGGCTGGGATTATCGCAATTTATATATATGGAAGAGAGGTATAACCATTATGGATTTTTTTTTTCCCTGAAGTTTCTAATTTTTATCAAATTATCAAATTTATAGAACAGTCGCCTCTTTCATGCTGTAAATCCAGAAGAGCTTGGAAATGTTTGTGACATTGAAATGTTCGTTTTTTGCTCGTTGGATATCGTGGACGAGAAAGTGGTGAAATCAAATGAGATGTATCTTGGCCAGCTATTCACCGACCAGCGTTACAAGGTTTATTCATGAATTTTTTCACTTTTTAAGTTTTTTTCAGTCGTTCGGCTTTGTCACCAACACCGGAGTTAAAATTGTGCTGGTCGTTGATTTTCTGAACTCTACTCTTAAAGACCAGGATGTTCGATCTATCTTTAAAAGATTTCATGTCTTTTATTGCAAAACTATTTCGAATCCCTTTTACACAATTGGGTCGCCTCTTCATTCAAGGTTCCGAGATTTGTGATTCAATAGTGACCTAATTTTCCAGGTGGCTCGACGATGGGTGTAAAGAAATTTTTGCCAAATCTGAGTAGCGATTGAATTGTACATATCTCGCGAATAAATATATTATCATTCTGATTTGCGTTTTGGAAGAGTGAGTGCCAGCTCTGAAATATTTATTAACTAGTTCATCAAATTTTCGTGATTACATCTTTACAGGGGACAAAATGGACGGTGTGATTAGGTTAACGAACATTAGCGACTTCATCGCACCTAATCTGGTCAGACTTGAAATATATAATGAATCAGATTTTTTGAAGGACTGCATTATTCCGCTGGAAACGAAGAGCACGGAGTCTCAAGAGACACCCGCGGTCAGAATACATGCCGAAGTCAAGGAGAAATCATCCAATGTTCGTATTTTTCACTGCTGATTGGAATATTTGTTTTTAGGAAAGTTCAATCAAAATCTCTCTCGCTGATTGTTTGGCTTGTAATGGTTGCATAACGAGTGCAGAGACTGTTCTCGTGCAGGAGCAGTCCTTACCAAGGTTTCACTTATAATATTCATGTGTGATAAGAAGGAAGGGCGGCAGAAATTTTTTTGAAAATTTTTCAGTAACTGAAATTGAAAAGTATTTTTTTCATATCAAGTTTCATTTATAAAATTAGGGAAGTATATGTCAATCGATTTAGGCGAAGTCGAAATGTAAATGACACATGATGCCACACGATTTTCGTTTTTTTTTTTTTTGAACTCCATATAAAGAAAAAAGAAAAACCCCCAAAATAAAAAGAGAATATTTTTCATCGAGGACCTATATTTCTTCATCGATGCAAAAATAATTAGCTTCTGTCAAGCGCCTTTTATTCTCTTTTCCAATGTCTTCACTATTATTAGGTTGGCAACTAAGATTCCGATATTTTTGAGGTGTGTTTTTGGTTAGCTCCCACGTTTTACTGGATGGACTTCTTGTTTCGCCACTAGGCATGCTAGCAGGAGGGAAGTCTTCTTTACGTAAACCACTGATAGATTCAGTCTCCCCTTTGTTCCCCTTCGAGGATGCCCCATAGATTCATCCACGACCGAACTCACATTCGACACACATTTCTATTTTTGTTCTTTTCTGGCAGCAATCAACCTGACACCGAACGTCGTATCAAAGACGTATACGAAGAGCATGCGCCCTCTCAAAGCACCATCAGCCTTTGGTTCAACAAGTTTTCGAAAGGGCTTTTTCCATGACTGAAGGTGAGGGGTCGGATCGGCCGTCCGAGTTGGATCTGGACCTGCTGCGCATCCAAATTGAAACCGATCCTTATGTAATCAACTGGGAATTGGGAGCCACACTGGGGGAGCCTTACCACTATCTAAAAAGAAATGGAAAAAAATCGGAAAGGTCCAAAAGATGGGCCGATGGATACCCCATCAATTGACCGACTACGACAGGGATCGCAGAGTCTACATGACTCTTTCTCTTCTCCCTCTCCACGGAAGGCACGGGTGGCTGGACAACCTCATCACTGGAGATGAAAAGTGGGTCCTCCGTGATAATGCTCAGAGCCGTCCTCAGTGAGTAGACAATGATGTAAAGGCAGAAGACGTCGCTAAAGCGGATCTACACGCGAAAAAGGCCATGCTGTTGATCTGGTGGTCGGTTCGAGGCTTAGAGTTGTGGGAACTTTTACCAAAAGGGTCGTACAACAACGCCAACCCCTACACTGACCAGCTGCAAAAACTGAGACTCGGCGTCCAAAACAGACGCGAGAATCAGGCCGTTTTCTACTTCCAACATAACAACGCTCGGCCACACATAGCCCGATCGACGAAGGCTGAGTTGGAGACGTACGGGTGGCATGTTTTACCTCTTCCACCTTACTTTCCTGACCTTGCCCCTTCTGATTATCACCTCTTCTCCCACCTTCAACGAGCCCTCGCGGGGCAGAAATTCGACGACGAGATGCAACTCAGAACCTGGTTGACCAACTGGTTCAAGGCACAGTCCGCCACGTTCTGGAGGCAGGGCATTCTTGCTCTGCCAGAGCAATGGCAACAGAACATAGATATCCATGCAGATTATTTCTATGGTTTGCTCCTTTATTCCCCTGCTAAACATGATGAAGTTTGTTTACACCAAAAATATCGGAAACTTAGTTACCAACCTAATATTTTTAATAAAACTAAATAGATATCCCTGTACGAAGTATATTTCTCAAAAATAAATAGAATATTTATCACTCGTTGAATCATTTTTTTCAGTTTCTTCGAAGGAGTGAGGTGCTTCAAAATGAGTGTAGTATCTGTGAGCCCGCAGGCCGTCTGTTCTATAGCGGCGAAAAAAGAAATATCTGTTCCAGAAGCGGCTAAGTGGATCTCTGCTTACTTCATTTCCTTGGGTATTTTTTTCGATTATAAAAAAATTTTTTTGATTGTGTTTGTAACTGAAATTCATTTTGAATCCTAATTTTATCTGCAAATATGACACAAAAAAATAATTTCCGCGTCTAATCCACTTTGGTATTCTGAAATTTTCCATAAATTTTTTTAGAACCATTGGTTTTTTTAAAAATAAAAAGATAGCAGGCAATGGTAACTGTAAATTTTATTCGATTAAAAAAAGTGCTGCTTCGCTGATTTTTGTCAGTGATGTGGTTGTAAATTTAAAAAAAGGAATATAAATTTGTCAGAATATCCGATTTCAAGCTAAAAAATTTCTTGAAATTCGGTTGATCAGGGTATTGTGAATAAAAAAAGGTTCAGGAGTACGTTACGTCGTTGACTCTTCCTTCGGGAGGCAGTTTTCGCTGTCTCTGCTCCACGAAGAATTGTCGCAAATGCCTCAGTCGAGTCGCCCTGTTATATCCTCTGCGTGTCCTGGTTTCGTATGTTATGCGGAAAAAAACAACGGAGAACTGCTGACAAGACATCTGAGTAAGATTCGGTGTGTGGATTAATTTTTTTTAACGCAGTAAATTCGGATAGAAATATTAGTATAGTACTCTTTTCGAGTCGCCTTCTGCAGAAGTTTAATAAAAATATCTTTGCCTCATTTATTTCATCGTCAAAGGGTTTGAAAATGGATAGTTTATTTTTCTTTTTATGCCAATTTCTAAGAGTTATTCGGAATTTCATCTTGGGACCATCTCATTGGTTTCAGTTCACCTCAAGCTGTACAAGGGGCGCTTGTCAAGGACTATCTAGCTAAAAAGTTTCGCTTGGAGCCTTCGGAGCTGTTCCATGCGAGTGTTATGCCCTGTTTTGACAAAAAACTAGAGGCCACGCGGCAAGATTTCCTCGTCCCGGGGACAAACATACGAGAAACCGACTGCGTTATAAGCTCAGGTGATTTCTCCACATGTTCTCGGCCAAAGCAAGAAATTTGGTTTCAGCCGAACTTTACAATGTTCTTGAGGAGTTTTCGCCGAAGCAAGAGAATGTTGAATTGCCACCCAACGGCTGGCTGGGAAACTTTTCAAGGGGTTTTTTTCGTTTTGATTTCTTATCTTGAATCAGTCTGAAGGTGTTCTGGTGGGGGGAAAAGGAGGAACATCTGGAGGGTACGCAGAAAACGTCGTTCAGCAACATTTGAACAGGCACGGAGGCGATGTCAGCGTCAGAAAAAAGTTATCTTGGCAAAAAGGAAGACATCTTATCTGAGTTCAGCAACCGGAACATGGAAGAAATAACTGTTTCGGACGGCGATGAACTCAAATTGAAAGTTGCACGTGTATATGGTTTCCGAAACATCCAAAACGTGGTGCGAAAATTGAAAGCCTCTAGTTGTGGGTACGATTACATTGAAGTCATGGCTTGTCCTTCAGGTTCTCATTCGCTGTTTTCATTATTAACTTTTTTTATTAGGTTGTGGGAATGGTGGCGGGCAAATACGAGAAATTACTGGAGAAATGCGTGACTCACGGCTGAACAAAGTTGAGGAGTTATACGATTCGATCAATCAAGTTAGTGCAGATAGAATGAGGTAATGCATCCCATCTGTATGTAATCCATTTCAAAGTGCGAATGTTTCAGGGAAGACAGGAGTGATACCGATGAATTTAGGTTGAAAACTACTCAGAGAACTTGGAAAAACTGTTTTTTCAGAGAAGTTAGCGACGAATGGGAAAAACTGAACAACAATTGGCGGGAGTTGTTATACACTGCTTATCGGGCAGTTTCCACGAATGCCTTTCAGAAGTTACAATGGTGATTGAGAATTTTTTTTTTGTTTTCGGAAAGAATAATAACATAAACTTTTATTCTGTCCTTTTCAACAAAAAAAGAAAGAAAAAGCAATAACAGGCAAACAAAGATTAGCAACGTTGTAACAAGCTTGTATAACCAGAAGGCAGTAAAATTCAGATGTTGATAGTTTTGAAGATGTTGAAGCCGTCAACAGAAGTGTTGACCGCAAGACCAGGAAATTGCGGATGCCAGTGAACTTCTTTGACTTCGTGTTGACCAAGGTGCAAAAACATGAGCTGCGGAGGAATTCCTTCGACAGCCGCATCACCATCTGGCTCGGTCGCGATGTCCCATACCGACGTTTGGTCGTCTTCCCCGGAAGCCATGAATGTCGTAGTTTCCTAAGTAAAACGTAATTCAACTTTTTCTGTCTGCCTGAAGTGCATTTTTCTTGTAACACGGCGGACAAATCATCACAAATGAACCAAAAAGTGGATTATTAATCAAAGAACGCTACGAAAGAGTAATGGAAAACCTGTGGATGCCACTCGACAGATGTTATTGGGCCTCTGTGATACTTGAATCGGGCGACTGATTGACCATACTGTAAGTTTTCATCAATCAATTTTCTAAGTGAAACCTACGAGGTAAAAGACGAAACAGTAGGTTTGTAAAAAAAATTTACAGAAATTACCAACAAAAGAGGATACAATTGTAATTATGTAAAGAAAATTTTTTTAGGCAAAGTCGGAAGGACCCTCCGAGGGTCCATAAGGGCTGCTGGAAGGCTCCATAGAAATGTTCCTTTTACGGTGATGAAGGCTCCCGTTTTGCGCCATTTTCTCAGCCTTTTTACACCATTTTTGCTGCCTCTCCCTTTCTCCACCATTTCTCGGGCCTTTAAAATCCCAGAAAAAATGGAAGGCTCGATAAAGGGACTCTCTTTGCTGCCTTTCTGCGACCTTTTTTGAGCCTCTATCTTAAAGCGGCCATTATTCACCATTCCGACTTTGCCCGAGTTATTTAAAACTGAAATGAAATGGTATATTGCGGATCTTTCCCAGGTTCTTTATTTTTGAACAAAAACTTACCAGAAAGACATTTTGACTTTATTTTTGTTTCGTCATTTGCCCCCGAAAGTTTATATAGAAACCTGAATGGTCTTCAAGGACCAAATTTTGAGTTCGGCGTCATCACCTCCGGAAACCAACAAAGAATCATGCTGGTTCCAGGAAAGAACGTTGACATCTGCATCATGCGCCTAAAAACTCTTGCGTCTTTGAAAATTCATAAAGAAATCATATTTAATAAAAAGGAAAAAAAAAATGCAAATATATACTTTTTTCTCACTAATGTGGTTTGTTTTTTTAAAAACAACAGCAGTGATAACAGGAATCGTTTGTTTAAAAAAAAAACATTTTCTACGGTAGCAACGCAAGCTTCGGCGGGCGCTGCTCGTGTATCCCAAAGTTTGATGGTGCCATCAGCAGAGCAGGACGACATCAGATTCACCTCGGTCGGAGACCAACAGAGGTCTTCAACGCTCTCTGGAATACGAACAATTTAATATGAATCTCTCCGTTTCCTACTTTTATGGCCGAGAAGTGGCTTCCCCGCGACAACCCACTGTCCTCCTTCCTGCATTTGCCACATGTAGATGTTCCGGACAATGTCCCCCGAGGCAAGGTCTCCCTGTCAAGGATTGCGATTATCAGCAGAGGCGCGCAAACCTTTTTTGTTGGGGACCACGCCAACGCGAAACCTTCTTTCCTGGAGCCGGCGAAAGTGAACAGCGGCTTTTCCTACAACAAAAACCGATGAAGAGAAGAGTTATAATACAGAATATCTTGGAAAATTTAGCCCCAAGGAGTTAGTCAAAAAAAGTATATATGAAGTAGCTTGAAACCCCGCTAACCTTCCGACTCAGATGATTCTACATTTTTACCCTATTTCTGGTTCCGCGTTCAAAGTAATTTTCGGCAATTTCCAAATTGACGCGTTATTCGTTTAAAATTATTTCGGCGAATAGACAGAACTGGTATTACGGGAGGCGCAGAAAAAATGAGTCTCACAACGATTTATCGTTAGATATAGGCCATTCCGCGCTAGCTTGTCACGTTTTTCTTTCCGCCAAAAGGCCAGGTCAAATTTAACCAACTTTCGCTTCAAGACTTTTGTTTCTTGCCGTTATAAAAGCAGAAATTTGATCTAATTTGGTATACGGTCTTTTTGGCGGGAAGAAAAACGTGACAAGCTGGCGCGGAATAGGCTATATCCATTTTTATGGTGAGTTTTACGCGCGAATTTGAAATTTTCGTAGAATATGTCCAAATTATTGCAAAATTTTGAGTTCGCGTTCGAAATTAAAAGTTCGAAAAGTTCGAAACGCGTTCGAAAAGTTCGAAATTAAAGTAAAAATGCATATCTAGCTCTATGTCGTTGTGGGGTTCATTTGTTCTGCGCCTTCCAAAAATCCATTCTGCTTATCTCCCGAAATCATTTTAAACGAATAACGCGTCAATTTGGAAATCGCCGAAATTACTTTAAACACGCATGGATTTTGGCTTCTAGATTATCCATGAGGCGTACTCCTCTCTTCTAACTTTTTCATACAATATTTTTCCTTCATCTGAAAGCGACTCTTATGCCCAGAAAGTGCTCATCATTCGACTCGAACCTGCTTCAGTTCACTCGTCTGCGACTTTCCTGTCATTTGATTCGCGCTATTCAATGCAGACGTTATGTTCCAGAGTTGCACTCGACCCTGATCGTTCCACACGGCACAAACGGTGCTATCTCCCAGTCTATCTGCCTGGAAAAAAATTCTTTTTTCACTTCACAACAAAAAATAACCTAGAATACTGAGAAACGGTTTGAAACCTCCAATTTTAGAAAATTTCGCAGGAGAAGGGCAAAAAAACTTCAAGGAGCCGTCGATTCTAACTTACCAGGGAATGGTCTCAGCTCACAGTGGGACTTCTGAATGAGACCACTTTTCCTAGATTTAGTTTTTCATGCTGATTCCAAATCCGTTCTCAAAAGCTGCCACCGAGGTCTGTGAAAAATGTTATGGACCCTCAAAAGTCGAAAATTTGATAGTCTCCGATTGAGTTCATTTTTGGAGGGTATGTAGATCTTGTCCCTCTGATCACGAAAAACCATTGAACTCTTCTCAAAAAAATTTCGCAGCCAAGATATGAGCTTTCAAAGCCCCGCCGCACACAAGAGAATGCGCGCGCGGTGTCCTATTGCTATCCGACGGCTGTCGAAGCAACGGCAGCGAGGAGCAGTGGAAAGGCGGCGGACTGGGGAGAACGAGGTCATAGGTTCGGTGCCCACGCTGTGCAAACTTTTTTTGCAGTTTTTTCTTTTTTGGATATTTTCGTGTAAGTGCTCCTTTTTGGAGTTTCGAAGCGTAGAAACATGAAAATACTGCGTTTTGATCCTATTGAAACAGCTGGACTTCTTTTTGTCGCAAATTTTTTTCATCGATTTTTGCGTGATTTTCCATGTGTATGAGCATAGGTTGGAGTGTCAAAATTTTCAGAAAAAATTTTTTAGTTTTTTCTTTCTTGAAAGCTGGCTAGGCTCAAGTTATCATTACTGCGCTGGTAGAAAACGCAGATATATTTCTTCGGACTTTTTCAGGCTTCAATTTTTACTTACCACTCTACGAGAAGAAAAAATCTTTTAATTTTATTTCAGGTTGTGGCTGGAATTACCGAAGAGGTTCCTTTGATTCATAAATAAAACAGTTAGAACAAACTCCCCACAATAATTTTTCGTTCAATGTAATTTCTGAAAGTTCATAGTCAGACGGCAATAGGAGACGGTAATAGGTGAGCCCACTGCAAAGCACGAAGAAGTAATTAAAGTAAAAAAATGTTTTTTTCATTGTTCGATGAGCGTAGCTATGATGACTTGGAGTTAGACAATTTTTGGAAAAAGAAAAGATAAAAAAACCAAAAAAATTTTTCTGAAAATTTCGACACTCCAATCTATGCTCATATACATGGAAAATCACGAAAAATTCCCATGAAAAAAATTTGCGACAAAAAGAAATCCAGCTGTTCGAATAGGTTCAAAACGTAGTATTTTCATGTTTCTACACCTCAACACTCGAAAAAGGAGCACTAACAGGGAAATATCCAAAAAAGAAAAAACTGCAAAAAAAGTTTGCACAGCGTGGGGACCGAACCTATGACCTCGGGCTCCCCAGTCCGCCGTCTTTCCTGCTCCTCGCTGCCGTTGCTTCGACAGCCGTCGGATCGCAATAGGACACCGCGCGCGCATTCTCTTGTGTGCGGCGGCGCTTTGAAAGGTCATATCTTGGCTTCACAATTTTTTCGAGAGAAATTCAATGGTTTTTTGTGACCAGAGGGACAAGACCTACATACCCTCCAAAAATGAGCTCGATCGGAGACTATGATATTTTTGACTTTTGAGGGTCCATAACTTTTTTCACAGACCTCGGTGGCAGCTTTTGAGAACGGATTTGGAATCAGCATGAAGGACTAAATCTAGGAAAAGTGGTCTCATTCAGAAGTCCCACTGTGAGCTGAGACCATTCCCTGGTTAGAGAAGTTTGTTTCCTTCATTTCACATTTTCAAAGTTTTTTTTTTCCAGAGAAGTACGTATTGGTTCGCAACCCCTCCGAACTACAAAAGGGAGTTATTTCGTCAAACAGATTTAGATTAAGTTTTGTGAACAATTTTTAACTCCACTATACCTTGATTCTGTTGATTGCGCCATTAGTTGATATGGAAACGGCATGCATTACAGGCTGCTTCGTTTCGTTCTCTTCCTCTTCTTCATCGCTGCTTTCGTCGCTATCCGAGTCATCATTCTTCTATATTTCGTAGTCAAAAACGTTAGTGAGAAGTGGAGGTACTTGTTTGAAGGAACTCATGTTTTTCAATCCCATCACAATGATCTCATTGTCTTTTGCTCGTTCTGCTTGCGTTCCCGATACGAGATAGCACTCGGCTGGGTAAGAGCTTCGGTTGTCTCCAAGCCCATCTCTCACGATATCAAACGATAAACACGGCCAATCTGTAGAATTTTTTTTCTCGAACAGGTGATATTTTCTGTAAAATTTAACGCCACCTGTGTTAAAAGAATGGAACATAATGTAAGCACTCGGATCAAACTCGAGTTGTTCTCCCTCCTTTAATGCTCGGCTCACTCCAGGAATATACACCTAAACACAAAAATGAGAAATTGCGAGAAAATATACCTTCTTCTCAGAATCAAGAACTTCCACTTCATCTTCATCGTCCTCATCTTCGCTCTCAACATCTTCAACATGTTCCCCTTCCATCTCCACGTCATCATTTAAAGGAGACATTTCTGAAAGATCATTTTCGTGAATTAGAACATGCGTTCGAACTTTTTTGATCCGACGCACGCATTTTAAGGAAATTGCTACGGCGCCCAGTCAATATTGTGCAGTCAGTTTTGTAGCCATGAAATTCTTTGTCACTTTTGCAACTAGTTAATGACCTAATTCTCGAGGTCACGAAATAATTTACGTCACAATAAATACGTAAATAAGTTTTCATTTTACTACCGAAAAAACTTATCTAAACTACCTTAATACGGCCGGCCGCCCCAAACAAGCGTGAATATTAGTGATATTAGTCCTGAAAACCCGTTAAAAAAAGCGAAGTTCTGAGTGATTTAACGCATAACGATTCATGAACGAATATAAGAAGAAGAAACGTTTTTAACTATTCATGCAAATTGAAGCCGAAAGCAAAAAATTTTACGCAGCGTGAACCCGATTTTTTTTTTAGTGCGTTTACCTGGTTTAAACTCATGCAGGTTGCTTAAATTTCATGTACATGGCCTTTATTTTTAAAAATTTTAATACAGAAACTCTTATAAAAGTGAAGATCTTAAAACTTCTAAGAGAAATAAATATAAAAAAGAGAAGTGATCGAAAAAAAAAATGTTCTATATGAAGTCCGCTAGAGGGGTTGCTTTGATTTTTTTTTTTCAGTGATCACTTGAGAAGTACGAAAAGTTGCTCAAGTGCCAATTTTTGTTTTTGTTTTTTTTTCTGGCTATTTAAATGGCGTTTTCATCGGACAAAACGAAAATTGCTTCGAAACGCAAAAAAATTGCTCCCAAACAAAAAATTAGTACTGTTTTGGAGCAACTTTGGCGCACCGATGAACACGATTTTTCGTTTCGAAGCATGTTCCGTTTCTCCGATGAACACGCCAAAAACTTCGAACCGTGTTCAAATTAATTTCGCGAAATTCAAAATAGTTGACTTCGCGTTAAATCGCAAACCGCTACTCCCTTACGTCATCCCTATGACATCATCTTCATTTGCAAAATTCGCACACGCAGCCATATCATTTTATTCATTTTTTTACGTTCCAATTTATAAAAATTAGATTCGACGTGAAAACTTTTCCGGTCACATGAAAAACAGAAAGATATCACACTTGAAAATCTCCTTTTGATTGGAAACTTTTTTTATTTTTCTATTTTCTTAATTTTTTTTAGAAACCTTTTAAAGGTTTGGAATAATCCGAGGCGTCAAAGCTCGCGCTTACGCACAGTATGCTCCTTTAATTTTTTTTTTCTTTTTTTTTTGGGAAGAACATTTCACAGATTTTTTCGCTACGCGTATCAAGTTTGCAAAAAGTTTAGAGCTATCTGATAGTGTTATTAGTTTCCAAGTTTTGAAACTAAATGCCTTTTATGTCAAGTATTCATTTATTTGACGAATTTTTCACTGTGGCTCAGTTTTTTCGAAGCGAGCCACAGTCGGCTTCGCGCTATGCGCGCTCCGCCTCCGTGTGAAGCCTTAAAACTAAGCCTATTTTCTTAAGTAATGCATGAACCTGTAAGCGCAGTTTTAATGCAAAGGCGCATTTCAGGCTCTTCTCATTCTTCAATTTTTTTCAATTTCAATTTCAATTCAGTTCAATTTATTCAGTCTTCAGAGTAAAAAAAGAAGAAAAATCTCTGCTGAATCATGGTATAATCGAAGAGTTAGTCGTCGGCGCGGGTGACGGTCCACAATCGTTGTCCAATACGTCCCGGAGTGACAGCTAGCGTTGGGAAATAATGTTGGCCCGTTGGTAGTACTAGCGAATAAACTGCTTCACCATGTTGGAACAGTACGGCGCCCAGCTTGTCCAGGGCTGACGGGCGTCGGAATGTTATCCCATGAGAGAGCGGCAATGAGACCGACCAGTCGACGTGATGAAATGAGATAATAATAATCTGCTGAATCATGTTCACGTGAATAAAATGAATATATAGCCAAATATTTTGATTACGCTTATTTCTTTTGTTACGAATGATGTCATAGGGATGACGTCAGGGAGTAGCGGTTTGCGATTTAACGAAAACTAATAGCTGTCATAGAAAAAAAAAAAAGATAACTTATTTTTGGAGAGACTATCTCGCATTTCGTTGAAATCACTTTGAACACGGCATCGAAAATAATTATAAGTCATTTACACCCTCCATCTTGCATTTTTCGCTTCTTTTTTTCTTCTCACCATGCTTATATTTCATTATCACGGCATGATTTAAGTATCAGAGAAGCGGCTTTATGAACTTTTTGCTTCTATTTCAGTAGGATTCTTCGCTAGTTTATTTGATATCTATCAATTGAAATGTAAAATTTTGATCTCGCGTTTTTTTCAGGTATGTCAAATACCGAGAAAAACCACGAAGAAAAACTAAATTTGATATCTTCGTTCGAATGTTCTCAGAAATTGGTATCAGAAATTGATCGAGGCATCAGCAGTACGATGGAGATTCAGGTGTAAATTTTTCCAGAAAACTTATGTTTTCATGGTTTTAGCCTCGTATACGAACCAGCATTGATGAACTGGAAAAGATAACTTTGACGGTTAATTGTTTAGGTCTCTTCTCATCGAACGAATTAGTGAGTTTTCGGGAATTTTTTTTCGATTCTTACAAAACGCTGTTGAAAAGTTTATACACTGAATACCAGCACTGTAGGTATGGTTTAGCTTATCTTTTTGTAAACAAGTTTTTTTTTCCTTTTCGCAAGCAGTAAAGAGGCTCTACAAGTGTATGTATATCCTAGGATGAAAAAATCGGCAAAACTCTATGCGAGAAATCGTTTACAACAAGTTCGAAGTTGGGTTTCTCGTTTATGGTGTCTTCGGCTCTAGACTTTGTTCATGCGCTCTCAAAAACTCTGGAGAGGAACTTCAAAAATTGATCAAACAAATTTATGATTCTCCACCTAGGTGTAATCTTTTATTGAAGTTTTAGTTTTCAGATAGACGATGTCCCGACGGACTCCCTTTCTTTCCTGTTGTTGCCTTGTTATCTCGGTGTCTTGCACCAGAACATCACTACAGAACCTAAAGTTAAGCTGGCGGAGCTCGAAAGGGCGACCATCTACTACCAAAGCTTTCTAGAAAGAGCAAGAAATCTCAAAATAATTGATTACAATTTCCATTGGGATGTTGAGGCTGAGGAGGAGAAATTAGGTAAATTCGAATTTTGGTTCAATAATAACTTTCTTTAGACGGTGAGAGAAGGTCAAAACTCACAGCAGAACAAGCGCGAAGTTTGAAGCTGGCCAGGTTTCGAAAGAAAAAGGAACTGACTGAATTGGAGTCGAGCATCCGACACCAAATTCAAACTTCCGACTCAGAAGATTCCATATTAGTGAGCTCATTCCACACCTCTTTCTTTTTTAATACTGTTTTCAGCGTCACTTATATGTAACCCAACTGAAATATTGGTGTGAGAAGTCTTTGGAAGAACTCCAGTCCATAGAAGGTATCTTTATTGTTTCGATTTTGAATTTTCCTTCCGTCTGGAAAATATACACATAGTTCTCTTCAGAAGAAACGCCTTTGCTGAAGATGATGGCGGAACGTGGATCAACACCTATGGAACCCCGCCCACCACGTAGGAATTTTAAAAGTTCTCGAACGAATGTATATTATCAGAATTAGAAGGTCTTATAACAACAGCAAGGAAAAGTTTTTCAGGGATAGCGTCAAAACCCTTCATAATAACTAGGGACGAACAGCAGAAAAAAGTTTTCGGGATCGGTTATCCGGCTATTCCCACAATGACTGTCGATCAATGGTACGAGAAACGGTTTGGACATGGTCAGCAGGCTTCTGCTCCAAGTTCTTCCGCTCCCAGGTTTTTCTATTTTATGTCTTGAGCTTTTTAAATTCAAGTTATACATGTTAAAATACTTTGTTCATTCAGAAAGGACGATTCAGAAGAAGATGAAAACGACGATGAATCAAGGCAGCGGAAGATCAGGATGGACGAGTACAAGGATACTCACCGCCGAGGCTGGGGCAACACTCACAACAAAGGATGATTTTCTTGCCTCCCCCGTTTTCTTGTTGGCTTCTTTCTCCACCCTTCGACGACGTTTCACGGCTCTGTTGCCGATTGTAAATTGTTTTTTTTTCCATTTTGAATAAATTTTACAAGAATAGACTTTCTGGCTAACCTTACCTTCTTCAGTAAATTGCTTTTTATATCTGTTTCACATATGAAAAAAAAATCCAATTTGAAAATGTTTTCAGTTACTATTGAAGTAACAGGAAGAAATGTCGTATCGTCGTGCAGGTTCAACTATTAGGTTGTCGAAAATAATTGAAATTTTCCAGCCCCCGAGAACGATTCCGATGAAGAAAGGCCTGAACAAGCTCAAGACGACGAGGTTCCCTTATATTCTCATTTTTCGGGTGGTTCCAAACGAAAGAAACAAAAAAAAACTTGTTTCAAAATTATTATCTTTTCGAAGTGATCTTTACTACTATATTTACCCAATTAAAGTCATTAAAAAAATCACCATTTTTTTGTATTTTTCTTGAACATCGTCCACTTCAAAAATTCTGAGAACAATATCAAAGAACTTTCAAAAAGAGAGAGTCCGAACTTTTTATGATTATATTTTTTTATCTTCTAAGAAGTCGCAGTTTTTGCAGGATTGCGGCCCATCACAGCCTAAAAAGAACCGGAACTTGTGGTCGGACATGTTGTTAGACGAAAAACTCCAAGATGCAAGTGCTCGTGTTCAAATTGCTCAAAAGAACAATTCAACTGTTAGTTTGTATATAGATATTTTTTTCTAAACTTATACATGTTGCGTTTGCAGAAAGTGAGAAGAGGGCCAGAAACCTACGAAATGCCGCCGGAAGTCGCTGCAAAGTTCAACAAAAACAATCAGGGCGAAGCGAAAAAAGAAGAGACTTCAGACAGTGAAGTGCTTGAGCCAAAAGGAAACGTTTCCATATCGAGAGTTTAGAAACCCTTGGTCATGATCACGCCGGCGTGTGATAACCCTTTTGGAGACGTCACTGACGCCGCCCCCCAGGAGAATTTCGGAGTAATAAGTTTTATTTCGGCGAATATCTGGTTAAAGGATGATTTTGTTTTCAAATCTCACTTTTTAGGTGAAGTCTAGCAGTAAAAAGGAAGTGAAAGCAGCAGGTGGGTTTCAATTTCATGAAAAAGTCAGTTTCCGTTTTTCAGATGGTTGGTGGTGCAAAAGAGGTCACGCTCGCAAATACGGCGCTAAACACGAAAGTGCGAATAATCAACGGTTTGGTGGCAAGAGAGATTGGCAAGGAAAGGTTTGAAATCGCTTCTTCTCAACTTTTAAATCTATCTCCCTGATGTTTTTTGACCTTTTCAAATCGGAATCCATGTTCTTCCCATTTTTCGTGGTTAAATTTATTTTATAGTCAATCCATCCCGACTTGAAAGGCGGGGAAGGGGCGGTACGCGTAGTGTGTGCATACGCGGTTCTTGGCCAGAATTCTATCCTAGCGTCATCGACTATTTGGAGAGCTCATTCACCGCTTATTTTGTATATATTTCCCTATTTTAAAATTCCCAAATGAAAGAAAAAATCAAAAATCAACAAATAATTGAGGAATAAATGAAAAGAGCGATGAACGAGCTTTCCAAATAGTCGGTGGCGGTTGAATTGAATTCGTGCCAAAAAAAAAACCCCGAACGCACACGCTACGCGTCCCGTCCCCTTCACCGCCTCCTTCACCTTTTAAGTCGTAAAAAATAGACTATAAAATAAGTTAAAGAAGACTTATAACTGATTAACGACCAGCTTGGGATGCTAAGGGAGCGTGTCCTGTCTGCGCTCTCCACGAGCCAGGCGCTATCTTGTGCATTATCGTGCCAGGACCATTTTTTCGATGGCTCAAGCCAGCCGTGAATCAGCTATACCATCAATTTTATTATTGTTATACTTTAAGCTTTTCTCCCCAACAATTCTTGATACGGAAGTTCTATGGGGCTTCCGCCATACCAAACCTCTGTTAATCAGGTTAACCAGAGGGCTTCTATTAACTAGGGAACATATCTAAGTAGAAGAAAACCTACTTGTTGGAACCATATCAGTCAAGTCTACTAATCTTATTCCTTGGCAATTTCGGTTTTGTTCTTCGTCAAAAAAGACCGTTCTCAGACTAACAACCCGAAGTCGTTACTCACCAACAGCTACAGCTTAGAGGCACTTTTGGCTGTTGATTTCCTGGAAGGAACTCCTCTGGAAGAAGTTTGACTATGAAGCTTTAATTAAAAGGAAGAAATCCTTTCAGTTGGGACAAGAAATGGCCCGTGCATTCGGCGAACGAGACCCTGAAACAGTAACAAAAATTGTAAAAATTATCGGCGAAGAAAAGGTTTTTGAGGGTCTCAAAAAAATATTTATATATATCCTACTTCAGGCGATAGCGCTTTTCAACATGACCAGAGACTGTGAAAAAGCAGGAGGAATGATGGTTTTTTTGGTTTTTTTTTTCTCTCTTTAATTTGTGTTTCAGACGGCAGACAAAAGCCGTCGAAGAACTCCGGGCGGCGTTTTCATCACTCTCTTCAAAACGGATTCTGATGTTTCTCCTCAGACTAAGGCAAGTTGTCAACTTTTCAAAATTCGAGCTGGAGGAAAGCGGCAGGTTTTTTTTTTCCTTTTGTTCGGCTCTCAAAAAGAGGCTCTCAGAAAGTTATGCCGTGTTCAAAGTGAGTCCCGTGAAATTAAAACCATCTCTGACTTTCCAATTCTTATTAACGGTAAGATCTGTTTTCAAAGTTAAAACTCTCTGATGTTTCTTTTGTATTTTGCAAAATTACTTATATTATGGAAAACAGTTTTTTACTTCATGAAAAGTTCGATCATGAAGAGTTCTCACCAAAAATTTCAAGATCTCAAGAGCGGATAGTTTTTTCGGCTTTTAAACAAAAACAAAATATTTTCCCCAATGAAAGTCTGTGGAACGATGTGAAGATTCATATTTCTATAGAATATTACTTCCAAACATTCGATGACCATGGCTTAGATGTCTATGATCGCACGGTGAATGGCTCAAAGGGTGAAGACTGCGCAGAGGTTGCTTTGAGGCGATCCGGACCCCGTTGTCGGCATCAAATTCTTACAGCTGCTAAGTTTAGATCCGTTAGGGAACGAAACTCAGACCGCGTTGAGCCATTTAACATACGACTATGGCATTTCGAAGTCGGACTTGGAAAACAGAAAAGTCAAAAAGTCATTCTGCATTTACAGGATTCTATTTTCGGCGAGTTCAAGAGCAATGAGAAGTGCAAGAAAAGCAACAAACAAAAAAGCGACTTCGACAAACGACTTTCGGATGTCAGTTTTTTTTCTTCTCATCTATGGCGCTTGTGTACTTGGCCGATCGTGGAACGCGCGACGGAAGATTTCTCAGGTTGATGCAAAGGTCACGCCGCAAATCGGCACAGTGCAACAGGCACGAGACAACTTTCGCTTTGAAATCCATGACGCTAGTCTGAATTAACTCATGAGAATCGCACTTTGTGGAAAAATCCTCACATGGAAAATAAGAAGTTCGAGTTGGAATACTTATTGCGAAATCATGCCGCTCCTCTCGCAATGGAGACAAATTTTTGTCTTGCAATTTTAGGCTATAAAAATTTTTTTCAAGTTTCATTTCTAATGATCGCTTTGAAAAGTAGTAGATGTTTTTTTTTCTTTTTCTTCTTTCTTAACAAATGTTTCTTGAAGAGATGGAAAACTTCATAATGACCTTTTGAAAGGTCTTTTCTAGAAAGATATATGGCTTACTACAGAAAACAGATCAAAACATGGTTTAAGAAGGAACAAGAACGGCTGAAAACAGTTCAAGAGACACCTTACCGTCGTGTTAATTTTGGGTTTTTCTAGCTGGTTATGGCGTGGTTTTTTAGCTTGAAGAAACCTATTTTGAGCAACTTGATAGTCTGTCTTAATTCATTGATTTTAGTTTAGAAAACAATTTTAAGTTGGCTCATTTGTTTACGAAGTATGAAAAGGAAATTTTTAAAGATGAAGAAGACTTTGGACAAGGCCAAGGACGCCGAGAAAGAGGAGCCGACAGTGGCCAATGTACTGCTCGGCGACTTAGCCGAAGATTCTTCGAAGGAGGAAATGAATTCGCAAGATGTTCCGATGGAGAATTGAAATTTTTTCCGTCGTTGTTGATCTTTTTCGCAACGGGTCTCTTGTTGTTGCTCCGTGATTATTAGGTTGTTCTAAGAAATTGTTAATTTGCGTTTCATTCGTTCTGTTCCCCTGTGAAATTTCTTCATTGTAATAACTGCTCTTTTTGGAAATGAATCGTTAAACGATTATATTGGGACTGTTGCGTCGTGAACAATATTCTCAAATAACAACCTCTCATTGCAGCCAATTCGTCTATGACCCAGTATAAATACAGAGGCCTCCACTTGATTCCGCTCATTCGTTTTCTTCTCACCGGTTTACGTTTTTGTTTTTCCCGAATAACTGCTTCTTGACCTTATTCTTTTCGTTTTTCGAGCGGCTTGATCACCTGACACTTGTGAAAATCCAGGTTGCGCCATGGATTTCGACAGCAAAAAGAAAGAGGAGGCGCACAAACAACGGATACGGTAGACCAAAAAGGTCAGAAGGGACCAATCAGCAGGTCTTCAGTTGGGAGCAGTGGAAGCGGGAACAGGCTGAGGCTGAACATCGCGGTCTCGAGTTCAAGTCGTACTGGGAGCGGCGCCACGAGGAAGACCGCGAGCTATGGCGACGAAAGGTCATCTTCAGTAATTAACCATTTTTGCGTTTAATGTTGAGTGGTGTTAAGGAGGAACTCTTTTTAAAGTAGAATGAGAACCAAGTTTGTGTTCGTCTGACAGGTGAGAATAAAAGAAAGAGCTCATTTTCTTGGGACAGTCATTCAGAAAACCGCAAACCCGCGTATTCTCTCTGTGATTGAAACTTTTTGGTTTTTTTCTAGTTTTAAATTTTCGTGAAAAATTCTCACAAAAGGAAAAACAGAGATCACGCAAAAAAATTTTTGAACTCTCAGCTCAATTTTTTTGTTTATAAAATGATTTGGTTGGAGTCTCGTCTGAAAGTAACGCAAAAAGCTCAAAAAAACCCGTTTCCAGTTTTTCTTTCTGAATGAGAATTTCGACGACACGACTCTCTCTGTGCAAACTTTCGAGTCAGGAAATAAGTGTGTCTTTTAAAATATGAATATTTCTGCTTGACGGAAGTTAAAACACTTTACAATATTTTCCGGAACACAATATTTCAATCGTCTCCATAGTTCAATTTTTTAGAAACACTCTCAATTTTTGTAGAACGCTCCATTAGATGGAGGCATAAAACTTGGCGATATTTCAAAGGCGGTGTGAACTTTCGGCGCCGCCGTTTGTCCTCGCCGTCTCAGACAGATAACGACCATATGAGTTATGAGATTTCGCGTGTCTAGACGTTTTTATGGATCCTTTTTATTCCTCCGATGGGTGGTCGGCATTTTCTCAACATATTTCAAACCAACTGACGCTATGAACATTTTTTTAAATGTAGTCAGTTGTAGCCGTTTACGCTGAGACGCAAGTTATGTATAGATTTATGAACTCGAGCCAGTAAGGTACTGGATGAAAAATTTGCGTTGAAGGATTTCGCTAATGCTGTCGACAAAGTCAGCCGCGGAGGTTACAAAGGAAAGCATGGAAACTACGATATTCCGGGTAAGTTGAAAAGTTTCATCCCACTTTTCGCAGTATCCAAATAGGGGAACGATTTTCAGAAGGGGCCAGATCGGAACTCTTCGCTCTGTTCATGCAGGTCACAGTCGGCGATTACGGTAACCTAGTTGGGAGACACGACGGCAAAAGATTTCAGACGGGAACGTGTCACTCTCTTGCTGCGAACTTTGGAAGAAGCTGCGTGGAACGCCGAGAAGTGACGCGACGCGGGAATTCGTCAAGCTCACCAACAAGGTGCTCACCAAGTACGGCTGGAACCCGCCGCCAGGCTGGGTTTGAGTCTCAGAAAGTTTGCAGAAGCTGGACAGAAAACCGTGACTGTTTTCCCATTTTATAAAGAATTTAGAACGAATAGAACCATCCATGTTTTTTTTTTCATTGTGTTCCAATAGAAAATATTACTTGTAAAACTATTTACAATTTATTGAAAAAAATTTTATTCGTTCATAGTTTTGGGACAAGCAAGACTGGAGAGAAAGAGAAAAAAAAATAGCTCAAAAAGGGACACGCATGGAAAAAGCAGTGAAGATTGCACGTCGCCACCCTGTATTCGCCGGATAAAAAGTCGAGGCTAAGGAATAAAAAGATAAAGAAAGAGATCGCAGGTGGGTGTAGGACTGAAGACGTCTTCCGAGTCCGATACGCCTCTATCAAGTCTATACCCTAGATCAGTTATTGAAATTTAAATGGTCGGTGTGAGGAAAGACGTTCGTTCATGCACCCAGAAGAATAGAAACAAGTAATTAAGAGGTTGGGGGATTTGGCCATCCCGATTGCAACATTTCTGTGTTTGTGATGTGTTGACTAGGTTTCTGACCAGCAGTACGCCGTCTATAAGAGAAAATAAAAGAAAATGATATGGAGCTTTTCAATTTAGATAGATATGAAAGTATTAAAATAGATTAAGGAGGAATTTTCGTGCCTTTTTGATATGGACAAGTCTGATATGAACTTTGAATGAGGCCGGAATTGTGTACGATAATAAATTAAGAAAGGCGGTTAATAGGAAGAAATTTCTACGAAATGGACTAACGTGAGGACCCAAGCTCATCCAGTATTCGGCAAAATGTACATTTTCGGAGAAGATCTTGAAGGATGAGCTGGATGAGCCGAGGCGTGCACATTTGGTGCGTGACTGTGCAGTCGGTGAGTGCTATGGCAAAACGTGAGTAGCAACGGGGACCCGGTTCTGTTCAATGGCTCATTTTACAGAAAAAGTGGATTGGCATCTTGGAGGAGCGATTCCTCAAAGTTTTCCGTTTCGTCGGTATCAAGATGGCAGGAACGCCGTGAAGAATCCGTCGAAGAACGCCTCGTCAAAATATCTGGCGTCTGCAATTAATTGATTCCAAAATGAGGGAAAGATTTGCAGGGAAAGCGAATATTTCAGATTGTTTGAAAACTGCGTCACTCTTCATTTACTTATTAAAACTCAAGTTCCTTGTAGATGGGCCGTAACCTATTCCAAGAATATTTCATTTCTTTTAAAATTTTTTCTCGAGTAAAACTTGTTTTTATCGGTTTACCCGGTGCCCATCGTTTTTTCTGCTAAAACTGGTTTCATAATTAAAAATCTTTCAATTTTTCTCATCTTCTGAGACGTGTTTCAAGATTCATTAAATGGGCTTACATATAGAAGAGTAAAACAATTACCAAAAACAGAGAGTTGGCCGTCGTGCCGGAGCTGATCGGCGTGGCGCAGCATCCTTCTGACGGCAGTGGCGGCGGAAAAAGAGGAAACCTCGTGGTTGACGCCGGCGAACTCCTTGTCGATCGCCTCATCTGGAGAGTAGTTGGCGCCTGCTCGGTAGACGTGCAGACCCGTCAGGAAGTTACACACGACTTCCGCTGAACTTCTGTTACTGTATCCGACGTTCAATACTCGCTTACTGTATTTCCGGGCCTCGTCGGCGTTGAAGTGCAGGTTTTTCATCAGTTTCTTCTCGGTGACTTTCTGCAGCTCGTTGTTCGACGGCGTGCAACGAGGAATCTTCATGTCTGCAAAGTCGCCAAGTTGAATAGTGCTGAGTTTATCACAAAAGTAGTCTTTTCTCACCACAACAGATTTTTCCCGAATCTGACCACAAAAATAGTTAGAGGCTATTAAGAATTCAAAAACAGTTTGATTTAAAAGTTATCGAGCCTAATCACGTTTCATTTTGGGATCAATGGCTCAAAAGGATAGTTTTTTTTTACTGTGAATGAATCCCAGTATTTCTTTCATATGAACGAAAAAAAAGTGTAAATGAATTGAACTAAAACTTTTTGGCAACGCACTAAAAATTTGGGGAGAAAAAAAAGAAGAAAAAATTTCCTTGTTGAAAAAGTTGAATGAAAAAGGTCAGATCATCATAAATTTATTATGAGGTTGGTTAAATCATTAAATTAAATTACTTACAAGGAAGGTAATTTTACTTTGCGGTTCGAAAATTTTCTGAAAATTGGTCAAAACACTTCTTGATGTACCAGAAGAAGAACCTGAAAGAGTCAACCTGCACAACTTCTTAGTTTTTGAGAAAGGATACCTCAAAGTCAAAGAAAACACTGAAAATACATTAAAATAGGCTAATTTGAGGCTTTGAGCCCTTACTTCTCGAAAACCAGGGAGTTTTTCAGGTGGCGACTTCCAGATACTGGTACATCAAGGAGTGTTCTGGCCGAAGTTCAGGAAATTCACAACCACAAAGTAAGCTTACTAGGGAACTACTCGGACTCGGGTACGGGTTTCAAGTTCAAATTTTAGTGGTTTATAGACCTAAGTGAGAATACTTGAAAACAAGTGAGAATAACTGCTAAACCCAATAAAGAACTGAGAAAAAATTAGTAGAAAATGGGAAAATTAGGCCTGAGAATTTTCAGAATATTGCTTTTTTTTACCTTATTTTATATTTTTATAAAATCGCCTTGGATGATCCGGCTATGATAAACTCTAAAGAACTTTTTTCCAGCAAAAAGAAGGAGGAAAGCGAAAATTTGATAATTTTCAAGCCTAAACCGTTCATTTTCAAAAAGCTTTTTTTCAGAAGCCTATGGGGTTCTGCAGATAATCTCTCTTGTTTCCAAGTACTCTTACCCGGGTCTATAAGCCACAAAAGTTTCAACTTGAAACGCGTACCCGAGTCCGAGTAGTTCCCTAGTTAGTCCAAAAAAAAAATGACAACAGGTTTTTTCTTTCAACATTCTGCCACTGAGCAACAGCCTCAAAGATGTCGAAAATTCAAGGAATCGCGACGCGTGTTTTTTTTTTACAGACCTTCACCTTCACACCCCGTTTTTATCTCGAGAAGGCGTCATTTATGCCAATTCTTGGCCGGTCGCTCGGCGATCTCCACGCGGCCGAACACTATTTCCTGCGACGGCGGCTGTCGGCAAAACGATCAGAAGAGGCCTTCTCTCCTTCTATTGAAGGACACAGACATCAATATTGCAAATTGATTTCTATGGGATTTCGCCTCTTTTTCTGCTTTGCTTCCCGCGTTACGTCACTTTGGTGCGCCTCTTTTCAAATAAACAACGAAAATCTCTCGATTCTTGAGCGGCTGAACCTAGGTCTTCAGTCTGGACGAAACATGTCTACAGTAGCTGGGGCATATTTTTCTCAATAAGCTTTAGGAAATATACTTCTAACCCGACAACTATGAAATAAAAACTTTTTGAAGGTTACTTCTTGGATTTTTTTGTTTTCTTTTCAAACTAGATTGCAGTATCAATTATTGAACTCAAGTAAAGTTATTTTAAGCATTTAAATTATTATTCAATTTCAGGTTGTTTGATGGTAATTTTCTATGAACGGTGAATTTTGACTGCGGCGTTTTTTTTCCATTTAGGGACGGGTCAACGATCGCTATACTTTTTTTCGGGTGCGCCATCTGCAGAATTGGCACGCGCTCCTACTACCGTAGTCTGGTCAGCGAGAAAAGATCTGGGATATGGTATTGCTCACTTTTCAAAAGACGTTTCGCCGGCGATCTGTGATTCGTGTTGCGCATGTGACCTGCAAAAACCTTTTTAATTATACGGATCCCTGAATACAATTCGAAATTTTTTTTTTGATTTTGTCTTTATTAATGACATGATTAAACTGTCTTTTTGGGATTGAATTGAAGCCCGAAAATCGAAAAAAAAAAGTTCACATTGATTTGAAAAACGAAAATATGTGAGAAATTATAGTTTTTTTCTGATGAAACATGACGAAAGAAATGGGGCAGGAAAAAAAACTGACTGTAGTCATCTAGAGCCCGCTGCATAGGCACGATTTCGGACATGAGCCAGACGAAGAGACAGAAATGGGAGGATCCGACGTAGTTCCAATTCATTCCGCACTTGTCGTCGATGTCGAAGACGATCTCGTCGAGCGGAATGCTCTTGTAGTAGGGATACATGAGGGCCTCCTGCTTCCGCGAGTGATGGAGTCCCAGAGCGTGGCCGATCTCGTGGGCCAGCACGTAGGGGAAGAACCGCTTTCCACTGCGAAAATTATTCGTGAACAATCAGACGACTCCACTATTTTTTGTGAAAAGAGGTGAAAAGAATCAAAATAGATATACTGGTCTGGACTGAGAAATTTCGAGCGATAAATTTCATATGGGTCTTCGGAAATTTGAGGCTTTTAAATAATTATTTCAAATTTGAGTTTTTAAATGGTGCAGGTAAGTTCTAACTTCTTTCAAGTATAGACGATTCACGGCTAGCTTGGGACGCAAAAAGGCGTGGCCTGTCTGCACTCTCCACCAACCAGGGCACTGTCTCGTCTCTTTTCGTGGCAGGACCCTTTTCTTGAGGGCTCAAGCCAGCCGTGAATCAGCTATACCTCTCTACGTTTCATTAGAAGTTTGCCATTTAAAAAATTAGAAATGTAAAAGGGTCATACAAATTGTTTTCGTTGAAACTAGGCTTCTGACAACTGATTGCAATTATTTTTCTTTTTGAAAATTTTCCTTTGGATAATTAATTTTGTTTGAGGTTATTCTCTGTTAAGCTGAATTTCCTTTAATACCAATAAATTAACTAATATTCAAAAAAAAAAAACGTGATTCCTGGATGTTCTATGCTGTTTGTCTAGAGGGAGATGTAGTTTTACCTGTCGACGGCGGTTACTTCGACGCCCCATTCTTCGGCGTCGTCGAAGTGGATGTCTCCGTTGAGAGGCGACGCGTAGGAAGGGAAGAACGTGTGTGCAAGAACTATCTCCTTGTCTTCGCTCTTGCCGAACTGAAAGTTCTGGAAATAATATTCGTCGTGCCTCGCGAGTCACCTTGTGTGCGTCGCCGTGCTCGCCTTCGGCCCACAGGATGTTAATGTCGGAGTCGGCCTGCGAAGCTGCTTCTTCGAATCTCAGCGTCACCTTCTTCTGCGTCCGGATGTTACTCTGTGCGCTCCAAAGCTGAAATGCCTTCCTCACTGTCGCCCTGAAAATCTTAATAATGTGAAAAGTACTGAATAGTTCCATGAAATGTTTGCATGAATGGAAATACACTCCCGGATAGTTTCTCCCAGAAAAAAGCACATATTTCATTCTAATTATCTTAATTTTCTTGCTGTTTCGCAAAAATTTTTAGAGCTCTTTTTCAATATTTATGGATTTTATATTCATTTCTTGATTAAAAATGAATAAATTTTGAAAGAGGTTTTGAAAAAGCAATTTCTTTGATGAAGAAAGTAAAATTTGTCAAAAGATTTGATAGTAAAAAAAAAATAGGGTTTGAGATAAACGTCCCATTTTGTAGAGCTCTTTACTGCGTGTCGAACGGTATACTTGAAAACGTACATAAGCTAAAATCTTCAGAGAAAACAAAATTTAAGTTGGACAGGAAAAAGTTTATATCCCGACATAGCACTTCAGACCTAGAGGGACCCGTCCGGTTTGCACTGCGCCGTCTCCGCTGGCCATACTAGACCATTTTTGATCATTTTTTGTATTGAATGCAATTAAGAAGGCAATTTCCGACATTAATAGATAAAAAATTACAGAAAAAAAGACTTTTCACTTACTAAAGACGCATTTCCCAAATTAGGCCATTTTTTTCAAGGCTTGCCAGCGTTCGTAAAAACTTGATTATTAAAACTAAATTTGTATCTTTGAATGTTTTATATGTGTTTTTCTTCAAATTTGTTTATTTTTCGTACAAAAAGCGCGTTAATAACGAAGATATCGCCCAAAAAACCGCCATGGGTGTATGCACAATTTCAACCTACAGTGTACCAAACCACACGGGCTGAACAGATGTGGTGGCAGAACAGTTTTTTTCGTTCAAAAAGCACGAGCCGAATCGCAGGAAAACGCGGCAGGTTTCCGCAGCATGATGAATCGGATGTACTCATTTGAAAAGAAAAAAATTTTTAAGGAAAATATTATTGGACATTTGCCTAAAAGACGAGCAATCCCTCTGTGATAATCCGCTGAAACGCGGATTTCGGCTCGAGCCTTCGAATTGGGAAAACTTTTCCCCGTCAAATGTGCTTTAAACGCGGCAAAAAATTTCAAGTCTAATGACCCTTCCGTAACATCGCATGCACGGCTACTGTAAACAATTGTTCATTGTACACTGTTCGATAAACCGAGTGAATTTCGAAATTCAAAGGCGGGAAATAAAATCGTGGTTCATTTCAAAAGTCATATCTGTGATTTTTGCGTAGACCCTTCTCTACGAAATAAAAAGATGTACAAAAAACTTTTTTTTTAATAAAAAACGCCGTTTTTTACTGCCCATATGTCTTTAAGGGATTTCAAAATCGTTATAGGCCATTCCGCGCCAGCTTCTCACGTTTTTCTTTCCGCCAAAAGGCCAGGTCAAATTTAACCAACTTTCGCTTTAAGACCTTTGTTTTTTGCCGTTATAAAAGCAGAAATTTGATCTAATTTGGTGAACGGTCTTTTTGGCGGAAAGAAAAACGTGACAAGCTGGGGCGGAATAGGCTATATTGCGTCATTTGATTTCACCTTCAAAGCTTTTTGCTATTTGAAGTATGAAAAATTAGATTAAATTTCATATTTTTCAAAAGGGTGTCAAAATTAAAAAAATTTTTCATTATAAAACTCAAATAAACAAGGTTATTTTTTTCATGAAAAAAATTTCTTATAGACGATTCACGGCTAGCTTGGGACGCAAAAAGGCGTGGCCTGTCTGCACTCTCCAACAACCAGGGCACTGCCTCGTCTCTTTTCGTGGCAGGACCCTTTTCTCGAGGGCTCAAGCCAGCCGTTAATCAGCTATATACCAAAATCTCTTCGAGAAGAAAATTCACTCGCAATAGATGAAAGCAAATTCACAAGGTTCCGAAGGTTTTGATGCACATTTCCGCGCCGTTAAGTTCTGTTGTCTATGTGATTTCACACAGGAAAGAAGTTTTTGCGGAAACAAAAAAGGAATTTTTTATGGTGAGAATGAGAGTAAAACCGAAGAAATATAAACGGTGAAGATTACACATGAACACCCCTAAGAAATGAACAAAAAGGTTTCCAAATTTATCAATATTGGTTTATGTTTTTTTGGAATAGAAAAGCCGCCGGAACCAACCTTATAGAGGGTCTATCGATGTCGCTCGTGTAGGTGGATATAAACCATTTGAGGAGCAGCTCGTTCTCTCCAGTGAAGTGCTTTTTGTCCCATTTCGACTGTAGCGCAAGGGCTAAAATGTCCGCCGGTTAAATGAAAAACGGCTGGGTCTTCTATAATGTTGGTGAAACGAAGGAAGTATTGCCTGGGGCATCTCCAAGTAGTTTAGAACCACTGACTGAATCGTTTTTTGCGAGCGGAAGCAGGACGGTGGACGTCCTGTTGCGAGCAGCGGGGTCGTCTTGCCGCCAGCACCGTCGCCTCGTCAATCTCGCCGCTCGGCTCCACGCCCAACACGTCCTGAAACGGCGGCTGCAGGAAGAAAAACGCTGAGACTCACCTGGAATAGTTTCAGAGCCGCGCGGAACTCGTGAAGCGTCGGAGCCGTGTTCCGCAGGTACCCGAACTTTTCCAGTTGACTCTGTAACTGTCTTTTGCAAACGATTACTACTGTATGTGGAAATATAGTCTTTCTTTTTGAGGTTTAAAAAAATTCCACCTCATCAGCAAATGAAGATGCGAATGAACAAAATTTCAAAAAAATCAATATTAAAAGTACATTTTGTGACAATGAAGACGATATTTTGTGAGAATATATAGCCCGTTTCGCGCCAGATTCTCCGATTTTTTTTCCTGCAAATTGATTTTGAATTGGACCATTTGATCAAAATGTTTACTTTCGTCTTTTTTGCAGTTATGTAGAGCAAAAATGCAAAAAAAATTTCTGTCGTACTTTCAAATGTGAACGTCTCGCGCGCAACACACTATATGATACTTCAAAACTATGAAAAATACCAAATCTGTATTTTAATGGAAAAAGACGGAAAAAAACCGGTACCCCCCGCGTGCACGCACCAGCGCCTGACAATGTTAAAGTTAACCGCACCAGGCTTGTGCGTCAGGCAAGGCCAGGCTTCAAAAATATTTTTTTAATTTTATGAAAAATATTTTTTTTTGGATATTCTTGCTCGAGGCCTCCCTAAGACCGAGCCGTGCTCAGAAAATGAAAATAAATCCTCGCACAAGCCTGGACCACACCTAAAAAATAGTCAGTTTTTAAAGTTCATAAAAATTATTTTCCTTATTTACCCCACCGCTCTCATAATATTCCGCGTACAACTTTTTCATTTTCTCCTCTTACTTCAAGACAAATAAGTCGACGTATATTCTCAAAAAAGCGGCATTTTTCCACAGACTTCCGGTCAGAAGATCAAGCAATCGTCGAGAGAGAAACCATGTAAGGAGAAAGCTTCTCGGAGGGATATAAATGACGTAATCGGCAAAGCGAGTTTTTCTGCGCGAATTGGGTCAAAGCCTGGAACCGCCGATTATGTTTCAAACGCGTAACAATAAAATAACTGTCCCAAAAAACACGTGGTGAGTTGTTCTTTTGGGACGACCTATTTAGGCCAACACCTTGAAGCGACAGCGAAAGCGGCTCGAGGTGTCAGGAACGGCCAAAAAACGGCCTTCCACCAAATCTAGGCTAGGAAACAACGATGGGCGTTTGATTAGCCGATACAGTTTCATCCGAGAAGAAGCATATTCGAGAGCCTTTTTTCTTCCCGAAAAGCTGAATATCTAGCCAATTTTTTTGGATGAGTGGAATACCAAACAGAAAATGAAAAACTGTCTCTCTATTTACGATTTAGGTACTGGAACTCCGTTAGACAGACTTCAAAAGGCCAAACCCTTGTCAATCAGACACCTGGCTGTTTTTTTTGCACCACAGCCGTACTAAAAGTCGGTCAATCAGACTACGATACTGATGATTTCACGGAGTTCAGCGATACAAAATTATCTCATCATAAATTTCGATACCTCAAATTGTGCTCAAGTTTAGGGTCTATAGATTCTAAACTTAGACGTCTAACGAATGTTCAAGGAAACATTTCCAACATCAAGAAGAAAGAAAAAACTTTTGTGACCGGCTTCGTGGACTTTTTTTTGAGCTTAAGTTGACATTTTGATATTTAAGTCCATCGAAAAGGGGAATAGGTTTGTTCGAAAAAAGGCCGTTTCGGATCATTTTCCGTGTTTCTCCATTGCAAGCTCTAGGGAAGGACGACAAGGACCCGAAGGAGGCTGACCACCTAACACTATCCGTCGACGTCTCTGCTTATATTTACCTCATTTTTTTTCTAGCCGTTCAAACTGCAAAGACGCAAAAAGCGACGGCAACAGGAAAAAAGTTCTCTTTTGCCACGGTGGCGGCCGGCGGCCCGATCGATTGGCAGTAGACACCAGATGAACGGTGATGACAAGGCCGTAGGATTTCTACGGCAGAGCCCAAGCTCGTCGAAGCCTCTCCATGGCCGAGCAAGCCCACTTCTCGCCCATGCAGCTGCGGCTGTTCCGAAGGGCTTCGAATAGACGTGTTCATTTCGGCAGAATTCCATTTCTTCCAACAACGAATCTCAAACTATATAAGATGGTACATTCGGAAAAAAAACCGTAGACTCTGAATGGAAACTTGAATACAAATTATCGACATATTTGATGAACGATTTTTAAAAAAGGTTAAATGTTCAACACTCCACCATTTAAAAAGATCGTAAAAAAGATGAATTTGGGGTCCATCGACTTACAAGGACGAAATTGGGAAAGAGCTGAGAAAAGGAAGTTGACGAAGACTTCCTTGTTGCTACGAGATCTCAGGCTTTTTCTGACGGTTTCGCCGCGCGTCGGATCGCACTCAGAGCTGTTTGCTCCGTCCGCATCTCTTCGCAAAAACACAACCTTCAGCCAATGAGTAGCCCGTGTCCAAACAGCGGACCAGACCGAGGAAAACACAACTCTCAGAGCCATTCCTTCTTTGGTAGCCTCGTTCACATTGAGGACTGTGTTGTTTACGGATCTCGTCGGAATTTGAACACTCTTGTGTGGTGAGCGATCAGAAGGCACAAAAGGGGCCAACGGACCGTCGCAGAATTGCCGACGTCACGAAAAACAAGTTCAGAGTGCCCTGGCGTCGCCAGAGGATCACGGCTACTGTATCTGTCACCGGAAGCTCGCCGTTTTTCGGGAGAAAAAGGACATGAAGTGTGAGGCGTGGATATACTTGAAAAGGTACTGTAAAGTCACTCAATCTGTGACTTCTCCGTTAGAGATTTTGACTTTGAAAATAATAAGGGAGCAGAGAAGTAGAATTGGGAGAAAATTGTGAAAAATCTTGGAATTGTTCGAGTCATGTTATTCTTTATTTTATCAAAGCATCGTCATCATAAAGGTCAAAGAAAGCGAAAGAAATGTTCTAATATCACTTTTTTCTATCCGTAATCTCAATTATTGTTCTGCTTCGACAATAAAGAATATTATTAAAACTTCAGAAAAAAATAAAAGATTCAAGAAAAAAATTCTTTTTCGAAGAGCCTAATTATATTAAACTCCACATTTCTCAAAAAAACAAATAATATCTAACAATTTAAAAAAACCAGAGGAATGCAGAAAATCAACAAAATGTCACTCGTCACCAAATTGAGAAAAATTTTTTTACAGGCACTCAAAAACGAGCGTAAAAATAAACGGGAAGATGATTAGTTCGAATGTTTCTGGAGTTTCTTTTTTCCAAGCTCGAATGGATTTTTTTTTTGTTGCAAAATCGCGAAATAGGTTTGCAAAAATTTTAGTGGAGGCATTCAAAGGTTGTAAGACAAACGAAAAAGAAGTTCAGACATGAATAAAAGATGAAAATAAAAATGAAAAGATGGAGAAGCTCGAGAAAAGGAAAACAAACCCGAACAAACTCGAAGTTGTGGTGGAGGTGGAAGGCGTCGGCGGTGGGTGCGGCGTCGACGGTGGCGACGAGAAGCACGACGAGAGACATTAGAAGCATTCTCGCACCTCGACAACCACTGTTGGCAGCAGCCACGACGACCCGAGCGGATTGCACGTCCAGTGGACCTCGTTGGCGCCAGTGGGCGGAGCTGGCCGAGGAAACGCACGAGGTGTCGAGGTTGAGGAGAGGCGGCGCTGGCGGCATGGGGACACCGCTCAAGCAGCAGCAAAAGTAGGGATCCTCCGCGAAGGCCTGAAGACGAAAGTAGTCCGAGATCACAACCAATTACAAGGCCGATTCATCAACCGAATTGGATCAGCAAAATGTTCGAAGACGCTGTTTTTGTGGGTGTCGAGAAGAAGAAATATGACCCGCGATAAAGAAGCCAAGCTTGATTGATGCTTTCTTCAGAGTGAAATTACCGTTTGGAGACGGCTTCAGGAGAACGACTTGCGAGACCAGAAAGAAGCCTTAGATGAACGAGAGCCAAAGAGAAGAGCTTTGAGAAGTTTTCGTGTTGTTTGTGGCCGGGTTTAGGTTCAAATGGCAGAATCGAAGACGACCAAGATGCGACGACGGCATTTCCATTTCGTTGATAACAATCGCACCGTTTTTGTGGGAGGACGGTGGCGCAAAAACGGGCATTTTTTTCAGCCACTCTCACCGCGATCGTCTAAACAAGTCGGAATTAGAAAAAAAAAGCATCCGTGCCCTCTGAAAAAATCTGATCATTTTCAACCGTTGGTTCCTTATTTCGGCGATCAAATCTGAACTAGATTCTTCTTAGTTTCTTAGAAGATGGAGAGATGATGAAGAAAACAAATGGATTTATTATGAGCAAACATTCTTGAGTGAAAAACAGACAGGTAGGCAGTGCAAAATGATATTCTCTTTTCGGCTGTGGTCAAGTGTGAACAAAAATTGAAAAAAGAGTAAATGAAAAAATACGCAACTGCATTTTCATCAAATGAAATAGTGAGCACCGATATGATAATTCCTTTGTAAATAGAAAAATTAACATAATGCGAAAAATGGCAATGAACAAATATCTCTAAAAAAAACACGCATGCAGTTATAGAAGAAATAAACAAGATAAAGTCAATCAGAAGCACCGAAGGATGAAATTGGGAGCATTTTTCTGTAATTTGTCTTACAATAAATTTTTTCTCATGAAAACAGATGATGGGGAAGGTCGTTTTCATTAGGAGACGCCATCATGTATTCATCGCCCCGAAGAGTGTTCCTGCATTGATATTGTTACTGTAGCCGACCCAAACCTTTTTGTTGGTTTTTTTTTTCAATTCTCTTTTTCAAAACATTCAAAGATTTTTACGCTCGTTTATAATGAACCGATCTCAGGCCAGAAGCGGAAATAAAAATAGTCATTTCAATGCGCATAAGGTTCAGCTCTTGTCATATATATGTAATGAAAAATTTCCACATTGAAATATTCTCTAAATGTTCGTTTTTGTATTACAAGATTCTTGAACTTAAACATTTTCAAGCGGTTTTAATTTGAAAATCAAAAGAAAATTTTTTTTTCACGCTTGAAAAGTAAGTATTAAACCGGTAACTTAATCGTTTTTTTGCTTTCCAGAAGTAGATAAAGAAAAAAACAAGAGTTCAATAAACGATAATAAAGATCCAAAAAAAGTTTTCATAAGCTTGACCCACGCAGTCTTTATTAGGTCAAATGACGTAGTGGTCATTAGGAGAGAAAACTAGAAATTATGGGTTGTTCAGAAAAAAAAAATCTGCGATCGATTCTTTCAGATGAGAATACGAAAATTTTCTTCCGAATGAAGTTTGAAAATTCACTCAAACAAAGGAAGATTTTAAGATTTGGAAAGGAAACAAACTTCTTTGTAAGAGCGGTGGTACTTCTCCTCGACGAGCTCGTTGGCGCCGCCGGCCGACGTCGATGGTCCTCCTTCTGAAAACTCAAGTTTCCTTCGTCTGACCCACAACCGACGTCTTCCGACCCGCACTACTTCTACTTTCGCCTTGCACTTTGTCACTGCGCGGCGGGTTCTCTCTGGACTGCCAGAGATCCCATCGTCCTTTGCACTATTTCAGAGTACCCACTTGTACGTAATTATTTACTTTTTTCGACTATCGGAATTTCTAAAGGGTTGCAGACCAAGTTAGAAGGAGGTCCGCGTACAAATACACTTACTCAACACCATTCCTCTCACTTTTTTCTACACATATCAGCGCCTACGCTGAAAAAAAAGTAGAAGGAAAAGAGAGAATGACGGTCAAGAAAAACTAGCGACTGATTTACGAGCGAACGGCGATTGGACGGGAGGTCGCGTATGTGTCACCAACAGCTTCTAGAAATATTCAAAAAAAGGGATCCTTGAGAATACTTGCGTTTATAATTTACCCCAATATCGTCAGATCCCGTTTTTCCTTCCAAATTGTATTTTTAGAGACTATAACTTGTATGAATGATATATATTTTGAAGGTTTCGAAACTTTTCGATGAGAATTTCAGAAATTACTGACCGACGTTGGACGTAGACGTGGAGAATTTCTTCATTCGTTCGATGGTCCTGTCGAGTGGCTCCGAGACGATGTCGATCAGTTCGTCGGCCCATTTGCCGGCGTCGGCCGAATCTGAACCCAATAATAAGGGACCGTCGAGAGCTCTCGTGTCTTGTTGTCTCTAGAGTTGGCCGCTATGCCAACCGTCAGATGACAAGGCCGCGATGAGACATACGCATACATCGTCCACACAACAAAACCACTTTAACCGCACACGCGTACACAAAAATGATCGAACACATAAGATAGGAAACTACGAATCTAGCAACAGTCAATCATTTTCACGTCTTCTCAGAAAATTTTCTTTTTTTTCACGATTAATTTTCGTCAGGCAATGTAAGGCTAGAAATTTTGTAATTAAAAAAAAGGTGTCAAAAAGTAAATTTTTTTCTACCAAATGAGTATAATATCCGAAATAAAATTCAATCAAAAAATTTCATTTTCAGCTTATTCATGAATAACAACTTCAAAAAAATAATTACAAACTAAATAAATGTATCAGCTCACTATGAAAATAATTGGCCGTACTGTGCAAACTTATAGTTCCCGAAAGTTGGACTTAAAAAGGATCTCAAAGAGTTCCGCAGTTCTGTTTGAGTTATCTAGCCTTGTAAGTGATCATTCTGAAGAACATGCAATACAAACTCTTGGATGCGTAGGGAACGCGCGCAGGTGCACTCGTGCCGTTGCCGCCTGCGGCTGTCGCCGCCGAGCTCCGAGTTGTCTCGTGTGACTGTCGCGAGGATTGAAACGTGTCTGTCAATTTATTTCGTGCTCATTCAGACATGCTTTCTCAAAACGAGCCTAATTAGATTTTTTAGTAATCGTTTAACGAATTTGATACGTACGTCCTCTCACGAAGATTTATTTTATAATTAAAACTACTTTCATTGGAGATTTGAATAAGAAACACGCGCAAATATGCTTTTTAGCGATATTTTCTGATGTAATGATTGAGTCATAATCGCAAGGCAAGGGATATCAAAAAGCGCAAGATGGCTATTTCATAATCTCAAACAAGTAGTTATTTAAGAAATGAATCGCTATCTCATATATCTGGATGAGAAAATGGAAAACTCATGCAACTTTTGAACTCTGTTAATTGGGATGAAATATTAGAGTTTTGACGTGAATTAAAAAATTTAAGTTGATTTTATTATTTTGAGACATCTTCTGAACATTTTTTGTTTTTTTTTTTGGTTGTTCTAGGAGGAAGAAGCTACCGTAATCATAATTGGAATATCCGCGAGCCCTGGATCGAACACTGTCGTAGGCATTCGTGTCCGACGTGTAGCCGCCGCCGCGAGGTGTTGAACGGTCTGGCGAGCGACTGAGAGTGTCGAGTTCACGCTGCAGCGTGTGCAGGGCGTCGCGTCTGGCATGCGGAGTGGAAGGACCTGGTCGGGAGCCGTCGAGCAGCGTCTGACTCGCGTAGCGTCGTGGACTTCCGACGTCCGACCGCGAACGGTAGTTGTAGCGTTTGGCGTAGGTGTCGGTGCCGAGAGAAGAAGCCGCCGCTCCGGCCGCTCGCGAAATGTACGAGGAGCCGCCGCCAGCGCCAGAAGCGTGACGCGACCGACTCAGAGTCTCGCGATCCACCGTCGTCGAGGTGTCTGCAAAACGGAGCATGCTGGCTAGAAAGGTTCTCACATCGTTATCTCACTCGCAACGCATCCAACTTATAAATAAGAGGTTTGGAAACAGACCTTTGGCCAGAGCCGAAGCCGAGAGCGACCGTCTGTTGCTGCTCAGCGAGTTGTAGCCCTCCTCAGCATCGTACTTCAAATAATCGCCTGGCTGAAAACATAGCTTTGGAAAAATTCTGTTCTTCAAAAAGAAAAATGTTTATTCATAGGAAATTTTATCATTCTCAGCTTTTCCTAATAACTGTTTTCAAAGATCAAGTTGTTATCCCACCTCATTTCGGAATAAATGAATAAATTGAAAGAACTAGGATTACCATTTTTGGATCTGTAAAAGTGTATCCGTCATTTAAATCAAAATACTTCATGTCATTGTATAGTTCAATGACATCTGAAGACTTTTGAGCGGAATAATGAGCAATGAAAATGAATGAAAAATAAAAAAAATGGTTTCGCTTTTTTGGGGCGATAATATATGGTATAGTTGATTCACGGCTGGCTTGAGCCATCGAAAAAAGGGTCTTGACACGATAATGCACGAGACAGTCCCTGGCTCATGGAGAGCGCAGACAGGCCACGCCTTCTTAGCGTTCTAAGCTAGCCGTGAATATATAAATGAACTGGAGCTCACGGACCGTGTAATGACGGCGAAGAGTGCTGCGACGGGAAGTGCTGTTGAGCTCTTCCAGCTCCTGCGCGAGCTGCTGGCCAGTAGAGGTGTATGCGGAGCCCTCTGGATGCTGGTTATCTGCAAAAAGATAGCGATTGTCTGGGAAACGGACATTCTTCGATGTTACTCACAAACGTGGTAGATTTTGGTTGAGTGGATCTCGTCTCCCTTGGTTTTCTCGAGCGAAGTCAGTCTCTCTGTGAGTTCGGTCAATGACTGCTGGAGGCGGCGAGAGTCCTCGAATGTCTGCAAAGCCCTTCGATAATTGGATGATTTTCCATCCTCAATGAACAGAAAGGTGGATGAAAACGCAGAAATTCTGCTCATGCAAAAAAGCGACTTAAAATTGCGACTTGAGGTCTTCTAAGTAAGGAAAAACTTGGATTAACTTCAAACCAAGGCTCATTCTCAATGATTTCAAAATTAATTTTAGAGGTGCTAAATAAGATTTTGCTGATCAATGAAAGGGTGAAATTTCGCAAAGCTATAGCTGTTTAGACAAGCAAATGGCTCGAGAAATGAGACTGACTAAAGCTTTACCATCCAAAAGTATCAAAGCGCCAGAATCAGAAGAATTAAATTTCTGGCCTATCCCAAACGAGTTTTCACGACTTTCCAAGGATAATTTTCTTTTCATAAGACATTTTGGAAAAAGGAAAGAAGGTGAGAAGAAAGAGATCTGACCCTCTTCTCGCCAGTCCGGCTGGCTGCGCCTTCCTTGAAGCCATCGACGTATCCCTGTTTGAAGTCGTCCTGGCCGGGGTACTGCTCGTCCAGACGCGAGATCAACGACGGCGTCACACGATCTCCGAAGATTCCCGCGTTTCCATCCTAAAAAATTGAAATGACTGCGTTTACGGTGTGAATCGAAAAGCTTGCTCTGAAAAGAAAAACGTTCTCATTCCGGAATCTTTGCACAAATCAAAATACTTTCGTGGCATACATTATTTCATGCTAGTCTGTATTCTGTTTGCCATCCAGAAAATATTAAGAAATAAGAAGGCCGCAGAAAAAAACAACAAAAAAAAAATCGAAAAAAATTCTTGCCAATAAGATTCAAAATTATAGACTTTGAGACAATTTTTAACTCAGACAATATAATAACTTTGAGTTCAGTTGCCGGGTCCACACTCAACGAATAAAAAAAAATGGTAGTTAAAGGAAACCTTGTAGCCGTGAACGAATCCAGCCGAGTATCCGCCGCCAGTTCCGCGCTGAGCCAGATTGTGCATCGACGTCGTCATTCCTGTCATTCCAGCGTCCCTGCAACTTGTTCAGATCCAAGACTACCAATCAAGCAAAAAGACTAAATTTTGAAAAAAACGGTAGTTAACAGCAAATTTGAACAAAAAAAAGACTGACTTGAGTCCCTTGGCGTATCCCTCGTGGAAACGGTCGTCTCTGCTTCCGAACTCGTCGTCCATACGACGGCGAGCCGCGTTTGCAGAGCCCAGTTTGTTCGCGTCTTTGTACCCTTTCATGTAGCCGTCTTCAAAAATCTCCACGAGCTGAAAAAAACCTCTATGAAGCGAGAAGAACTGAACATCTTTTTTTTCCTTTACTTTGAAGAATACTTCAAAAAGTTTTTCGGAATTCATTTTTACGAATTTTATTCCATCATTCATAATATAATTCAACGGTTATCAGCTTTATCGCTTTTTCAACTTTTTTTGGTTTTTTCAAAATTATTTTTTTCTGAAGAATTTCGAAGACAATATTAATTATATGCGGATCTCGGAAATTTTAACTTTGGAAATTACTATCTGAAATTTTTCTGAAAAAGGTTTTACCTTCTTTAAAAAGAAATATTGCAACAAAAAAATTAATTTCCTAAAAAAAACATTTTCAGTCATCATTGGTTCAGAAATTATAATTTTTTTCTTCTTGTCTTCTCATTCGACTTACATGGCCTGCTTTTTTTGAAAAAAATTAAAAGATGATTTTTTTAAATAGTTTCGAGAAAAACTCTTCATTTTTCGATGTTAAACAAATCATCGCTCGTAGGCGAGAATTCACAACCGCCGTCTTCAAATTCTAGACAATTGTAAAGATGGCGCAGGGCGTGGCGAAAAAGAGACGAACCAAGTCGATTCGTAAACTGATGAATGAAAAACCACACCCAAAAAGGCGTCAGAAAACGCTGCGATTTGTTATTTCAAACTTCGTAAGGAAAGCCCAAATACTCGTGAAACCGAGGAATTCCATCGACGCCTCAACCGTGAAACTTCTCACCGGCGATTATAATTCGACAATTGATACGACGGCGACAAAGCTTATCCAGGCACGGATTCCGCAGAACCCGTTCCTCTCAACTTTCACATAATCGATAGTTCTACGCAGTCGTAACGGGTTTCACGATTGGAGACCCATAAAGGCATTGTGCAAATAAAGTTGTCAACAAAATTCGGCGGAGAAAAGACCTATGATCCTTCCTCAAGTGAACTTTTGATGAAAAAGTACAATATCTCACATCGCCCGTCGATGGCGCCGCGCATTTTATCCAGTCGAGATTCCAGATTTCGCAGGTTGCTTTCGATTCCCGTCTTTTCCTGTAAAACAGTCAATCTCTGCAGTGCGAAAAAAGAATTTCCTACCTCATCGAGAAGAGGCATGTGCTGTCCATTGGTGACCAGCCGGCGGTGTTCTTTCCTCCCACGGAATCGTCTGGAAACATTCCGAGTGAGAAAATGCAGAGACAGCAATTTGATAAGGAATGGAAAACATGCTGGAAGAAATGAAAACTCGATCGATTTGGTTGCAATTTTCTGAAAAATCGGTTGCAAAATAATTTTCTGTTTGTCGAGAAAAACGGAAAAATGAAATCAATCCTTGTGTTCAAAGGACGCACAAGAACGAACCTCAATACTGAATCCTCGATTTTTGAATTTTTCACTTGAACTCAAGACATGTTCCTTTCTCGCATTGGACACACGTTTTTGTTGTGTATATAGAATAAAAGATAACGTGGGAGATAAAACCACTATATAAAGAGCTGTCGCACAGGCTCTGAACAATCGCCTCACCGCTGCACCGGAGTCGGACGATGACATGCCGGAGCACGACAGTACCCCGCCCTCGGCCGTTGCCTCTACTACTTGACTCTTCATCTTATTTGCTTACCATGGAATAAGCAACGGCCGAGGGCGGGGTACTGTCGTGCTCCGGCATGTCATCGTCCGACTCCGGTGCAGCGGTGAGGCGATTGTTCAGAGCCTGTGCGACAGCTCTTTATATAGTGGTTTTATCTCCCACGTTATCTTTTATTCTATATACACAACACGTTTTAAAAGATTGGAACTGTTAAAGATGTTTGGAAAATTACGAAAACAGATAAAGACATGTTAGCTGTACCGTTGGAGACACCAGAGTAGACAGCAGCAAAGGAGGATGAGAAGGAGCAGGAGAAGAAGGAGCAGCAGCAGCCACCACCACGGCCATCCTGCCGTGATGTACGGCGACGCTACAAAAGTCGATTACTTGGGAGAGGACATGTTAGCTGAATCGGTCAGGCTTTGTTTGGGAGAGGAGATTCTTTGATGGTTGGTCTCATGCACTTTGCAAGGTAACCCACTTTCTCCAAAGGAGACAGAACAACCAGATGCAACAGCCGAGCAGCAGAATGGCGGCTAGGGGCACTAACACCCACATCCACCAAATTCGGCTCCATAACCATCCTCGAGCGTCTGCCAACCACTCATTTTGCGTCTATTTCGTAATTTAACTTACAAGCGTTGTCTTTCGATGTGAATTTTGAAATTATCTGACATCATTTTCTCAAATTTCGCATTGAACATAAAATCAGGCCTGCAGCTCACTTTACAGCTTCGCGAAATATTCAAAAATTTGCGCGATGAGAGTCTTTGAGCTATATGTTTACCTAACTTTGAGAAAAATGTTCAATAAAAAGTTTAAGAATATTCCGAACTTCACCCAAAAAGAAGTTTCTTGATAGTAACCCTCTCACATTATTTTTCAACTGTTAGCAAAAATAAAAACGATTCTAAACTAACCGTCCGCAAAGGCAGCCATGATTGCGTACTCCAATGCGCCATCATTGCCCACCAAAACGCGGCCACACCCCTTTTTCATTTCTTCTCTTTTTTCTCTGCCCACTCTCCATCAAGAATATTCTGGTCGACTCTCTCTTCGCTCACACCTTTACACATTTTCTCCAATTATCAGCAAAAGAACAAATTGAGCGACCCCCTTTTCTCTCCTTCTCAGTTTTAAATGCTCATGCCGACATTTTTCTCAGTATGTATTTTCTAAAAATAACTACCAGTTATCCGTCAATCGAAAAATTTTTTTTAGTTCGTGAAAATAGTTCTTATTTTTATTTCAAAAAAGTTACACCAATTTGATATGCGTAAGGTTGAAAGAAACTGGAGGCAAATTCAGAACTTTCGGAGTATTCTGTTGATTATTCTCTTTGTCTTAATGATTATTTCGTCAGATTTCCAAGCAACTTTGATCTCTTTAGCGTGAAAACGATAAATTAATTTTTTTTTGGTATTGTTTAGCAAATCAATAGATGAACTGGCATCGGCAATTTTTCACTATTGTAATATTTGACAATCAGATGGAAGTTTATCTTCAATTGGTTTGATACATTTTTAACGTAAATTTTCTCAAAAGAAAAGATTTGATCAAGGTTGAAATAAAAAATGACGAAAAATATACCTGAAGTTAAACCGAATGCAGTAAACTTCCGGACTTCCAAATTTTTATCAAGATGAAATTAGCAACGATCCTCAAGCCCCATCACGAACACATGTCCTACCTTTCTTCAGCAATTTTTGCTTAAGAAAAAAATTGATAATAGCGAGACTGACCAGACAGGGAAAGTACCTCGTGAGCATATCAAGTATTTTGAAAAGCTCTGTCAAGAATCTTCCCTTTCGAAATATGAAAGTACTTGGACGCGCAAGATTTTGCTGTCTCAGAAATGAAAATTGCGAATGAACCAACCTCGGAGACGTCCAACCAGAGGCGCGCCAGTCACATTCCAGATGGTGTACACTTCGTAGTTGTACTTCTTCCCCTTTACCAGAGGATAGTTGAGGTATCCGCCGATGACGGTGCCGTCGCCGATTCGCACCTGATCCGTCAGTCTGATCCCAACTTCTTCCCAACAGAACTTACTTTTCTCGGTTCCGGAAGAGTGTCGAGGTTGAAAGACGCAGCTACGTAGTAGGGGATCTTCATCTTGTTGGCAGTGACTTTGTCCGTGAGTTCGGTCCAATTTGTGTCTCCAGGAGGATCTCGCTCGTCAACCACCACGTAGTATCTCCTAGAGTTCATCATGAAAAAATAAAGTTGGATTATTTCGATAAACTCAATTTTTCAAGATCATAGTTTATATTTCCTTCACCGCTGCCTATCTTCCTAAAAAATGAACGAAGACTAACGTGACGTTCTTCTCGGTGGCCGCCGGATTGACGTCAACTTCCCAGAAGGTTCCTGGGGACCCGATGTTCTCGACCATGTAGGGAGGTGGCACGATGCAGCAGCTTCGTCGAATCTGTTTTCCTCATTCTCAAAAGTTGAGAGTTGAGATAACAAACGTTGATTGGCTCGCTGCTGGTCATCTTTCTCGGCGCCGATTTCCAGTGATTCCACTCTCCATCCACTTTAGCACGAACCTTTAAAAAAGTTGTCTTGAGAAATTGCTTCTGGTTGGCACCTGGAAGACGTATTCAGTGGGTGGATGCGGAAGATTGAAGACGAGATAACACAATCGACCACAGCCGTCCTGAATTCAGAAATCAGGATTTGTTCCCTTCTCGGAGGGTGAAACCTTGGGACACAGAAGTTCTTTGGCCGGACGAGCTTCTTCTTCAGTCCAGACAGCGTCGTGTTCTTTCACACGCAAGTATCGGACCTGAATCCATTCCATTCCTTCCAATCAAATGGTTCAAAAAAAGACGGATAACATCTTTAACTTTTTCCAGTATGAGCTGGGTTTTTTTCAAAACAATTTTTCGGAAACGTATAAGGATTGTGGAATCACACAAAACGTTCCAAAAACAAAACCAATCGGTTGAACTCAGAAGTTGCTAAAAAACTTTTTTCTCTAGGGGAGTGTCTGTATTGTATCGCATCATCGCAGATCTGATTCATACTTTTGTGCTGAGCGGTCCTAGATACTTGAAATCAAAAGAAGTCTCACGAAAAAACCTGCTTGTCGAAAATTACTTGAAATTTAAAAAATCCGATGAAAGAGATATATTCTGAACTTTTTCTACATAATTCGAAGTCCTTGCGCGCTCAGCAGAAAAATTTGTCGGTTTCAAGTAATTTGCTTTTGGTAGACTTATCACAAAACTTTGGACGGATCTGCGACGTACACCTCAGATTTTTGAAATATGTCTTGAGAGAACAAGGCATCACCTGGTAGTCACTGGCCATATCGAGTTCCACAGGCTCCCAACTCATAGAAACGGCAAAGTCGGTTTTGTCGCACTGCTTGAGGTTCTTAGCAAGGAACCAGCCAGGTGGCAGAGTTGAATAGGCTCCCCAGGCGACCTGAAAGCAGATTTGTCTTTCGGAGAAAGAGATTTATTGAGTATACTTCGTTATGGTCTTTAGGTGTTAGAGTGACATTGTAGACGGTGCTAGGATGGAGGCCCCGAATGACGAATTCTGTCTCGGAAGCGTCGACGTCGAAGGTCTTGACCTGTTGCAGACGAACGCTGTTGTACACAGAGTACAAGGTACGGGCGGAAAGGACGTAGCCGCTGTGGCTTCGGCCCCAAACCGGCTCCCAAGCCACCGTCAACGTCGTCGGAGTCCTACAATCCTTTTTTTCTCGAAAGCTTCGAACACAACGCAACCTGTTGAGAAGTCGGATGATGTGTCTCTGGCCTGGCGCCAATGTGCTGTAGGTTCCCCAAAGAATCTGTCCGTAGCCAGAGTTGGTTCCAGCTTGTACGGTGATGTTGTAGACGGTCTCGGGGTTGAGTCCTTCAAATTTGATCGAGTTTCCTGGATAAGGAACCGTGTAGTTCTTCGGTGCTCCAGTAACTCCAGTCGTGTGATCGAACGGCGCGATTGTCACTCTTAAGACCGATTTTCTCTAAATTTAGAGTATGCGGTAAGGAAAACCGGTAATGAGTGATGAGTTCGCGTTGCTCTGGGTCAAAGATCTCTGGAGGCACCCAGTCAACGTGAAGCATCGTGTCACTCTTCTCGATGAGGTGCAGGTCCGTCGGCGCCGGCAGCCACGACAGAAGTCCCTCGGCTGAAAGAATAAGTGTTGTCTCTCCAAAACTTGTCGTCAAACCGAAATCGGTCGTGGAGAAGACGGAAGAAATGAACCAAAGACGGTTGCTATCAGAAAGACCTTGTACGGTGACATTGTATTGAGTAACAGAGTCCAATTGTCTGAACCAAATCTGTTAACTCCTTTTAAATTAAAACAAAAAACCTGAAGTGGTATTCGGTTTGAGCTCCCTTCACTTCGAACTTCTTGGGATTCTGATCAAGTTCAGAGGCGACGGAGATAAACAACTGAAGAAAAACATAGAAGGGGATCTTTTTCGAAAATTCAGGAAAAAACAACTTTTTATGATTTCTTTAAGTCTAACTTTGGCTAGCCATGTCAACTCTCGGATACTCGAGTTCTATTAAACTTAAACCACTCTAGATTTTCCAATCGAGGTCGTTTCCGAGCCTATCTTCAATGAGAACTTCTCGGTTTGGGTTGACGGTTCACCTCGTATTTGTCGATCTTCTCTCCGATCACGGCTGGGGGCGTCCATTTGACTTTGAGGTTATCGTGTCCTGCGGAGAGCAGTTTCAGACTTCCTCCGAGCATCTCGTTGTCATCTTTTCGAGTCGTGGAGAAGTAGTCCGAAGACCAATCTCCCCAGTTGCCGGAAGCTGCCTGTCCCTGCAAATACTTTTCGTGTGCGCACTCTAGTTCGAAACTGACTTGGACGGCGAAACGATACGTTGTAGATGGCTGAAGTCCTTTGATGGTGGCGCAGAGGTTGTCCGAAGTGATTATGGGGCTCTTGTAGCCAGAGCAACTGAGTTCGTCGCCAGACAGTTCCACTTCAGTCGGATTGGAGTCGTCCGCTCTGGGACTGTACCGGATACGGTAGGCCGTGACGACAGCCTTTTCTGGGTACGGTGGCAACCAGGTGAGCTGTATCTGCGTGCTCTTGGTCTGCACCGCGGTCAGTTCTCGAGGAGGTCCCAATTCGCTTCCTGTCGTTCGAATTTCTAGAGCATCAGACCATGGGCCGGGGCCTTCAGCCGTGTAAGCTCGCACCTTAAAAAAAGTAAATTTTAAAGCTTAATATCTTAAGAAATATGTAGTTTGAGACTTTTTAGAAACTGTTTGAAGCCCAATGCTCGACTCTTTTTATTTCTTTGCAAAATATTTCCAATTGTTTTTTGAAATCTACGTTTTTTTCAGAATGAGCAGCTTTATCGGCCTCAAACTGTTCTAGTGGAAGGATTAATAATAGGTAGTTTTTTGAAAATGAAGCTCAATCAAATCATTCAAATTGCGAAACGGAGAGACAAAAAGAGCCTTAGAATTTTACTTTAATTTAAAATTCGCTAAAGCTATGCAATTTTATACTATCTATCTCGTCTTCTACTAACTGAAAATAGATTATTCAAACAGTACCTTGATACGGTAAAGACTTCCAGGCTGAAGTTGATCAATGAGCGTGTTGAGTCGTGGCGTGACGCCTTCGCGGGTTCCTTCGTTCCATTCGTCGAGGCCGACGAGTTCGAACTCGTATTGGGTGACGTTGCCGTTCTGATGCAAGCACTCTGGCGCGTCCCACTTGAATCCAAGCTCAGTGTCTTTGCGCGTCGTCGACTGCAGATTCTGCGGGGGACCCGTCGGCACGTCGTTCTGCGTTCGGAACGTTCGGACGGTCTTCGGAGTCGCGATCGAAGAGTGGAGCGAAGGAGGCCGTCGTGGCGTGACGACGACTTCGTAGACGCTGCCTGGCTGGAGGCCTTCCAACGGGATCTGCTTCTCCTGCACGTTCAGCTTCGTGATAGGCTCTTGGTTGCCAGTTTGAGTCTCGCTACATCCGCCGAGCTGCTTCAGTCGATAAGTGATATCGACGCCGTAGTTCCATTTTTGGTCCTGCAAAAAATTATCCTTCAATTAAAAGAGAAAAAGATCTCCATGGCTTAGCAAAGAGACTCAATAAAATGTTGAAGGCGCGAAAACAATAAAGATACGCTCAAGATACTTTTGAGGCAGGTGCTTCATCTCGTAAAACTTGTTACTTCAATATTATATATGTTTACAATGTTAATGGCTCACCTATTCGATCTGAAACTGTTGTCAGAGACCTCGGTCTCCTTATCGATAAAAATTTGTGTTTCAGCCCTCACATTAATCATGTAGTCAACATTGCCACTCTCAAATCTAAACAGCTGCTCAAAGCTTTTGCTCACTTGAACATCCAGCAGTACAATTTACTATTCAACATGTACGCTAGACCCTATCTTGACTATTGCTCTGAAATCTTCTCACCGCCTATAAATTCAGAACTTTCCGTCCTACTGGAAAAACCTTACCGTCATTATACTAGGCAAGTTTTCATGAGACGTAATAAATCCTTTGACACATACTCCCATCGCCTTGATGTACTCGGTTCTACTCATGTTTTCCGTAGGAGAACTTCTATTGCTCTAGTAACGCTTCAAAAAATCGTCCTGGGCATTTACCACTTTCCTAGCGCAGAAAAGTTTTTCAGTAGAAGTCGTTCACCTCGGTATCCTTTTCGTTTGATTCAGACTGGTTCCAGATTTAATAGTTTTTTTAGCACTGTCATTCCTCTTTGGAATAGACTCTGCTCAAGATTCAACCCTAACACGTCTACCACCCGTTTCAGAAAGTTTCTCGACTCGCTAAGCAACGAAGAACTCTTTTCCAACATTCCCTTACGTCTACTGTGATCAAAAATCCTTCTACGTGTTCTATCCCCTATACCGGTAAATTCGCTCGTGAGGGCGTATTAAAACCGGTGCTCATTTCACTCCCATACAATTCTTGCCCAACTTTGCCTCTTTCTTTGTAGCTCATGTTATTTTATGTATTGGAGTGAAATAAATATTCAATATTCAAATATTGCTCGCCATAATGTAAATTCGGAGCTGTCCTTGGCTAAAAATATGATTTGCGTTTACCTTGTCGGGAAGGTCCCAGGTGACGAGAGCTTCGCGTGGTCCTTTCGGTTCAACTGTCACGAAGATTTCCCCGGGCAAGGATTGAGTCGTGATGCTCACCTACACGATATGATTGAGCGAATCAAGAGCAGATTTTCAAACCTTGTCGCTCCAACGACTGGCCTGGGGCTTTCCTTCCGCTTCGACGGTCTGCGTGCGGATCTTGACGTCCCATTTGGTTCCGGGCATTGTCTGAACGATCAACTCGCTCGGCGCATCTGTGGAGACGGTCCAGTTGCCACGAGAAGTCGTGTTGACAAAGTCGAGGAGATACTCGACGTTATCACAGCGCCAGGTGCTTTCTTCAGGTGGAGTCCAAGTGATCTGAACTTCTTTTGAAAACTTGCCAGCGAGGAGCTGTTACCTTCAAAGTTTCGAAATCTATACTCTCGAGTTTGAGGTTAGACGGAGCTTCTTCTGGTTTGCCACACGAAGTAGTTTCCTTGGTTTCAGGACCCGGCGCTCCACGTTTGTCATTCTTTCCAACGACCTGAACTACTACTGTTTTTCGAATCCCAGTCGCTTTTTAACCTTGAGCCGGAAGAAATAGAGCGTGGCTGTCTCGAGATTCTTCACCGTGGTCTTGTATTCATCGGAAGACTTTCTGTGCTTGATCACACCGTTGTATTCTTGCCATTCGCTGTTGTCCTCTTCTGACTTGTACTCGAGGACATATCCGATGACGTGTGTCGCCTGAAATTCTCTTGCAAACTGCAAATTATAAACGTTCGAACCTGGTCTTGTGGAAGTCCTTCCCAACGGAGAGAAATCGAATTGGAAGTCTTTCCAGTAACTTCGAGTTCTCTTTCCAAAACAGGAATGTTTTGTTTCTGAGTTCTGGCGGAAAGTTCTTCGGACCAGTCCGACCAGCCGCCGCCCTCGGTGTGAGCGGCCACCTGGATCTCGTATTCCTGTTCGGGATCGAGGTCACTCAGCCGGTAGCACAGGCGGTCTTTTTTCGCCGCGTCTGAGCACTCGAGACGATCTGTGTCGACGCGAACCTCGCGGTAGTTGGCCTCTCCGCTGGGCGTATGACGGATCTTGTAATAGTTGATGTTTCCATGAGGTGGTGATGGCGGCAAGAAAGAGATTTCGATGGCGTGTGGGAAAGATGCCTCTTCCTGAAGGTCGCTGGGCGCCGGAGGGATGGCCGGCTGCGTACTGAAGGAAACCCACTCGGAGAAAGGTCCATCTCCGACGGCATTGATTGCGCGAACACGGATTCTGAAAGTAAAGTAAACAATAAAAATTATTCTCTCATTCAGAAGAAGTAAGTTCGCGGTCGTGCTGGACTCATTAACGGTTATTCGATTCTATTTTCGACACTCTCTCTTCGTATAGTAAACTTTTAGTTTATTTCTTCTAAAAAAAAGCTTTATTAGTCGCTTCAAAGAAACAGTATGAAAAGAAGAACTTTTCTGATAGAAGAATCGATTTTTTTTTATTTGAGAGGAACATACTGGTATTGCGTGTAAGGAACGAGTTGGTCAAGAGTAAGCCGTTCAGTCGGATTGTGAGCCGTGCTGTTTTCTCCCCACGAATCGATAGAGGCCAGCTGAAAAAGCTCAGAACTGTTTCCGGGAAGAGCTGCACGCCGTGCCTCGTATTCATAGTCGGTAATCTTTCCATTGCGCTGTTCACACTCCGGCTGAGCCCAGGTGACGTCGGCACGAGTAGATGTCACCGATCCGACTCGGATGTTGAGCGGAGGTCCAGTCGGGGCCGCCTCCTGATGTTTTACCATTTCCTTTATTTTTTCACCGAGAGAATAGTTACTTCAGTGGTGACAGTCACGATGCTCGACTGAGGTCCTTCAAGCGTCGTGTGAGCGATCACGTGAATTTCGTACGTGGAATCGGGAAGAAGTCCTTCGAGAGTCTTAAAGGAGTTCAATTTTCACTGAATGACGCAAATCAAAAACTCATCTTTTTCGATGATAGCAATGTTTCAAAAGTAATGGAGGTTTCACAAAATTTTCGTTGAATCCATAATATTATTCTAATTAAAACTGTAATTTTTCCGACATTTTTTCGAGCTACTGTCGCTTTGTAACTTTCAGAACTTATAGAAACTTTTATAAAGTATGAAACTTTTAGGCCTTTACAGATATCTAAGAAATTTTCTACAACCTTAGGTTGATAACTATGATGTTTAGAAGACGAATTTTTCTTAACTGCGAAAACGTTACTCAAATTTCCTTTCTAATAATCAGTGTGTCGTTTGACCCACAAAGGAAAAAATGACTTTTTAAAACTTGAAAGTAAAATGCCGAAATCGGTGATTCGACGACACAAGCCTGCGTAAACTGAGAATAACCTGATGTTCGTTGCGGACGTGTTTTTCGATTGGCGTCGAGCTTCTTGGACCACACTCGCCGATGGATTTGAGGTTGTAGACGAGGGTGTAGCCAGTAATGGCGCCGTTGGGATTGGTTGGCGGCTTCCATCGGACATCGACTGTCGTCGGGCCTTTGGGAGTCGCCGTGAGGTCTGTGATAGGGCCTGGAGCGCCTTCGGCCGTTGTGATCTCCAGCTCCTTGCTCCAATCCGAAGCTCCGGCGTCATTTTCCGTTCTGATGCGGACTCGCCATTTTGTGTTAGAGGGTGACTCGAAGAGATGCTCGATAGCTGAGCTGGAAAACAAGGAAACTATAATCGCCCTTCCTCTCTTCCAAGCAACCTTGATAGGTCGATCTGTTTGCGAGGAGATGTTCCGTTGACGTATTCTAGCTTGTAACGGATGTTGGAGCAGAGCCAGGAAGCTTTCATGGGAGCTTGCCAGCTCACACGCACCTCCAATAAGAAATTAGTTGAAGATATGAAGATTGCAGCATGATTCAAAAACTTTAATTGAAACCTTTTGAAAATTGAGATTCGTTTTGAGGACTTGGTGATTTTGTTTTCCGTTTTTTAATGCCTTTTATGTCTCGATAAAGTTGAAAATGATAAACAGTAAATTGGACGATTCGGTTTCACAATAATTTCGTCTTTGAATTCAAAAATGAATGAACTGAAATAATATTTTTTTATAATTCAAGCTAATCAACTTCTAGCGAGTGACTTAAATTCAAAAAAATTAATATATATTCATTTTTTTAAATTAATATAAAAAAATATATATGTTATATATCCACGACTAGGGTTAGACAGAATTTCCACGGCAACGTGCAAACTTCTCATTTTCGCACGTTTGATTTTCGTGCAGAAACCCTTCTAAAATCTAGCCTCAGACGAAAGAAGAAAAAACTTGAGGTTTCTCTTTTTCTGAGGTTCAGGCGCAAACCTGAACATTGCTTGGACTCGCGAGGTTGAGGTTAGCAGGAGGCGATGTCGGAGCGGCGCAGCCAGTGCGAGCTTGAGCTTCTGGAGACGGCTTTCCGACACGTTGACGATGGTCGACGACTTTGATTCTGACGAAATACAGAGTGTCCGGATCGAGTCCTGTGAGCTTCTTCAGATAGGAGCGCTTCACGGAGTCGTGGTTCGTGATTCCTCCGATCTCCTGCCAAACTGGCGTATCCGAGTTTCTTCAAAACAATGGTTGGCTTTTGAAAATGAGTTCGGGAAACGTACCGGATCTCGATAATGTAGCCCTTGACCCGATTTTTGGGATCGGTGACGGCATTCCACTGGACGTTCAGGGTGTCGGATCCTTCTGCAGTGACCGTTGGGACTGTTCCGATGACGGGGATGTGGAAGGGGTCAGTGGTATAACGCGTCCAAATCTCGCGTCCAAATCCTTGTTTGGTTCCAGCCGAGATCGAAATGTTGTACGATGTTTCTGGATTGAGATCGTCGAACAAATGTGTCAAAGTGGGGTGGTCCACGATCTCCGTCCTCTTCTGAAAGAAATCAAATAAAGAAATACAAAAGTAAAAATGACTTTGTCGTTGACGTCATCCAAAGAAACGATGGAAACGCGGTATTGGGTTACATATCCCTTGGGGTCGATTGGTGGGATCCATCTGAAAAAGGACCAGTTCACCCAAACTCTGTAACGGAAAACCTGATATGAAGAGAGTGATCTGTCTTCTCAATGAGATGAATCGCTCTGGGAGCGTCCGGCAGAACTTGCAGAGTGTTGGCGATGACCACCGACGACCAGGGACCGTAAGATCCACCTTCGATTCGCGTCGAAACCTGTGCGCGGAACTGCTGACCAGATTCCAGTCCTGTGACGTTGAAGCAGAACCTGAAACTTCTGTTGAAAGCGGGCTAAAAAGAAGAAAAAACCGTGGACTTTCGGCAGGACACTTCAGAGCTGGATCTTTGATGCCTTTCTCGACCTCGGTCCATTTGTCAGCATCGAGTTGTTGCCAGCGAATTTTGTAGGCGTCGTGGGGTCCATACGGCGGATAAGGAGGCAACCAGGAGATCATGAAGAAGTCGGTTCCTTCCTGAGCCACGACGAGATCTTGAGGAGGCAGCGGCGCGTTCGCTTTGGCAGTCATCACGTCAAGATTCTCCGTGTTGGGACCACCGCCAATAGAGTTGTAGGCTTTGACTCGCATCACGTATTTGGTGTAAGGAGTGAGTCCGTCGATGGTAATCTTCGTGTCGGATGTGTTGGCTATTTGGCGTTCCAGCTTGGCCCAATCGTCCTGTCCGAGAATCTCGTACTCGTAGTTGACTATGTGACCATGTCTCTGAGAGCAGTCGACAGGCTCCCACTGGAAGGAGAGCGATCGTTCGAGCGCATAGGTCAGTTCGAGGTTGAGAGGTGGAGAGGAAGGCGGCTGCTGTTCCGTTGAAACCTCTTTCGTCTCTTCTGGTCCCAGCTCAGTTGTTCGAGCTCGTACGCGAACCTGAAATCTAAGATTTGGAGAAGAAGGTTGAGCTGAGCCGACCTCGTAAAGCGAATATGGGAGAAGGCCGGTGATAGTGTAGTCTAGGTCTTTGTGGTTGTAGACAGTGACGAAGTCGCGGCTGACGTCGCGCGGCTCTTCTTCGGGACAAGCGAGTCGGTGCTTCAGTCTGCAAAAGGTCTGCAATCACTTCGACGGCAAATTGAAGTTGCCTGTAGGAAATGTCGTAGCCGACGATGGTGCCGCGTTGGACGAGAGGAGCCAACCATTGCACGTGAACTTCATTCGGAGACAGGGCTTTGACCCTCAAATCTCGGACGGCTCCAGGCGCGCCTTGACGAGTTGTGATCGTTTGTTCCGGCGACCAGTTGCTTAAAAAAATTGTGAAACCTCTCAACTAGCCAGTTATGTCATTTCACTCTGCTACGTTTTGAAAACCTGCTCAATTACTCATAGATGTACCAGATAAGGATTGAAAAAAAATTGAACTAGCACAAACCCCATATCTAGCAATGCTCAGACTTCTTTTCTAACTTTTCAGTCCAAAAAAAGACCATTCTCGTGGGAAACGGGGCTACCTTGATCCGACTTGGTTCGTCGCTCTCAGCTTGATTATCCAGCGCTGATTAGGTTCGGCTGGGAAAGTGTACTCGGTCTGATCTCCAGGGACAGGAAGAACCTGGAATCTGTCGTAAATACTCCAGAGACGGGATTCTCGAACCTTCTCTGGCTGGTTGCCAACTCTATAGCTTATTTCTACATTCATCTGGTCACACATCCACGTGTCCTTTCCTGGACGAGCCCATGAAACACGGACTTCGTTCATAGAAGGAGCGTCCAAGCGAATTCCCTGAGATCCATTGCGGTCTGAGATCGACTCGAGGCAAAAACCTGTGGCGGGTTGGTCGGCGGTGAACACTTGGTGCGAGCTCTGACTTCGGGCGACGGATTGCTTTGCTCATTCTGCTGCGAAACGACGCGAACGCGGAGGTCGACGACGGCGTTCGTCGGCAGCCCATCTACAGTGGCGGTGTACGTCGTCTGCGAAGGATGGGCCGGAACTCTTCTCGGAGATTGCTGCCAGGCTCCTCCTTCCAGTCTGAAACTCTTGTGAGGTTCGAAAAGGCCTTGGCCGAGTACCGGTATTCGACGATGAATCCACTAGCTTCGCGGTTCCTGCTCTCCCACTCGATCGTGACCGAAGTCGCTTCTTCGGCGATAACGCGTGGAGCGACAGCGAGAGCCGTCAAAGGGGCAGCATCAGTGGTCATAGTGGCCGTGGTTCCCTGAAATTTTTCCCTTCTTGAAGCCTCCGCTTTTCTGACTTATTGAAAAATTAACAATCAAAAAAAAATTAACAACTTCTGTAAAGCATGGACTCTTGACTTTTTCATAATTTTATTAGTTTATAAGTCTGAAAAAAATCATATAAATTACCAATAAGACTGCCTGTTATCTTTACAGTGATAGTTTGCAGAAAAACTCACTCCACACATTTCCTTCTGAGTGGCAGCCGAAACGGTCACATTGTAGGTAGTTCTGGGCCGAAGGTTGTCGATCCTGTACTGGTAGGTGGCGCGGTCGACGTTGAACGTCTGAGATCGCTGGGAGCCGTCGAGAGGACTGACGACAAGTCGGAAAGCCGTGACGCGAGCGCGGTCGTCGGGTCGGACGTCCCAAGCGACGGTCAGAGAGTTCTCAGAGCCTCCGATTTTCCTCACAGAAAGCACTTGTACCGCCGTGTCCGTGACTCGAGACCTTTCTGGCTGCGAGTAAGGTCCCCAGCCGGCATCTTTCACGTGTGCGGACACCTGGATAGTATTGGGTAACAATACTGACACCTGAAAATACCTGGAAATCGTAAGACTGCTCTGGCTTGAGGTTATCGATTCTTCCGCAATGAAGTCGTGCGCCAGGAGGAGTTGGCGGCAACTGTTGACGCTCAATCATCCGTTGTTGGCAAGGTGAGACCGCCGGGAATTGTCGCTCCTTCAATACAAGCATTCTCCGAAAAATTCCTAACCACTTCTTTAAAGTTTTCCAATCCGAAAAAAAAATTGGATTGGAACTATCAAATCAATTCGACAATGAACGTCATTCTAACGTGAAATTTGATACTTCCTATAGATTATTCTGAACCCTCTCTGAAAGTATGTGCAAAAATTGTATTTTTGTGAACGAAAATTTCGAAGTATTATTTTCCGTTGTGTTAAAGGAAAACTTCGGAAATTGCATTCGAGCTATAAAACTGAATATAAGTGAGAAAGCTCGATTAAGAGAGAACTAATCTTAGGGAGAAATATGAAGAAAATAACCTGATATTGCTGTGTTCCAGTAACGCCGTAGCGGCATTTGTACTTGTCGACGTATCCAGGATTGGGGTGTGGAGACTGCCAAACAATGTGAGCGTTGTCGACGCCCGTTTGAAGAACTTTCACGTAAGGAGGGGCTTCGACGTGGACAGCTGGCGCGGCAGTTTGGAAAGGAATCTCTGTGGACCAAGGTCCAGGGCCACGAGCTGTGTAGGCGCGAACTTTGACTGAGTAGCGCGTCTGTGGCTGCAGATTGGAGATCTGAGCGCGAGTTCCGCGAATGTTTTCCGTGGTCTTCTGGACGGCGGTTCGACGGTCGGCCGGCGTCACCTCATACTCGTACTCGCTGATCTCGCCGTTAGTCTGGAGACACGGCGGAGCCTGCCACGAGATCTGGACTTCTGTCGGACGAGCTTCCTCTGCGCGCAGGTACAGTGGAGCACCGCTCGGCGCTGCTTGGTCCGTCTGCACTTCCTGAGAGACTCGCTCTCCGGCGATCGTCGATTTAGCAGCCACTCCAACTCTGAATCGCGAAATCGTCTCTTTTGGTAATTCACGAAATATAACCCATCCTGAACTCTGTTGTACGAGGGTGAGTACTGTATTTGGTCATTTGAGTTGAATTACTGACTTTTTTGTTGCGATAACTTCACAAAGAATTGGGAAGAGAGACTTGGAATAAGTTTTAAAAAGTACTTTTTTAACGGCTGACTTTAATTTTCCATAGAAAATTACGATGAGAAACTTTTACAACATTTTACTCTCGTTTTTATCCTTTCAATTAGTAAATGTATGTGCAAGTATAAACTTTTAAGATTCTGAATCAAAGAAAATGATATCAAAATGTAAAAAACTACTAATTAAAGAAGAAGAATTGTTAGACTTTTCAATGTATTGTTTCTCTTTTGATTCAAAAGTATAATAATGGGAAGAACTTTGGAAGACGGACCGATAGCGTGAATGAGGATGGAGTCCAGTGAGAACGTGGTGAGGTCCTTGAATAGTGACTGTTCGTGGGGCTTCCTGGTTGTTGTCGCAGTTGCCCCTGCAGAAGACTGTAAGTAGAAGCTCAGCCTCAGGAAAAGCTACCTCGAGATGAGTTGGTAGGTGACTTCGTATTGAGTGATTATGCCGTTGGGGTTAGCCGGCGGACGCCAACTCACTTGCAGAGAATCGGCTCCAACGGGCTGCACTCTCAGATCTCCTACAGGTCCAGGAGCCGTTCCCTGTTATGAGCCAGCTTGGATCTTTTAGTGATTTTTTGCCCCGTCCACCCTCTTATCTATCAACATAAATACCTAATAAGTGTTTCAAAAATTGTAAATTTTTTACGGAAAAAAATTCTCAAATAGATTTTGATGTACTCACTTTATCCTAATAGAATTATTTTTACTGACACTTTGATACATGAATCCTTTGAACTATGGGAATTGAATTATGTACCTGCGTTTGAGCAGTCTCCGTTCTGGACCACTGTGTTTCACCAGCCGGATTAGCAGCCTGCACCTCGAAATTCCATCTGGAAGTCATTAGATTCCAACGTTCTCCCAAAAAACCCTACTGAGTGAAAGGATCCGACTCGAAAACGACGAAATTTTCTCCGTTTGTCAGATTGCGGAATCCTTGGTTGCGCGGCGTCGAGTACTTGACGACGTACCAGAGACGGTCGCAATTCCACTCAGACTCATGCAGAGGCGCCCATTGAAGACGAATCTGCGTAGGTCCGATCGGCGAGACCTGAAGGTCGTTTTGAGGGAGTTGCGGCGAGGGTTGATAGACCTGCAAGTTGCTCGGAGGACGACGAGGAGAGCTGCACGACGACTGCGTCTGAACCAACACAGACGGCGACGTGTAGGCAGTTCCCCGATTGGGATCTCTGGCGACGACTCGCACCTTCAAAATTCTCTTCCTTTCCTCTTCTCAACCAACGCCAACCTCATAAGTGTGTCCTTTTGGAAGCTCGCCGAGGTCAACTGAATAAGGTCTTTGCCAGCCGTTGAAAGGAAGCTGAACAGTACATTCTAATTAAACTCATTGAAAATTTTTCATGTACAATGACCGCGGCATTTTTTTATTTGGTACATCAAATAGTATACCAAACTAACGCTCAAAAAGTTCTGAACCTCAGGATAAAATAATTTTTAATTTAATTAAAGTTTAACCGCCCTTTTTTTAAACTCATCGTACGATACCAAATTGTTTCTAAGGCTAAAATGACCAACCGGGTTTCTGTGCTGACGCCAACTTTGCTCCGAAGATGACTTCCATTCCAAAACGAAAGACTCGATGAGATCGTCAGCGTATTCCTTGCATCTCCATGTTATCGTAGGGACTCCTTGTCTGAAAAAAAAAGAGATATATTTCAAAGCTCGCCATGGGATCACCGGTAGTTAACATTGGGTCCGATGATCAATTCGCCCCCAGGCGGAGTCCTCGTTTGCACTGCCGGCGTCCAAGCCGAGTGTCCAGCCGAGTTGATGGCGCGAATCTTGACAGACCAAGCTTGGTTGGGCGCAGATTGGAAGATGTGAGACGTTTGATGGCCGGAGACCGTTATGGGCGTCTGTCCTTGAGGCTCCTCCACCTGCTCCTCTCAAGTCCATATACTATAATTCGGTTCTGGATATACCTGAAGCTCGAACTGAATGTCTGCACAGCCCCAAGTCGACTGGGGTGGAAGCACCCAGGAAGCGCGCACGTGGCTCGCATCCGGCGACTGTACTTGCAGATGCGACGGTGCATGCGAAGGAGCTAAATTATTCATCGTTATCGAATTTATTTTAACTATCTTTCAATCAAGTAAATACGTCAATCAATTAGTTGCAAAAGAGAATTTCAATCCCACCGAATCACAATAGTATTGATAGTTTTGCGTGGAAAACTTTCTGCAGACGTTTAGAAAAATTTTCAAAATGAGACACTATTTATGATTGTAAAATAAAAATGATATCTGCCATCAAGAGAATACCTATGGCCTGTGAACGTAAATGTTCTTTTTTCACGTTCAGAATCAAACCTGTACAAGTGCTACGAGCGTTTGCTTGCGGAGACGTGTACATGACGTAGGAGTTGCGGTCGAGCACTTGGATGTGGATCATGTAGGTGTTCCCCTTTTGAAGGCCTTTCAGCGTTTCTGTGTACTCCATGTTGTCGGACACGTACGGAACGAGCTGTCTGAAAGTGGTCAGAAGTCGAAAAGAGCTGGAGGAGCTGGTGTAACCCGTATGTATTCCATCCCGACTGCTCGCTGCGGAACTGCACGTGGTATCCGAAGACACCGCGGCCGTCACCTTCACTTCGCCACTTGACCACGATGTCGTTGCTGCTGTCCGTCGTGACTTGTGGGGTCGAAACCAGCGCTGAAACAAACTATGGACTTCGCACTAGACATGCTTCTTCGTCTGCGACGACGGCTGTTAGTTGGAGGGATCCGATAACTCATATCCAATCACACACGCACTCCAAATCAGGTAACTGAGGGTTTCAAATCAGTTATCGAGAGAAGGGAAAATTTAATCAGGAGCGAAGTCATGCCAAAAGAGATGAGGCAAACAGAATCCGAGCAGAGGAGAAGCATTTCAAGCAGCTAGATTTCACACTAAACGGCAGCGAGATTCGCTTGTTTGACCGTTGCCACTAAAAAAAGTTCGGGGGATCTCAACCTCTATTTTCGGCAGGCTCTCTCAGCGAGACGGTTTTGAAATGTTCTGAGCCACGACACCAAAAATCGGTGCGTGGATCACAAACACTCCGACGTACACGGGATGCTGAATAACAACAGAAACAAATCTCAAGAAGACTTCGATCAAAGTTATTCGAAATAGAAAATGAGAAGTCAGGAAGAAAATAATATTTCTCACTGTTCTCAAAAATTATCAGATAACGCGGAACTGCGGATAATGAATGATGAAGCAAAGTTCTAAACGAATAATAGTTTTAGGTAGCCTTTTTGTTTCGAAACAAGAAAAGAAAGCATCAAAATAAAAATAGAGAGACATCCGAAAAAAGTATACCCTGTTGCGCAGTGGCGACAACAGCCTCGCGAGAAGGCGAGCCCGTTCCAGCGAGGTTGACGGCTCTGACTTGGACTCGCCAGTCTCCCTTCGCGTCTCCGGCAATATTCAGACTCCTTTCCGTGCCAGGCGCTCTCTCATTCAGTGGCCGGCCATTCTAAACTCTTCCCTTGTTATGAATACTCGTAAATATCTCACCTGGAAGCCGGAGATGAAGAAGTATGGTTGGCACGAAGGGTCATCAAAAGGCGCGTCCCAAGAAACTCGAACCATCGATTCAGACACGCGATCCAAGCGGACGTTTTCCGGGGAGAGAGGTACTAAAAGCATCGTTTTAGAAAGACCAAAATCCAATCACCTTGGCATGATACGGAGAATGAGGTTGTTGGAGAAGTGGAAATCGTTGTGTGGCTTCTGTCCAGTGCCCGCACACGCAAGAAATAGGTTGAAGCCGCAGAAAGCTGGCTCACCGCAACTCGAAAATGAGTCTGAATTGGAGGGAAACATGAAAAAGGACAAATGCGAATCACTCATTTTTTGAGTAATACTGAGGAAGATCGAAGAAACAAAAAAAATCGTCACTTAATCTTTAAAAAAAAATGGAGCAATACTTTGAGGTGGGAGATGGAAAACCTGAGAAGGTTCTTCTTGAACAAGAGAGCCAGATTCGCGCCATTCGCGGTCGTTCGTCGATCGGACGTCGACCTGATACGCAGCGATGTTCCTCCGGTCTCCCGTCACAGACCAGTAAGCCAGGCTCCGCGCTCCTGACTGCTCGATGCGCGGCTGACTAACGCTCAGACCGCGACTGTCCTGAGGTTGGGCGGCTCCGGCTAAATCAAAAAAAATCATATGAATGAAACTTTGTGAAGCTCTTATACTGATCTACATGTAATTGAGCAACTCATGAGGAAAAGTATATCTGGCGTTAAAACTTGCCCATGAAACAAACCCCTTTTTTTGCGTTTTCGTTTTTGGTTCTCAAAAGCTCAACTTAACTTTTTATCAGTTCATCACATTCTCCTTATTTCACCGAACACAGAATCTCTGACATTAGTTTAAAAAAAAAGCAGATTGAAACCAAATTTTGAAAACTCCCCTTTCAAAGTTAAATTTTAAAGTTTTTTCATGAAATATATAAACTAGGTACGTGAATAAAACGTCAAAACTTGATGAATTGACGAAAGATAAGAATATAAGATTGAATCAATCAAAAAATAAAAGAAACTTTTAGAAGATCTTCGTTTGAATCGAAATACTGACTAAACTGATAGCGGTAACAACAAAGGCAAAACAAATATTAGTTTGTTACATGGGCTGAACGTTTGAAAACAGGTTTTTTAACACCAATGCTTCGAAATCACTTGAGGCACGATAATGAATTAGTTAAAAGCAAACTAAAGAGGTTAGTACCGAGCTGAATGAGCGTAAAGTGCAGAGGATTACTGGTGGCCACCGATTCGCCACTGTTCAGTTTGTAAGAGATCTTCAACAAAATTAGGCGTCAAACAGATCCTCCTTCCTCAAAACATTACGGTGCTCATGTAATGGACGCCGAAGAAGAAGCCGTGAAGCGGGAAACACGAGTCCTGAGGGTCGGCGACGCCTGGCGGACAGGCGAACCGTTCGCAGCCGCCAACGACTCGCGTCCACTTGGTCGCCCCTTTCTCCTTGTAAGCGAGTCTACAAGTCGACGCATTCTCAGTCGCACTTTTGCGAGTCTCAACTTAAATTGGACGACTGAACCGACGTGGGAAAGTAGCGGTGTCCACACCAGGTAAGAATGCGGAGGGACGAGCACGATTCTCAGCTTATAAGCATTATGCGACGCTACAAGTGTGATGCTTGAATGCTATCAAAGCTGCCAGCAATATCAATTGTTATTTCCCACGTCTGCTTGAGTTAATCTTTTGCAGAAAGAAGAAAATTCGGTGTTCTTTATGATAAATTCACCCGCTGTATTTTGGAGAGTGGTCTTCTCTCCGTTGAAAAACAAACCCAAGAAATTAAAAACTTTTCCGTAAAAATCTTCTAATTTCTCAAGAGAACCCTGTTCACATTTTCAGCAGCAATTTCAATTGAAAAAATATATATAAAATGAATACCTTTGATCAAGTGCTTGGCCTGCCGCTTCCGTCGTCTGATTAGTGGAAAATTGTTGGTTAACTTGTCAGTATCTGTTAATGAATATACCACGGTTAAGTACAATCATCTGTAATTATTCAACGAAAAAGTGTTAAAACTGAAGTTTTTCAAGTTTGTGGTTCTCAGGAATAAAAAAAAACTCACTGAAAGAAGCACCGTTGGAAGGGGTTTGGACAGTGACTTCTTGACTCCAGGGCGAATGTCCATTTACACTCCGAGATCGGACTTTGAACGCGTAGAGGGCGTTGGGCTGAAGTCTGTCGGCTGTGACTGCCGTCTGGCCAATGTACGAGGCGCCGTCTGAGGGCGGCGGCTGCGCCGATTCGTACAGCTGAAACTTATTTCTAGATTTATTCCGAGAAACTTTCGTCTCAAAAAAAAAAATTTAAAGAAAAAACTGAATCCATTACACACACGAGAAGGAAATCTTTGACGTCGACATTCAAATAAATTTCGGAAAGGGCGCGGTCAACAAGTTTTTTTGATTCATACTTTACTGATTTTTCAGTCAACTTCTCTGGACTTTATAATATGACGTCAATTTCTCAAAAAAACCTGTTTTTATTAGGCATATTATTTTAATAATAAAAAAGTTCAAGTATTTTAATGTATACTTTTTCACTTTTCAAAATTCTTGCGGAATTTAATTCACTCTTCTGGAGAAATCATAAAAAGGAACCAGAAATTCGTAACCGTCGATCGGCGTGACGCTTTCATCACAATTGGGAACGTCCCACTCGAAACGCAGAGCTGTGGGAGAAGCAGTCGAAGCTCGGATCTGAGTCATGGATATAAACAGGGATTCCGCGGGAAGCTACATTTGTGGGCACTCCGGCGACGCCGACGCAAGAGTTCTCGGCAGCCTCGCCGACAGTCATCTCGTCGGTGCGAGCGACGACTTTGTCCTGTTCATCGATGGCGACGATTCTGACCGAGTAGAAGGGCACGTTCATGTTCGACAAGGCGACTGAGTAGTCGCCAGATCCTTCCGCCACGGCGCGTTGTTCGGTCATTCTGAAACTTCGTTCGTCTGCTTACGAAAGGAAAGTTGAAGCCGTAAAAAATATAGTCTCTCAGAATGGCATTAGCTTACCATGAAAGGTTCTCAAGCCGTCATTAATTATTTTTCAGCCCTTTTCTTTTCTCTCAAATTACTTTCAAAATAAAAATAAAAACTGAAACTCTAGCTAAACCTCTCAGCGAGGAAAAAACTGAACTGCTAACTGTGTAAACTAATATAATGATAAAAGATCTCTAGTGCTTTTTTATTTGTGTCATATAATAATCAAAAATGTAGAGTATTCGGTGAGAAAAAAGTTTCTCATACCTCCAAGTTGTTTCGTTGGGCAGTCTGTACTCCAAGATGAACTTTATGACAGGAGTCGCGGTTGGAGGCAACTTCCAGTGGACGGAGATGTGCTTCTCCCCTTGGTCCACGACCAGAGGCTTTTCTTCCCAACTTTCGACGCCGCCAGACGTCGTGAAGGCGTCGATCCGGTAGATTTGCTTGGGTTCATGGTCGACAAAGGCGATGACGCCGATCGTGTACTTAGTGTTGGGGCGGAGGCCGGCCAGCGAGAAGCTGTGAATGTTTGGAGCGATGCGAGCTCGCTCGACGCGTCGCGAGTCTTCGCCGACTTCCACTGCTGCCACTTCGTAGTGTTGGAGTCGCGGGTCTTCGAAAGGCTGCCAGCCGATTCGCAGCTCAGAATCCGTCCGATACAGCAGCTGAATTTTGTCGGAGACGTGGAGAGCGTCGCCTTTCGTTTTCGTCTCTAGAACTTCTGCGTTCCAAGGTCCCACGTTCCGGTTGCGGTCAGTAGCCCGAACTCTGAACACGGACAATGCTCAGAAAAAATAATTCAGCGCAGACTAGTTCTTTATTAAAACTAGGTTCGCAGACGGCTTAATTCGATTTCTCTGCGATTCAGTTAGTTGTTTTAAAGCGAAAAATGAATATACTTGACGCTGTAAATGGTAGATGGCAAAAGGTTGGTCACGGAGACGTAAGGCTGGGCGACAGTCTGCCGGTGAACGTCGAAGGGAGCGGAAATGCCGGTCAATTCCACCTTCAATTAATTTTGGCTCGCAAGGAGAATAAGTCGATTACCTGATATTCGCCAACGGACCCGCAGTCCGGAGCGTCCCACTTGATTGCTAAGGAGAATTGACCTGCTTCTGAGACTTGGGGATGTCGCGGGGCCGTTATATCATCTGAAATCTACATTTCCAAAGCTCGAAGACTAGACCCACCATTCTCGCATTTGATAGACACAATTTCGTTGTGTGCCCTTATTTCTGGAGTCTCGACGAGAACTTCGTTGTTGTCTCCAATCACCTTTATCCGCACAAGATATGAAATACCAGTAGGTAACTTCGGGATCTGAAAAAAACGGATGAAATTTCTTTTCAACTAAAAATTTTCATTTGGCGACTTCATTTCAAAAATCATAATCGAGAAATAAAGAACGTGTCAAGAAAAATTTTAATTTTCAAAGTTTTCTTTTTTTATTTGTCTTACAAACTAACCTGGACACGATATTGATGGTTTGGTCCTTTGTATGGAATTATTCCTGGATGCAGCTGCCATTCCTTGCTTTTTCAGCCCGGTATTCAACGAGAAAAACCTTTTTACTTCCGAATCAGCATGGTCACCTAGATAATCATTGAAATCGGCATTATTTACAAAAAAATGTTGGATGGTCAGAAACTTGGAGAAGATTTCAGAAAAAAAAATTATAGTCTTTTTAAAGTTAATTACTGAGCTTAGCTGAGTCGGTAAAATGAGAATTCACGCCTTTGTAGCACAACGCAACTTTAGGAAGCTCAAAGGTAGAAATTTTACTCTTAGAGAATAAAAGACAAAAAACAGGATGAAATATAGGTATAAAAAAACGAAACAAAACAGGCAGCTGTAAAAAAAAATTTTTATTTTTTGCTTCTTTCGATTTACGAAATTGACTTTCTCGCAATACTGATGGTACGACAAAATCTCAAGTTCGCAAATCTCGAGGACCGTAATCTTGTGTACGCAGATCTAAAGTCCCATAATCTTGGAAACCAAAATCTTGGAGACCAAAATCTTGGAAACCACAATCTTGGAAACCACAATCTTGGAAAGCAAAAATCTTCCTTTTTAGTCTTCTTTATTGCACTTTATCTACTTATATTCTCTCGTTTGGATCACCGAATACAATTTCTGATAAAATCTATTCGCAAAAGCGTTGATTTTTACTTTCCAAGATTGTGGTTTCCAAGATTTTGGTTTCCAAGATTACACGGTGTTCCGCGCAATGAAAAAAAATGCGAAATTTTGGGTCCCAGCGGCATTTTATCCGTGGCGCATTATTGCGCCCTTCTCATGGTTTCTGATGCAAAAAAATTGATTTTTCTTCACTTTTTTTCATTGGTTTTTTTACTTTTTTTCTATTTCTTGCATTTATGTGATCCGCCTCTCTATGGGTACATCTTGTGGAGCTTTAAATTGCGCATTTTTTTCTAAACCGGTTTCAGATCTTTAACTTTTTTTCTCAAAAAGCGCTGAAGATTTTTTTCTAAAAAGTCCTAATTTTTTTCAAAAATTTTGAAATCTGTTTCGCGACATGAAAAGAGTCACTCTATTTCGAAAAACTATAGTTTTTAATTTAATCAGTTAATAATAAAAAAAGTTATTATCTAGTTCCTTTGACGTAGTTTGAAACCGGTTTCGTGTAAATTAGAGCCAAATTGAATTTGCTGATGCAGTTTAATGATTTTGATATATGCATCATCTAAATTATATATTTTTTTAGTTTTTTTGATGGTTTTTTTCAGATTTAAACAAAAAAATTTTCGCCATACGAGGTTTTTTTCTAAAAATTTCTGCTTTCTATCCATTATTCGTTTTTTTCTGAAGCTAGGTTTTTCGAGGTATATAAATGTGCTTCTCGAATTTTCCTCATTTCAATATTTTTTTCGTATTTATAAATGCTTATTCAATGGGAGCTGATTCACCTTCATATTATCTTTTGTTTTTTTACTTTGTAATCAGTAATTTAGAGTTTTCCCCTTTCGAAATCGTTCCTAAATGTTTTTTAACGTAAGTGAATGTTTTTTTCACATCATATTCTTCAAACTGACAAATTTCGAACTTTTCAGCAGTTATTTTCCTGAAATCGCAAATTCTAAAATTGAAAAAAAACATTTTGAGTATGCGATATCGCGTCTCGGTGTGCTTACACCCTAAGCATCATAATTTACGAAAAGCCTTGACCTTGCGTAATGAAAAAAACACCGTGATTATGGTTTCCAAGATTATGGGACTTTAGATCTGCGTACACAAGATTACGGTCCTCGAGATTTGCGGACTTGAGATTTTGTCGTACCATCGCAATACTTCCCCTTTCTCAGCAAAGTTGCTTCATAGACAAAAATATCATTTTTTTTTCTCGAGAAAAAAAAGCTCTTTTTCATTGTCTTCTGGTTTATATGTTTTATTTTAATTCGTTTTTTTTTCAAAAAAACGGAATGACTTCTTTAATATAGTTGTTCATTGACCATATAATTTTTTGTTGATGTTCTTGAAAATTTTGTTTTCACACATTTCAAAAACCTAGCTGGGCCTAGTACAGGGTATTACGGGATGTAGAAATAACTTACCGGTCTGAATCCCTTCCCATTCGACGGTCAGCAAGCTATCTGGTCCGGCCTGACGCTTCACTCGCACATCTGAAGCCAGGCGAAGGTTCAATGGTTTCCCATTGAGATCCTTCGCGCTTGTTCCTGCTTTTTTTTGGTAATTTTTGTTGGTTAAAAAGGGGTTGAAAAGTTATTTTATCAAATCGAAAGCAAAGAACAGGCGCGAAAAAGTATAAGAAGAACATAGCAAGGTCATCTCCTTTGTTTTTTTCTTGTATCTTCTCGTTTGTTTTTCTTCAGCTTGACTCAACTGAAGCCAATTTTTTTTAATGTGTTCAGGCTTCATGCTCTCTTTTCAGAACGACGAGAAAAATCTCGGAGAACTCTGGAGGCCTGGCCAAGTCAAAGAGAGCGCCTCTTGACGGATTTTCAGTCCATGCGCACGGCTTTTTGCCTCAACACTCCTCCTTGGCTCAAACGAGAATCAACACACGGTAAACACATTCTGTTGCGGGAACGCATGCCTTTTAGAGGTTTTCAGATCACGCTTTTTTGTTTAATGATTGCTGCCCAAAGAAGGTTAAAACGAAATAAGAAGAAATCAAGTGAGGGTATGCTCGAAAATTCGAACATAGAAGATCAGGTTTGCGTTGATTTAAAAATTAAGTTAAATTCAAAATTCAGTTTCATTGATAGGTTATTCTTAGACTACAACTAGAAAGTTGCTATGTGAATATATTGAAGGCAAAACTTCATGTCGCTCCACTTTTTCAGCGTGCTATAAATCCAAAAAGGGAGAAAAAAATTTAGCTTCGTTATGAAAAGTGTTGTTTCGCCTTATTTGGACAGCTCAACCGCATGAAAAATTGTTAATAGTAAAGGGGAAGGCTCCGTCGTCGCAATTTTAATGTGGCAAATGGTTATACTCACGACTTCCGAGCGCCGTCGAGGCTTCGACGAACGCCCAGATGGCGAGCAACAAGAGGCCGAAGCCCCTCGAGCGGAGACCCATCTGTAAGAAAATCACAAGCTTTTGTGAAAAAGTAACTGAATAGAGCAATAGGATTCAAGAGAAAGAAAATCGAAAATCAAGGATAGGTTCACAAGGGGCAATGGAGATTTTTTGGTCAGTTTTAAGAGCTTGCTCTAGTTTTTGACAGTTAAAAAAAAACAGAAAAAATGAGTAGTTTTTATTTTTTATTTCTTGTTGGAAATAGCTATGTTTTCAATTGATAGATTATTCCATTTTTAAGCTTCTTAAAGAACTATAAAAAATGTTTGTACATCAATAAGAGGATAGTCTGGTATGAAGGCCTAGTGCTCAGGCTAGGTGAACAGATATGAAAAAATAATGGCTCAGGAAAATTTTTATATACTTTTCTGATGTTTGACATTTCTGGCGGTCTCGCGAGTAGAATAAGAAGATGGTAAGACGACAAAACGATATGAAGAAAGCAAAAAACAAAAGGTGGGGCTGAAGCAGCGGTCTTGCCGACGGTTCGAAGACACACCTCCCCCGGAGGAGAGATACAATCGATGAATCAATCTGGGCGAAGATTGGTGGTAGCAGAAGAAGGCGTTGCTGGTGGAGGCGATGGGGCAAGTGATTGGGAGGCGATCAGTGGCCAGCCAACTTCCTGTAGTTGTGCTACGGAAAGGTCAACTGGGAGTGGCACTTTATAAGTGAAAATATCATTTAACTTGATCACTGAGAGGAGCTGTGCTCGCATAAATCCGTGAAAACTTTTTTCATTTCGAGTTTAACAAATTAAATTTTTTTTTTTTTGAAAGTGCTGATTTTGAGAAGAAAAAACTGCTTTTTTTTTTTCGAAAACCTGGCTATAGTTGGCACAAATTTCCCTTTTGACGTTGATATGTTTCTTCCGGAATGTACTTTAGGGAATGATTGAGAGTCCAAAAACTAGGTTAAGCAAGTTTTTTTTCCAAAAAATTAAAAAAATATATTTTTAATAAGTTTTTTTAGGTTCTTTTTGCTTACATAAGTGCCTAAATTAAGAATATTGAGTTTCTACCTACGAAAAAGAAAGAAAAGCTCAGTTTTTAACTTACTAATCAATTGATGGATCTAAATTTGGAAAATACAGAAATTTAACAATTACGGGAAGCAATGTGAAGTAGTGCGAATGCCATACTTTCGGAATGGTTAGATGATAGAAATAACGCTTCGAACAGCAGAAATTGTTCAGTTATTTAAATGAACGAAGATTATAATGCTTCTAAAAAGAAACGCAGAAGAAACGAAATTTGAGAACAAAGTTTCGGGAATAGTAGAATTGTAAGCATGAACAAGGGTTCTTTGAGGCAATAAATAAGATGCGATTCATTCAAGGAAAAAAACACAGTTTCAATCAGAAATCGTTTGCAACGGCCAAGTTTGAAAAAAAAACGCGAACTTTTTTATTGCAATTTCAAAACTTGAAGAGAATAATTGAGCTTGAAACAAACATTTGATTTTTTTCAGTAATGTTTTGATGAAACATTTTCCACATTGGAAAGCCTTTCCAGTCGAAAAAAAAGCAATAACCAAAAAAAGGGTATTATAATTAGAGATGAAACGCTGAATAAAACAGAATAAGTATGGTCTTCGAGAGTCCTGAAAATGTATGATCCAACCAATAAATACAAAAAAAGAAGGTGAGAGATAATTTTGGGCAATTCAGAATTGCGCCGGTCGTCAAGGTCGTTCTCATACGCACCACCACCGTTATCACTTTATCTTTATCGCTAATCGCTCGGTCCTCCACTACCAACCACCCATTTTCTCGGTAGTAGCCCTTAGGTTCAACTGGGGAATATTCGTTTAGAAAAAATGGAGAAAAAGTTCAAATCTGAGAATTCTATAATCACAGAGAAAAAAAAAATCAAAACTAATTGCGGGTTGTTAATTATGAAAACGTAATAAGTGAAAAGATAATTTTCAAGATTTTCGAGCGGTTGAGTATTCATTTTTTTAGCAACTCTAACACCCTTATTTATCTAACAAAAAATTTATGTAGGAGATCTCACATTATCCATAAATGGTGAGACTGAGAAAACATTAATGACCGTCAACAGTTGCGAATCAGATGAGAGTTCAAACAAAGTTTTTTCAACGAGCGCGACCTAAAATATTTTTGTTAAAGTATAAACAAACAAAAATAAACAAGCAGAAAAACCGCGAAGATAGGGAGGTAAAAAAAATGAAGCGAGATAGTCGTCAGAAAGAAGCTCTCGTGTCGCACCGCGAGCCAATATTTGAGCATTGAAACAACAAGGACTAGTTTCACACTTATTTCAGAGCTGAAGGTGCTCAAGATTCGGCAGAATTAACGGGGCACATTAAAGATCCTCACCCGAGAAATCTTCGGATAGATACAAAATTAGTTTTGAAAAAGAAAGGCAAAAGTTCGGGATTTAGAAGAAGAAGTGTAGGAGGAATCGATGTGACTGATGAGACTCTACAATAAAGATGACTGCTCATTGTAGTTCAGGGTGAATTTTTGACGTCGCGGAAAGGAGAAGAAAACTGGGCGTGGCTGGTGGCCGACGAGGCCAACACCCAGTGTGGAATGCGCAGGCAAAAACGCACAAAAGCGGCGACAAGACGAGTTTTGCAGACGACGTCGCCGCGACGTCTTCGGATGGCGAGACCTCCGTATGCAAATTTCGGCTCTCACCTTTTCCATCAATCTATCTTCTTCGGCGGACACCCTACAAATCACTTCCGAACCCGCCTTGCGCAACGTTTTACGGTTATCTTGTGATTAGCACTGCAAAACAGCTTGCTTCGGAAAAACTTCCTTTGTCGTTTCTTGCTTTTCTCTGGCTTTCAAGCTTTCATTCAATCTGTCAGTAATAGCAAGGCTCATTTCGTCAGTTTCTTCATCATAACAAGTCTTCCATTTCAAAATTTTCCATGTTTTCTGAACAGATCTTAGTCCGAAGCAAGCATTTGAAGGCAAAAGAAAAAAGAAAATTCGAAGGATTTTTCTCGAGAACCTCTCCACTTTAAAATCTTTGCATAATTCGCAACACAAACAACGGCGGGGCGGTGTCGACAATGACAGTACAACAAGGCAAATCGAGAGATGCAAGGACTGCCTGATTTTAACCCATTTAGATGTCTTGAAAAGAAAAAATGGAGGGCTTGCGGCACCTTCGGAAAGGTGGTAATTTAGTACAATCTGGACCGGATATGAAACGTCGCTTCGTATTGTTTGCAAGACGAAAAAAAAAACGAAAGAGGTTTGGTGATGACAGCGACCATTGAGATAGGAAAACGGAGAAAAGAAGACGTTACTTGAAAAAGGAGAATTGTTGGGCGCGGTGGTGTTTTCTGTACGATTGTAGTAGAAAACTGAGAGAAAAATAGGAAGACCAGGAGAATTTTTATCATAAAAATGTATGAGGTTCTTCGATTAGGATAGGAAAAAAATACAGGTCAACAAAAAAAAAATATCCAATTAGACTTGGACAAGAAAAAGCGGCAAAAAGGTGGGCGGCGAAGGTGAAGCTCTTGCCTGGGTGCAACAAAAGTGCGCCTGAGCGTGTTGGCTTGCTTGTGTTTGAGAAACATCCAGGTGGAATGCGACGAGAAATGAACAAACAGTCGGAAAGTCGTTGACGGCGGATGCCGCTTAGCCGCATCGTCCGTCAGAAGACCCGACGGCTTCTGGTCAACGACGTCTGCTGCTTCGAGCTTTTGCTTTTCGAGAATACCCCACAATATAAAAAAAAGATATTTTTTGACAAGAAGAAGAAGATTTGATGAGAAGTTAATTGAATCGAAGTTGAAAATTTCGATTCAATTATTTTTATGTGTTTATTTGAACTGACGGGAAATCGTCTTCAAAGAAAAGCGAATTATGCGGTTAGAATTTCTCAAAGCATCGTGCTACCACCGAACGTGTATGCCATAAATCGAAATGAGAAAATTACGAAGCCGTTTTAACTGTGCCTTTCAAGAAGACAACGCCCACCGCCTCAGTATGCGTGTTTGTGCGGGTTCAATGACGGAATATGTGAGTCACACCCATTCTACCTAAGGCCTCCGCCCAGGTGGTTTTCTTTGGTGTTCCTTTTTAGGCACGCCGTTTTCCTGGCTCGGACACAATGTTCTTTTGGATTTTCTCAGAGGAGAATTACTGCAGCGTCATATATATATATTTGTTCTTATCAATTTTTTCTTATGCTCCAGTCATTATTTGAAAAATCAGAAGTTTTCGTGTTTTTTTTTTCTTTGAGTGTATGAGCAAACTGATGAACAAATTTTCAAAACAATTAGCGCTTCATTGATGGAAAGTGAATATTTTGTGCATGAAAATAAGCGAAGGCCTCTTTTGTAAGCCAGATTTGATAGAAAACTTATTGGAGTACAGAGTCTGATCTTCTCGGATCTCACTAGTCAGCGATCTTCACAAGTGACTTTTTCTTCTCCCGCAGCCACACGTGCGATTTTGTTTGCAGTTGAACTTGAGAAGAGGGAAGAGAGAACGAGCTTGTCAGGTAAGGCTGGACAGGTCGTCGGAATGAGGAAAGATGAAAAAGTCAGAAATTGTATCGATCAGGGCGGTTTCTGTGATAACGGGCCAAAACGCTTCGAATGGATAGCACGGCGTATGTTGACAAACAGTCCGCCACAGAAATAACGAGACAAATGAAGTTGAAAAATGGCCATTCGACAGTGGAGAAAGTTCGAGAATTACGGTTTTATGTCGAAAATTTGTTCTCTGTTTTTTTTTTTGATTGAAAAACTATTTGATAGTGTTGAACCACGGTTTTTGCGATGGCGGCGATGCGATTGGCGTGGGAGAAAGAAACGCCGCGGAGCACTCTTGAGGCTTACGAGAAAGCTGCTCGGTCGGCCGCCGACAGTCATTTGCCTCTCATACAGCGCCCGATGGAATCAAAAAACCAAAGAAAACTAGTTTTGAAGTTTTGCAAATTTTTAGTAGGATTGATAAGACCAATATGTTCAAGAACGGCTTTTGAATGCGATTAAATGTAGAGAGAAACCAGTGGATGTTTTCGAATATTAATAGCCTGTGTCGGTTGTGCAACGCTCAAAACAATGTATACTTGGACGTTGGAGGTGCATGCGAATAGGTAATTCCAAAACAAACGGCTATTTATATTTGCGTAACCAAAACATCTGAAGTGTCTCGATCCTTTTCGCTTTCCAGCCCTGCATTTTCCTGAACGAAAAATTAGGAAAAATGCCAAAAAGATGGCTAGACTCATTTTTTTTAAAATTTACTTTTAAAAATTTTTTTAATAAAAAATATGTGTCAACTTTTTTCCATTATCTTTCGGAAGCTGGGATTGTAGCATGTTATGTAATACCTATTCACCTTCCATCCAAAAAAAATTCGAACAGGGAGCGATATCAAATCAGAGTTGACCTCATACCTCGCCTCGCGACCAGCGTCCTCCGGGAACGGCTTGATCGAGCGTCTGCGTGGACGGTGGCAGCACTTGGTCGATGCAGATTGAGGATACATCAAACGATGTTGGCCGTTTTCCATGGAAAATGAGGAAAAGAAGAAACTCAATGTTTTCGCATTGACCTAATACAATGTTTTGAAGTATAACCATACATCGGCTGGATCTCACCTCAGTCTTTTGCGCGCAAAAAGAAAGTTTGCGAATTTACTGAACTAAAAAAGCCGCACCCCGGGTCCAGCCGAGATATGAGTATAACAACAACTCGAGGTTATCCAAAAGTAGTTACGAAACTAAGAATGTTGCTTCTTATAACGATACTGTTTTAGGCTTCGTAATGCACCTGTGAATATTCCAAATTATCCCGAAGAAATATTTTGCTACAATTGATAAAAATTTTTACGGGTTTTTTCTCATGGTCACAACATATTTTTTGTTAAAACAGTTATATTTCTTTTTAGAAACCGTTTGACTGCTTAATTCTTTTTTTTCACTTTTAGATTTGCAGTTGGGCAGCATGGAGAAAATGAGGAACGCAGTTCCCAAAATTCAACTTTTTACTCTGTAAAGGGGATGTGAAACATAATATTTAGGTTTTACTTATTTTTTCAATCAATTGATGGTCTAACGCCGTGTATCTATTCAAATTCTCATTTCCGCCCAGGAAAATTCATGTCGGCAGTTTCTGTTTTCTGTAACGCTATCTTGCATCAGAAATTGATAAACAGTCAACACTTGACGCAAAAATAAAGAGGCGTGGTCAAGTAGTCTGTCTGTTCTGTTCTAGTGATCGCTATCTTTCGACCCAGACAACAGTTCATTGGAGCCAAAATGCCGGACGATTCCCTTCCTTGTCCGCCAAACTATGCCGATCCTTCAGGCGAGTACCCGCCGTCCCGCGTCGTCAATACCAAATACGGACCTATCGAAGGCCGTCGTCTCATCCACCAAGGCCCACGACAGGTTCTTTTGTCCATTCAATTTCCCATGATGCTTCTTGATAGCCTCTAAACCCTTTGACGAGTTTCAAATTCTGGCGAAGAAACTTCGGATCATTTATCTTTCTGCTACAGATTTATGAGTTTTATGAGAAAACATTCACCGTTGAAACAAGGTTTTTCTTCAACTAAAATTCGTTTTAAGCTTTGTATAAACAACTGTAAAATATTTTACTGTATTTTTTTCGTTTCAGGTCGATGCTTTCCAAGGAATTCCCTATGCAGCTACTCCGACAGGAGAACTCAGATTCAAGGTTAATCTTTTTTTTTCAGCATCAGTCGAACCAAAAGTTTGCTTTCAGTTGCCACAGCCGCCCAAATCGTGGTCTGAAGTTCTTTCTACGAAGAATTTTGGCTTTAGAGGAATTCAAAAAGATAAATCTACCAAATACTCTGTAAGTCAAAGATTGTTTTTCTTTTTTTTTTCGCTATAAAACTCACTCTTTATGTATATTGCATGAACTTTCTAGGAAACAGTACTATTCCAATTTCAGGTTCAATTCATTTTTTTTTGTTGTTTTAGTCATAGATGTAATCGATTAGGCGGTGAACAAGAGCTTTTAAATCTATAACGAACAACCGCTTTCGGTGAACTAAAACTCTAAAAGTGTAGTTGATCAAGTTGAAAGCATGGTCTTACGATCCTTCGCCTCGTTCTTCTGCGTAGTTCATCTGGTTGCGCCTTGAATAGCTCAAAAAGTGGCGGATGTTGTGTTGGAGACCTTGCTCTAGGTGGAAGTCTCGAAAAGAGAGCGACCACTTCGAGTGAAGATTTTACACGGAATTTTTAACATCAAAAGGAGAAATTTCACTATATATATGATATTCCTATAATATAGCTTTGTGAATTCAGATCAAGACTTCTGAAGACAACTTGACTCTCAATGTGTTCACTCCTGTTTGGGCCGCCCCTGAGAAAGAAGGTAATCTTTCTGACTCAAGTTCGCAGAAAAGATTTTCGAACGTTGGAAGAACTCTAATGGTCGCGGTTTCTCTGAAAGGGTATTGCGTGACTTGTAGCAATAAAATAGACTATCGAAAATCGTCTTTGCTATTTTTTCCGTGAGCTCGAGCAGTACTTTGATCATGATTTTACTCCGTATGGAAAAATTAACATTTGAGGGTTCGCCGTCCTCGTATACATTCATGGTGGCGGATACGTCTCTGACAGCGCTGTCAAATATGGAGATCTTCGTCTTTCTCAGAGATTGGTACGTCTCATTTTTATGAACATTTTTAAACACAATTTCTGCTCATCATCTGAAAGAGCTTTTTTCATTTTTTTTTTTTTTTCTAGGTTTTTTTTTCTTGTTATTTGATTCTAATAATAATAAGAGTGTTATTAATAATTAGTTTTCATCACCAAAACGAGAACAGGAAGATATTTAAACTAAAAAGAAAATGGTATATGATAGATTACATAAGACAGAAATTTATCGATGAAATAGTGAACATAATTCAAAAAGCACTTTGAGAGAAAAAAATTTCTGATAACATTATCAGTAAATTTTTTTTCGGTTCAATGGCGGTTGAATTTGAGATTAGAAGTAAGCTTTTTACTGTTAGAAATCTGATTTTTTTTTTCGATATATTTTTTTTCTGATAGCTTTACAAGAGTTTCAACATTAAAAAATGATTTAGGCCCGCCTGAAAGAAAGAGAAAACCTTCAAAATATTACACCTGAAAAAACAAATAGATGGGAAAGTTTTTGGACTAAGGAAAGCCTTTGGAGGTAACCAAAGATGTGGTGGTAGTGACGGTACAATACCGACTCGGTTTTCTGGGCTTCTGGACTTCCGGAGACGACGCCTGTCCCGACAACATTGCTCTTCACGACATGACTTTCGCTTTAAAATGGGTTCAGGTAGAATTTTTTTTTGGTTTTTGCGTTTTATCAGCTTCATTCTTGCCACCCTCTACAATCTCTCTTTACTAAAACTTTATCGCATTCGCTCACTCGACTTTTTTTTTTCAAAAGAGGAAACAAGAAATAGAAATTTTTACAAGATGGTTTCTTAATTTTTTAGCCAATGGCGTGGTATCAAGTTATCCATTTGCCGAAAATGCTTGTAAAATAAGAGATTTTTTATCTTAAATTTTTATTTTGGGATTTTTTTTAGGAAAACATCCTTGAATTCAACGGGAATCCGAATAACGTCACAGTGATGGGACAATCCGCAGGCGGAGCTTCCGTCGACTTGCTCAGCTTGTCCCCCGTGTCCAGAGGTGCTATTCAACAGTTCAACTTTTGTTTCTTTCAATTAGGAAAAAAAGAAAAGAAAAAAGAGCTAGGTCTTCTAACCTTGTGCGTACCTTATTTAAGGTTTCTCAATAAAAAGGGTATAACCATTCAGACTTATTCCACAAGGTGATTCCGATGGCTGGCAACGCCAATTGCTACTGGGCCATCTCATCCAATACTTTGAGTAGTTGTCGTAATTTGGCTCGAAGCATCGAGATTCATGACGAACAAGACTCTGAGCAAGTAATTATCATCTTTCTCACAAATTTCCATGTTTATGATTTTCAGTGGATCGAAAAACTTCGAAAAGTGAATGCAGAAACGTTTGCAAGGGGTATTGGGGTACGTCGGAGGAAAAGATTGGGGCGGAGCTTCCATGGTTTCAGGACAAAATAGACACCAATAAGACTCCATGTTCGATTGGTCCTATATACGACAACGTTTTTCTACCGAAATCGGTTCAAGAATTACGTCAAGAAGCGCCGGCCAAACCGTGTATCACAGGCTGTGCCCGCTCCGAAGGCTTCATCGGTTTGTTCGCTTGAAAAATAAAAATAAACCAAGCCTAAAATCGAACAAAGCCTCAAATAAAAACCAGAATACCCAAGATTTTTTTAGTAATTATATATACAGTGTAATCCGCGCCAAAAGGTTCACTTTGTTCACATTTTTTTTTAATAATTTCTGAAATAAAAAAATTGTACAAAAAACTTCAAACACCGGTCTCACAGCAAAGTTTGATTTACTGTTTGTTCTTGAAGCAAAAGTGATAATATGGAGTGAAATGTGTGCTTCACGGCGGTAGCTCGATGATTTTCAGAGTTTTTGAAATAACTTGAGTTTTTTATATTTATCACTTCAATTATATATTTATTATTCAACTTTATAACATTTTTTTCATGCATTGTTTAACTTTTTTTAACGCATATTTTCTTAAAAAAATAAAAAAAGAAAACTGAATTTTTTTAAAAAAAGGAATTTTTCAGGCAAAATATTTCTCATTATTTACTTTAATGATTTTGAGTTAGAATTTCTAAAAAAACTACTCTTACTCTCAAAAATAAAAATCCAAGTTATCAGGCTGACACATAAGTTTTTGTCAGTTTTTGCTCGACAAGGAAACTTTGTTTATAGTTTGGCACACATTCTAACCGGTTCAGCGATGAAAAACGAAGGCACCGTCCTCGAGAGAATCAACAACGTTCTGTCAGATCTCGTGCCACAGAAGGAGTTTCCCCGCCGATTCCGCGAAATTCAGAAGGACATATTGAAGAGATTGATCGATGTCGACCAAGAACACACTGAAGAGGAATGGATGAAAGTTTACGTCGAAGTTTTTGTCTGGGAATTTCAAGGAACGCGATTCTTGTTTCACAGCTTCTGGGCGATGCTTTCATGAATGTCGGAGTGCAGGAACACGTCCTCCAGCGTGTTGAGACATACGATGCTCCCGTCTATTTCTACTCCTTCGACTATGCCAATCCAGATAGCTATGGACCTCTTGCGCCCTTCATGCCTTTTCTCGGTTCGTTCTGGTTGTGAACAAGTTTGGAATATCATCAATGAAATCGGTAAATATTAAAAAAGTTAAGTAGACTCCTATTTCGTCCGCTTCGGTAATTCGTGCAGTTTCCTTGCACTTTTTTGTTTAGAATTATAATTTGTGAGCAAATAGTTCATTTTGGAGCAATTAAGATAATTTTTGTGTCATCATACATATTCAATCTTTCCTGAATTGAAAAGCGAGGGGACGGGACGCGTAGCGTGTGCGTTCGCGGTTTTTGGCACGAGTCTAATTCAACCGCCACCGACTATTTGGCGAGCTCGTTTATCACTCTTTTTACTTCTTTTAAAAAATTATTCATTGATTTTTTTATATGTGCATCAACAAATAGTAGAATGAATACAAAGAGAGCGATGCCCGAGCTTTTAAATATTCGGTGGCGGTTAAATTGAACTCGTGCGAAAAATCGCGTAAGGACACGCTACGCGTACCGTCCCTCCCCCGCCTATCTCGCCTTACAAGTCGGGATGGATTACATATTTTTTTTGAAGACGCTTCGCACTGCTTTGACATCGGCTATCTTTTCGGCGTCGGAATTATTTTCAACTTCCTTTTCAACGATGAAGATGAGCGCGTCTTTGAAATCATGACCAAGCTTTTTTCCAACTTCGTCAAATATGGGTTAGTGTTTTTCTCAAAATTTTTCTTCTGTTTCTACTTTTTTTTTAACATGATGTCAGGAAAAATGGCAAAATTTATTTATTTATCTTAGAATTAAAAAAATCTCTGTTTCCACAAATCGCCGTTTTTTTATTACTATATGAAATTTTCTAATGAGCTATGCAGGAACATATTTAAAGTTATTGACATTTCTAAGAAACCCAAACGGAGGCCCGAATTGCTCGGAAAAGGCGCTTGGAGACGTCGAATGGCTTCCGGCGACAAAGGAAAACCCTCAAATTCATCTTTCGATCGGCCCGCAGCCACGGCTGAAGCAAAAATACAAGGTCGCTTGAGGAAATATTTCAAAAAGTTGATCCTTGGCGCAAAAAGTCGCTTAATTCTAACGGTCATTCGAGAAAAAAAAACGAGTAAAAAAAAAAGCAAAAACGTCATTTTTTGATTGAAAAAAAGCTTAATTTTCGACTTGCAGAAAATTTGAACTTTTTGGGCCTTGCTGGTCAATTTTGTTCGAGGCCTCCCTAATGCCGAGCTGAGCTTGGGAAAAAAGTCGAAGAGGCCGATAGACTGGCAGGCCCTCGCACAAGCCTCTTGGCAGTTTTTAACGTTTCTCTTCTTTTTTTTTGTCAAAAACTAAAGCTATCTCAAACATTTTATTCTCGATCTGGTTACTCTCAAAAATTTTAATGTGCTCCATTTTTTTTTTCCTGTGAAGAAAAATAATTATAATTGATGTATTCATATCCGTTGGGAATTTTTCAGGATGGCCGACCGATGGCCTACGTCGACATGCGTCGGGAGACGCCATAAAAGTTTTAATACATTGCCAAATTGTACAGTTTTCTTTCGTAGAGCGAACAACGGAATAAAACATTATGAGAAAACATTAAAATGCACGCGAAAGCGTGTTTGAGAAATGGAAGAAAAAACGAAATTTGAATTTTGACACCACTTTTTGCCCCTCATATCTCGACCGTTTTTTATTTAATTTTTTTGCACTGAAAAGAAGGTGTGTTTTTTCTTGAAAAATAGTAAAGCGATGAAGAACGATGTTTACCCGTGAGACACATGGCAGAAAAAGGTCGAGCGGACCAAAAATCGATAATCTATGTATGTGAAATCCCCAGGAACTCCTAGTCGCGCGGCGACCGTTTTTCTTTCGAATTTTCCGCCATATTTCGTTCGTTTCCTTGGTTTCCTTTTTCAAACCAAGCTCCAAACCACTTCAAAATTAAGTTTGTGCAACAAAAAAACTCATTTTTAAAAGTCTAGTTTTCTATTTTTCCGACTTCTTCAACAGCTTCGTTTTCAAACAAAAAAAAAATTGTAAAAAAAACGAAAAGCAAGATCTTTTCAAACCCGAACCGCCGTCTCCAAGAAAAGAAGTTACAATGAAAAAAGAAGAGGCTGCGGCCAACTGGTCAGCTGTCGCTCTTTTCTTTTGTTCCTCACACTCGCATATTGTCCATTCTTTTTGACCTACTTGTTTTCTAGACCAGAGTCCATGCTCCAAGTTTCAAAATTCTTGCACGAAAAAACTGATGAAAAAAGATCAAAATGTAATTTCCAATTCCCCCAAAATGAGCGGAACTACTAGTTTTTGTGAATTTTCGATTTCAATGAGGATAGATATTTGAGGAGGTTGTCCAAAACATTTATTTTGTCAATTAAAATTTATTTTTTAAAGTTTCTCGAATTTGTTGAATTAGAATGTTTCCAGTGAGTTATGTGAACAAACAAACTCCCTTTCTTTCCAGCGATTTCTCACTTTCCCACGTTGAGCCGCATCGATCAATTGTTGAAACGTTCCATCTCTGATTTTCATAATAATTAAACACTCTTTTTACTCTCTGTGTCAATTTTCCGCTGGCTCGGCAAAATCACATCGAAGAAGACGCGTTAAGATCATCTTTTCAAAAACTATTTCCCTATATTTACAACATGAATATTGTTTCGAGTCATCACTTAATGAAAAAACAAGGTTTTTTTTGGCTATTCTTGATAAATTATAATAATCTAAACTTCGGTGCTTTCAAGCTTGCAGCTTTTATTGAAATTGCACGGGCATATCTCCCGTATGATCCAGAATATATTTTTTTCAACTGACACGCCATCAGAAATCATAATTTTTTACAGTCTAAGACATCAAACAATGGGAAAGCGGAAAGAGAAAGAGAAGAAGCCGGAGACGGAAGAAGGAAGTCTCGAGAGCCCCAGAACTCAATCTCTTTGGGTTCTAGCCGTCATTTTCATAGGTGAGTAAATTTCTGTTTTCACGCCGAAAGATCGATTTGAGACAAAATTATAAAAGGCGATTTTTATAATCTCATCATACAAGTGCGTTAAAAATGAGCGAATTTTTCTCTCATCGGATCAAAACATCGGGCAAACGTCGTGTTCATGTAGCGGAAGTACTCGTGTAGCTCCTAGAGTTCATTGTGTGAGTCCGAACGAAAATCTGGCAAACTTCTTGCTCAGCCAGCGTCCTTGTTTCGATGACGGCGCGGTAGAAATCACGTAGAGATCGAACCGCCTCTCTTTCGCGGAGTCTTTCCAGTCCTCTGATTAAAAAAGTGCGTGTAAACATCAAAGTTAGAAATGTGTGATTCTCGAAAAAATCTTTCAGCTTTTTCAGAAAAAAAAAAAAAAATACGCGTTTTTTCAGTCAGCATTTTAAATCCATCGTGCCCTAACTTTGAAAACGAAATGAAAGCTTAAAAGAACAGAATTCACTCTTTCTCGGCGTCACTCATTTCGTCAAATACGTTAAGAAGAGGCTTCGGCGGTCCAATTCGACTCAGCCACGTACTCCAGTTTTTCGCCTTGCTGTCGTCAGATTTCACCTGAACACTTTAATAACGTCATTTTTTGGTTTGACGAACGCGTGCACTTTGGCTTGCAGCGTGTCAAAAACGACGTCGAAGTCGTCTGCCGAAGTGGCTTCGTCTAGGGCGACGAGCTCTTCCATCTCCATCGACTCGATCATGTTCTTCACAATAGGAGGGTCGTTTGCCTGGCACACTGTAATAACTTGGGCATTACTGTATTTATCAACGGGTTGAAAAATGTAGCGAAATCTTACTGAATAGCTCATTCTGCCCTTTGAACAACATTCGGAAGTTGTTCCAGAGACGTGACCAAATCGAGGGACTTGATCTTTCCGACTTTCTGAGATTTTTTCTATTTTTTTAAAGTGAGATCAGAAGTATTTTATTTGAATCATTTTTTAAGCCTGAGATTCAGAATTTTTTTTCTTCTAATATTTTTTTTTGCCGAATCTATTCCGCTTTTAAAAAAAGTTTCACATTTGAGATGGTTATATATATTTGAAAAAAATAACCTCTGGCCGAAATAGTGAAGTACAACGAACTGATCGATAACCGGGAGAACTTTTTGCAGTTGTCGCGCCCAAAGACAGCGTAGCGCGTTGAAAATAGCTGCGTTCTAAAACGTCTTTTTCATTTTTACAACCTAGCCTTCCAACATGGTACGATTCGACGATTTGCACGGCGTTAGGATGGAAAGCCGCCGAGATAGACTCGTTAGCGACCAGTTTTGAGCCACGGCGCATCTCGTCGATCTGGTACTTGAGCTCGGAAAGGGAATGATTGTCGATCAAGTCCAAAAGCATTGCTGTTTCATTGGTGTTGAGTTCGACGACGAAGGCCAGCAACGGACTGTAGACGTCGAGCAACGAGAAGTTGTGGGTCAGCGGCTCGTTACTCAACGGCCACGACAGATTCCCCAGAGAGAAGCTGTCGCCGTCGTCGATGGCCGACGTCTGCTGCCAGAAGAGTCCGTAGACGACGAGCAACAGCTGCTCCACGTGCATTCAACGCACGCCGCGCCTCGGAATCTATGTCGGGCTTTAAGATCTGCAATTCATTCCAATCAACAAGCAAGAGTTCAAACGGGGAACTGAGACTACGTGCACTTAACTTTCGTATAGTCATAAAGCCTTTATGACTATACGAAAGTTAAGTTTATGACGAAGGATTTCAGAATGACTCATCAAAAGGGCTATTTTTGGTTTTGACCGCTCGAAAAAGACTTATTTAGTTATGAGAAATGGCTAAACGAATTTAATAAACTCTCAAAACATGGTGACTCGCAGTGGCACATCGATTTGCTCCGAAGAATTTTTTCAGATTCTGTAAAACATCTGCCGCTGCTCGGTTACTTGGAACCCGTTTGCTCTAGAAAATTAGTGACTCAGCGTTTTTTCGTATAAAACTCTTATTGAATTGAATGTTTTTGAGAAAACTCTTCGAAAAAATCGAAGATCTCCCTTTTACTGATATTTTTTTCCGATGAAAGTTAAGAGGCTGAGAATTTTGACGCTATTTCGGTTGGAAAATGGTGGAGTATGAAATGAGGAAAAGTGGTTGCAAAAGTGTCGACGAACGGATAATTACTGGTGCGGGCGCCGCGCGGGGCACGACTTCGACGTCTGCGTCGTTCCCCATACATTTTCTGTCGGATCTGCGTGATTCTCCCTGATACGGCGGCGATCTGCTTCATCTTCACTTTCAATACATTTCCTTGTTCTGGAGCTCGAGGAGAAAGTTCAGTGGTTACAGTGCTCAGAGTATTTTCTATGAGAAATTGGAAAAGTCGGGAAAAAAACTTTTTGAACTGTTGTGTACAATCAGTACAATCTTTATTTTTCGAAAAATTTTTTTTGATAGTAAAAAATGTTCGAAAATGTTCAAAAAATGAGGTCTCTTGCAATGAATTATGACAGCTGACCGCCGGATTTCAATTCAAACAAATATCCTCACCAGTAATAGAAAAAGGAAAAAAAAACATCCAAACATGAGAGCGCAGAAAAACCCAAAAACTTTCAATTCGTGGTGTTCTAAAAATCCAAAAATGTGAAACTTCCGCAAACTAAAAAAAAAACATAAAGCTTTCAATGAGGAAAATGGGTGCAATGAGATTGAAATTACAGGAATCGTAGTAGGGTACTTTCACGGAATGCATCTAAACACCTTGTTCGAGAATGATCGTCACTTTTCGCATCTGGCAGATTTTGAGAGGGAAATGGCTTACCGCACGGAGATGGTCAGTGGGTTCTCAGGAATCGGAAACCAGTCAAATTCTTACAGGGCCTCTACTACTCCTACTACAAGACTATCATCACGGCGCCTTCTTTTGCTGAAGGTCTCTTGCAGATAACGAGGGACAACGTGACCGAGTACGGCCACGAGATAAACACGCTCAAACGCTTCAATCTCTATCCTGAAGTATTCATCCGTCCCAATATTGTTTGATAGCGGCTTTTTTCAGGTTATTCTGGGATTTTTGTACCGGCAGTTCCGTTGGTACGCGACGGCGGTTAACTGGCAAGTCGAATATTGCTGGAACGTCAATCGGGGTGAAAGCCTACCTCCTGTGCAGAGTTGTGAAGGTTTCATTTCCTAATTAGCTCCCCCGAGGAAGAAGTGATGAGAATTTTCATAGTTTATACTGGTGAACACTTTTCTAGTTCATTCAATCTATTACATTAAATTAAAAAAATATCAAAAAAATGGAGCTCGTGAACTAAAAATTTGAGTCCTCTGTGAAAAACACTAGACGATATTTTTGCGCGATTTCTCCAATGTGGAAGTAAGAAATTGGATTATTTAATAACAAGGAAGGTCATTGTGAGTGTGTAAATGGGGAACTTTCATGAAATTGCTCGACAACATTTCAAGGTTTTGATGATAGACTCTTAATAGCTTCCTGCTGAGATTTTCCATCCCGTTATCACAGCTTATAATCAAGAGATGTCGACCATTATTACAGAAAAAGTACACTTAAAAAAATATTTTCACACAAGCTCTCTTCACTTTTTTTTTAGCTTCTGACTGTATTCGAACTTTTTCAAGGTATCGGAAACCCACATTACTTTTATGTGTACACGGTTTTTGTGATCGCTAGCACCGTGGCTTCGTCTATCTTTTTCTTAGGAGTCTTATTGAGGTGAGTTTCATGTTCTTCCAACGATGGTATCAGAAGTTTCAGCGATTCGATTCTGGGAGGCCTGATCGCTGTGGCGAGTTTCGCCTTCAACCACGGCGAGGCGACTCGTGTCCAATGGACGCCGCCGCTCAGAGAGTCGTTTGCCTTCCCCTTCATTATCGGCCACATCGCCCTCCTCACATTCGTCATCAAGTTTGGCTACCTCAGGAGTCCAGAATCAACTGATATTAACAGGAGCCGCAAAGTCTGCTGTGGCTGGATCGCTGCTTTGGTGTCGCTCTCGCTTCCGGCCACACTTTTCTGGCAATTTTCTCAGTTTGCCTTTTTCACTCAGATCTGTTCGGTGGTTGTGGTCTTCGCCTTGGACCTGCTTCCTTCACCGACCGCCAAAACCGTCGTCTTCAGTCATCTGGTGAGTTGAGGCAGGAATCATGCATGTGCTTATTGGAAAGCTTCGGATGGAGAATCAAGTGCCGAGTTGTTTTGAAAGTTAGAAATTTCGCAAAATAGTTACGATATTCATTTAATCAAAATTCGGTTGTGCAGAAAAGTGGGAAAGTCAGTAATCGCGCCATAAAACGTTTCTGTCATCTCAGATTTCGTTTGTACTTTCCTTCGTGCTGCTGTTCGGCAATGAGATGCTCCTCACCACGTTTCTTCTTCCCAGCATAATTTCTCTGATGGTTTTCCAAAGTCAAATTCTTTTTCTGAAACATTTCTTTTGCAGGTTCTCGTGGCAGCGCGTCCCCTAACAGACAAGATCCAACTCCGTCCCCTACACGTAGCTGTGTCGGGACTCGGTTTTCTTCTGCTGACAGTCAGCCTCAAGATTGTTCTCTCCCGGACGCTGCAAATCGAGGACGATGTTTCCAAATGTCATAGATGATTTTTCACAAAACGAATTTCAGGCACACATTTTGGACATTCTCCGATCAAAGTTTACCGACTATCAAAATTTCCACACCCGGCTATATACTTGTTCCGCTGAGTTCGACTTTATCTCTTTGGAGGTCATTTAGGACTTTTTCTTTTTTTTTTATAAAGCCTATAAGACATACAAGTTACTTCAGACACTAAAAAAACTCACTCAAACGTTTCTGATTCCGACAGCATGCACGGCGGTCGTTCTTCTCGCATCCAACCTCTTAAAATTGCATAAAGGTCACCTACTGTGGAGAAATGATTCGGTTTCACATGGAGGAGAGGTGAGATCACAAACCTGGTTTCAAAAAGATGATACGCATAAAATTCTCTCGAGTTTCATTGACGACCAAAATTTTTTCATAAGAAACAAGCTAATTTTAGGTCGTCTACAATGCAGTGCAGCTGTTCTGCTATACAGTTATGGCGGTTCTGATCATGAGGCTCAAATTGTTCTTCACGCCCCATCTCTGCGTGTTTGGAGCCTTGTTGGCGAACCACACTGTGAGAATCTGGAATATTTCGGGAATTTAATGTTGGATTAAGTACGTAGGAAATTCACTTCCATGGAGAATTCCAAAGACTATTCACGCTGGAATCGTTGTTGCCTTCGTGGCAATGCTGGCGAGTCGAGGTGAGAAGCCAGTCGCTTGAGAAAATAAGTATTTCTCTTGCAGGCATCGTTAATATCAGACAGCAGCTCTTTATTCGAGGAGAGTACAGTAATCCAGAACAAGAGATGCTGTTCAATTGGATCCAGCAGAACACCGCCAAAGGTTTTTCTTCGTCTTTTTTCGGATCTCTTTTTTCCAGATGCCGTCTTCGGTGGAACGATGCCAGTGATGGCGAACGTGAAGCTTTCGACGTTGCGGCCCATCGTCAACCACCCGCACTACGAAGACGTCGGAATAAGGTTTCTAGAGGCTTTTTCATCCTCAAACGACAATGATTCAGAGAGCGAACTCTGAAAGTCTATTCGATGTTCAGCCGTAAGCCTATAAAGCAAGTATACAAAACCTTGAAGGCTATGGGAATCGATTACTTCATCTTTCAAGTGATGAATTGCGGCGAAGACAAAAGAAGGTTGGGCGAAGTTGAAAGGACCAGGGATGAACTGCATTCCGCAGAATATTAGAGGCCCAATTTTAAGCCCATTCAATATTTTTTTTGTCTTTAAAAAAATGCGTTCATAAAGCGAAAAAAATTTCATTTTGAATTTTTTTTAATGTAATCTTTGATTATACCTTCAATTTGGCTTTCAATAAGAGTAATTTTGCTTTAGAGCTTGACTTTTTCGAAACCTAATTCAGGAAGCTTTCAATAATTAATCGACGGAAAATATGATACTTTTCATAAATTTAGGAAGCCATCTAAAAGTACCCAAGTAAACTATTTTCTTTCTTGTAAGCAAAATTTCAAATAACTGATTATGGGCGTAGAAGGGATCATTATCTTCCTGTGAAGGAGCATCAAAGAAAACCCCAGAGAATTTTCTGCCGTTTTTTGAGAAATTCAGTTCAGACCGCAGTGCGTCTACCGCGGGATGTGGGATGAGGCAGACCCGGCCAACCGCGACAGGACCGCCCTCTGCGATCTCCTCATCCAGGCGGCCAACACTCGCGACGACGCTGCCCTTGCTCCTTTCCGGATGGTTTACAATCCCAATAGGAACTACATCGTCCTCAAACTCTAGTCATAATCTGCGTTCCCAGGGCTTCTCACAATTTTTCTTTGGTTGTCATTTATTTTTCACGGTTCTTCTAGCTTTTTTATTTGTGATATTACGGTCCTCTTGCCTTGAGGTTTTTTTTTTCTATCAATAAACTTATTTATTTTCGCTTTTATAAAGTTAACAAAATAAATTTAGAGCAGATTTGAGCGGATCAACATTCAAAGTACCTCCTTATGACGAGCTCTCTTAAATCAAGCAGCTGAATTTGAACAAAGAGATGGTTTTTCTCTGCTCTCAATATGTTCCATGAGACGGGCTCCAAGATTAGCTAGGACGTGGAAGAAAACGCAGCCAATCAGGATAATGACAGTCCCACACACCAGAAGTTGCCAGGAGGGGCCGTTCAGAAGGAAGCCAACGAGCGTGGCTGCTTCCAGAACGTACACGAGCGCCGCGACAACCTCAAAGACTACAAAGTCTCGCACAGAGTGTCCGATCCAACCTGACGATGGAAGTGGGAGCCGATGAGAGCGCCGAGAGGCGCGAAGAAGGAGGCAACAGGTACAGTAACGGCAAAATACCTCCAGGAATCTGTCGCGACGTCGCCCATCATGACGGCACGGTAATAGAAGCCGAAGATAGCGTTGACGCCTTTGAGGACGACGGTAGTCGGCGTCGCCGTCTTCTCCGACACTCTGAAGAGCAGAGTGACCACCGAGAAGATGCTCACGTCGATTCCAGAACCCGCAAAAGAGTCGAATATGCCTGGCAATGTGTTTTGAGAATCATTTGACTTCTTCTGAAGACCTCCGATGACTCCAGTGAGAAGAAGTACGGAGCCTTTCCAAAAGTTGAACTCTGGTATTTTAGTATACGTTGGACGTTTCTTCTGTGAATTCAACAAGGCCAGAGCAAAGGCAAATGCCGTCCAAATTGCAACGAAAAGCATCTTTTTCTGCGGCCCAGTCATCAACGGATCCACCTGAAAAGGCTTGAGTTCAGGTTTATAAAAACTTTTTGCACTATGTGGATTCCTATGATGAAACCAGGAACAGCACCAGCTGTGCCAAGAAATACCGCTCGACTTTCGATTCTAACTTTCATGAAAACGATGCAAACCAATGCTGACGTCATTCCTTCAAAATCTGGTTAGTGCAAACTGATAAAGAGCTCAGGAACCGATAGATTGCAACATGATGGCGAAGTCTCTGGCCACCGACGGCGCCGTATGAAGGATCAACGTCATCACGGGGAACGCGACGGCGCCGGCTCCTTCTGACGTCATCCCTGAATCACACTGGCCTTCTCAACCTCGCGACTCTCTAGGAAACCTCCAACAAACGCTCCAAGGGTCATGACGACGGGCATGTGCCAGTAGTCGTGGTACCATCGGAAGAAGTTGTACCGGATCGCAGAAGACCACCAAACTGCCTGATATTCTCATTTCGTATACGTCTCCAGCAAAGTCCCACATGAATCAGAAGAAAAGGAATGAGCATAGCTACGTATTTCCTATGTTTTATGAATAAAAGGTCGTGAAAAGTGGGGTTTTCAGGCAGCTTAGTCAGTTCCTCAACAGCATCTTTTTCCAAATGTTGACCTAAATCATAAAAACGTGAAGTTTGCAGGATACTCTGACGGAAACCTTCGAAAAAGTACTTACGAAACCACTTCTTTACTTTCTGAGCTCTCGTGAATTCTTCTCCAGAAACTATTTTCGACATTGCTCCTAAAATCAAATAGGTGGGTGATCACGGGCAAAGTTCAAAAGGTCTCAAAAAGGACTTTAAAAAGCCTCAAAGCCCCATTTTTTTTTCTGTAAATTTTGTCTGAAACTGACCTTTAAAAAAGGTAAAAAAATGAGGCGGAACAAAGGTGAAAAAAAAATATTCTGAGAACTTTTGACACCATTTTAGGAACTAAAGAAAGAAAAAGGAGCTTCAGGATCTTTTCTGAAAGGCCTTTTTGAGGTCGTTTGGACTTGTGATAGCGAAAGAAAAAAAGAAAACAGGTAAAGGCGTTCACTAAAAGAAAACTTTTTTCATTTTTCAAGAAGAAACTTCTTTGGCTAATAGAACCATTATAAAAAGATTTACGTGAGACCGTCTCACGAGCATCGGCAAACTGGAGACGTTCGTGTAAAGAAAAACCAAGAAAATATCGAGAATTGGCCCTTTCTTGGAATTAGCTCCCATAACGATTCGAAAGATGAGAAAATAAAAAAAAAATGAAAATCAGGCGATCCTACATAGTTTTTGTTTTATTTTTCCAAAAGCGTAGGCAAATCAATAATTGACGTAAGAAGGATGAAATATGAAAAAGAACAGATCGGCGCACTTTGTTTGTGAGCAATCGGTATCGACATTGGAAACTCTATTCAAAATCACGATCTTTTTCAAAAACGATTTAAATATTTATTTAAAAAAAGGGTACTGAAAAAAATTGCGATAATTGCAGTGAGTCCCCAAAAATAAATACTTAAAAAAAGGATAGACTAACATGGGCCGTGCCGAAGAGAATGGATGCTGGGCGAAAGTTCATCGACGAACCCGTCTTCGAAATGTCGTCATGCGGCTTTTTTCTATTGGCAGCTATGTCCATCTTCTTGATTTTACAATTAATCATTCACTAAGAATAACTGCCGATATAAACGCGAGACACTGGCGGTACATTGACGAGCTCGCAAACATCTCGCTTTTTTTCTCGCGCCGGTCTCGCATTTTTCTGGGCGCCAGCTCGCACTTTTCTAGGCGCGAGCTCGCATTTCTCTCGCAATTTGAAAATTTCCGAAATGCAAGATAAATGCGAGATGGCGCCGAGAGAAATGCGAGAGCGCGCCTAGAAAAAAGCGACATTTTTGCGAGTTAGTCAATGTACCGCCACCGAGCTCGCGTTTATCTCGTCAGTTATTCTTAGTGTTGTTCTTTTTTACTCAATACCTACCTGAAATGGAGAGAGCGTTGGACTTCCTCATGAAAAATCGCTTTTTGAAATAATTGAATTTTTCAAGTTTGCCGAACGAATCAAAAGCATGGTATTTTCAGAACTTTCAATGAAAAGGGCCACGAAAAGTAATCATTCAGGCGAAAATAAAACCGGAAAATTCCAGAATTTTGTTTGATTGATTTTTACATTTTCTGATTTTTTTTTTCTCCTTCTTCCGACTTTGTACCGCTTGAGCGGCGTCGGCACCTCAAGTCGGTTAGCCGGAGTCCTATCCTGATAATCAGTGGACTGGCTCGAGTGACATATCCGTCCTTGTGTGTGACTGCTGGGGATTTTGAAGTCGTGGTTTCTGTACCAACATTTCTTGAACCCCTATGTAATGCACTAGATAGCGGGCGGAAAATCTTTTTTTCAAACCAAAAAAGTGGAAAGAGTTTCGAGATCACATCTTGGTAGCCGAAGGATTGTGAGAAAGCGTCGAAGGACAGAGGCGGTTGAGCTTGAGAGAAGAAGGCTTCAAGAGCCGACCCTTGAAGCAACTGGCCACCCATTTGCGGTAAGGCGCAATGAAGTAGATGGAGAGGATGGGGTCGATGGCGCAGGACATGGCCGGAAGCGCCGTCGTTAGGTATTGAACCTGCGGAAGTTCCAGGTCGAGGAACTGCGCACACGGGTACAGTACCGCTATCGGCAGATAGCACAGCGAGGGAATCACCGCCTGCAGCGTCAGAACCTGCAAAACGCAAAGCTTCATCCCAAAGCTCATCATGAGAGGTTTCAACTACTTATTATCCAGTTATTCTAAGGACTCTCAAGGCAAAAAGGAGTTACGGCAACATCTTGTATATCCATATTTCGCGCATCTATTGAAATAGTTAGTTTTCCTGACAAAGAAAATGCATATAAAAGTTAAATACTACTTAAAAGAATGATACAAGCAGTGCCGCTGTAAGGTGGATTATCAAATCTCATTTTCCTTACTCAGAATGAGCCTTTGAAATCTCATTTTTCTTATCGAGAATGAGCCTTTGAAACAGCGCCGTAGCGAAATCTAGCTTCAAACTGAAACGCTAACAATGACTACCTTGACAAGCGCCCGTGAACTGTTTTTCGTCCTTTGTTTGAATGAACTCGGCTTGTCTTTGATAGTTTTGAGAATGGCGCATCTCCAGTAAAATGTGATCAAAGGCAAAGTAATTGCGGTCGCCGAGAGAATCGCTGAGTTTATCAAGAACAGCGGACTTCTTACCGACTTGAATCCGCCGAATGAACTGCAACTGAAGACTTTGTAATTTTGCATTTCTGGAGTTCAATTCAAAAAGCCTTTTTTATTTTGTAGAAAAAAATATTTTTTTCAAGCTCAATTTTTTTCTATGAAACAAAAATTTGAAAAAAATTCTTAACAGAATGGAAAAACCAATCTTTCAGTATGAAAAAAATACCTCGAAAGCTTATATATTCAGAAATCTAGAATGAAGAAGTTTCAAAACGGTTAGCTTCATTGCTTAAAAAATTATCCTTCGTTGGATTTGTACTTAAAAACGTAAAAAAGGTGCCGAATTCTTGGCTTGCAAAAAAATTGTAAAACCTGTGAAACACATAGTTTGGATGTTTATTCCTAGTCTCTTCCATCACTTCCGCCTCTCCGTACATGTCGAAAAAAGGCGTGACAAGAAGAAAGGCCGGCAAAAGCAGGCTGAGGAAAAATGGACGTCCGAGACGCATCCTCTCTGCCGCCTGGGTCTCTCGGATCAACCGATACCGGAAATGCCTGAGACCGGTGAGTTGGCCGAAGGAATCAGCTCACATCGAGTGGAGAATCGAGAGTCCAACAATCATGTTGAAGACGTTTATCAAGTTGTACCCTACGAAACAGACTTTGTTGCCGAACCAGAAGCACGGTCCGATGGGGAGCAGGGCCAGGACTTCTCCGGAGGGCAATATTCTGCACGGTCTGACATATCCTTGGCCTGAAGTTGGGAAAAAAAACCTTTCCTGCACAAAAAAGTTGAGGAGGGCCAGGCCGATCTGACTAACAGAAGTGTTGATGAGAAGCCATTTGAACACTTTCATCCTGCTGGGACTTCGGTTTTTGAGTAAGTAAATCAGCAGAAAGTTGCTCGATACCTGCAAACTCTTCTTCACATTGAATCTTTGAGTCAAGTAGAGTTATTCATTCAATTTCTCACTGATATCAAGGCGTAGAATGCGTAGAAGACGTGAAAAAAAGAATCGTAAGCCCCGACGTCCACCTGTAAAGATTGCTCTTCTGACAGGTTCATCTCCTGTAAAGAAACAAACTAGGTTGAAGGATATTTATTCGGAATGCGGGAAATCTTTCAGTCGAAACAAAAGAGTCTACCAATATTAATTCGAATTGATATATGAATTTGAACGAAAATTCTTCTGCTTCTGGCTTTTTTGCTTTCAAAGAGTTTTATTTTTCAAAATGTAGCTGTAAAAACCTAAAAGTGAATAAAAATAGTTTTAATCCGGCTTATGGGAAAAACCTTCGCTTTCTACAATGCGAACGCCTATCTACAGCAGTACCAAAGATTGAAGTATTATTTATAATAACTCATAGCAGGGAACAAAGTGAACAAATCTGTCATATAAAATTATAACCCTGTTTTTTTGAAAATCGTTTTGAACTCGAGTTACACAGTTACCGAAAAAAGTGATAAGAGGAAAAAAAAGAGAAAGAAAAAATAGAAAAGCAGAGGAAGCCATTGGTCCTGCAATATGAGGCTCTTGAGAGCTGCAATAACCAAACATGCCTCTCTTTATTTGTGACCTAGAAAATGAGGTTTTTCTCCGGTTTCAATGGAATATTTTAATGATTTTATATAGCTGGTTGTCAGGATTATTGTCCGTTCGAAGATCCTGAAACACAGAAAGTTCGTTCTCCTGGTCCTTTCGTGACAAAATTCGGTTTCCATCGAAGACAATGGAAGTTAATGTGTCCTCAAAATGAGAGATATGCAACAAAGCGATGAATATCCGAACATTTGGGACGCCATTGTTTTCCCTTTCGCATAATATTTGTGAAATAGGCCAAGCGACCTGAATTTCAGGTATCTCGAATGAATATCAGACCCCGCCTCCGAATCTCGACGTCTCCTGGCGGGTATAAAACGCGATTGAAGAGTGCGACTTCGCAGTCGGCCACGTGTTTATATTGTCTTTTCGAATGAATTCATTTCATTGAACTCTAATTTCCCATTTATGAGCTACTTTAACTTTTATTTTCCATCAGTGACTTTTAATATGTACTTCGAAAAAGTTATGATTTTTAAGAAAAGGTTTGATTCTGCACTGCAGAAATTTCTGAAAGCACGCTCGAGTAATTTTTGAAAACACCCTGGTTATCTCAATCTGAACAACTTTTTATTTTTAAGAGAAGCAAAGCTTCAGATTTAACTTGTAAATTTTACAGAGAGGGGTCTTAAAAAAAGATCTTCGTGAATGTTTTTTTTTTTCATCGGATACATAGAAAAATTTTCTTGAGTAGTTCAAATATGGGTAGATCGAGGCTTACAAAAAGATCATTTATCCCATTTAAGAGCTTTTTTTCTTCAACAAGCTGCCTAAGCAACTGAAAAGTTTCAAGACTTCCGTTCTGATACAGGACAGCTTGCAGAGGATGACGTTGGCCGCCTACACGGCCACGGGCCTCAGCGTCTTTTGCATCGGCCTTTGCGTCGTCTCTTTCCCGCTGATTTTCTCGCAAATCGACGACGTTCGTCTCGAACTTGCCACGGAGATGGAAGCCTGGAAAGTGCGTGAGAAACACGGCTTCTTGAGAAAACAAATTCACTCCAAATGGTTGCAGATCCAATCAGACATGCTCTGGGCTGACATGCACAAGTACGGTCGCGTTCGTCGTCAGGCTTACGGAGGTTACGGCGGCTACGGTGGCGGCTCTACTCCGCCAGCTGGACCAAGCGGCGGCTTTCCTGGCGGTCCTCAGCCTCCACACGTAATACATATCATTTGTGTAGCAGAAATTCTGATGTCGTTTTGCAGGGAAACTTCCCAGGCTCCACTGGCTCCAGCTCGCCAAATCCCAACCTTCCTGGCGTCATCGGAGTTCCACCAAGCGTTAACCAACAACAGCCAGGCGGCATCAACCCTGATGGAAGTCCATCTGGTACGATCTCCTTTTTTTCCAGAAAACTTTGTTTTGCAGCCGGTCCCAACGGTCAGTGCAACTGCAATGCTGAAAATTCGTGTCCCGTCGGACCTGCTGGACCAAAAGGAGCTCCAGGAAGCGACGGACCTGACGGCCTTCCTGGCGTGCCAGGAATCGACGGAAAAGACGCCGAGGACTCTCAGGCTCAGACTCAGCAATACGAAGGATGCTTCACCTGCCCACAAGGACCTGCTGGACCTCCAGGTTCTTTTTTTTTCCTTAACCGTAGGATTTCTAGTTTTATAGAGCTAAGATGAAGAACGAAGACTGCAATACTAGGTTTTTTTTTTATCAAAGCAGACGTCACCTTCCAAAACTTCCAAAAAAGTCCTAAATGGATATTATTTCAAAAAATATGTACTACTCTTCAATAGAAACAACGAGTAAAAAATAATGCCTGCCATAAAAAAGAGCAGAGAAAAAAGTGTAGGAATTAGGTTAATTTCAAAGTTCAAAATAAGTTTTAATCTCAATATGACGACTATTAGGTGTGGAAAAGTTCAGAAAACCTAAAAACAACAAAATTGAAAGCCGAGAGAGATTTTTAACTAACCTCAATTCTAATTGATTTTAAATTTTAGGACCGCCCGGAAAGCCAGGAGCTCGCGGTATGCGTGGAGCACGTGGACAGGCGGCTATGCCAGGACGCGACGGATCTCCAGGCTTCCCTGGAACTCTCGGACCAGTTGGACCTCACGGAGCCAAGGGAGAAGAAGGACCAACCGGAGAGCCCGGAGCCGACGTCGAGCACCAGATCGGACTTCCAGGACCAAAGGGAGTCCCTGGAGCTCCAGGAGAGGCCGGAGACGAAGGAGAACAAGGAGATCGTGGAGCGACTGGCATCGCCGGACCACCAGGAGAGCGTGGGCCTCAGGGAGAGAAAGGAGACGACGGACCAAATGGCGCAGCTGGATCTTCGGGCGAGGAGGGCGAACCAGGCAAAGACGCCGAGGTTAGTTTGATTCCTCGAAATCCACACACCATAGTTTTCCTCTTCCAGTACTGCCCTTGCCCTCAACGCAACTCCAACAGCGAAGTCCACGCCGGAAACCAAGGTGGATACATCCGTTAAACTGTTTCGAATGCGGAAATCAAACAATAAACTTTTCATTCAAAAAACTTTGATACACGTTTTTTTAAAGAAGCTGAAAATGCTACAGATATTATAGAGAGATCTCAGTCGTATTAGGCTTCGCCCTAAAATTAAAAAAAAAATAAACAACTAGATTACTCGTACTTTTCATCTGTCGAAAAATTTTTGACTCGATGACCCGTTTTTAGAAAAAAGCAGTTGAAAATTCAAAAATCTCACTTCAAACTTGGCAAGGAGGACATCGAGAGATCAGAAACTTGTGGAAAAGGTCACGGAACTTTTGTGGATCTTTGATGCCATGCCAGGACACCAGAGGAGTCGTCTCATCGGCGCTTGACTGAAAAAAAAAACTATTTTTCGCACAGAAAAAGTCAGTTAACACTCCCAAGAATATATATTATTGAAGATTTCTTATTGACAGAAAAGATCAAACCGAGGAAGGCAAGTAGAAAACATGAGGAAGGTTGACGAGTGCGACGGAAAAGTCGTGGGCCAATATACCTGTGATCAGAACGTCTTCTATCTGCAAGGTAAATGAAGGAAAATGCGAGAAAAAATATTGTCACTGCAAAGAATCTCTTGACAGGGGGCTTGAAAATGACAGATTACACATGGGAAGGTCGATCCACACAAAGAAACATGAAGACTTATTTTGCTGGACAATTATTGGAGCTATTTTTCAAATAAACAATATTTCGTATTCTTTCGTAGAGGCTGGCACCGCTAGAGCTGCCCACTTCAAGGATAGGCAACAAACCGTGAGAAAATTGCGACGAGCCGTTCCAGAAAGAATTTCCGAGGCAGCCTTAGCCGTCAAGATGTACATGGGTCCGGAGATGTAGGGAGGCATGGCTGGACAAGGGAATGCCTCGATCGACGAGTACCTCGAAAATAAAGAGTTCGGAATGCCGTGAGCCGGCCAAAACCATTTATCCCGCGAGTCGCGAATCGGCAGAACACCAAAATCGGTCAAATGACCATAGGCGGCGGATTCAGAAAGGTTCGTCGAAATAGTTCCGTCGCGAATCTTCTCGTACAGCATATCGGGCATCAGAAGCACGTCCTCGTCGATTTTCATCACCAGCGGACTCTCCGGACAGTCTTTCGCTGCATAGAGAAACGCAGCTATGCTCTGAAATTTCGTTCCACTTTTGAGAAAACCGATAGAAAGCTGAAAACCGCATGAAAAATGAACAGAAACTTCAAAACTTCTCGAGAAAGTTATTTATAATTTCACGAAAAACAGAGTTCTTGAAAAATGCCTAATTTGCCGGTAAACTGACAACAGAGAAGACCCATCGTCAGAAGTCACCCTATTACTTTACTTCAAAAAAATAATTGGAACATTTTCCAGCAAATAAATCTGAGAACAAAATTGAAAAAAAATAGTATTAAAAAAAAGAAAAAAAAGATCAATGTCGAGAAGAGTTGTGATAAACAGGATAAGGGAAAATGGTCATCTGAGTTCAGAAATGGATTTTTTTGTTGTTGTGAAAAATTGAGTCCCTTTTTTGTCATTTCCTGATGTGAGAAACTTCTTTTTGATTTTACCGACAATTACTTGTTTATGCCACTGAAACCTATGTGATTGAAGCCTCGGAGATTATTCTATTTTTTCAATAAGTCTGGTTAGAGTTATGTTTTCAAAATAATTATTTAAGAAGATTCCAAGCAATCTTAATTTCTATCTAAGAAGTATTTTATTTTGAAGTAAAGTTCAGAGAATAATAATTTCAGTTCGTACAGTTTTTGCCGTGTTCAAAGTACTTTCGCGGAAATCAAAATCAACTTCGAAACAATTTCGATTTGGAATAAACATACATTCGTAACGAAAATTTCTAACATGCAAGGGGTTATAAACTTATTCAACTATGCTCTCTTCAAACGTTTTTGCCGAGGTAACTTTTCGCTGTTGAAACTTCTCACTTTCCTCACTTTATAAGGAAGATTCATGTAGTTGTCGTTGATGTCGACAAGTACTACGTCATCGAATTCTTGAGCTTCTTCGGCTACCAGCTTCATAATCCTTTCGTCGGGATGGCGTCCCACGAGAAAAACGCCGCGGATTTGCCCCTCCTAAATATGAAAAACAAGTCTTATTCCAGTAGGAAGAGAAGTGAGTAAAAACAACTGCTCAACTTTTGAGAGTCGTTCCCCAGGATCATTACAACGCTAGTTCGAGTTTCCTTGAGACTAAAAAAGTACTCGGAAAATGTCAGAAGGGAGCAAAATTAATGAAACCTTTTCCATTTTCCTTTTAAAAGCCGGCATCCTACACAATCTTAAGATATCTACGCTGTATTGATTCCGATGATCTACGATCGGATCAAATTTTCTTCAATGAGTCAGTTTCTCATACCGTAGAGTTTTATTGACTCTATGAATTCTTTTTTGGAACATCTCCAGACATTTTGACTGTAAATAAAAAAGTTTGAAAATAACTAACGAACCGAAATGCTTTGCGACAGACGCGGATTCATCCAAGTATCGCGAATAGCGATTCTGGCACTGAAGGAGTCTGGCCGCGACAAAACCACAGCGAAGACGTCGACGCGATGTCGCTTTTGATGAGAGCACGTCTTGCTTCGAGGAGTGTGGGTCCAATGAAAAGTCGATGTCGCATCCGCAAACCTCAAAACTTATTATAAACATTCAAATAGTTGAGTCAAAAAAAAAAAGAATGAGATGAGTTCTTTAGAAATTTTTATATGAATCAAGTTGATTTCAATAATAAGTAATTTCCTGTCTACAATGCGCTCAAAACCAACAAAAAAAAAATGATAAAGCGCTTCAAGGAGATATTGAAAACAGCTCGAAATAGTGGGTTCGAGATGATCGAATTTCGAAAAAAAAAAAGCAAAAAAAAAGCAACCGTAAACACAGTTCTTTTTTTTGCGCTTTTGCTCTCCTAAACTGAGAAAACGACAGCAAAAAACGAAAATTTAGAAGTGAATTAAGATCAACTGTGATCCAATTTAGTACGGTACGGTCTTAGGGGGTAGAAAAAGGGAAAGCTGGCGCGGAATGGGCTTCAGATCAGAGATATCAGCTGGTAGAAGCGCCTTGCTGAAGCTTGAGAAAGAGTTTTAAATGGAGCTCAGATGACCAAAAACCAGAATAAAACATACTTGACGACGAACTTCTCGCCGAGGTTTGTGGAGCCATCGGACAGCTTTCCTGGCGCTGAAAAAAGGAATTTTTGAATCAAAATAGAAGCCCTACTCACATAGCCTGGACTTCTGGAGACACTTCCAATCAGGTGCAGTTTTTCGAGTCAAATCTGCAGGGCTTGACCGATTTCAAACACAAAGTAGTTACTTACACAATGTGCCAGCCACGCACATCAGTAAGAGAACGATTCCGACCTTAGGATTGGAAGAACGCCAAACGGAAGAGTAGGCCACTTTCATTCGCAAAAAAAGGGCTTTTATACATCTATGTAGTCATTCTGTCTATGACGGCGAACGAAGTAGAGAACAATCTTTCTTGTCCGAAAGAAAAAATGGTCCATTTCCTCTCATAAGCAAAAATAAGTTTTCAGGCTCCATAGAAACGTGCCTCGTTAATGCCTGATCGAAAATTCTTTCGATGTGCGTTTAAAATAGCAGAGAACCTTCTTTAGTGGACTCCTATGAGTCTTCAAAAACACGCGGAAAAAAACTTTGTGGATATTTTCTATAGGCCATTCCGCGCTAGCTTGTCACGTTTTTCTTTCCGCCAAAGTGCCAGGTCAAATTTAACCAACTTTCGCTTCAAGACCTTTTTTTCTTGCCGTTATAAGAGCAGAAATTTGATCTAATTTGGTATACGGTCTTTTTGGCGGAAAGAAAAACGTGACAAGCTGGCGCGGAATAGGCTATATGATACTTTTAATATCAGCAGGAAGACATTTTTAACATGATATAAATTCCAACAAGCAAAAAAAGACTCAATTTTTTCTCAAAAAATAAACTAGAAAAAAATATAGTTTTTCAGAATGTGATAAGATCAAATTTCCAAATTTCCCTATCAACATGAACGAAAGTACCGTGTTTGTATTTGACCTATTAGATAGAGCAAAAAAATCCTAATTGAGGGTGAATTAAAAATCTGTAAAATAAATCGATAGCATGCAGAAATACATTTACTGATTTCATATTTTCCTTACTTCACCTAACCGTCAGAATGCTGTGAAATGCTTAAGTTTCCTTTTATATCCAACTAGAGTTACGAGTCGATGGAATAACGCTATAAGAAAAAAGACAGTCAGCAATGTAACGTACTGTTAGAACGAGGAACCCTTCCCTATGACGAATCGCGTTATTCAGAGCAAACAATAAGCAAAATCGGTTATTCAGCAAACTTAGGAGGGCAGTTCTAAAGAAACATTTTGGAAATATCACGGTCAATCGATCCACAGGCCTTTTTCCGACTAGTGCTTCCGAAATGAATGCTAGGATAGGAACGACTGAAGTTTTCAAGTCAATTTTTGAAATTTTTTAAGAATTTTCAAAATAGTAAAATATACTTTCTGCAGGTTAGACTAATGCCTCTTTTTTTGAGGGAAATACTTTTCTTTTTACACGTTTAAGGAAAAAAAAAACTTCTTTGCAATAAAACAAACAACTAATTTGTGCTCAAAGAAAATACTTGAGATCTATAAACTTATAACAAGTTCAAAAAGAGCAGAACTGTTTTGTGCGAACTAAAGCCAAACCTTTGTCCAAGCGAGAAAATGGGCAAGGCAAGGTCAAAAGGGACGTCTTATCAAAATGACTTCTTATCAACGCTTTCATCTCGGTTGTTGCAGCCTCTCGAAAAACACTTTATTACTTGCACTTTAACATATTCAACAAATTTAACAACGGAAAAAAAAAACTTGCGGCAAAGCCTGTTCAATGTTGGAGCGAGCATGAAAAAAGGGGCTTGAAAGACTTTGAAAAGTCAAGGATGGGAAGAGAAAGAATTGGAACGTTGCTCTCATAGTGGTATACACCGTTCGCCAATACTTGGATCGCCGTGGTGCGGCCTTTCACGAAGCCATCATCCTGCGCGTTAATATAGCCTTCTCTAACTGTCTGCCTTTGAGGAAGCTATTTTTTTTAAATATTTTTCGTTCGGATTTTCTTAGTTTACTGGGACTGAGACTTTTCGAAAAAGTTAATTGGGTTAAATTTTTTGAAAATTTTGAACGTGTTTCTTTGCGAACTTTTGTTTAAAAAACTATAAACGCAATGCCACGTGTTTCGTTGACGTTGCTAGCGAAAAATATAATCAATTTCGTTAGTTTTAGGGAAACTTCTCCGATTAGAAAGCTCTCATTACCATTTTTAGTACATAAAAACCAAAATCCTTCAAACAGACCAGGCTGAAGAAAAAAAAATTCACCTAGAGCGGAGTTCCTCAAAAAGATCGTTCAAACGGACGACCTCCTTGTTAGGGATGGAAGCCAATCTTTTGCAAGCCGCTGCCAACGTCTCTTTTGTGTACCAATCTTTGCGTTCCTTCAGACTTTCGAACACCATAAAGGTCTGAAGATTCGCAAGTTATCATATATGAATGGAAACCCCTGCAATATAGTTAAATTAGGTCCAAACTTTCTTCGAAAAAGAAAAGCGATATTGGCTCTCCAGCGACATCGCTTTAAAGCCGTGGGAACGAAATTTTACGGTCTCATCGACTATTTTAATGTCTATGAATACCTATTCGTCATCAGATTACTCCTGATACCTCAGAAAAGTAGCTATATGTATTCATGAGATAATTCTTAGTTTTTCGAGAGATTATCAAAGCCATTTCGATACTGAAACAGTTAAAAAAGCAAATATTTACTCCATTTCTTATTTCTTTCCAAGCTGTTGTACATCTAATTCATATATTGAAAAACTGACCTCAAAGAAGATTTCTATCCAGTCTTCTTTATGATTTTCGTATCTTTTAGCGATAAGTTCTACGAAAACCACCGGAGTAATTGCTGTCAAAACGGGCAAATCAGGCAAGACGTCCAAAAATACGCGTTGATAATCGACTATTACGTCTGTAGAAGAGCTGCTGGAAATGTTTATCGCATTCATTTTTTGAATCAAAATCGGTGTGATCTGAAGATTTGACTTTAAATCGAGCACATCACTGGTTTAACCTTTCTGAGAGTGTCGCTTTTCAAAACCGCAGCTTGGCCATTCCGAAGAAGGTCCACACAAAATTTCCAGAGCTCCAGAGAAATCTAGGGATTTCAAAAAGTTCAAGTCAAATAAGTATTGAATACCTCGTCCGAAATGTCTTCTTCAACTTGAACAGAGAGCAAATAAAACTCAACAATATATCGAATCGCGGAGACTATCTGAGAAAAAAATCAGAGTCAATTTTAAAGTACTAAGGTTCACAAGAAAAAACCCCTTGAGCCGCTTCCATGTGACATTTTTCTACAGCCTCAAGTTCGCTAGGAGATGAACTTGGTTCACTCTCAATACAGAGATTGAACCCCTGAATTAGAATATTGATCAATAGCGGAAAGCCGATTATTTTGAAAAATATAGCAATGATAAAAAAAACCTCTAATATCGAAGAATGCAAGATGAACCGTTGGACGTCTACATTTTTCGGATCGTGAAGAACCATTTGCACTTCGACAGCATTTAGTTTCGCGAGAAGAACAAAAAACTCCGCATCGATGTTAAAAAAATCATAGCCGAAGATCTGAACAAATATTTGTTCCTTCTCGAATATTTAATATGTTTCAAACCTTGTAAAGAGTCGTTACAAGATTCCACACTGAAAACCTCAACGTTTCTGTGAGTTTTTCCGAATTGTGCGTAAGAAGGACCCGGCAAAAGCAAATCAAACTTCGCACCCAAACTTCGTTCGCTGAGATAGATATAAAAATGACGTTATTCAGAAAAAGAGGGAAATAAATATTTCTCCTCCATCGCTCACCAGACCGCTCGCCTCTTTCAGAAAGAAGGCTAAGCAGGACAGTCAACGTCTGAACACTCTCGATCACGTCGACCTTCGCTGAGTGATCCACAATGAATTTGCAGAAAAATTCCAGCCAAGAACAGATAAAATCTGATTCGACCTTGATCCAATTATTCTTGTTAATTTTTTTTTTTTTTGATACATTTACTGCAACCACGGCCGATGAAGTATCGATGACAAGCTTAAAGCTTGGATTTTCCATTTTTCGCACTGCATCTAGGAGTTTTTTGAGCGTTTTTTTCGATCTGGAAAATAACTGAATGATAATCATAGATAATAAAATATCACCTGATAGTTATCTCGTTATCTTTTGATCGCGAAAAAAATTTTACTGCCTGAGCCGCGACTAAACAGCCTTCCGGAGATTCGAACAAAACTTCTAAAACTTCCGTTCGACAGCTCACAAAAAAATCTTCCAATTCTTCAGAACGATCGATGTGTATCTTGAAAATTTCTTTCTCTCGTTAGGAAAGCCACATTCTTTTATAAAAGTGTTTAGGGAAATGAAAAGAAACCTGAAAAGAGGATAGTCTTTCGTAGACGTCTTCAAGTTCGTGTTGCCTGCATGACATCTTAAAGTTTATTCGCATTGTTCACGCATGTTTAAGACAGTGCTACGGCGGCCGGTGGCCGGTCAATAATGCGCCGTCAGTTTCGGAGCCAGGAAATTTTAAAAGTTTTTTTTTCTTTTTTGCAATTTGTTAAGGACCTATTTCTCGAGGTTACAAGGTAAGTTACGTCACAAAAAGTACACAAGATTTCATTTTATTATTGAAAAACCTAGCTTGATTACCGTAATACGACCGGCCGCCTTGAACATGCGAACATGCGTTAAAAGAGCACAGATGTACATGAGATGGTTCACGATATGATTATTGAAATAAAAAAAAAATCGACCATTCGGTTCAAATAATGAGAAATTATCGGAGTTCCAGGGCCTCACTCCTATTTTTTTAAAAAGTTTTTCTACTAATATTAAATCAACATTCATTACTTTGAGAAAAAATAATGACATCAAAAAGGAATAAAAATAATAAAAGCCTTTAGGCTTTATATTTCAAAAATGCTTTTGCACTTAATAACCTTGAAAAAAGGGATACAAAGCAAAAATTTTTAAAAACAAAGAAAAACATTGTTAATTCTTGACGTCGACGGGAAAAACTATTAGATTGGTTTAAAAATCTTTTCATAAATAAAATAAGCCTTTCGATAAAAGTTAGTTCATTTAGAAAAAAGTACAGTAATGCAAAACGTATTCATCATATGCAATCAATGACCTATCTCTAACATCCTTTCGATGAGATGAACTTTTGTGAAGAAATACTGTTTTTTATGGTTTATTCATCGGGAAAACGAAAATTTTTCCGAAACGCGAAATATCACTTCAAAACAAAAATTAGTACTGTTTTGGAGCAACTTTGATGCGCCAGGCCGAGCTTCCAAAAAAATTTTAAATGTCATTTAAAAAAATTTGGGCCGGCCTCGCACACCCTGCTGCCAAAGCTGGAAGTGCGGAAAACTGGTGCAAAAAGGGAATGACTGAAAAATGGTCGCTAAAAGGGTTCCGTTTTGCGGGGCCCCATAAAGAGTTCCTAGGGTCCTTCCTACTTTGCCTAAGTTTTGAAAAATGTTCCGTTCCTCCAGTAAACACGCCATTATCGTGTATCAAAAACAAATCAACGAGAAAAAAGGCTCGAGCACCATTTTTTATTTACCAACCTAATACATGTAAGTTCGCGCTACGGTCAAAAAGGTTTTTTTTCGAACTCATATATATACCTTCTATTGCAATTAGTTTTGTGTTTTTAACTTGTTCTCCATCGTTTGATTGATAGTTCGCCGTGAAACATTTTTCAAAAAAAGACTACTTTTTAGTGATTTAATGACGAAAAAAACAGGTTTTTTTCGAGAAAAAGCTCTAATTTCTCTATTTCAATCTTTATTCGAAAAAAACTTTCTTTGATTTTTATCTTATTCTCCATTGTTTGATCAACAGTTCACCGTAGTAATTTTTCAGAAAAAAGCGAGTTTTCAAGATTTTGGAGCAAAAAACAGATTTTTTGAAAAATCGCTAATTTTTCACTCTTCATAAGCTCCCATAAATTTTTTGGGTTTCCTCTCGTTCCCTGTCATGAGATGAACATTTCCACGTACGATATTCTCAGGAAGGAACAGTTTTACAGAATTCAACAGTCAAAAACATTTACACGCGAACGTAAATCTACGCGGAGAAACGTCTCCTAAAACTGCGCGACAGTTGCGCTAAGCCGCGCCCACTAGCCACCCTCTCCAGCCTTTTCAAAACGCCGTGGCTCAGGCACTGACGGCGCGTGTTTGTTACCAAAAGTGCGCGTGCGCGGCTTTTTAACTAACTAAAAAGTTATAAATTTAATATTTTTTTCATGTCTGTTCATTTCCTATCCACGGCGTTTTTTTATTACGCGAGGTCAAGACTTCTCGTAAATTATGATGGTTAGGGTGTAAGCACACCGAGACGCACTACCGCATACTCAAAATTGTTTTTCAATTTAAGAATTTGCAATTTTAGGATAATAACTTCTGAAATGTTCGGAATCTTGTCAGTTTGAAGAATATGTTGTGAAAAACATTCACTTACGTTAAAAAAATTTAGGAATCATTTCGGAAGGGGAAAAACTCTATATTACTGATTACAAAAATAAAAAAACAAAAAAATATTATGAAGTTGAATCAGCTCCCATTGAATAAGCAATTATGAAAATGAAAAAGATTAAATTAAGAAGATTCGAGGAGCAAATGGAAAAAAGAAAAATCGGATATTTTTCGCGACCACTGCCTAGCTGTGATTTACCAAAAGAATCTCGGATTATGAAAAAAATGACATTTGGCAATGAAACTAATTAAAACCAAAGAGTTATATAAAAAGAAACGAGCAAAATCAGCGAAAACTGTGAACAAAAAAATTGACGAATTTTCAAAAACTAACTCCTCCCTCAGTTTTGAACGAAATTCCATGGAACCGCTTTCAATAGACGTGTAATATGCTACTATTTCACAATATGGACATCTCGCAAAACCCAAACATGAATAGACAGAGAATAATTTGAAAAACCACCGAAAAATGACATAAAAACCGAAAAAAATTTGAATTTCGCGGGGGCCTGCACAAAGTGCGCTCCATCGGTCGGCGGCAATCTTTTTACATTTGCTTTCACTGCGTGGAACGCCGTGTATCATTGCTCTGCACCAGTTTATAACAATTAGAACGCCCAAAAATTTCAAATAACAAAGTTTCTTTTGATAATTGTTTTTCATAAATGTGTTCGAAAGTGCTCGGAAAAACTTTAAAACGTGAGCAGGGGCACTGGGTAGTGTTACAAAAATATGAAAATTATATTTCAAAACCGTATTTCAGTGGAAAAGGCGAAAAAAGAATCAGTACCCCCGCGCGTGCGCGCACCAGTTCCTGAGAAAGTCAGACCTCCACCCAATTTTGTGGACTATATCGAAGCGAGAGTAACGCTATACCGCGGGGGAGCCGCGAGCGATATCGCTCGCCTCTCGCTGCGACCTCGCAAACGTCTTGCGCTATATCGCTCTCTGAAAAAAATTTTTTTCTTCAAAAAAATGTTTTTTTTCTTGAATTTGATTGATTTCATCATAAAAAGTCAAAAATAAAACAAAAAAAAAGTTTTTCAAATTGTAAATTTTTGAGAGGGAGCGATTTGGCAGCGAGACTTTGAAGAGGTCGCAGCGACATGTTGACGAGATCGCAGCGAGAAGCCTTGGCTATATCGCGTGCGGCCCGCTGCGATATCGGCAATTATGTTGGGTGTCGCCTCTGCAGCGAAAAATCCGAATTAAAAATCGGACGCGCTCCGTCCTGCTTTTTTTCTTAGCGATCTGCAGAGAAAGTTTGAAAAATTTTATTAAAAAAACAACATTGTTTCCATTTAAAAAAACCGTAAATATCTTTTTTTCTTTCGAAAAACACAGATAATTTTGCGTCATTTTCGCTGTGATATTTTTCATGTACATGGAACATAAATTTCATTTCTTCTGCGGTTCCGGAGCTGACCATATGTGTTTCAAATAAATGTTTATGCCGATCGTGAATCTGCAATGAAAAATTCTATACGATAAAAATACTTTAAAAACCCTATAACAAGTACCGAAGAAATAGTTACGGCAGAAACAAGCTCCTGAGATACCTTTCCGCCGGGAACTTCTTTTTTGCTCTTTTCAGATCCCTTCCGTAATAAGTTCATGTTCCCCTGAAAAAGTTTTTAATTTTGGGAGTACTCCGTATTCAAAGATAAATGTGATTGAAGCAGATGGTCGTTTTAACCCTTATCTGCCTTGTTTCTTCAAGATTCGGTCCGTGCTTTTGAAAGATAAAAACCGTTTTGGCTTGCAAGTCTATTTATTTTTAACGCGGGACTTCTGTTCCAAAATACCGAAGTTGAGCTTTTCTACGTAGACTTTCTTATCGGTTTTTCATACCATCTTTGGGCCAAACTACCGCGGACGCTTCTGGTTTTGGAGTTACAAAATAATGTTTAACCAATAGTCTTTCTTGATTTTCTCACAATTTTCTGCTAATGAAATACCGTGTTTACAAGAACATCGCCTAAAATATTTTCAACCTCCAGTTTAGAAAGCAATCAACTGGAAAAACCGCAGTGACTAGGAAGGGACAAGTGTGTTGGGCACTGTTAAACAGCATGAAGCTGTCGGCGCGGCCATCGGAGAGGAGTCGGTCCAGGCACATAGTCACATTCTTTTGGTCGAGCGGTACAAACGAGAAACACACTCTCTCATCATCCTGAAAATTTCAAAGTTGCCTTCTCATGCAGAACCACTCGCCAGTTTGACGATAATCGTGTGGGAAAAGGCTGTTACGTTCACATTTCCTGAAAATGAGATTCTTGGCTGGCCGGCTTGATTTAACTCCAAAAAAAGAAGGAGTAGTAGGTAATATCCGAAAAGCCAGAAAATGGTAGTAAAAATGGAAGAGGCTGAAGCCGCTAAAAGTTCACAAAAGGTCCCTTCAATTTATTTCATTTTTGTTTAAACGATAAGGACTCAAAAAAGAATGGAAAAAAGGAGAGGCAGCAAGGATGATAGAAACAAGCCGATTAATGGGGCAAAAAAAAAGCATAAATTAACTTATTCCACCCTAAAAGAAACATTTTTCTGTTGTGTACAAAGTTAACTGAAAAACCCAAACGCTTTTCCGGGCTTGGCTATGAAAGACCCACTCCAAATGGCAATTGTCATATACAATAATTCTCACTCTTCAAAAATTGAACGCCAACTTTCTTTTTTTTAGTTCAGTGAGTTCTACGCTTTGGCACCTTCGGACGCTCAAAGGCCGTGTGCAATATAGTGGAAAATTATTTTCCGCGATTTTCTTGAAACTCGAAAAAGAATAAAAACAATCTTTTTTTCCATTTTTTTACAAACCGCCTCGGATAAACGTATTTTTAAATGAAACTTAAGTTTTTATATAAAAAATTTTTATATAAAATCTGGAAAAATCATACTGTAAAAAGTATGATAGGGCGACTGCGTGATCTGCATGCGATAGTTGCGATATGCTTGCCAATCGTTTTCGAAATACGATTCGCCTCGGGCTAAAAAACAGTTAGATTCAAAAAAAGGGAAAACTCACAAGGATAGGAGAAGAACAAGAAAGAGTTTTCGCGAATATCAACTTGGGATTGTTTTTTAGAAAATATGGGAATCCTCACTCTGTAACGCCGTGAATAATTGTTCGGAACTCGAGTCTTACACGTGCTGGGTATCGTTGCGATGACAAGCGATCGGATTGAAAACTATTTTGAAAACCAGATGTGTCTTCATATCTATTCTCAAACTCCTGAAGTTTATTACTCATATATGTGGGTATCGCATGTTTACAGCAAATCCTTCCCGACTTGAAAAGTGAGATGCTCTCATGCTGATGAGGGTAACCTAGCCGTGCTAACACGGGGTTTCATCGGGTGAACCCGTCTTGAACCCGTATAAGCACAGCTGACAGAACTTTTGACAATTTTTACCCCAGCTAGGCACCGCTTTAGCACAGTTAGATCACAGATTTTCGAAATTAATACAGCTGGGTCACTTATTTCTTCTTACACCCGTTGTTCCCTTGTTTTAGCGTTTTTTTTAGATATATATATATATCGCCCATTTTTTTTTGTTTTTTGAATATGCTGTACTTTCAAATAATACACATGACTGCAAACAAACTCGTTTGAAGAGATTATAGGTTGTGTTGGCATTCCGTGAAACTCGACATTCCTGTAAAGTTGCATCATTTTCATGACTAAATTTCCTTTTTCAACTCTTCACTCACATTCTTAAAGGCATCGACGGCGTCGTGATAATTTCCCACTCCTCATTTTCGAGACTTTCTGTTCCTGTTGGTTAAAAAAAATTAGAACTTAATTTTTTGGGAAGTTACTAAGTTCGTCGATGTGGAACGCAAAAAGTAGGGATAGAAGCAGCATTGAGATAGTTTCTGCTTTGAAGCAAAACTTAGAAATGATTCATGCGTTCGTCGCTCTTTTTTATAAAACTTTCAACGAATTTATTCGAAGTGTAATTGAATTTGATGAAAAACGACAGGGAAAAAAATTAAAAAAGGTTTAAAAGTCAGAGAAGAGGTTGATAGGCGGCGCGGCTGCGTTGCCAGGCCAAGAACTTGAGGAGTCCGATGCAGCAAGTCAGGACGACTACTGTGACTCCGGAGATCAAGATAACCCATGCTGAAACTTCAGAGAAGTGAAGAAAAAAAAATGAAATCTCACAAGGAAAGCCAATGGCCTTGCCGAAATGTCCGTCCATCGCAAAGTGATTCAAACTTTCCCTTTTGAGACCATCAGGATTTTCTGAAATTTTCTTACATTCGAAGAAGTGATTCTCAACCTAAGAGCTGTTTGATTTGCGAAAGAAGGAACTCTGTCCACTGCTTGTAGGACGCTTCTTCGGCTTCAAACGTCTTCTCATGTGCAATGGAGCGATTTGACCAGTGCGATCCTGTATTCATAGCCCCTTGCCAGGATATAAAAAGGAAGAAACCTAAAGGAATTATAACGCTTCGGCAAGAAAATGTGTCATATCCTGGAGGATATTTCTCTCCGTGCAAATTTTTTCCAGCGAATCTGTAACAGAAACTTTTTTTTATTTGATGAACGTGAATCTTATTGATATTATAATGAAGTGCCAATTATGTTTTTATATAACCAATCCGTCTTTAACAGTCGGATTTATAGAACCCTCGAAAAAGCACGAAACTTATGAAGCCTTATTGATGCCCTAAATTAAAAAAACCTGAAGTTTCTCTTTTTTTTTCTCAAAATCAAAAATTGCATCATAAAAACATTTTTTTAAGACTTTCACTTGCCTAGGAACTATTTCATTCCAAAACAAATCTGCTTCTTCGTAGTAGCCTTCCTCGGCGCCCGGCATCTCAAAGTTCTCATCGAAATCTTCAAACCAGAAAGTTGATTGTCAGTAATTTAATCATAAAATCCCTCACAAACCCTTCATTTTTCTGACTCACCTATATGAAAGAACTCGTTTCCTTGCTCACTCCAGACAGGCCACTTCTGCTCTTCTGAGGGCGATGGATCTCCCGAGTTGACGAAATTCGCAACCATTCCTACAATCGTTTAATAATAATAATATAAGTTTTTATAGACCTGAAAAGATTTTTTCGATGACGTAATCTTTTTCTTCAAACAGTCCTCGATTAATTCCCAATATGTACACCTGTTTGAGAAAATGGATACTTTGGAAAGCCTTTTCCACGCACAAATTCTTCAGAATGTGACGGAGAGCTGGCTTCATTGTTCCGATCGGGCCGGTAGTGATTGAAAGCTTTCCCCGCTTTGTAGGAGAAACTAAAAAAAAAGCTTTTTTTGATGTAAAAAAATATCTTACGTACGACTCCCTCAAACTATGGAAATTTTTATTACAAAGATGTAGTTATGAGAAAAAGTTCTTCGCCTAATGCATTGGCAAAAAATCACTTTATGAAGTCAGATAACTCAAAATCTGACGGACTTTTTTGAGTAGACCTGTAGCACAAATTTCTCAAAAACTGTACAACAAAAAAAAATTTTTTTCCAAGGAATAAAGCATTCAAATATACAAAAAGATGATATTTTATGCTCTAAGTCATTATTTTTTTATGTACTTTATACATATAAATAAATCTGAGGATCTCTGGTTTTTCATCGATCGAAGAATTTTTTGCGTTTTTTAAGTATAAAGTTCGAACTTTCTCAAAATTTTTGGTGTAAAGCTTCCCTCTTGATGAATTTTCGCAGTGCAGATCTTCATCACCTGTACACGAAGGACTTGGTTGATGGGCCAATGTTGGCGTCAGCGTGGTCGATGACGTTGTGGTAGAAAGTCTTCCAGTCGGACATCATCTGGGGCACGTCTTCTGGAAACACGACGAATTTCTCAAAGAGTCTTCAGGCAGGGACTTCTTGAGTGGAAACTCTCGCAGACGGCTTGGAACTCTTGCGGTCGTTCGTAGGGACTGTCGAAGGCCATGTGTGTACAGAACTCGGAGACCCTGCGGCTCAGATATTCGGGCCGACCTTGCCCCCTGGCTCACCTTTCTACTATCGGATTCCCTTCGGAGTCCTGAGCGCCTCTGATTATGATTACATTGAAATTGAAGATATTCGATCATTTTCAAAGGAGTTTTAATAAAATACTTGGAATCTCGCATTTCAGCCGTGACGGTCCCGATCAGTGTAGTCCTCTTGAAGTACGACGAACTTCGTAGATATTTTTCCGAGTAGTCTGGGAGTATCTAAACACAAGGAAACTGTATTCAACCGTGTGTGCAACCAGAAAAAGACTTCGCCGTCAAACCAAGGCCCGACGAACTCCTCGGCGTCTTTGTCAATCAAAAGCTGCGCCTTGAGCACCTCCAGCGCATCTTTTTCTCGCAAACAATCGATTGCCTGAATCACAAACATCATTTCAAGCCCTTTTCCGGAGTCAACCGCCGCGATTTCATGTTTTTCGATGTTATCGAGGCTACTTTCTTCCGGCAAGCAGCCCAAAATAATGGCCACCTTTCTTGACGCCTTTGTGCTTGCCGCTGAAATGAACTTCTGGCTTTTTCGTTGAACGGAGTCTCTATTCGAACGAGAATCAAAAGCAGGAATCCAAGAGAAAGTCAACCTTTTGACGAGGCAGTTTCCGCGGCGCTCATGATAACTTGTTGTTGATAGAGCTGCTCAGTCAAAGGAGAGACAGCCAGCTTAAAACTTCAGCTTTTCTGTCACGTCTTCAAGTTCTCGACTCACAAATTCCACCATGACTGCCCCAGCAGAGTGTCCAAAGAGCGTGACGCGATCTTTCCGGCCCCCAAAGTTGTGTATGTCTCTTTGAATCCAACGCAAACCTTCTATGCAATCTGTAACTAATTTCATAACACAAAAAACGGTGATTTTTAACCGAGTACTCCCAAATTATTGTCGGCGACTGAACTTTGGTCTCCAGGCAAATGCATCCATCCGAGGGCGCCTACACGGTAAGCCAGAGTGACGACCACAATGTTCCGTTTCTTAGAACAACATAATAGTTCCAAGTAGCTATTGAGAACACAAGACACGATCTCTCAGATTCAAAATACAAAGAAAATAATTAGAACATCAAAACTTTTCTCGGAACTAATAATATTATACAATTTGGTCACACTCTTCCATGTACTGAATGAAAACTCTGGGAGTTTCATCCTGTAACTTGTCCTGGTTTTCGAGAACAGCTTAGACTCAAAATACAACACTTTCTAAAAATTAAAAAAAAATAATTTTCAGAAAATTTCAAAGCTTCAAGCGCTCAATAATTTCAATTTTAAGATTTCCGAGCTTCGTTTGGTGGCTGAGTCCTCGTTGATCTTGGATCTGACCTGCCCAACAAAGTTGTTGATGATCACGTCGCTCTTGAACGTAACTGCCGACTCGGCCTTGAATCCGCCGCCATGCACCACTGCCATTACAGCACAATCCTTCTGAAATTTTCCCAAAAGATTATAAGAACGATAATCGGATCGCTCACTTGCTTCATACAATAAGAGTTGGTAAAAACATTGAGATAGAGGCAGTCCTCGGAAATCGGTCCGTCCTTGCCCTTGTAAGTCACTCTGAAAAATCGTTGTTTGTTTGTAGGGCCAATATTCAAACGATGAATTGCTGATACAAGCGGCGCTGTACTGCTTCGCGTCGAGGGTACCTCGCCACTTTCCTGCTGGAGCAGGTCCTCGGAATCTGGAGAAGTTGAGGCTTTACATCACAACTTCGGGAAATCAACCTCAAGTTTCCGAGAGGCGGCTTTGCGAAGGGAATTCCAAAAAAGATGATTGCCGTCTGATTTCCAAACGGAGAGTAAGCTGAAGTCATTTGGCGACCTTCCAAGGCTCCGAGGCTGGATTCTTTCTTCAATTTTAGTCTGACAAAAAGATGTTTACCTTGTGTGAACTATGAAAGCTTCATTTTCCAATGATCTGAGAAGACCGAAAAGAAACGCCAAGGTCAGAGCGAAAAGCATTCGACGGGAGAATGCTTATCTTCGACGTCGATGACCATCGCTATCAGTGGCTTTCTGGTCAATCGCAAACATCTCTCTGGCGGAACGCTGTCCTCGGTGGTGACAGTAGTTAACAGCTGGAACTTTCTCCAGCAACTCCTTTCCTCAAGGGTTTTATTCGCTGCATTCCAAGCGATAGCGTAAAAAGAAGTCGTGAAGTCAGCCGGCAAATTTCTGTTTGCAGACCTTTTTTTAGGTGAATGAAACTTCTTTTCGGAAGCGTCAAAAAAACGCAAGCTTTCGTTCATATATTTATACGGAGAAAAATACGTAAGATTATTGATTACCCAGATATTTTTACGACTTTTTCCAATCATTTGAAAAAAAAACTTTTTATTTTCAAGACAATTATAATCGGAAAGTATAAAATTTGTCAGTTTCTTTTTCTGAATGGGGTCGCTAGAAACCGTGTATTTCCAGACTATACAATCTGTGCGTTGGTTTCGCATTCCCCTCGATTTCAATAGCTCGGAGGCGATTCAAAAATGACGGAGCGAGGCGGGGCTCCCGAATTCAGAATTGCTGCAAACTTTACGGCGACAGCACACACACAGGACTTTTGAGGGGGAGAAGCATCGCCTTCGTCTGGAACTGTCTCTTTTTCTGTAAAATGCTGCCGTCGACGCTTTTTTTCGTCTCGAGCCTTCTCCATTCGAGTTTCGGCTGTCCACCTCAACCTCTGGGCAATTGTTATGCTGGTTCGCGTCTATATTTCCGATAAACTATAATTGATAGGAAAAATCATTAATAAATAAGGCTTCACCGCCTTATACGGAGTGTGAAGTAAGATAGCTTTTCTGTAGAATAACTGTATTGGTTTCGAAAGTTGACTTCTTTGAGGTTCTTACCAGCTGTCGAACAACCTCGGAGGCTTCCGGAACCAGCCCTGCGGCAACGCTCTCAACCGCGACTGGTGCGCCGTCTCGTGAGTACTCTTCGGTCGATTGAACTCTACGTTTAAAATAAGATCTTTTTCCGACCCTAGAAAAGTAGGAAACGACCTCAATCACTGAAAGAGAAAAAACCGAACCAAAAATCCTGTTTCAATTAAATTCCGAAGAAAACCTTAATCAACATCAAATTTAAAAGGAAAGTAATAATTCTTGTCAGCATTTTAGCCTCAGCTTCAATAGTTAAAAAAAAAAATACAAAATTGTACTTTGAAAATTTTACATTCAGATACCTTCCGGCAACTCAGCAAGCTAATTTCGGCTGTGCGAACAACTTTCCTGTGCAGGTTAACCAAAAATGTTGAAAAGTGCTTCGAATTTTCTTTGAAGATTTTTTTGAAGATGTGAGGAAGTTTTTTTTTGTACGATTTTCCTAGGAGCATCTTCCTCAAATTTCTAAAGTAGGTTTTGTATGAAAATGAAGCAAGGATAGTTTCAAAGAAATTTGAGAATAAATTATTTTTAACTTAAGTTAACAGAGTAGTTGAGGTTGGGGGAGCCGTTTGCGGCGAGGGGCCGGGATTCGTGAACCAACAGGGCTGCACGACGGTGAGAAAGTCAGAGACTCCGGAGTTTAAGCATCTTCAGGTGAACACCGAGAATGGACCTTGCTATTTCTGCTGCTGTCGAGGCGGCAGCTGTAACCATCCACAGGTGAAAACATAACAGTTCAGATTTTGTGGGAACGGAAAAAAAAAACCTAACTAACGTGCGATGAGAAGATTATTCCAACCTTTTCTGACTTCCCAAGGAACTCTGCGAACATTTCGACATCTCAAACATTGGGATCAAAATTTTACTATTTTCAAAATTCAAACTTATTTTTGAACTGGATGGGGGAGTCTTTCTTTCAAGTAAAGCCAAAAGATTCAGATTTTCGCGCGAGAAGCAGCCAAGTTCGGACTGGGACCGGCAGGTGGTCAGGCTGGTCCCGCAGGATACAACCCGTACCCACCACAAGGATCGTATGTCTCCATACCGTGGTACAGCGCCGCGAAGTCTTCCAGTTTCTCTTTTCTTTTTGTCTTCTTTGTCCTTGTTAGAGCCTGAAATCTTGCCACTATCCACATTTCATGTTCTTTTTTTTTCAATTTTAAGCCATATTGTACATACAGGTCTCTATTTTTTAATCTTTTATTTGAAGATGCAAAAAAAAAATAATAAAAGAAAAAAAACTGGGTACAAGGCGATGGAAAGAGAACGGACCAATATTATGAGACGCAGGAAGTGAAACAAATGTCAAAATCGAATGAAAAAAAGACGTTTTCACAGCAGGAACTCGTTTTATCTTATGAATGTAACCGATAACAAGCTAGAACTTTGCAACACCCATACAGTAACCAAATGAAACCGTGAACAGTGATGAAAAAGAAGCAAAATAATAAACAATCTCTGTTGTTGCTCTCTTCAAATACGTGCGAGATAAAAATTATAAGAACATTTGAAAACCGAACTGACACAAGGCCCAAGTCGTCCCGTACTTTTATTTTGAATTATCTGCGCTCATCTATTCGATAGCTGCACAGACTCTTACTATTAACGAAATCGATAAAAATTAACATAATAAGAAACGACTGAAAAGAAAACTTTTTGTACAACTATTATTTTCTACTTACTATATGAAAAATTTTCCCTTGAGCAAGTTTACGAGAAGATTCGAAAAGTTCAAAATCCGACACCTTCCCAGACTTACCGAATTTCGGAAATGCCAATGTATAAAAAAACATGAATTTCACCTTAAAATCAATAAAGTTGAAGAAAAAACTATGATTTAAATATAAAAAAAAAGAAACCCGTTGCAATACAAAGAAAAAGAAATGATAATAAGAAATCATTCGAGCTCTCCGTCCTCCAAATCGCCGCGAGCGCGGCAATACGGCAAGAGCAAAGACGGCGGCGCAGGAAGCGGAGAAAGTGGCGGCTTGGGATCGAACCTACGGAGACGATCGTCTGCGCCAATCCGCCACACAACTACCTGCCCAAAACAGGCGCGTTCGGTGGTGACAGGGGTCGCTCCGGCCGCTTAGTCATCGTCGCCAGCTGTGGATGTCCATTTTTCTCCAAACATCGGTAGCTGTTGCTTGAGAGCGGCATTGGTCTTGGAGCCTGAAAACATCTATCAAGAAACAGAACCACCACCCTACGCTCACCTTGTCCCCGTTTGACTCCCTATCTCGCGAAGGAAAAGTCTGGTTTGTGGAAAAATCAGTTGAAGCAGAGGACGTAGTGAGTGGCAGACGAGAGCAGGCGCCATTTGAAGCCGGCACAAAACTGCTTGACAGATTTTCCAGTCGTGCCCTTTTCTCACTATAAGATAAGCCGTGAAAAAGGCAAAAAAAAATTTCGCAGACAACAGAAGTACTCCGAACATGATCTTTTTCTATGTTAACAACAAGGAAATAAAATATAAAGAAAATACTGAACTGAGTTCTAGATCACATGGTTACGATTCAAGTAAAAACGTTTGTTTTTCAAATATCAGCCTAATTATGGCGCCACACAGTACGGAGCATTTATACAAATATATTTTATTCATAATGTGGTTTCTGAAGAAAATAGTCAAAGTTTTTGGAGAATCATGCTGCAAAAAACTTTTCAAAAGTGTAGGTCTGAACCTTCGAGCCGTAAATCTTCAAAAGAGAACGTTCGAAATTTCGATGCCTATCTCTTGTTCACTAGTGCTCTAAAGCTTCCAAATATCAAATGTTCAAAGCTTCAAACGACCGTAAAAAAACATTAACTTCAAATTTCGAATTGCCAATTCTAGGTTGAAAGGAGGTAAGCGGGAAAAATTCGCTTGAGTCGTCTGAACATTGCTCTCGAAAAACTTTTAGAAAATCCCTAGACCGCGTCTTTTTGCATTTTTTTTTGTCAGCGGCAAAAAAAGTTGAAGTGGAAAAGAAATCAAGCAGGAGGTCAAATGAAAATTTTCCGGACGTTCTAGCAATGAAAAGTATGTTTGAGATGCCTAGGCGATAACCTACCTAGCATGTGTGGCGTGAAACTCCGTGCGACCGGCGATTCGGTCGTGCTCTCGTTTCCGTCGCTCCTCTTCTCTAAGCCGCTCCTTCTCCAGGCGGTCGGAGGTCTCCATGTCGCGGACGTAGTGTCTGTCGCGGTCGTTTCTCTCACGATGCTGCACCACCGAGTTTTTGTCGCGTTCTTCATGCTTCCTACGGTCTCTTCGCTTCCTTTCTTCTTCTTGCGTCCTTGCAAGCTTCCCATTTGATAGTGCGGCCACTATAATGGAGAAATTGGGCGTCACATTGGAAGTTTTATGCTCTAAAAATCTAATTTCTCTCTGCAAAAATGAAAAAAAGTTGCCAGATCATTAATGATTTTTGCGCAACAAAGAACAGATTATTCTTGCACTTTTCAAAGTGTTAAAAAATAGCACTCTCTACTTAGCCTTGTTTTAATATAAAGTTTGAAAGCTGCAAATAAAAACATACAAAACTTTCTTTCACATTTAACGTATTTTCTTCACAGGATAGTCTTCAAAGAGTTTCAAAAAAGGCGATTTTTCTAGAAAAAACAGATAAGGCTTCACCTAGTAAAAAATGTAACTTCGACGATGAAGAGGAAATCCAAACCTTCAATGGCGTGCGTCTTTTCTTCGACAATTTCTCGTTTTCCTTCTTTTTTCTCCTCTTTGGCTGAAACCTTCTGTGCTTCAGTTCGAGTCTCGACGTTATTCAATTCATGATTGAAGCCTGGCCGCGGACTATTTTCCATCATGACCATTTGCTTTGTTTCCTTCAAATGCAACATTTTCAGAACAGTTGTTATTTTTGCAAACCGAATGTACTTTTTTGTGAGAGTTGAAACTCGGAGCTGCAGGAGGTGGCGGTAGAACTCCTCCTGTAGATTCTTCCGTTCGAACTTGCGCGGAAGATGAAGGTGCTGTTACTGAAATAATACAAGTGTTTGTTGTGAACGGTTTTAAGCCATACATCGATGTTTTTCGAGCTGCTTGAGGGACGCGAGATGGAGATGAGAGCACGACTTGTAGACTTGCATGAACTCGTTGCTCATCTCTGAGAGTTGGAACAGTTCGAAGCTGCTCGAGCCTTCAGAACCCACCAGTCAGACATTCCTTCGTCATCTCTTTGTCGTAGCTCGAATACCACTCGCCAGTCACATCAGATGGCCGTAGTGTGGCTATCTGAAAAAAAAAACGACTTGGATCGAAATTTTTCTGTAAAAACTGGTAAAGCTTAGATGATCGTGTCCATCGCCTCAGAAAACTACGCCCAAAACAGGTCATCCCCCAACGCCCATAAGAATTCAACCGACTCAAAGTTTATTATAGCAAAACGAGGTAATTTTGTTTTCGAAAGTCAAATGTATAAATTCATTTTTAGAAAAAAGAGAAATGGCTAGCGTTTTAATAGTGGATTTTTGGCGATAGAGATAGATTGGCATGAGTGACGCGGTCGCGGTGCGGTTTTTTTGACGGGAATTTTTTTATATTTATTTTATAAGATTTTTTTCAAACTGTCCGTAGTCAACGAAATATCCAAAACCATGACAACTAATAAAAAGAGACAAAAAAATATTTTTAATAAAAAAATAGTTTTTCGCTCGAGTTTCTTTTTCAAAAAGCCGCGTCGCGACTGCAAAAAGTCGTCCCGCCATTTTTTTCCTAAAACCTCTCTCGATAAGAAAAAAATTTTTGAAAAATTTTAAAGTAACATCCTTGAAAAAAAAAGGAAACCAGGAAAAAATATTGACGGTTTCGGGTAAGTCTCTCCGAAAAAGATATAATTGAAGCTTCTTATTTTAGTTTCAAAAAACTCCTCGAAAAGACGAATATCGAAAATTTCAATATTGCTCTATCCAATAACGGCACCTCTCAGAAAAGCTATTCTTTAAGCGTTTTTTTTTTCTCCGAAAACGGAGAGTTGTGCTGTTAAATATTTCAAAAAATAGCATGATTTGAAAATCTGAGTAAAAAAACATTTTTTATTCGGAAGAAATCGAATTTTTCAACTTTCAGATACACTTTAAATTGAAGCGTTTCTATTTTCTCGAGGGAAGTCTCAACAACAAAGCCCGAAAAGTCAAGAGGAATAAAAATAGGAAGAGCTCGGTTTGCTACTATGTACGCCCCAACATACCTGCAAGGCGTGTATATGGACGTGAGAGGTCTTTCCGTCAGTTCAGAGAACCGACAAATCCGACCATGCAGCACTTCCACTCTATTACATCCACTCTACTCTAAGTTCGCGCGCTTCACTTATCGTGTGCGCATCGCGGGTGCCACTCGCGATGCGTGGAGTCTACAGGAAGGTTAGTTTCATTTTCGCTCTAAGTTTCACTCGAGTACAGGTTTGCACTTTTGTGGAGACACAAAACTCTAAAGTTACAGTTAAAAAACTCATGGGAAAGTTTCAAATTCGTTCGCAAACTTCATTCAGTTCTTTTTCAAGATGTTTCTCAAATAAGAGGGCTCCACTTACGCATTTCTTTCGAAAAAAAAAACTATCTCTTAATTTCTTGCTTTCTCAAGTCTTTATTTATTCATTATTTTCTCTTAATTCTAACTTTGACTAGAACTTTTTTCAAAAAATTAAATATGAAAGGTTTATGAGTAGAATTTGGTGTTTTTTTTATCACAGATCTTTTCCACGACAACAAAACTGAGACCGACGCCGAGACTCCACGAGGAAGTGCAAGGGCAGCAATACCGCGCTACGGCTACTCGAAAAGGGGCGCAAAAAGACAAAGAGAGAACGATAGGAGATGGAAGTGGAAGTGGCGAGCGATTCTGGACCATGAACCGCGTCTCAAGCCAACCAAGATTTCAGTTCAGCACCTTGAAATCGGCGTAGATACACACAATGTGTATGCATGCAACGGCAATCGATATACTTGAGAAACGGATTGTCCAGTTCATGACACACAGTCTGAAAATTACCAATTCCTTTTTTTTTACACATTTTCTTCAATGAATCTTACATATCAGTGGCAAAATAGTAGGCGACTGCGGTTATTTTTTTGTGTAGACCTCCTGTAGAAATACGCTGTACACAAAGAAACTAAGAAACCCTAACCTTTGTCCAGATCGTTCATAATCTTCAAAAACGTGCTGGTGCGGCACTTCAACGTTGATATCGAAGGCTATAAAAAATCAGAAACATTTCGGAAAAAATGAATTAAGCGGGAATTTTCTCATATTTTCAAGCATCACCAAAAAGATTAATTTTTTCTTTCGTTCCGAATGAGGCAGTACGTTATTTATGACATTAAAAATGATTCGAAACTTGTTGCGACTTAGATTGAGAAGAGACTAAAAAGTACTTTTAAGTCGCACTTTTAAAAAGATTCCCAATAACTCTGTCTTTTTTTTTATTAAGCAGCTTGTAAAGCAGAAAAAAAAAACAAGTTATTCACCTATTGTTTGAAGGACGAGGTTCTCTAAAGTGACCAAATATTGCTCTGCCTCCATCGATACCTAAAATCAAATGTAGATTAAAGAGGTTGGAATCTGTTAACTGACGCCGCCTGAAGGTGGAGACTTCACCATCGGAAACTTTTTCCCCCACCAAACTTTCACAATATGAGAAAGCTTTCGGGGACATTCTTCGCTCTTTCCAGACAGGAGTAAACACGCTGCAGCAACGTCCTGAAAATTCGAAATCAGGAAGAAAATTACCAACAAAGAAACCCTGTAATCGAATCTTTTGAAAGAATGGAAGTAGAAAAAGCGATGCATATGAATGTTGGCTATGCACAAACCTAGGAGCGACCTGAAAGAAAAATAAAATTTTGACTGTCTGGAAATTATTTTTGCAATACATCTTCAAAATGTTTCCATCATTTTCGCATCATACAAATAATCTGACATGGAAGTTCATTTTACTCTTCGGTTGGAAATTTTTTGGAAAAGGCCTACTTTATCTAATAAAATTCCCAAGGACTAAGTTAAATCACCTTCCTTGTTAATGGTTTCTATGTAGAATGCTTTCTTTTTTTCCCCCAAATTTTATTTCTCTTTAACAATGTTTTCGTAATTTTTTTCTTTTCGTTCTGGTATTTTATTTACTATTTTTTTGTTCCTAACCATTATATACCAAAAAAACTGTTATATATTCTATTTGCAACTTCGAGGCAGTTTCTGTAAACAAAAAAACATGTACAGAGGATGGTAGGATAGAATTTTGGATCCAGGAATATTTGTGAGCGTTAATTGTGCATACACCAATCTTGGATGCTCGAATCTTTGAAAACAAATTCTTGGGAATATTCACTTCTTTTTCTGATTTTTTTATATTTTTTTCAATTTTTTTATGAAAACGGAAACTGATGGAGAATGTATACAGAGTGAATGAAAATGTGGTAGCCGTTCTGCAGCGAATATTTGACTACGTGTATGCGAGAAAGACGCATTATTTGATAAAAAGTTAGTTGAAAAAAGCATAGTGTTCATTTGAGGTCGAAACACGACATCCTCACAATAGAACGACCAAGGAAAAAAAAATGAAGGAAAGAAAAGATGGAAATTCAAAAAAGAGGGGAATATCCCCAAGAATCGTTTTCAAAGATTCAAATTTTCAAAGATTCGAGCATCCAAGATTGATGTATGCACAATTAACGCTCCCGAATATTCGGGGAACCAAAATTCCTTCCTACCATCGTACAGAGAGAAGAGTCGCGAGCGTGTAGTATTTGTTTCTACAGGAAATGCATGATATTTTCGAGTATTCCATTGAAGGAGACATGTTATCGTAAAACTACTTTACGTCTAAAGATTTTAAAAATCCAAAAGTCAGACAGATTTTCTCTGCCTTCATCTCTTCATAAGAACAGTAACATTCAAAAGTAGTGGGTACAAAAAAAAAGGGCTGGAATTAGTGTACTCCTTTGACGCAAAAGCGTTAAGAGATTTCGACCGACTCCCACAGATGTGAGAAATCTTGACAGGCGCGCGACTACGTATGAAAGAAGATCAGGATTTCAGGGAAAGGAAAATGTTGCTAAGTGACTTCGCGCGAACTATCGTAAAATGTTATCAAATAAACTTCGAAAGAAAAAAAACTAACGTCCTTCCTCGGTCTCTAATCCCATGATTCAACATTTCGCCCATTTCTTGAATGAAACTTGCGGCTTGTTGCCGAAATGTCAGCTCTTCTTGTAGTGTATATCCATCAACAATACTTGCAGCTTGCTGCATCTGCAAAACAATCAAATGTTTTTTTGCGAAAACTTTCTAACCAGGACTAACCTCCTCATTGGAAAATATCCACTTATGTACGCCGGAACGTTCATTAATTGTACCCGTGCTTGAAGACGCACTTAACATCCTCCAGGTTATACCCAACTGGAATGAATGAGAAAATGATGGAAAGAAAGCTCTAGAGCTACTTCACGGTAAGACGTTATTTCAGAAGCCACAATCAAAAAAGAAAGCGAAAAAGAATGCGTTCATAATTGAGAAGCCAGACATTTTTTCTTTAGAAACCCGTTTGAATATTGAGAGAAAAGAAATGCCAGAAAAATCATGTCTGCCCTCTCAATTATGCTTTCTGCGTTCTGAGAATGAAGTTTCGGAGATAACGTGACATAAGATTTATATACAATTTTTGTTCTGAAATGATGATAATTATTATTAATTATTAAAAAAATGATGATAATTATTATTTAATTTTTTTGATCGCTCTACCAAAAATTAACTATTAAAAAGATTGAAAAAAAGATAATACAAGAGAATGAAACGATTTATCACGTTGTATGCCTGCATCGATTTATTTTATAATTTCAGAATTTTTTTGTAGATATTTACTCTGAATCATTAACGTTATCCTCAATAGGGCAAAAAAACAAAAATTCGAATTTTTCAAACAAAAAAATTAAAAAAACTTTCAAAGAAAAATTCGTGAAAGAGCGGTTGATTTTTTTAATAGTATTCACAAGGAGAATTATGCGTAGTAGCACTGTAGCGTTCAACTGTAAGAAGGAAAAATATTTCGCAGAAATAGAGGCGTTTAAGGCTTCCGCAAAAAGCTCCTGAAATCATGAAAAAAAGCCTTATGAGTTTTATTTTTTTCACGGTCTTAAACATCAAAAAAATATAATACAGTACAAATATATATTTCTACTTCTGAAATCTCTCTAGCTGCTTTCCAGCATTCATAATTCAAGAATGCATATTCTTTTTCATTTGCCAAAACAGCCTAAAAGATGTAGAAAGGATTTGCTCTACAAGGAGCTTCTGAAAACCTCTTTCTTTCTCCTCGAATGCCATAAACGTGAAAAAAAAGTTCGAAATAATGACTTAAAAGTCCATGACCAGTTCTTAAAGCGCTTTAACTGTAATGTCAACTTTATCGAACTTGTAATTTCAAGTTCGATAAAGTCTTTCGAAAGAAATTAAATAAAATTTTAAAATAAATACAAATACAAATGAATCATTAGACTGCGACCGCGACGCGCTCTTGCGAAAGGGGAGGCGCGTCGCGGTTCTTCTTGTCGCGTTGCCAAAAGTGGGAAAACGCAGCTTGAATCTCGCACCTCTTTACTCTTTTTTGCACCTAGTTCCCGTGTTGTCACTATCCACACCATCCCCGCCAGTTCCTTTGATATTCAAGGGAGCCAGAGGCACCAAATGATTGACATGTTACTTTTTTGTGTTATGAGAAAGTCTTGGCGTCCCCTAGAAGAACTTTCCCTTTTCTATATCTACCCCTTTCTTGCTTGCTACGCTGTGGTTTCTTTCAACTGCTCAAAATGCGGTATACAGTGGGTACAGCCAATGGAATGTCGAGCGATTCGACAGATGCGGGAACTAGCTTCGCTCGGCCCGTTTCTCGCCCATGGCTTTTCTCCAAAGACGAAGTTTGTTTTCTTTGTTTTTTAAATCTTTTCTAATTTCGAAGGTATTAGTTGATCTTTAATTTCATTTTTTCACTCAAATTTACATTTCAGAACTTTTTCTTTTTTAAATCGCGTTTCACTACTGAGGTGTCTCCTGTTTTTAAGTTCCCATAATATACGCCAATTAAATCTATTATGTAAAAAGATTATTCGGCATTTTTTGTGCTCGAAGTTTAACACTGAGCTACTCAGCTTAATTTTTTTTTCGAATTTTCCATTCCATTTAAGAATCAAATTTCTGAATTGTGGTGGGAAAAATGTGTTATTAGCCTCCGGTATTTGTACAGCTTGCCTCACGTAAATTCACAAGAGTTTTATCATTGGGGCGCGCTATCTCCAAACCTTGTAGTTCATTTTTTTTTCTTTTTTTGTGAATTTTTATCTTTTTTTTGTCATATTATTTTGCTCTTTGATTAGTGAGTGCTGGATTTGCAGAGCTATTCAATTTTTTTTTTTCAAAAAGTCATGTGTATTAGAGTTCGAAAAGTGAAAAAAAAAACTTGAATTGGTTTTTGCTTTAATCAGCTCACAACAGCATAGGCGAATCGAGAAAGGGTATCACGAGACCCTCTCACGATGGACACATTTCGGGGCCTTCACGATCCATTTTGAGAGGTACCTGTGTGGACACATTATAATACCCTCTCGATTCGCCTGTGAGGATTTCCTGAAATAAAAAATGCTCGTACAAAGTTGAAATTTATTGCATACCATCTATAATAATAGGTTTATTCTATATTTTCTTATTTTACCATTTTATGCGCGTAGCTACTCGTATCCTCCCGATTTACCAGTGACAAGTCAATCAACTTTCATAATCCCTTCCTCATTTCCTACCAAAATTTTCAGTTCAAAGTTCCATCCTTCAACGAATGGAGTGATCTTTCTATTTTTCGCTTTATAAAAAAGCTCGTTTCTGCTAACCTAAGTTTTTACGTAGCAAAATCGTTACTGAAGAAAACTCCTGTCAGAAAAAAGTGGAAACCCTGCGTTGAAAGGAAAGTATGTGAAGTGACAAATAGCCCAGTGAACATAGCGTCAAGAATATTTTTCACTGTTACCGCCATTTTGAATTTCTCGGAACCATTTTAAACAAAGTATGAAAAAAGGAAGTAGAAAAAAAAAAATGAAATTAGAGGTGTGAAAAAGCGCGCCCCATTGATAAAACTCTTGTGAATTTACGTGAGGCAAGCTGTACAAATACCGGAGGCTATGTGTTATTCTGTTGAACTTGAAGATGCGACGCTCTGCGAGTGCCTTCGATGGCGTCAGTCCTGAAGAGGAGCTAGCTTATCGTCAGAAGGCTACACAATTCCTTCATGAAATGGTTGATCACTTGCACCACGGAAACAAGTCAGCTCTATTTATTCAATCATATATAAAAGTATTCTGCAGCTCACTGACAATCACCATGTGTGTTGCTAGTATAAATCTACACCGCTTCTTCTATTTTCATTCGTTCAAGCAGTTTGATTACAAGGTTATTTCGACCGTATAGAAGAAAATCAAAATAGTTTTTCTAGGATATAGCTGCGGCTTGTATATTTCTTGCTGGTAAAAGTGAAGACAGTCCGAGAAAACTGTCTAGCGTCGTTCGGGTATGGTGGGAGAAAAAGTTTCCCCATCAAAAGAACATTCCTTCCGAGTCAGTAAGTGTACAATCATTTTAATAAGTTCTAAAATATGTTTTAGCACATGGCCAGTGCATGCCAAATGATAGTCCATCTCGAAACCGTCATTCTTCACACTATTTGTGAGTTTCATTTTACCATTCTGTGACCTCTTTTAAAAGGCAAAACCGGTTTTTCCTGTATACTCTCAAAAAATGTATAAAATAAAGTAAATACATTTTTTTTTTTCAGCGTTCGATTTGACCGTCGAACTTCCTCACCAACATGTATTGCGGATGACTCAAAATGTGTTTAGAGGTTTGTTATACTTTCAGTTGGAAAAATTTTCTACCAAAAATCATCATTCCTCCTTTTTTCAATCAACTGTAGGAGAAATTGTTTATTTGCTTTTTTGTTGAGCTTTGTTTTCAGGACAAAAGGAAGTGATGAAGACGGCTTACTTTCTCGTCACTGATCTGTAAGCTTCATAAATTTTCCGATCTAGAATCTTTGGTTTTCAGACTTTGTGTGACAGACTGGCCGATTCGTTTTAGAAGCACCACTATTGCTGCGGCCTCAGTTCACATAGTTTCTTCGGTATTCAAGGTTCGAGTTTTTTTTTATATGTTATTCTACATGCTATCATCAGGTTTTTGTGCAATCGATGGAAATAATTTCTTTTTTAACTCGAAAGTTTCATGATTAAAACCGAAGAAAGAATTACTATAAAATAATTTCAATGAGCGCATATTCCTAAAGGCGCGCGACTAGATTTTCGAAATAAAAAAAAGAGAATTTTCAGATCGCAAAGGTTGGACAAACCAACTGGTGGGCTTCTAGCGATTTTCTCCAAGAGCCCGTAACTCTGGAAATTCTTGACGGTTTTTCTGAATTTCAAAGAACCTGAAAATAAGGAGAATATTAGAAATGGCAGCCGAGTTTCTGCAGATCTATAAGACGATTCCGAGCAGATCTCATTGTTCTTCATTCAAACGGCTCGATCCCCACGGCCTTCACAAGAGTAACATATTTTTCTACTTCATTTATTTTCTTATAAAATTGAAGGATCACTTAAAATTTCATTTTCCTCAACTTTTCATTGTTGTTTTCTTCAATTTTCTGTTAAGTAGTTTTCGTGAGAAACTATTTTTCATGGGTCCGTGTTTTTTTTTTCTCGAAATTTTTCGAAGTGCTTAGGCGTTATTCGTCCTTCGTTCAAAAACTGACAAAAAAAAATCTGGAGGCTAGAAGTTTGTGTCTTAATATTAGATTTTTGCTCGATTTCAACGAAAAAAAAACTATCTGCTGTTTTTCTTAGATTTAGTATTTTTCATCGTTTATTTTTCCAAATCGATTATCGCAATCATGAAGAGAAGAGAAGTTTCATATACTGGACAAGGGTTTTTCAGGAATCGTTCCGGAAAACAGCGCATCCAACGTGGTGTTACCTCCGCCGCCCATGGCGCCGTGTCTGCAGCCAAAAAAGTTGGACATTTCTGCTTACAAGGTGGTAGAAAAAAGAAACGCGAGTTATGCGTGACCCTTGTGCAGGAGCGGATAAAAGACAAGCCGGCGGTCGGAGCCGTTCCCGAGCAGCCACGGACCAGTTTCCTGCCTGACTTCAACACCCAAGTCAAAGACGAAGGACGTGCAGAGACGCCGAAACTCGCCAGCAAGATTTCGGATGCGCTGTGTAGGTTTTACACATGGTTAAAACCATATTAGAGATATAAATCTGGGAAACAAGGCCAACTCAAATTTTAAGCATACATTGGAAGACCTTTCAAAAATGTCGCCATGAACTCCTTAAGGATAAACGTTGACTTTGTTCCTTATTTTTTTTTTTTCAACTTTTTCAGGGCAAATTATTCGGGATTGAATTCCCAACTTCTCCAAATAAGTAATGGTTTAAAGTATAAATTCGGGTATGTGAAAATCAGACTGAGCAAATCGAGTCGTTCTAGTGAATCGAAAATCAAGCTAGCCGAAAAAATTCCATTTTTTACATGAGAGTACTTTTTTCTATCGAAGTTGAAATAGTGTGCTCAAATTTGTTAAATGTACGGTCAGTACGAAAGAAAGTTGACTAATAAAAAGAATTTTTTTGAGAAATAATTTATATGTATCGGTCCAACTTTCCGTTTTATTCAATCATTCATTTTAAAACTTTCAGCTATGCCGACAAGTCATTTCAACGGAAACGGCGTGCCGCTTGAGATGTCCACAAGTTGTAAGTTTTTTTTTAAACAATTTTATTCGTCTTTTTTTTTCTCATTTCTACCTTCCGAGCAATAAATGACCGACCAGTCATCGATGACCAGTTTAACGGTACTCATTGATCAATAATTCCATTTAAATCGAACGATGTGTTCACGTGTTTCTTTTTGAGCTTTTTACAAGGGCCGTTCGCCTGAAAGTCATTTAGTGACCGGTTTCAAATTCGATCGTCCGTTTATCGGTCATACACGTCGAATTTTCGACATTTCTTTTAGCGATCATTGAAACGACCAGTCTCTAAAAATTCATCATTCGCCGTTCAAACGGACATTTTTGAAAGCTCGAAGTCCAGAGACTCTCGATTTCTTCGACGAGTTTTTTTTCAGAGGCCTATATAGTTTAGCTGATAATATCTCTTTTTTTTCAAGTACTTTTACCTAGGTCTATAAGGCAAACAAATTTCAACTCGATACTTCATCTTCATATGTTTCATGATTCAGAAGCTGAGCTTCTCTGAACATTTCATTTCATTCATTTCATGTGTTTATTCGCCATTCCGCAATCTGCACGACAATTACAAAAAATAATACATCAAAACAATCAAATACAATCAAATGAATCTAACAGCTGATCTGTGGAAACGGCTGGAGGAAAAAGATTGTCTGTATAGACGGTGCTAACCCCCATTTGGTATTTAAGTTTGTTTTGAATAATTTGTAAACTTATTCATCTCATTTTGAGAGAATTTTGATTTAACTTTTTTTTTGGGAAAGTAATAATTTGCACATTTTTTATTACCGATCTATCCAATTGACTACGCGGAGTGTGGAAGTCGGAAATGAAACGGGTTTAACAACTTTTCTACACTCCTACCGCTTATTTAGTTCAAAACACATTGCAAGTTTATAGTGCGAAATACGAATGGGAAGCCGCCGAGACCAGAGGGCGAACGAAGGCACCGCGACCACGAGAGTCGCCGGAATCGTCACTCGCAGTCCGGCGGCGAGCGCGTCGCGTCGTCCTACGAGCGACACGCAGAAAAAGAACGACGCAAGGAAAAACGCGATTATTTGTTGATGGCCGAAAGCACTGAGAAGGACTATCCTAGGTGGGTTTATAACATTTTCTGGGATTTTTTGTCCATTAAAATATTTGCTTTTTTTCAAAAGTTTCTGCTGGTTTTGTAGCAAACAGTATGTTCATTTTATGAAGTGAATTACAAGTAATACATTATATTAGGTTGTTTCCTAAAAAAATTTTTCTAAAGATCATTTTCAGATTTTTTTCAAAAAAATATTTTTTTAGTCATGCAGTGTTCTTCAGGATACATCCGGAACTTCAAATCAAAATATAAATTTTATCCTAGAGCAGGAATTAGAAAAAAATTATAAAGTTTTTTTCGTTTCTACTTGAAAAAAACATTCATTTTGAAACATTCAAAAATTTTTTTAGCTATATTTAATCGAAACAAAGGCCACAGAAAGTAATAAGACTTGTGTGCTTTCCAATAAATTTTTTTCATTTGGCCTCGATGATTCGGGGAAAAAAAGTTAATTTTTTTAAAAAGCCCGCCGCTTGTAAAAAAATGATCAACCAACCTTTTTTTGACGCCTTTGCGAACCTTGGTCGCGCTTTTTAATCTTTTATTAAAGGCATGGGGGCAGTAAAAAACTGGGTTTCAGTTCAAAGCAGTAATTTGTAGAGCTTTTCATTGCGTATCGAACGGTGAACTTGGAAACGTACAGATCTTCCTAGTTTGGGAGAAAAAATAATTCAAAGTCGGAGAAAGGAAAGCTTGAGTTCTCGCCAAAAGGGCGTTTTGCAGTAAAGTTGCTCTATTGACAACAAGCTTCGCCATTTTTTCGGATATACTATTTTTTTTCCCCTGTTTCTTTCAGTTTTCAATTTTTTTCTGTTGTCACTAAAGTTTCTTTCGTCCTTAAAAGTTCCTATTTATAAGAAATTGGCAAACTTTGTTCGCAAAATGCTTCTCTTGTGAAACATGGTTTTACACAGGTTTTGATTAGGATTGCAATATTTTTTGTTTCCTTCATTATCTGTGTGTGTTTTTTCTTTTCTTAATTGATTTTTCAGAAAAGAAACCCTTAATTTGAAGCAGAAATCGAGTTATTTCTCACAAAATGCGAGTCTATTGACACGTCCGCAACATCGCGTGCACAACTACTGTAATCAGTTGTCCGAGCACCGATCCAAAGCAAATTTCAAAACTGAAGGCGGGAAAGTAAAATTGCGTTGTTTTTTCAAAAGTAGTCACATCTGTAATTTTTTTTTTGAGTACACCGTTCGATTTGCAATCAAAAACTATATAAGATACTGCTTTCACCTGAAACCCCATTTTTTACTGCCCCTATGCCTTTAAGGTACTCTACTTTCATGTGCTCCCGCAGCAATAACAATCTATTGAAAGCGTGACCTAGATTCGAATGACGCTTCACGATTGCACGCAGCAGAACAGCGGAATGACGTTCGGTGAAATTTCAAGTCGTGGCACATAGACTATAAAAATTTTTAAAGTCGGTTATTCTCTTTTCAATTTCTGCGCAGGCCTCTAAATTACCTCCAAAAAAAAGGAATGGGACTTTTCCTTTTTTTTTCTCAATATTTTCACTTTTCAGCGAGAAGAAAGCCAGAATGGGAAGTGTTTCGATTAATTTTGTCAGTTCCTCGACGCGGGATTTTTCGAATGGAGCCGTGGCTAAAGCTCGCAGAGATTCTATCTCTTCTTCCTCTTCTTCCCAACATTCTTCACAAGAAACGCGTATCACAACATCTTCTCAAACCGTGAGGTCAGATTTCATATCTTCTGTAAATTAATTTCAAAATATGCGTTTGCTAACTACGTTTTCAATGTGAAGGCTCACCCTGTGAGAAAATTTTGAAAAAGTTTTCTCCTGGCATTTTACAACCAGGAAAAACTTTTTTTTTAATTTCGTTTTTGCTTCGATTTGTAATACTTTCTTATCTGAATTCAAAGAGTTTTGATACCTGTTTGTTCGGAAATCCAGCGTTTTTATTAAGTTAAAGTTCATAAATAATTAGGTCAATGAAAAATAAAATTCAAAAATTCCAAAATTAATTTTCTTTTTTTAAAGTTTCGTCACCTATTTCTTTCAATCACAGCGAGCAAGAGAAAGTGAATATTTTAAGAGATATAACAAGTTATAAAAAAACTGTTTATTGCATCTTCAATGTAAGAGTACATGTGCAATCGTCTTTCATTGATCTAACTGTGTTTAAACGGCGGCAGGAGCTGTGGCTTAGGCAGAGAAGTTGTGAATTTCGCTCGTAGAACATCAGGTACAAGAGAGGTCGTAGGAAGAAGTACGGTGCCGGCTTTCCAAAGGCCGATGGCAGAGATTGAGCTTTTTCGCTGTATGCAGCTCCCAATTTTTACCCCGGAGGGATGAAAGGCTTGGTCGACCTCGGGGGGACTCGAACCTACGACCTTGCGGACGTTAGAAATGAGTTATGCCAGCTGAGCTATGCCGCCCCCCATGGGTTTGTTATAATACACGTAGGGCCGGAAGATCCTTGCTTTGTTTCACTCTTATTACCACGAAAACTTTCTGCTTCTGGGCTTTTTCATGTATGATTGAAAGAACCGGTACGAATTGCAGGAATTTGGATTTATCCACGCCAGGATCTGTGCCGCCACGAGTTTTCGTCCCTCCACCGCCTCCTGCGCCGGTTTTTGTGGCCATGGAGCTCGAGGAGGGCGAAGTTGAATAATTTCTGGTTGTTATTGACCTCATTAGGTCTTCATTTTTATACCCATTGGACAATCTTATTGCAGGAACCTTACTTCTTCCGGTTTTTCTTTGTTTTCAATATTTTTACCTATCAAGCTAGTATCCCCCATTCATTCGGCACTCACTTGATCTCTGTCTTTTTTCTTCCCCATTACGGATTCATGAATATGTCTAATTCTTGTTTTGATCGCTGTGTTATTTTTTTTTGTATTTTCCTATTTGATCGCAATTTTCTATGATTTTAGCGTGCATTAGCGTGCATGTTGTAAGTGAAGCAGGTAATTGACTTTGACTATTGGTATTAGATTCCCATCTTTATGTACCGTAATCTCATGTGTGTAAAAATTACTGTTGTCTTTCTGTTTCTTGTTGGAATTTCAGTGGCTGTAATAATAAATTTTTTCAAAGTTATTAATTTTTTACAGTTAAATTTGGTCGAAAAGTATTTCATTGAAACGTGTTCAATGTGGTTCCGCGAAATTCAAAATAGTCGTCAGAGAAAAAGGAGACAACTTTTTCAGTGTTTCAGTTTTGCCCGAGAAGCTCTCCGAAATCTTTTCTCAAAAAAAGACCTTGAAAGTGTTCGAAGCAGATATTTTTATCTCATTTTGTTTCTTTTTGCACCTTTTTGACATCCTTCAACAAAAATGGTGAAAATTTTCCGTTTTACCTATGACTCATAGGCTATGAGAGAAAAAGGTTGTAATTACTAAAAAATCTAGGTAGTCTTTTCTTTTCTGTTCTTTTAAAACATGACTATCTCGTGCGGAACGGTCTATAATAGCGAATCTCGGAGTATAGCTGGTTCACGGCTGGCTTGAGCCATAGAAAAAAGGGTCCTGACACGATAATTCACGAGATAGTGCCCTGCTCGTGGAAGCGCAGACAGGCCACGCCCTCTTAGCGTCCCAAGCTAACTAGCCGTGAATCAGCTATAGCCCGTTCACGGCTGACTTGGGACAGCGAACGGGCGGTTTAACTTGCGCGGCGATGGTAGATCATTGTGGTCATACATGCGCCTTTAACAAGAGACTCATTTGGTGAATTTTTTCTGTTTCTATTGAATTTTTTTGTCTGTTTACATTCATATCATTGGTTTTTAGATTTTCCTAAAATCGATATAATACAAAATAAAAACAAATAAGCCATAAAATGGGGCTTTTATGATAGACGCATGGATATTCGCCATGATCTACCTTTGCCGCGAAAATTAAACCGCCCGTTCGCTGTCCCAAGCCAGCCGTGAACGGGCTATATATTTGAGAGATAGAAATAAAAAATTTTATTTTATTTTGTTTTCTGAAAAAAAAAAGCTACCTTTTTATGGAAAAAAATCCAAAACTAACAGTTTCTTCTGCCTTCCGTAAAGCTTTTTTGGGCTTTTTGTGAATAATGGTGCCCTCTATCGCTTTTTAATGCCGTGTTCAAAGTAAATTGCGCGAAAAGCTGAATATCTCTGACTCTCCAAACTTTGCAAAGTTTTGTTATCTTTTTCTTGCTCTGACGGCAATTTTGGATTTCGCGGAATTACTTTGAACACGGGATCATTATTATCAATTTTTTATTAAAAAAAGTTTCTCTTGCTCTTGCAAAAATTTTGATTCAAGTGCAGCTCCGCAAATCGGCAAACCCTACAACGCACCTATGTTTTTACGCACCATTTGACGCACCCATGATGGTACGCACCATAATCTTTGACACCGTTAAATAATTTTACACACCCAAGCAGTTTAACGCACCTAAACGTCTGATAAAACTTGATGAAAATTTATAAATGTCATACATTTTCGGCCGATACTTTTTCGAACCATGATTTTGCGAACCACTGTTTAGGTGAACCACCTCATGCATTACCAGAACCAAAATTTTTTATGCTTCCATCGTCATCTGTATAGTCTTTTCAGATTTTGAATGTCAAGTTTTCGCTCAAGCTCCGTTCCTAATGGCGCGATAAACCAATCAGAGAGCGAGCCATCCACAGAGTTTTTTGAATGACGTCATTGCGCTTGAAATTAAAAATATGAACAGACTATATAGTCTGTTCTAATGTCGAAAAAAATCGAATATTTTGAGAGTTTGTGAAAAAAACTTTTTGTTGCCCAAAGATGGGTATTTCGATCAGATCAATTTAACTATCAACAAAGTTCCTATTGAAAAAAATAAATGTTTTTTTAAAAGTTTCAATTTTTTTCAAAAAAACTGAATTTTCCGTTCCACATAATTATATATCCACCTAAGACTTTAAACTTTTTGAACCATTTTTTCCGGTTTTTTGTATCAGTTATCATTTTCTCACTATTTTAGTTTGAAAATAAGAAGAATAAAGAGCAAAAAAATGTTTTTCGAAAAAAAGTGGAGGAACCTTGGATTTAATCAGAAAAACTGTCGCGCTGCTTTTTTTGTACTCCAGCTACTCTTGAACCGATTATGATGTGAATGTTTTGATTTCATAAGTACCTTTGTACTTGTGAGAAACAATTTAAGTTCAAAAAAATTCCGTAAAAATATTTCTTTGCATTGAAAGGAGGAAGTTTTCCTATAAGATTTATGAATTTTTTTGCAGTTTTTTTCGAAAAAAATAGGAAGCTTTAAATGTCTTCGGACCATTTCTGTAAACTTTTTTTCTGAGATAAAATTGTTTTTTTACTTCAAGAATAGTTGTTCTCATCAAAAAAACCTGCTTCTAGCAAAGAAGAATGGCCAAGAAAAAGAAGAGAAAAATGATAACTGATACAAAAAAACCGGAAAAAAATGGTTCAAAAAAAGTTTAAAGTCTTAGGTGGATATATAATTATGTGGAACGGAAAAATTCAGTTTTTTTGAAAAAAATTGAAATTTTTTTAAAAAAACATTTATTTTTTTCAATAGGAACTTTGTTGATAGTTATATTAATCTGCTCATAATTCCCATCTTTTGACAACAAAAAGACTTTCAGAAACTCTCAAAATATTCGATTTTTCGAAAAATCTCAGGTGGATATATAATTATGTGGAGCAGTGTACTTGCTTTGATAAAACGTTTGTCTATCATCGTCACTGAACGACTTTTTCTTTGATAATATCGAGACAGTTCTTTTTTTTAGATTCATTTCAGAAGGCAAACTTCAAAGAGGCTCTTGAAGCTTCCGGAGTTTTCTCTCAGTTTTTTGAAACCATTTTAATTTTACCAAGTTTATACTAGTACTAAATATAATTTTTTTTGAAGCGTGAGTTTTTTTTTTCACAAAGCAGCGCAGGCTACTTCGTTTTTCATCATCTTCACGGCGCTTCAAAATCTTTAAAAAATCAGTGTCTGAAAATATCGTGAAAAAAAAACTCAATTCATAGGTTGCGGTATCGTAAAGTGAAAGGTGTATTACAAGGAACAACTCTAATTCCATACAAAAAACAAAAAGTGTGCCTGCTTATTTAGATTCTAAGATTACGGATTTTGAGCTCTATTTTTTTCCTCTTGCCTTGGTAAACATTGAGGAATCGGTTAAGTAAAACTTGTAAATCTGCGAAGAAGAGAGAAATCTTATCGGAATTCCATAAAAGAATATAAAATAAATCAAGAAAAAAACATTCTTGAAAAATCGAATTCGAGTAAACAATTCTGGAATTACGTCAAATCAAAAACACGTGTAATCAAAGAGCCTTCTGCATTACTTTTGAACGATGAACTGATCACAAATGACAGGGCCAAAGCAAATGTATTTAATGATTACTTCAGCAGCGTATATACAGTTGATGATAAAAAATCTTTCGATCCAGTTTTCAAACCTCAATTCACTATAGACAACGTGAGCGTAGAACCTCATGTTGTATATGAAGCATTGAAAAAATTAAAACCTCTTTACTCATCCGGACCAGATAACTTATCATCAATTTTATGTAAAAAACTTGCCCTTCCCCTAGCGTTGCCTTTATCATTAATATTCCAGAAGTCATTGGATACCTCAATATTGCCTTCTCTTTGGAAGAAATCAATAGTTAGACCAATTTTTAAAAAAAATAGCCCTCAAAAAGCGGAAAACTACAGACCTGTGAGCCTAACATGCGTTCCATGTCGTGTCTTCGAATCTATTACTGTCCGAGCTTTAAGAAATCACTTATGGAGCAACAATATACTCTCTGATTCACAGTACGGCTTTCTCAACAATAGAAACACAACGACGCAACTTCAAATCAAATCAAAATGTTTTATTTCTCACACACAAGTACTAAATTTGACGAAATAGATGTAGGGAGAATTTGGGAACATATGTGTCGGAACTTGTGGTGATGGAGGGAAGAGGACTCGCGGTCGTGTTAACCCCCCACTTGAGTAAATTGGAATAACCTTGAAGTTATTCTTTTAAATGTCGATTATGTAGCTTTCATATTTTTGTTGGATCAAGAGTGTTTAGTTCTGTAATGTTGTTTTCAAACCATTTCTCAAGTTTAGATCTGAACTTATTTTTTTCATACTCAAATACTATGTTTCTATCCATATGATTCCAATGATTGAATACTCTTTGATTAATGAACCGGTAGTGTATGTCAGAAAGTAGAGGCCGCTCTATTTTGAGGCCATTTCCTCGCAGTTGATTCGATCTACTTGTTGTATTTTGTAAAGGGATTGGAGATGGGCACCAATAGTATCAGTAAATGAAATTGTGAGCAGCAGTTATGTCTTTCTTTAAACGTCTTTGCCAAAGGGTGTTTAGTCCAAGACGTTGAAGTCTTTCTTTGTAATTCATTTTTAGGGAAAAAGTCTTTTTAGTAAATTTCCTTTGAACTGATTCCAATCTATCGATATCTGTTCTTGTTAAAGGACAGAAAAGTTCTGACCCATATTCAAGAACAGGTAAAATCTTCAACTTGTAGCAGTTCATGAAATTAGTGTGCGAGAAGGTAAAACATCTAAAAAGATTATTCACAATTTTCATGCATTTTTTCACAATTACATTCACGTGACCATTCATTTTTAAGTTAGAACTAAAATGTACTCCCAGATCTC